ATGGAAAAGTGAAGGTATGGCTGAGGCAGTGGATCATCCAGTTAGGATCGAGACCTTAGTGTGGATTTTTTGGATAAGTGATCAGATAAGTGATGTAGCAAGGAGCTTTGTCTGAATACTTTTGATTAGAAGGATTTGATGCGCTGGATATCGGATATCTTGGTAGAACCTCACCGTCCTCGCTTGGGTCCAAAGTGGTCGCAGTAATGTCTTGTTGTCTGAGAAACAGATTTCGGTCCTAAAAGTCTTCCACGTCAATCTGCTGTCAAAGTCCTAAGTATATGACCTGAATGGAAGTCAGTAGCTCCTTGTTGATAAACAGTGAAGGGCACGTCTCAGCGTACATTTTTCCTTATCCAGTCATGTTTTTCACTTTTTTCACCACTCAAGGTGTTCTCGGAGGTTGTAGGGTGGTTGGAAGGGTTAGAAGACAGAATTATAGTGTCTTTTGCATGAGTGGTAATGATGATTTTGGGCTATATGATGGACAGGATAGGACAAAGAAGCCTCCCTTGTAGGACGGATTGTAATTGTCTGTAACACTGTACATGAACTGTCATGATGCATCATCTATATCACGATGAGACGGAAATAAAACTATTTATGAAAATATGAAACCGTACAAACTGGCAAGAATTCAAATCGTCCTACGATTCAAGCGAGAGACGTTTAAGACCACCAAACATAAACTTTTAAAGCAAAAAAGGCGCCGACATTCCAATGATTGCAAATAGCCGAAAACTCGTGTGACCGCTGATTACAGCGAGAACGGGCGGACCCGGATGATAAGCCCCGTCAAAAACGTTGACAAATGTCGGAGACCCCTCCCTCAACGGAAAACTTCACAATAGCTCTTTACGTTCGTGTTAGACTTTTACAGATTGTACGCAATTTGTGCTACGGTCCCCGGACCATGTGAAAGGAGGGACGGGCCGGAAATTTTCACGGCAAAATCTAGCTGTGAACAGTGAACGTGTCTAAATATCGTGTCTTTCTGTCACGACAGTTTTGATCAAGGTGTAGAAAGGGCACTGGCGATTCCTTCCCACTGTCGAACACCGATAATCTCCAAATATAACCTTCTTTTTTATAGTGAGCGTGCTCCAATTCAAAAAAGGACAAAACTATTTTTCTAAAACACAATTTGTCTCAGAACGTTTCGAGCTATGACGTTTACATTCGATACACTTAAGGAACTCATCTTCGTTCTTATTTGAACAAACAATTATAAGATGATTGTAAGATCGAATCTTACTTTTCGAAAGTGAATAAATATAATGTCTGTGCACTGGAAAAATCATAAGGATAATTACTTAAAACGTGTGAATATCGTTGATGAACCTGTTGCTTGGTGGTCTCCTTGGTTATTTGTCGGTGTCGGAAAATTGGCATCGATTATGTTGACGCCGTTGTGGACACAGCTGGGTATCAAATCGAAAGATTTAAGATGAAGACATTACAGCTGAGGGAGGACAGGGCATTGCTCAGAGCCTGGGCGTTACTGGGGCAATGAGAACAGCCCCTAGCTGCCCTGGAAGTCCTCCTGAACATCATTACATATCTTAGTCCAGTAGAAGCTAGACCCAGAATCCACAGGCTAAAAATAGTCCTACGCACATGAAAAGGACGAATTCGGGCAAAATATCATTCTTCTGGATTATAGGCAGACAAGATTCCAATGATGCTGATTAACTCCATGATAATAAATTTCAAATTAAATTACCTAAAAGAGACTGGGAGAAAGGAAGTTTATGCCGACTATATCTAGTATACAGTTGGCTTGTAAGACCAAGTATGGATCAGGATCTAATATCTATGGAAATAAATCCAAATCCGTTTTAGGATTGCATCAAGGCCTTTGTTTGTCAACAAAATTACCTTTTGTTTGGGTACTAAAGCACATAGGGCTGAAGGAAATGAAGAAAGGAGGAGGCCAATCAATTGGCCCAGGAATGTTCCAGGCCACCTGTCAGCCCTAACCTATTTGTAACATACCACATTTCTGCCATAGATAAGACGATGGATTGGACATAAGTCGGTCCAATTGGATCGTATTCCAGGATAGCCCGAGAAAAAGATTATTAAAGGGCCATAGCAGAAACTAATGGCAGAACTACTAAAGCAAGGAATGATACTAGGACTGCTGTCTGAAAACTGCACACTCTGGAGGTATATGTATAGTCTGTGCACATATTACCAGGAAGAAGAAGAAACAGTGGAACGATAAGGCTGCATCCTACTCCTGGGAGTAAAGCGTGAAAGATACGAGTGCCATTACAAAGCTTTGGGATCTGATAAAAAGACTTAAATTTAACAAAGAGCTTTAAACAACCAATATTGCTTTCATTGTGCAAGTTAAAAAGGCCGACTCCTTCTTAACCTTAACCATAGCCCTAGCTGTACGACAGGAAGGATTGAATTCTGAAGGATGCTTTGACTGAGCTTTTCTATGAAATAAATCCACGCCTTTATTTGCTCCTTTTTGTGTGGGTAGGCTATTAGAATTATCCCGTGTGTATGCTTCAGGATATGCCGGAAAAGGGTTCAGTGACGATAGGTGTTCTTTCTAAATTTTCCCTCATAGTTGCCCCTCTGCTCTGTTTTCCCCTGTTTGTTCATTCTTCAAGGGCAGCTTGTGGTACTTCTCATAGCTGCGAAATGTTTAGGCACTAGTTTCTGAGCAGTACTGCGGATCGTGACTCGATGACCTTGTAACTCGCCATCCCTTACGCTTTCTTAAGGACTATCATGTGTATCCTTCGATATGTCCTTACTGAACTCTCCTCGGCCGTTTGCCTGTATGCAATTGTACCCAAACAAGTGTAATTTGGTTGTTTTACCCAATGCCTGGCAGACACAGTGTTCAATACCGTCCTCCTGAAATATAGTGGGGTATTCCCCATATTACATGACTTTTAGTCCTTGGTTTATTTCCATAGGTACAAGATCCTGACCCATACTCGGTCGTAGTATACTAGATATAGTCGGCACTAACTACGATCCCTTTCTCCCCGTCTCTTCTTTATCTGCTTTGGCTTTAGTCTCTCCTTGGTTAAGATATGTTTGTAGTAGTAGATTCCCTTTTATCTCACGCCACAAAATCCACTTCTTACTGTTCATCCAATCCACCAAGCTTTTTTCAATTTCACTTTTCCTGTGCAACTCCTGAGAAGTGAATGTTTATGAGATTTGTACTATTGCCAAAATAGCTTTACTTGTTTTATTTAATTACACAGTTTGTAAATGTCACTGAGCACAGATAACGGCAGTTGTAAAGAAAAGCTGTTAACCATAAAGAATGTAAACTTCTTCTTCATAAATAACATTCTTATAAACGTTCTTCAATTATAAAGGACAATGGCAACAAGGTTGGAAATGTTTTCTTCCCCGAGCCTATCCTGGCCTTAGAAAAAGCAACAAATGACGTGAAGTAATCTGAGTTGGAAGGAAGAAGCGTGACATAATGGGCGCGGGGGACCCAGGTCTGTCGTTTCAAAACAATGGACAGATTCAGAGATAGACATCAAGTGTCTTTATGAAAGCCTGACGGACTTCACAGAGAATAATTGTGCGAATCAATGTAGCAAATTAATTACGCTTAAAAATTAACGCTATCTAATCTCGCTAACGTGAATGGCCTCCTGACGCGTATTATTTCCGATACGCCGTTCAGTTATTTGATATATGGTTAACAGACACGACAGTTTTATAACAGTGGAAGATCGTGAAAGCATCTATTTAATCTGTTTTGCTTCTTCGTTAAACACTGTCCATTTATTCTATGTAAAAAAGCAGAAATATGAAATTACTCATTTTTGAGTACACAACGCAAAACGAGATGAGAAATTGAAAAAATACGAAGAACGGGGACGCCATGGCACGTGGAGAATATAGGGGAAACGGGATAAAGTAATACTGACAAGGTCGAAGATAAAGTCAGAACCGGCTCATGCACGACCTGGTTGGGAGTGCAAACGTTGACCACTTTGCTGGGATGAAATGAGACACCTATTAGAGGAATGCGACACACGAAGAATGTACCGAGTGAAAAGGAAGCCCTCCGAATAGAATGTATTTATTAGCGAAAATGGATTGTCTAAAGTATACTGTATGTTAGTAGTGTTTGTGTGTATGAATGTTATCAGGGGGTGATCGGAATATGTTTTTTATAATTTTTTTTTTTTTACTGAATTGAGCTCACCGAAGTATTAGTGTTTATTAGCGAGAATGGAGTATATGTCTAAAATAAATTGTATGTATGAAGTCAGCCCTCGACGCTCTGTATTTTTAGTACGAGAGTGCTTGAGAGGAGTCGTCCAAAATGAATGTATTTATTAGCGAGAATGGAGTATATATCTAAAATGGATTGTATAATAGTAGTGTAATAATGATGTCGGCCGTCATCGAAATATTCAATACTTCGATGGACAATTTTTTTAGTGGTGTATAAATGAAAGCAATCCACCATAGTGAATGTACTTATTAGCGAGAATAAAATATTTCCAAAGTAAATTGTATATCTGTGTATGAATCAAGCCAGGCCTCTTATGGAATATCTGGTACCTCGACGATCCGTATTTTTAGTGGGGATTTAAGAGGGAAGTACGCCGAAGTGAATGTACTTATTAGCGAAAGCCGAAACGCGTCTAATAGCGAGTCAGCCGACCAGGATGATAGGAAACACTAAATGTGTGAATAAATCGCAGACCTTATAAAAAGTAATTAATTCGTTCGAAGAACTTTGAAACTTTAACACTTTGATAATTATTCACCTCCCCTGCGTCTGTCTTTTTCGTTGTTAAGTCCTTGCCTATACGCAAATGAGCTCACGCGATAATTGTCCGCTTGTTTCTTCTGTCTTCCTTTTATTTTAAATAATATAAATTTTTATACTATCCAGTAGAAATAGTTTATTCATGCCGATAACTTCGGGATCACCAGGGGTAATAAATAAATAATAAAAGCAACACAAGGACTTCAACTCGGTCAATTTATTTTGGCAATAAAATATACAATTATTATTATAAACATTTAACTTTTGTCGGTTCGTGTATAAGTCGTTTGTGAAGCGATATACGCCTCTTTTTTTCACAAACCCAGCCAGACTAGAAGTATGCACTTTCTAGCAACGTTCTTCCTTGCAAAATAAGTATTACACCAATTACCACACCTGAAACAAATGGTTAATTTGTGATTATTGCATTGCGGGTAATTTATTTTAAGGATTATTTGAAAAACTCTTCTTTGAGATAGAATTGCAAGCTTGAACAAAAATTTATAACAAACGATTAATCACATTTCCAGCTGAACCTGGGGTTAACAGGGCTGCGTCCTTAGCCATTTGTTATTCTCGCTCTTTATTAATGACCTCCTTGATGCTGTAATTTTCGGAATTCGCTGCCCTAACGTATCAGTTAATTTAAATACATCAAAAATCTTAGTTTTTCGTAGGGGACAGAAAGACGGCAAGATAAGTAAGATTTCTGCTCTATAAATCTGCTCCCAGCTGTCCAAACGGAGCGACGCCGTTCCAAAAAGTCAATGGCAAAACTGAACTGGCGTTCCAGGCTGCGCCGAATATTCGACCGGTCCAAACTCCATCGCGCCACTCCAAATATCTACGGCGCGACGACGGCATGGCGCGTTCGTGAATGGGATTTTTTTTTTAGCGCAGTCTCCGTCTTTCTGTCATTCATTCTCAAAGTCAAAACCGTTTATTCTTTATTGACAATGACATCCAATCGAGATTTTATTGTTGAGGTGATTGAATTCTATAAAAGTTTACCATGTTTATGGAAAGTGGTGGACAATGATTACCACGATAGAAATAAAAGAAATTCGGCCCTCGACCAGATGGTCGACCATTTCAAAACAAAGGATACACATGCAACGAGTGATGCGGTATTGATAACCCCTAGGCGTTGAACAGAAATCGTAGTAGAGAAGTTTTTCGTAGTTCATCCCTGTAACGAGAAATCGTAATAGGCTGCCAACCTTTTATGTGGAGTGATGATTTCTCTCATGACTGTCTTTTGTTTTCTAATCAAAGGGGTAACAAGCTGGAGTAAATAAAAATAAGACGGTTCATCCATCATTAAATAGTTCCTCCAATCAGCGGGTTCAAGGGAAAGATGTGGGTACTACAGCTTCTGTTCAGGAGCCACTTCTGACACCATTCCTCTTCGGTGTTTTATTTTACTTTTTATATATAAACAAACAGCAGCGTAGCACAAGAGATCATCATCCATTTTGAGGAAGTAATTCACTGGATGACGATCGGAGCGACTGGCTGTGGAGCGGTCGTGAATCTCAAATTTCAGGCACTCCAAATGGAGCTGTACGGCTCGGCGCGGTTCCATTTAGAGCGATCGTCCTGGAGCGACCTGTCAAGGATCATTCGAAGGCATTTTTCGAATTCGAACCAATAATAATCTAAGGGGGGGGCGTCGGTGGCCGCAACGGTTTAGACGTTGACACGGCGCTCATCACTGTAAGGTAAAGGTCCCGGGTTCGAATCCAGCGGCCCTGCATTCGAACCCGACATACTTACTAATGGGCTTTTTTCAAAAACACTGGCACCCCGAGTGTTGATATAACCAACCTCTGCTGTTGCGAACCCTCGTTACAAAAAAATCTTAAGTTGTCTACATAATAATTTATGTTGTCTCTTTAAATTCGCAAACTTATCTGCCTATAATCCTCTGATAGATGATACTGCTGAGTCTAGTCACCGTGGAACACCGCGAGGAAGGGCCTATTTCATTTTTTGACTGAGTGTTCCATTCTTTCAAACTCTCGTGTTATCTTTTTGAACTACGAGAGTTTTGAGGGCTAATTCTCCTGATTGTTCAGATCTGGTTGGCTTTGCACTGAAGAACTGCAGCTCATAAGACGGTTTTTTTTGTGTGTGATACTAGCATATGAAATGTATTTTCCTTTTGTAAATAAAATTCTTTTAACAATCATTCATTCATTAGGGGAATTTAGTAGATTCAATTTTTATCAAAATACTTACCAAGATGGATAAATGTACCATGTTGTAGTTGTAGTTGTTGTTATTTTCTTTGTCGGTTTTCTCGTGGATGTAGTGGTCGTGGTGATAGGCATTTCTGTTGTAGTCGTTGGTGGGGGAGTTGTTGTAGTTGGGGTTGTCGTTGTAGTTGTTTGTGTTGTTGTCGTAGTAGGGGTGCTGGTTGTAGTCGTAGGAGGAGGTGTCGTAGGGGGTACAGTTGGTGGCTCGGTGGGAGGCATAGTAGGTGGAATAGTCGTCGGTGGCTCGGTGGGAGGCATAGTAGGTGGAATAGTCGTCGGTGGCTCGGTGGGTGGCGTAGTAGGTGGAATAGTCGTCGGTGGCTTGGTGGGTGGCGTAGTAGGTGGAATGGTCGTCGGTGGCTCGGTTGGTGGTTTGGTAGGTGGAATAGTTGTCGGGGGCAGCGTTGGTGGCATGGTCGGTGGAAGAGTTGTTGGTGGCTTTGTGGGTGGCGGAGTCGTAGGTGGCATCGTTGTCGGCGGCATCGTCGGTGGAGCGGTGATCGGAGGCAAAACGATCGGAGGAGGAACGGTAATAGAGCTCGTACTATTTATAATTATTATGTTGCATCCACCACAATTGTTACAAATCGGGTAACACGGATAAGTCGAAGGAAGCCAAGGATATGGGTACTGAGTGGAATAAGGGGGAAAGGCAATCTGACCGACCACCTGAAATAAGAAAAGAAATTATATAAAATAAAGAATAATTATCATATTGTCTTTGCTATTTCATGCCAATCCACAACAAATAGTTCATCCGACTTTTAGTCTATAGTCTGACTTTTTTATAGTATGTAATAACTTGAAGGTTCTTATTTTTAGCAGGAAGTAAACAAAATGTGCCCACCGAAGTGAATGTATTTATCAGCGGAAATGATGTGTACGCCTAAAGTAGATCTTATATTAGTAGTGCATGTGAGTATGACGTTGTCAAGCCGTCATCGGAATATTCAGTACCTCGACGGTCCTTATTTTTTAGTGCGGAGTGGAACGAAAGTGCCCACCAAAGTGAATATATTTATTAGAGAGAATGGAGTATATGTCAAGACTAAATTGTATATGAGTGAAGTATTTATCGGCCGTCATCGAAATATGCAATACCTTGATGGATCTATTTTTAGTACAATTAAAAAAGAAGTACAAAATGAAGAATAATTATCATATTGTCGTTACCATTTCATGCCACCTACAAAAATAGTTTATGCAATCATTAATAGTCCTATTAAAGATTATCGGCTTTTAGTCTATAGTCAGACTTTTTTTATAGTATGTAATAACTCGACGGTTCTTATTTTTAGTAGGAGGTAAACAAAAGGTGTCCACCGAAGTGAATATATTTATTAGCGAGAATGGATAAATGCCTAAAGGAGATTGAATATAGATAATAGATGATAATATGATGTCAGGCCATGATCGGAATATGCAGTACCTCGACGGTCCATATTTTTAGTAGGGAGTAAATACTAGAATTTTACCGAAGTAAATGTTTTTCTTAACAATAATTAAGTGTATGTCTAAAGCAAATTGTATATTCCTAATGTAGACAGACTTTTTTTAATGAATAAATCTAGTCTAACTTTTAACAAGTTTCGGTTCACTTGTTAACTGGAATATAACTAATAACCTTTCAATAAAAAGGTCGCAAAAATAGTAATTTGTCAAGATTGATCTGACTTTTTCGGCCAATTACAAACTAGCAAAACGGAAAACGCCACATCCGCATTTTTGTTGGTATTTGTATTCAAAATTGGTCAAAGGATGTAATGTGTCATAATTGCAACCAGAGCTGAAAGCTAAAAGGTATTCATTGGGAAAGGTGAAAGCTTTTTTTTTCAACAAAACAAGGGAATTACTTGTTAAACTCTTACGATAGCGCCCATTTAAAATTCACCTGTAAAAATGTGTAGAGATTAGTGACCGTTAATCGATAGTTATTCAGATATCGTGAGATGCGGTCGGGAGTGATGTAGGTTTCAGAAAAACATTTTCTTTATCGTGCCAACGTTTCGATCTTTTATTGAGATCATCTTCAGGGCCTGGGATTTACAAACAATGTTTACATTTAACAAATACATTTAGGATGTGGATAAGTGAATTTATACAATGCAAAATATATTTTATATTCAAACAAAGTATTTCTACTCACTCAAAGTGTTTGTCTTCTGTGTAATTGTGCCATACTTGTGTGTCGTGTTGAGAGTAGTATATATATATATATAGCCGAAGGTCGTGGGTTCGAATCCCGCTCGTGACACTGACTTTTTTATCTCAACTAAAAACCACAATTAATTGAAAGATTATAAACAAGTTAAGTAGTAGGTAAACAAAATTTATAAAAGAACAAAACCGCAAAAAGTATTAATAACAATAAACTATATTTATATAGTTTAGATAATACAACTATATTTATTTCAAAACAGTCTATAAAATTATTGTCTTTAATTTACATTTGAATGTATTAAAATTTAGATGGAAAAAAATGAATATTTGGACATATTTTATTTCCTTCTCTCGTTATTCTATTTATTGTTGAATCAAATACATAATTTGTTTTACAAAAGGGTACACTAAACATAGATGAATGCTTGGTATCATGTATTGGGACATTGAAAGTGATGCATGAAATGAGGTCTCTACAATTTAGCCACCCGTTGATTATATTGTAAAGAAATAAAATATAAAACAGACACCTTCTGTCAGATAGTGCTGGAAAATTATAAAGAAAAAAAGACAGTTCTGAGGATGTAATGAGAGGAAATCGAAAATGAAGGATTCTAATAAATTTATTTTTAATTTTATCTAAAATTCAGAATGAGAAGAAAAGTGTGGATTCCATAAATACAAAAAAGAATGAGACTCGACACATCACTATTTATAAAACATTTATTAGACAATAAAGCATTATATCATCAGGACAGAGTATCTTTAGAAGAAAGTGCCCCTGTTGGAATACTTTAGTAATGATAAATACAGAAAATAATGGGACTCAACGCACCACCTTGGGAGACACCGTTTTCCTGGGTATACTCCTCTGATTAAATATTGCCGTATTTAATCCGAAAGGTTCTAAGATTCCTGAAATTACAGATATGTAACTTGGAGAAACTGGANTGTAAACATTGTTTGTAAATCCCAGGCCCTGAAGATGATCTCAATAAAAGATCGAAACGTTGGCACGATAAAGAAAATGTTTTTCTGAAACCTACATCACTCCCGACCGCATCTCACGATATCTGAATAACTATTCACCTGTAAGCTAAGTTTCGTGAAACACGAAAATTATTTATCTAGTATAATATGCCTAATTTTTTAATCAAGTTATCACAGAAATTATCAAATGGACAATTCCACCTGTTAAGTAACCAAGGCAAGCGGTGAATACATTATCAATGAATATCTTTTATTTAACCAATTTATAATTTGAACTTTACTTTTCGGTCCGCCTATCCTCGCCGGGTCGGTCAGTGCTCGTAAAGCAAAATAGTTAGTAGTCTATTAAAAAAAATAAAAATTTAATTCTCCCTTTTTTTTCACCCTTACAAAACCTAAACATTACGGACATAGGCCCGACAAGAAACAATCCATCTTAACGTTGTATTTGGATAAAACACAAGGAGTTATGAATTTTTAACTGGAACACAGGACACGGGAGAAAAAAAATTGCATGGCTAGCACAAAATTTTCTAGTTTGTTTGCGATAAAAATTCGTATTTTGGGGCTTCAAGGGGTGCTTTAAACGGATCCGTTTGTTGTTTTTTTTTTTTTGTTTTTTTTTTAATAAAATTCTTTTGACCTACTTTAATGTGTATTTTCGTTTTTGTATCTTTTCATACATCTAATCTCTATTATACGACCCTGCATATCTTTGTCTTATCCTAGATTTTTTTTAAATGTGTAAGTTTGAAATACATGCAGAAGAAAGGCACTTTGTTCTCTGCTCCTAGAGCCCTTTGGCAAGAACTCTCGGCAATATTCCCAATGTTTTTTGACCTAGAATCACCAAAAAAAGTTTCATTAAAAACGGTGCTACCACGTCCCTAGCCTCCCCTAGTGAAAAAGAAAAAGATAGGAAAAGAAGAAAGATTTCCATGGAATAAAAAAAACTCAATTCATGTGGCCTACATTTACTTAGATTGTGCTTTAAAAAAGTCCTGTCTATATTGATTTTTTATTTTTTTTTATTTACCTATTAAACTATAAAACGTGTTGGCCGAGTGTAGGTTTAAAATGATACTGATTCTATTTAACAAAAAATATATAGTAAACAAATCAAGAAAAACAGTGAAATTTTACTTTATGTTTTAATAAATTTGGGAGGGGGCGTCGGTGGTCGCAACGGTTTAGGCGTGACACGGCGCTCATCACTGTAAGGTAAAGGTCCCGGGTTCGAATCCAGCGGCCCTCCATTCCCGACATACTTTCAAATGGGCTTTTTTTTAAAAAGACAGCACCCCGAGGGTTGATATAACCTCTGCTGTTGCGAACCCTCGTAAAAAAAATAATAATAAAAAAATAAAGAATAAAGCCATATTTTAAGTTGGTTTTAAAAATTCCGACAAAAAGGTGCTATATTTTTCTCTAGAGAATTAAAAAGTGCTTTTTATAAATCTTCCTAAGTGCTTACTTTGCATTTTAGGCAAAATTGATCTCGCCTCATAAAAAAAAGTTTGATTCAATGTTTATGTCTTAAACACAATGCTTAAATTGACGTAGCGTGGTTATTTTTCCGGTAAAGCAAACACACAGCACTCACGAGGTCATTTGAAAACTGTCAGGGGCAAATTAAAAAGGCGCATTGATGAATCTCACCACTTCACTTTGCAAGAAAGCTAAGACGAGAAGGAGAAGAGCAAGCATTCTTTTCAGTCCCATTCCATTAGGCAAAGTGAGCCAATGTCCAGTACGATTGCGGCGACAACCTTCTGTTTGACTGGGAGAAAAAAATATCGCTGACATAATATAACAGGAAATAAACAGAAAGCGTTTCCGATGTACTTCATACGAGATGAGTTCAATGTCAGAAATAATAAAATCGTAACAACTGATGACTAACCGTCATTTATAATCAAATAGGGTCATTACCGGAGGCGAATAAATAATATTTTACCACCTACGACTTTTTCTAACGTTAAAAACGATTTTATGTGTAATTTGGTCGTGATCATTTTGGCGTGTCAGACGCATTTCGCCATCCTCAGTTTGTTTGTGAGATTCTGTTAAGTCTCTTTTATAAGATCGTGTGAGGTGGGGTGCGTGTGCAAAGCAGCTTTTTTCCGTCTTATTAACTTTTTTTACTTTGAATTAACCCTTTTTCATTTCAAATTAGCCCTTCTTTCTTTTTTTATGAACCCTTTTTAATTTCAGATTAACCTTTTTTGATTGACACTTTCTTTTCAACTTAATTCCTGTTTTTACTTCTCATTAACTCTTTTTAATTTCAAACTAACCCTTCTCTTATTTTGTAACTTAAATTAAAACTTTTAACTTCAAATTAACGCTTTTTAATTTCAAATTAACGTTTTTTAACTTCACATTAACCTTTTTTACTTTCAAATTAACCCTTATTAACATCAAATGAAACCTTTTAATTTGAAATTAACCATTTTTAACTTCAAATTAACTTTTGTAAATTTAAAATTAACCTTTTCAAGTTCAAATTAACTCTTTCTTTAAAGCATTAAAAAATCTTGGGAAATAGTATGATTATAAGCATGTAAAGTAAAATTCCTGTACATTTGAGAAATTTTTTACATATGGTCTTCTAAGAGACAAATTATTTTATATTTAAAAATAATTCGCAAATTCAAAGGAATTTTAGTTTACACGCTTATATCATATCATGTAAGTTTCTTTAATGCTTTAAAAAAACGGTTAATTTGAATTAAAAATGTTAATCCGTCAAATTACCCCTTTTTAACCTCAAATTAACCGTTTTTAACGACAAATTACGACAAGCTTTTTTTATGCTCTTCTAAGAGCCCAATTATTTAATGTTTAAAAAAACTGAAAAAATACAGGAATCTTACTTTATAATTTCATTTCATACCATCATCATTTGAAATTATAAAGGGTTAATTTGAAATTAAAAAGGATAATCAGCCAAATTAACCTTTATAACTTCAAAATTAACATATTTTAACAATTAACTCTTTTTTATTATTTCCCGTTTTTATGCATTTCTTCTCAACCGTCAAAAATTTAAAATAATAATAAACAGATAACTAATTAAAAAACTCTTTTTTGATTCAAATTAAACTTTTTTAAGTTCCAATTAATCCTTTTTAAAATTCAAATTAACCATGTCCAATTTCCAATTAGCTCTTTTTACTTCACGTTGACCATTTTTATTTCAAATTAACCATTCTTTTTTTAATTCAAATGAACCCTTTTTTATTGCAAGTTGATCCCTTTTAACTTTAAATAAACCCTTTCTTTAAAGCATTAAAAAAAGTTAAATTATTATTGATTAATTTTAATCTCAATTAATTTTCATGTAGTATTATAGAACCAATTTTACATATTTTTTCAAATTCTCAAATAAAAAGAAAAATCCTTCATTCTTACATTTAATTTTATATATTTTTTTTATTTTAATTAATTTACATATGGTCTTATAAGAGCCCAATTATTTTATATTTAAAAAAACTATCGCAAATACACAGGTATTTTACTTTACATACTTACATTTTTACACAGTTTTTTTTAAATGCTTTAAAAAAAGTATTAATTTGACGTTAAAAAGGGTTATTGATTACTGACTTCAACTGCACACACGTTTACAGAATTGAACTTCTTGCAATCCGCCGACAGTACGAGCTTTTGTAATGTACAATAAATTACCGGGAGACCTCGAGAATCACCCATCTCGGATGTTGGGTTTGTCCGTCCAGCCACCGAGGTTGGGATCTGGGGGCTATCAGCAGCAGATCATTTCAACCCCCAACGCAATCACTTCCTACAATTAAACTCATTAATTCTCTCACTCTCACTTAAATATATTCTTCATATTTACGTACCATTCACTCAGGGTAGTTGTGTACTTGATATTGCACTTCACTCTTCCCACCTATTATATGACCAACCTAATTTAAGGGACGATGGGGTACTCAATATTCCGTCACCGGCCCTCTCACACTACATATTCACTCTCAACACACGCTAGGTTCACAAAACTATCATTACTATATACAATACACAACCCTGTTTCCTCAAAGAATCAGAACAGGGGACCAAAATACTCGCTGCCGTGCTCAAGCACAATTCTCATATCGGGTGAAATTCCTATGCGCTCTCTATATGGAGCCAAGGAATTGCACCCTTCAATTAGGTGGAACAAATCGAGCGAATTTTCTCTGGCAGGATCCGTGCGGGCTTTGGCCCAAAAGTAAGGGTCCATGTGTCAACCTCGCATGGCCTATTCTTATTCGGGGTGAGGATGACCCTTCTTCTATGAGTCTGGTCCTCCGAGGGGCCTCCTATCGACAGTGCTCTTGATACCCGAAAGACCACCGTCGCTACCTTCTTGTAATCATTTATTTTTTATTGCATTTTTAGCATGAGGGGTACTGATTGCGGTGGTTGTGCTGAGGTTGCCTTAGCCGGTCTTGGCCGCCTTTTCATTACCCTCCCGACGTACGTGTCCAGGTACTCAGATAACAACCACCGTTCGCATACAATTCCGCCGTGTAAATGTTACATAAAGGGTTAAATTTAAGTAAAAAGGGTTAATTTGAAATTAAAAAAGATTAATTTGCAGTTGAAAAGGATTAATTTGAATTAAAAAGGTTAATTTGAAATTAAAAAGGTTATTTTACAGTTAAAAAAAGGTTAAGTTTACAATTTAAAAAGTTAATTCAAAATAAAAAAGGTTAATTTGTAGTTAAAAAAGGTTAATTTGAAATTTAAAAAAAAAGGTTATTTGAAGATAGAAAAGGTTAGTTTGAAGGTAAACACGTTAATTTGAAGTTAGAAAAAGTTAATTTGAAGGGAAAAAAGGACCCATTTGAAATAACAAATGATAAATATTATGTTATAAAAGGTTACTTTTAAATTAAAAAGGAGTTAATTTGAAGTTAAAAAGGGTTAATTTGGAATAAAAAAGTTAATTTGAAATTAAAAAGATTAATTTGAAATTAAAAAGGTTAATTTGAAATTAACAAAAGGTTAAATTTGAATTAATAAAAAGTTAATTTGAAATTATTGGAAGGTTAATTTGCAGTTAAAAAAGGTTAAGCTGACAATTAAAAAAGTTATTTTGAAACCAAAAAAGGTTAAATTGTATTTAAAAAAGGTTAATATGAAATTAAAAAAGTTTATTGGAATTAAAATGGTAATTTCAAGTAAAAATAGTTAATTTGAAATAAAAAAGGTTAATTTGAAGTACAGAAGGTTTGAAGGTAAACACATTAATTTGAATTTAGAAAAAGTTAATTTGAAGATAAAAAAAGGGTTCATTTGAAATTAAAAATGAGTTAATTTGAAGTTAAAGGGGTTAATTAGATTAACAGGGGTTCATTTGAAGTTAAAAAGGTTAATTTAGAATTCAAAAAAAGTTAATTTGCAGTTAAAAATCATTAAGTTGATAATAAAAGAGGTTAATTAGCAATTCAAAATAGTTAATTTGGCCAAAAAAGCTATGTAAACAACAATACCCCTGGTTTCTCTTGTACCAAAAACTTGGTCACAATTCTTATATCAGAAGGTGGCACTCGTACACACTCTCTGGAGCCAAAGAACGACACGCTTCGATTGAATGGGACAAACTGAACAACCTTTCTTGTCACGCCAAGCGCATACACAACCTTTGGGCTCAAAAGCGTGTGTCCTCATGTCAACCACGTACGACCAATTCTAAGTCTGTTTAGCACGATCTGCAAGTCAGCCTCCCCGAGGGCCTCTTGCCTGCAGAAGCTTCTCACATTCAGTCCACAAAGACACACTGAAGATGGCGAAATTACAACGAACAAATTACAAGTAAAATAAGTATAAGTGTCAGATTAATAAACAAGTTTGTATTTAAACATATATAAAAATTCTAGTTCTATATTAAAGTTTTTACTGAGTTTTTTTAACAATTCATTTATTAATTTGAGGGCATTAATTGAGTTGGACAAATAATTAATTTACTTGAAAGAATTTTTATTGAATTGAATTTTTACAGTTTTAGGCAATGAACAATTATCACAATACAAAATATATTAAAATCTAAGTTACTCAACTAAACTAATAAATAATTTATTGTTCAATATTATTGTCAACAAAGCTTTTTTTTATATATATTTATATTGTTACAGTTTTAATTAGTTTTATTGTCCTGTTTAACATTAACATATAAATTAATTTAACAAAAAAGTTTGAATAAATACTGATAAATCAAATAATACAATTAGTTAAATATATATTTATATTGGACAATGACTAATATATAAAATAAATAAGTTTTAAGTAGCAAGGTCCATAAATGTTGTGTAAAGTAGTTTTCACAATTCCCCGGTGTGAACAAAAACATGATAAAGAGATCAGTTGGAACATCAATGGCTGTAACATATTTTTTGTTATGAAAATATCCTGTGTGAATACATAATATGGTAGAGATCAGTTGGAAATATATCGACAACTGTAACGTTTAATAAAAATAAATACAACTTCGTCTCAGAAAATATAATGTCTCAAAATATTTTAAATACTATTGCCCAATAAACCTATTAAGTACAATAATTAATCTATATCTCGTATTACATTACGAAAATTAAGTATATACTTTGTGATCTGACAACAGGTGTACAACCACAATAAACATGTTTTTACTTTATCAACAGAAAATATGATAAATAATCTATGTTATTGTCAGACCTCTTATTTTATTGTCTTTGGACACATTGCACATAGTAATAATAATATAATTTGTATATAAAAATGACTGATTTTGCTATATCTACCAACATTTTAAATTCAAATTTTCATTTGAAAAATATAATTTGTCACATTATATTGTTTGGGGTATATTTCAAGAAACGTTAACTGGTACCGACCAAGGAAAACCATCTCTCTAATTTACGCCTTTATGGTTAATAATATATATAAAACTTATGAGCTTTGGTAGACTAGGATTACAACAAAATTAGTTTTGTGATATGAGTAGTTCCGAGCATTGTAACGGGATGTTATCAATCACAAAACTACAGCAAACAGAAACAAAATGTCGGCCGAATAATTTCCTGCTCACAAAACCTATAAGTACATTTCTTTATACAAAATATGTTTCAAGACGATTTAACAAATTATTCTAGATTATATAAATAATTATACTTACATCAATTATTGTCTTAAAATTCATTTTATCGTACAACCCCAAATTTGCCTAATGACAACTAAGGAAATATATATATATCTCCACACCAATGAAAAAATAACACAATAATAATAATAATAATACAACTTTCATTCTAGAAGTAATTATTCTAGAATTTAAAACAAATGTAATAAATTAGTGCGTTGTAAGAGATATTTTGATGAATCGTAAATTTGTATTTTTACAAGAAATAAATACACATATTACCTGTATTTGCAAAATTTTTGTTTCGAGTGCCAATCTTAAAATAAAACTTTGCAAAATATACAAGACCCTGTAAAACCTCTAACTTTTGTTTATGAACAGTAAAGAATAATAGATCGTACCCTGTTCATATAAAAACAAACCTAATTTCAAGGTTGAAAGGAGTGGTGAAAAATTAAAAAATATATTAACATGATTTTAAATAGAGGTAATTCTGGTAAAAGTACTATTCAAATTAAATTGTATAAATAAAACATTAAGAAGAAGGTATAATAAAAACACTTATGTTCGATTTGTATAAGGTTTTGCACCATGAAAAGCTCTCTCTCGAGTAACATTGATTAAAGGATGTATTGCAGCAATGGACAAAAACAGCCCTTACAAATAACATTAAAAAAAATTCAACTTTTTACTACTATTGTTTTGTACTTACTTACTACATTCTACAAATTATCAAATTAAAACTTAATCAAAATCAAATAATACTAGTGCAAAATAACTATTTGGAAAAGAAAATTTTTAAAGATAAATATCCAACGCTACACCAAAATAATTCACATAAATATAAATTAAAAGCTCTAACACTTATCAACTAAAACAAACAAAAAACGATCCTTTTTAAGCAGAAATCAACTTTGATTTGGTAGAATATTCAACAAATATATCGTTTAATAACCTGAACTGTAGCAGCATTTATCTGCAATATATTAAACTAAAAACAGAATATAAAATGAATAATTATCACATTTGGATATTTAAATGGGTACATTTTTTTTTATTATGTTAAAAACATGTTAATTAAGATGACAAAGGCTAAAAACGTAAAAAAATACGTTAAATATTGCCCATAACATCCTTCAATAACTTTGAATTTTTAAAAAACCATTCTGTCTTACTTTTTCACTTCGATTTATTGCACATACATAACTCACTCCTATAAAGAATATAATAAAATGTTTTATTTAAATCCAAATGGAAGCAAAACCAACAAAAACAAAAAATTAAGGGAAAAATAGTTACTTGCTTAAGTACAATATAAATAAGGCTGTCAACTGTTTGTCAATATGATCATCTCCAAAATGACATGCCAGCAAAATTTAATTATTTTGTTCATTCACAAAATCAATGCTTTCCATTTTAAGAATAAATGGAATAATGTTATCTATATCACATTGATCGCCAAGGCCTGGGAAAAATATCTGTTCCATGATATGCCGGTTCAAAGCTCTTAATGGAGGCAAACGGAGAAGTAATCTTGCAAATCTGTTAGAATTGACATCGCCTATTTGTTCTCTGAGTTCTTGAAAAGCTTTCTCTTGCAATTCTGACAACTGTCGCCTTATGTGTAAACTGGGGTTGTCTGTAATTTTTAAAAAAAAAAAAATCAAGACAATTGCATTGAAATAGTTTATTTGTATTTTTTCCTCTCTACTAATTAGTTGGGGTTAGGAATGGGTTAGGTTATGTTGTATTAAGTAGGGTTAGAGTTAAGATTAGATTAACATTATAAAAAAATATTAGCGTTTATTAGAAAAGTTGATTATGGATATTTAGATCCATGATTCATATATCAAAACAAGGGTACAATTGATTAGAATAGTTTATTTGTATTTCTTCCTCAAGTAGGTTTCAAATATGAGTCATTAAACTCAAACTCGATTTTGGATGTAAGCAACAAATTCCAATTTTAACAACAACAAAAATAACGATATGCACATTTGCATTGGCACATTAAATTATTAACTTTTTTTTTGGTGTTTCTTCAAGGTCAAAAAATGTAAGACTTTCTTGCCAATGAGAAAAATGTGATTCAAATTTGCTAATTATTATTTCTTATTTTCCTTTGTGGTGGGCAAAATGGAAGGTGTAGTTATTATTTTAAGTGACCTTTTATCACCTACTGTGCCTTTTTTTTACTATAAACTAACATCATTTAAATTAACATAAACAAAAATATATGAACTTTTTAAATATTTTAGGGAAGGTTGGGTTAGGGACGTGTTAGGTTAGGTTGGGTTGTATTAGGAAGAATTAGAGTTAGTATGGGTTAGTATTAGGTTAAATTGTATTAGGTAGAGTTAGATTAGGTTATATTAGTTAGGGTTAAGATTGGGCTAGGCTGTAGTGCATCAGGTTAGGTTAGGTTGTATTAAGAGAGTTTAGAGTAAGATTAGGTTGTATTCAGTAAGCTTGAGGTAGGTTAAGTTATATTAAGTAAGGTTAAGATTAGATTAGGTTGTATTAAGTAGAGTTAGGGTTAGGGTTAGAGTTATGTTGTATTAGGTAGGGTTAGAGTTAGGTTTGGTTAGAGTTAGAGATGAGTTAGATCATATATCCATGATTCAATGTTTTCTCATGAAGTGGAAAAAATATTCTTGTGTGCAAAGTGTATCGCCCAAGGCAACTTATTACATCTTAAAATACAAATTATGTGAGATGTGTTGGAGACTATCAAACTACAAATAATTGTAGTAATTTGATCATCCCACAGTCTGACTATTATGTCAAGCATGAAAACGACGCCTTCATGGGCCATGAACAACCTTAAATATTAACAATAATTATGTAATTTTTTTTTTTTTTTTTTTTTTTTTTTTACCTGGGCTGAATAGAGCAATTAATTTCAAATAAGCATATTCGTGATCGTCCACATTTAGAGCAACCATAGAGCCAACAAAATCTTGAAGTGAAAATATATGTTCGGTAACCTGAAAAACAAGCAATAAATTAATCTTTTTTTTTTTTTTTTTTTTTTTAATTACAACATTATTTTAATTCATCTTCTCATTAAAGATATTAAATATATTAGACATTCATGGTTTAATGGTTCTAAATTGATCACAAAAAATAGTAACGAAAATAATCTGTTGAAAAACTGTATGCTAAATACTTCATTAATTATAATTTTCAAAAATATATGCACATACATAGATGGTTTATTAATTAATACTCACTGCCTTTACTTTGGAAGAAGAAATTTTCTGTTGTGCTACAGAACTTTGGAGATGATTGATGATAGATAAAATAATCGTAGGAAGAGCTAAGACTTGGGCACACTGAGAGAGTCCCAACGTAAACAGTTCACTCCAGCACCCTTTGATGAGTGATACTTGCGTATCCATGCTGTAATCAGTAATATATATTGTAATTAAAATAAAAGAATCTAATCATAGGCTAAATAGCATACTTCAAAATTTGGAATGCGGGTACATTTCGCACCCAATGCACTGAGAGAAAAAGTAGTCTTGATGCACTTTCATAAATGTAATGTACATCAGTGTAAGCAGGCATTGGCGATGGGCTTTGAATTTGGAAAATGAATGCGTTATCATCTAGTAGCCGTCCATCAAATTGTAAATTTTCCATTTCTTCATCGTCGGAGTTCCCAAAGTTACCGTTCATGCCCTATTTACAAAAATTAAAATCAATAAAAAAATAACTATAAATAAAACCATACCGATCTACACTAACGAATACAAACCAATTTAGTAGCTATTTCCATTGCTGAGTTTATCATTGACTTGCTATCTTGTCCAGGTCCTATTGATTCAATCAAATCACTATCAGAAGACTCATCATAGTTACTATAGTCGTAATTTCCAATAATGTTTGATGATTCCTGTTTAATATACCCATCTGGAAAAGAATTTCAGATATGGCATTTTATCATTTTGTATATAAAGATACATAATACAAACATATATTTGTTTATACATACCTGAATATAAATTGTATGGTAAAGAATTGTAAACTCCATAATTTGATTGACCGATATTGGAAGGCTGTGTTAAAGATTTCTTTAATAAGTGTATTTGTTGTTTAATACTACAATGCTATTAACTCTATTTTACTTACATAAAATGGACTGCTATGGTTGGGAAATTCTTTTTTAACAGAAATGGGCTTCCTCTCATGTTGAACAGCTGAAAATGATGAAATTATATTATCATAGATGATTATTTGATTTTATTTAAAACAGCTGTCAAACTTACAATCACTTCGCATTCCCATAGTGAGGCATTTTTGAAGTCGGCAGTATTGGCATCGATTTCTATGATGTTTTGTTACTTCACACTGCTGGTTGCCCCTGCATTGATAGCCTAATCTTTTCCGTATGCTTCTTTTGAAGAACCCTTTACACCCTTCACAACTTATTGCACCATAATGTCTCCCTAAAAATTAACAATAAAGCCCTCGCATTATTTATATTTAAAAGTTGTTCCACTGGTGTTACAGTCACATTTAAATACGCACCAGAAGCTCTGTCACCGCACACGACGCAAATCTCCACTCCTAGGCAGAGTGAGTGAATTTTATCAGAATTTGCATTCATGATCCCACTGGATTCAGCATGTTTTTCCATATTCACGCGTAATCCGAATAGACTAGCCTTTCTAAAAACCAAATGCATACAGCCATATATTATGATGTTAAGCAATTAAAAATAATAATAAATAAAAATAAAATTATTACATTCCCCTCAAAAGTATTAAAAAAATTGAAATATCAGTTTTGCACTTTTAATTAAGGGTGGGCTCTGCAAGTTGGTCTTGGGTCCTTTTGGGTGTTCAGGGGGGGAGGTGATTAAACTTCTGGGTATAAAATTGCGTGATGGATGTGGTCTACAGAGAGAACACATTTATCAGGCGTCTTCTTGAAAGAAGGATAAAGGCAGAATAGCTAAAGGTCTGGTTGTCCGCCTGTAGTTGACTTCAATTAATGGTATTATTTATTACTAAGATTTTAAGACTATGGCAACAAGCTAAGCCAAAAATAAACATGAAAGATTCTTTTTTCAGTTTTTAAAATCAAAGAAAACAGGAAGCATTCTCTGTATAATTTAGGGGCTTATGAAGATTGTTATCAGTTTGAGGCAATCTGCTCAGTTTTACGTGAATTTAAAGAGAATATTTCTACAAAAATATATTTTAGATTCATTAGTATAGTTTTCAACTTATCATTTTAACATTTGCTACTTATTAAAGTAATTTCAATTAATTAATTTTAATGTTGGCTGTAATTAATTACTTATCTACTTATCTCTTATCTTCTAAACCATTTTAGAAATTTATGCCAATTACAGACTAAACTCACCAATTCTCTCATACCTAAACTGTAGCATACTAAGCGTATTTATGTTTTTTTTTAAATAAACCGCATATAATAAAGACATACTTTCATTCCTATTTTCACACCACTCCAGTAGTGGCATTGGACCACTTGACAATCTTCACCTTGTCACTAAGTATGTAATGAAAAAAAGTCAGTCTTTTACAAGCTTAATATTTCACCATCAAACTTTACGGCTCTAAACGTGGACCAAGATGTGCATGGATGATTTTTTTTTTTTTTGAGATCTTTGGAAAGAAAAGTGCTCTGAAAGATTTTTGGTGCAGTTTGAACGGATGGTCGTGGGCAAATCATACAAACAGGGAGTTGAAAGTTTTCAACCAGAAACCAAATATTGTGGATGAAATAAAAGCGAACCACCTCAGGTGGGTTGGCCATGTAGAAAGGAAAATGTAAATGCATGTAAACAGTAAGCAAATCTCAGCCAACGAAAGACAACCAACCACTTTGTTGGTCATGATTTGCTCAGAGTGTACGGAAGGCGAAATCAGAGCCAACGAAACGCTTGGCTGTGGTCAAGGTTTGGACTTCTGGTGGTAACTTTAAAAGTGTTGAATTGTTGACTGTAATTTCACATGGTCGAATCCCTTGGTCCCAACCTATTGGTTTGATAAGGATAAGCCAAGCATAGACAATGTGATGGCGACAAAAGTTCAACCTGATATTGTTTGTCTTTCATTGGTCAAAATTTGCTTAGTGTATACGCACCTTGAAGACAGTAAGTCAGGTAAGTCAGGTGGTAGTTCTATGTGGAAGAAATGGAAAGTTGGACAACGAGGACAACGTCAGAAAAATGCAGATCGGACGATGGAGGAGACATAAGAACAGAATAGACGAGGCCAGCATTGTAGAGGAGGCCAGGGCCCTTCAAGGGCTGTAGTAAAGGAGTGGTAGTAGTAGTAGTATTAAATAAGTGAGGGTATGAATGGGTTTGGTTTTAGAAAATGAGTGCATTGAGGACTGAATTTATATAGCTGTTGATAGCCCCTGGAGGCCGACCTAGGAGGCTAGACGATTAAGACGTGTAGACCAACAACCTGAGGTGAGTAATTCTTAAGGCCTGCCAGTAATTTATTGTAAATTACAAAAGCTGGAGTTGTCAGTGGACACGAAAAGTATTAGGCTCATCTGTACATGCATGAGCAGATTTGTCCATATAAAAATCAGTAATTATTAACACCTACTGAAGGCACTAAAATGCCATGTTTAACAGGAGTGTCAATGATTGCAAAATAATATGTCTGTGAATAAAAATTACGCACTGGTATGATACCACCTGCTACATTGATTCCAACCTGTTGAATGTTGATATAGATTAATCCATATTTGCTTAGTGGGGATCCATCAATTATCTCAACCCAATCATTAATCAATTATCTCAACCAAAAAATTCAGATAAAAAAATAATTAATTGGAATATAGATTAATGTTGTGCGATAAATTGCGAGTAATTGAACAATAGCAGACATTTATTTGATATTTTTAATTAATCATTCGCAAAGGGTTTGAAAAATATGAAAAAACCATAGAACATATGCTTAATTTTAATTGTCAAATACGGATTATAAGAAGAGAAGGGGATGGATTAAAATCGAAAAAACGAAAGAGAAGGACTTTCAAAACATTTAAATACCTTTAATAATGAATAATAATAAAGTAAAATACGACAAATTTTGCCCAATTTAGAAACAGATGTCGGGTGACAAGTGAGGGCAGAATAACTGGTTTTGCCATGGAAAGTCCCCCGGGGCTTGACAAATCTGTCAAGTAGGAGGGTTGGAAATGGATAAATTGAGAAATCGTTTTAAAAATTGAAATCGTCCTTTTTTTAAAGGAACTTTTTTTCTACTCACGTGAGGTTGAAATTCAAGCGAGGCGAATTTCCTGCAGGTTTACGCAGCGAGTCCGTCTGTCCATTGTCGCGGGTCCGGGTCCAGCCGTCCTCGCCCGCAGTTCCACTTTCCGAAATTAAAAAGAAAATCGAAAACTTTTCGGGAAAAAAAACTTAAAAACAAACCCGAACCAAAATCTTACGGCAAACGAATTGAAAAAGAAAACAAGAAGAGAGAGGAACTGTGGAGAAACGGAGGTTCTAAACCTGTTTTCCGGCCCATTAGGGCTGCCAACCTTCAACGAAAGTCTCGATCGGCGTCCATTTTAAATTTAAATTTAAATTCCAAAAATCAACCACTTAAAAAAACACTTTAAAAACTCAATAAAATAAAAACTAAACAAAAGTATATTCCTTATTCTCTCTTCTTTTCAAAATATAAAAGTTCCTTCGTGACGGTTGCCCCTCCACATCCAGCCCCGAATTTTCTCAGCAATAAAAATTAATCAAGTAAAAAAACTGTATTCAACTAATTTAAAAAATAACTATGAACGCCGAAATAATAAAAAACATTAAATGACAAAAATGCACTATTTTTCTCTATTTTAGAAATTACCGTAACTCTTTGCAAAAATCTTCAATCTAAATAATAATAAGAAGAAAGTGTTAGTGTTGGTTGCGTCAGACAGCCAGGCAATAAAGGCAACTACCTCATCGGTAGACATTGAGCCAAACAGCAAAGTTACCCTTGTTTGAGTACCAGAGCATAAATGAAAAGAGAGCAATGAGGAAGGAATGTTCAGTACCTATTGGCCCTAAACTTTTTTGCAGCATACCAAATTTCCAAAAAAGTAAATCTATCAAAAATAAGTGTTCAATGGAAAACTCCAGGACAGAGACATGCGAAAAATTTCATCGCAGAAACTAACATCAGGGCTCCTAAATCTTGGGCGTGTTAGAACTAAAATAATAGTTGGACTACTAACTGGACACTGCAGACTCCGGAGGTATATAGAAATCGGAATGGCAAGAACAAAATATGCAGTTATTGCCAGGAAGAAAAACAAAAAAACAAAAAAAACAGAAACATGGCCTTTGTGTGATGACAGGAGTAATTGAAAAGGCTTTGAAATCTGGTAGAAGTAAGAACTGCAACTTTTAAAACTACCTCGAATCTATTAAAAATTGTTGTCATCAAGATTAAAATAAAGTGGCAGTGTCGGTGGGCTGGGTTGGCAACGAAACTTTCATGTATCAAGGGCCCGGTCGATAGATTGATAGGATAGGCCATGCAAGGTTGATACACTAACTTTTGGGTCAAAAAAAATTTGGGCCTGCCATGCAGAAAAAGGTTGTTCAATGAAACCCACTTAATTGTCACTCCTTGATTCTACATAGGAAGTGCTTAGTAATGTCACCCGGTAAAAGAATCTGGGTCCCCTGTTCCGATTTTTAGAGTAAACAGGACTGATTTACTGTATATAGTACTGTATAGATCCTTCATCTTGTGCTTCTTTGAATATTGAGACTTGAATGTATCTATTAGTGCGAATGTGTAGGTGAAAGTGCCGATGGTGAAATAATGTGTGCCAGTTAACCCTTAAGATTAGTGAGTTAAAAGATAGGGTACTATCTAACTTAATAGTAGAGGGTAATGAAGGAATATCTAGTACTACATCATCCTGAGTGAATGTTATGTAAATAGGAAAGAATGTATTAAAGAGTGCGAATGGGTTTCGATTTAGGAATTGATTGCAAAAGAGAGAAAGATACACACCCCTAGAAGTAAACTGGGGACCTGCCACTGACTAAAGTGGGACTGCTGGCCACTGAACGGGTTGGTCGCAGGCTGCTTCTATGTTTTTCCCATCATATGACAGATGTGACTTTCACAAGGGAAAAAATTCTGACATAACAGTCAAGTATGTAAAATTTCATACCAAGACCACTGGGTTATTCTGTTTGTTTTGGGTTGTTTTGCAAAACGGAACAATAATTTTTTCATTATGTCTGAAATTGTATGTTGATGATGTAAGTACCTCATTAAATCTAACATAAGTTAGTTTTGATTTGATGAGTTTCAAAATGCACAAAATGTAGATCTAGCTACTGTCTCTAACCTAAGTTTTATAAAGAAAAGTGAGGAGTGTTCCCTAGAAGAAGTACTAAATATAAATCCTCTTTTTTGTCATTTTAAAATTTTTGGAAGGACAGATTTTAGAGTTTTACTGACATAAAATTAATAACATCATTTTTGTTCTTTTTATCACACAAGCTGTAACATAGATTTGCATTTTTACTTGCATTCACAGCCAGAGAGTTAGCATAAAAATTATCATAAATAAAATCTAAAACACACTTAAGACTAGTATAGCCCTCTATTTATTACAAAATTAGAATCATCAGCTAATTGTAAAATGGTAACATTCCTATAGGCATCATAAGTACACACTGGTCATTGGTACAAATAATTAAAACTATAGGTCCTATTATTGAACCCTGTGGAATACCTTGACTAAATTTCAAACAACTAGAACTAAGTATGTGCACAGACAACTAAAAATTAGTGCATTCTTCCTATATCAAAAAAAAAATTACAAAGGATACAATGGTACTTTTATTACTTCAGATTGATATGGACTAGTACAGCAATATAATTAAAAAACTAGAATTGATTATTAAAATTTTTATAATAACAGATTGTGGTCGACTCTGTCAAATGCTTGAAAAGATTTCCATTGAAGTCGGTAGTATCCCAATTGCAGATGAAGCAGATGTCTGAAAAGATTTTAATTTTTGCATCAGTCAAAAGGAAACTTAGCCTTGTTCTATTGTGTGCAATCATGATTTGAGGTTTGAAAATTCTGTGCGAAAGGTTCTACGAGAGATATCAAAAAGAGATTTCAACAGCAGTTTGTATGACTGGTGAGGTTTGTTTTCTCTGAGGGTTTTGCAAGTTTTTCACTCTTTTTTGAAAATAAAGCAATATTGTCAGCACAGAGTATCTTTAGAAGAATGTGTTCAGCACCTGTTCCAGTACATTAATAATGATAAATACAAAAAAGAATGGGACTCAACACACCACCCTGAGACACCATTTTCCTGGGTATACTCCTCTGATTAAATATTGCCGTATTTAATCCGAAAGGTTCTAAGATTCCTGAAATTACAGATATGTAACTTGGAGAAACTGGATACCTGCTAAAACTGGTTGATAAGTCGGGTTAATCTCTTATGTGCAGCTATTGTCAGAGTCATGATTTATTCAATCAATCAATTTACTCATGACTAATTCAATCATGATTAAACTTCAATCAAAATTCTTAATCAAGATTGAATTAGTTAGATTTTGCCCAACTCTGGCTACGATGACCAACTTACCAAAATCCAACAGACTCGGGATAAAAATTTGAAATCGATCCACTCGGACACCAACTTCCCACCTCAACCCACCTTTTGAGATTTCCCTCCTTTTTGCCATTTTTCAAATGTCGTGTAATCGGACTGGATTCTCGGCGACAAATGAATTGGCCACGGAGAGCTTTAGTGAAAAATGGCAAAGAGGAGGGAAAACTCAAAAGGTGGGGTTGAGATGGGAAGTTAGTGTCCAAGTGGTTCAAGGTCACGATAGCTCAAGTGGTACAGCAGCGACGTATCTAGCCGAAGATCGTGGGTAAGAATCCCGCTCGTGCCATTGGCTTTTTTATCTCAACTAAAAACCTTAATTAATTGTAATATATTAATTGGTCAAACGGGCCACGAAATTAGTGAAGTTAATTTGAGTTTCGAAAATTTCTGGTGAAAGGCGGGCTCAGCTTATCAATTCCCCCTCCGTTTCTACGATAGATTTCCGTTGGAGTTGGTATGACTGGTGAGGTTTGTTTTCTCTGAGGGTTTTCGTATGTTTTTCACTCTTTTTCGAAGATCGGGTGAAAAAAGAATCCCGCATTGAAAACCGGGGCGTTCGAGGGGGGCCCATCGCTTCATTTATGTTCAGTGTATCTTCAGAGGTCGTCTTCAAAGCCGTACTCCACTTCGGCCCTTTCTAAAAATAAATAACGATTTTTGTTGGAAACCCTTTTCGCCGGCCGAGATGGAAGCCCTGATACCCGTGATCAACAAACTTCAAGACGTCTTTAACACAGTCGGAGCGGACGCGATTCAACTGCCGCAGATCACCGTCGTCGGGACGCAGGTGAGAAGGGAAAAAAGAAAATTTTCTCACCTCGGCCCGACGGTCTTTTGAATTTATCCATTTTACAGAGTTCTGGGAAGAGCTCGGTGATCGAGAGCCTTGTCGGGAGGTCGTTCCTGCCGAGAGGTACCGGGATTGTCACCAGGACTCCGCTCATCCTACAGCTCAACTATTGCCCCAAAGATGACAAAGAGAAGAGGTCACAGGAAGAAGGTACCAAAAAATAGATTTTCAACATTCTGCAGTTTTTTTTTCCGCCTCCTTCAATCGTAACCGGGTTCCTTTTTTCCCCCCCGAGGTGAACCCCTTATCAATCGCCGTGACGGGTGAAATGCAGATCTTTCAGCCGTATCTACATCCCCTATTGCATGACAATTACAACAGAAACGAAGATAATGCGATTGAACGCGAATTTAATTTAACTTCTTTTTTTTTCCGTTTGTCAAAACCTTTTTGGTTTGTTTTTTGTAGTGTCTGCCATCCGCCACCAAACCCAGTCAAGTCGATAAGTTTGATCATTAATAAGATCATTGAACGTAAGACTTCTCGTGACTGCGAGAATCGCCTACCCAGGGTCAGACTTGGTCTTATCAGTCCCTGTGCTGGACTTAGGCTTTTAAGCACTGTCAACTGGTCATGTTAACCCTCAATGCATCATTCCCCTTCCAGCACTGGCTTTTGTCTTGTACTGGGTTGTGACACATTCGATATTTAAGCTTCCTCATTGATTGTTAATAGATTTATCCCAATAAATTTGTTGTACTTGTCAATTTGGGAACACAGCTTCCTTGTATTTCATTATCATCATTGCGAGGTGTGTGTGCCATCGGTCGCCAAACCTGGTTAAGTCTATCAAATCAAGAATCTGATTACTGATTTATGTAAGCTCAATTCAGCACATGTTTATACCATACATAAACACTTGATCGCAATTGAACCTATGCCTTCTTACAACCTGGTTTTGTGGTCAGACCTTGATTTCATCTGTCGCTGTGCTGTAGTTTAGGCTCTAAAAGCTGTCAACAGGTCATTTCAGCCCCCTACCTACACTGGCTTTTGTCTTGTACTGGGTCGTGACATATTCAGATATTTAAAGCTTCCTCATTAATTGTTAAGTAGATTTATACAAATAAATTTGTTGTACTTGTCAATTTGGAAATACAGCTTCCTTGTATTTCATCATCATCATCATCGTGAGGTGTATGTGCCATCGGTCGTCAAACCTGGTTAAGTCTTATCAAGTCAAGAATCTGATTACTGATTTATATAAGCTCAATTCAGCACATGTTTGTACCGTACATAGACACTTGTTCACAATCCAACCTATACCTTCTTAAAACCTAGTTTTGTGTAATTTACAATAAAATCTGGCAGGCTGGGAGAATCTCCTACTTCATGTTTCGAAGGTCATACCTCGGTCTTATCCCTCCCTATACTAAACTTAACTGTCAACAGGTCATTTCAGCCTCAATGCATCATTCCCCTTCCAACACTGGCTCCTGTCATGTACTGGGTTGTTACATATTCAGAAGTTTCCACACTTTAAAACTAATTGTTAAGTTGTTTTACACCAATAAATTTGTTGCACTTGCCAATTTGGAAATACGTGTCTTCGTATTTCATCATCATCATCATGAGGTGTGTGTGCCTTCGGCCATCAAACCTGGTTAAGTCTATCAAGCCAAGAATCTGGTTACTGATTTATGTATGCACAGTTCTGCATAGACACTCGTTCATAATTGAAATTTGCTTTTGGGTAATTTACAATTAATTAATAATCACCTACGTTAAGTATGCAAGGTCAGACCAAGGGTCTTATGGTCCCTGTGCTAAAGTTTAGACTCTAGGCACTGTCAACAAGTCTTTTCAGCCCACAACGCAACATCCACCTACACTGGCATCTTTCTGTTACTCATTGTGAAATATTCACATATGTAAATTTCCTCACTTTAAAACCAATTTTTAAATTTATTTGTACTAATAAATTTGTTGTACTTTCCAGTTTGGAAATAGGGCTTCCTATTCTCATACCATCACTATCGTTTCTGATCATTAGGCTTCCATTACTACCATTCCACAGTACAAGCCCCTTGTGGACAATATTGTTTTAGTTGAACTTGTAATGTCTGGTTGTTTTCCTGGACATATTTCAAGTCCCAGGATGACCAATAAAAGCCTGTCACTCAGTGGAGACATGAGTGTGAAAAAAATAGTTGCCTAATAAAATAAAAAAGTTGGCTACCAGTAGTTTCATTTGTAAGAAGTAAGGACAACAATAAATTTTTAAAAAAATTAACCCACATCTAGTGATCTTAACTCACACTGAACACCTCCATATCCATCCTGATCACTTACTCTGGACCAATCTGGCTGAATTCTACACTTTGTCCCTGTCCTTCTCCTCAGGCCTGACGGACTCGACTTGTCTGCCATTGTTGCCCTCTTATTGCTCCACTCCTTTTCCTCTCTGCTGGCACTCCACACCACTTCATTTTAACCTTCATCCTTGAATTTGACCAACTTTGGTCCTGGCTTGGGCTGCTTTCTATTCCCTGGCCTTTCCTCTCTCCAGGGTAAGCATGATACCTTTCAATGCTGGGGAGATCTAAATATTTTAACCTTTTTTTTTTGTAATGAAAAAAAGGGGGTATAATTATAAACGGTGGTGTTTCTCAAGGAAGTATACTGGCCACCCTTTATGCTGCACTGCTGGCCTTTGTTGCTTTAATTCACCATTGATAGTCCTGAATTCTGTGACATTTTTTATAACCCCTGGACTATCTAATGCAATCTTGGGTGCCAGGGCATAAAGGAATTCTGGATAAAAAATAAGCTGACAAACCGGCCAGAGGAAGATCTGCAAGACCATATATAAGCCCTGAACCATGGCATAACAAGGACAAATACAGAATTCTCCATCTCAGAATGGGTCCACAAAAACAAATAGAAAACTAACTCCAGAAGCGTAGTAAACTCACGATTAAAGTACCCTCACCAAAACTGAAAATTGGTACAGTTAGACAGGGTAGTGATAAACTTAACTAACTCAGGGTAGTGATAAAGCTATATAGGTAACTGGAGCCTGAGGAAAAAACCTACACTAAATAGTTATATTCAATGTTGACTCTGTAGGGTAAGCAATGAGGAGGAAGAAACTGCCCATATTGTCAACTTAATGAATATATAACCTGTGGTACCAAGAAAACCCAGAAAAAAGAATTAAAGCAATCCGGTGTGATAGCACTATGCAAAACATTTTGTTGAAATTGTACCCTTTTTCTTTTTCAGTTTAATAAAAGGGCCAAATGTTGAAAAATGTATGATTTGTATAATAAACCTGAATTGAACTGAACTATGGGGGTGCGATTCAGTAGGTTGTAAATAAAGTTTTTTTTTTAAATTTTTTATTAGTCATTCACGTTATCTTGAATTTCTATATAATATGGCCATTGATTGCCATGTTACTCATTATAGCCTTTTAAAAAAATCAAATAAAGTTTTTTTTCTCAATGTGATTCAAAAGAATAATAAATGACTAATTAATCTAACATTTATTCTCTTTCATTTTTACTACACTACTATTTTTTTTTTTTTTTACGCTATTATTTATTTTTTTACTACTATTACAAGCTCATAATTCTTGCTTTCGTTTTCAAATCTCTTTCGTTGTATGTGTCCACTTTTGCATATATGGGCCCTCCACATCTCTACCTGAGAGGTGCCTTGATAAGGTACGTTGTCGTACATAGAGTCGGAGAGGTTCATCAACCTGTGCTCGACCTTATATTATGGTATGCAGCCATGCAGGCTACCTCAAAAAACCAAGCTTGCAGAAGCTCAACAGGCCTTCGAGTAGTCTCCGGCACGTTTACAACAGCCTGTGCGGCTAGGGGTGCTGCCGCCCAAACTTCCGAGAGAGCATCTTACCCTCAGCTATGCAGCGGGGTTCCTTCTAAACCTGGACATCCGCTTTTGGGTGCAATCCTTAGATTTGAACTTGTGTAAATAAGTTATCAGTTATTTTTGTAATACTCTTTTCCGCTTTCTATCAGTCTGTCTCACTTTCTCCCTCTTTTAGCATAATTTATGGTAGGTCAGCGATGGGTTTTATTTTTTAATTATGGGGTCCCTAGTGATTTACACAACCCCCAATTGTAACCTAACTAGATCTATTGTGAATTTGTCAGTTCATTGACAGTCAGTTGGCTGGAAGTCTTAGGGTTGACCTCAGTCTAGTTTGTCTTGTTCACCGAAGCTTCCTGGCTATCAACAGCCTGGTCATTTCAGCCCCTAATGCATGAATTTTTGACATTTTAATTTGTATTTTCTAAACTAGGGATAGAAGGTTTATTGTTAAGAGCCCCAACACTAAAGTACTGGCTGAAGAACACTGTTGAAAATGAGTATCTATTACAACAGTAAAATTTATCTTCACTAGCTTGCAGCACCAATACAAAATTTGGTTGATGGAAAAAAATGAAAGACGTATTGATGGTAATTTTTACCCTTGGGGAGGGGGGTAAATAGCAAAAATACATATAAAATATAGTAAAATATTTTCTTCTGATAAGAAGCAGGTCGAAAATTCTTTTTAAAAACTTCTGATTCGAGACTTTATTGGTTTTAAAATATTCGTGTCTGCCTAGGCTCTATAGTAAAGATCTCTAAAAAGGTCTGTGAGTATGGAAGGTGTGGAATTATTGTCTCGTAATTTTCTCATCATATGGATTATCCTGAAAGAGCTATAGGTCATATCGATTGTCTATGCGTGGATAAAAATCAAGTTTTGAATAACACCAAAAAGGCTCAGTAGTTCTCAATATAAAGGAAACATACAAGTAGAAAACAATAGCACAACCCTGTTTCCCCATATCCCTTCAATCAAATGGGACACATTGAGCAACCTTTCTCTACATACCGGACGCATATACAGGCTTTGGCCGAGTAGGTTTCTGTGGTGACTTCACAAGCCCTATTCTTAATCACATGAGGACATCATGACACATCACTCTTCTACCATTCAGATCCTCTGAGGCCAACCATTGATCGCATTACCCTGCTGATCTTATTCACCAACTCTGCTCTTTCCTTTTGATCATATTTTTTATTGCTTTTTGTCGAGTCAGATGGCCTCGTTGTTACCCTCCAGACCTATGTGACCAGGGGACTCACTGTATATAAAAAATTGTAAGACCTTATATAGATGGTATGGATAATTTTTACCCTTGTTTGGGGGGGGGGTATTAGAAATATTTTTTTAAAAATAGTGGAATAATCTCTTCTGATGAGGAGCAAGGTCAAAAAAAAAATTTTTTTTTTAAATCACTATTTTTGGGAAGTTGCAAGAAAAGTCAACTCTTATTTGAGACTTTATTTGTTTTTTGTTTTATTTTATTTTTTTATTGCCTGCCTCTGTTGGGAAAAACTCTGAAAAGTTGCTAGTCTGTTTCTAACAGGTCTGGAGAGTATTGATGATGTGAAATTTTTTCCTTGTAATTTTTTCGGCATATGGATTATTATTGACAGGCTGTCAATCAAATTGGGTGTAGATATGTTTGTTGATCGACCTGCAGATAATCTATGTGGGGTTTTAATCTTCATGGAGGTCAGTAGATAGGTGAAGAAAGGAAAAGGCTAATTGTTGGGTTCACCAAGCTTTTGACAACTTACAGTGCCATCATCAGGGCCTATTTACTAAAAATTAAAAAAATATAAAAATAAATAATATACAATTAACAAAATAAAATAATGTACATACTTCCCCAAGAGTGCAGAAAACTATCAACATGGTAAAACTATAGTAGACGTCTTGGGTTTAAGGCCACATGGCCAGCTTAAATAATAATAATAATTAAATTACATTAAACATGGTGATCTATATAAAATTATAAATAATTATTAATATACACTATTTAAATTAACAGAAACAATAATTTATAATAAAATTTAACAGTAAATTAAATCTTCTGACCTCCATGAAGATTGAAACTCCATATACTAATTGGGTGATTTATTTAATTAGTTCAGCCTGCCGAGTTCCACATTATTTTCCTTTTGGATAAAAGTATGTATGTATTTCACTGTCAGGTTTTGGAAGAAATACAACCATTGCAACTTGGTCAAATAATGAAATTTCTTAATGAATAGGGAATAAATAGCTTTTAAAGGGTACAGTGTGATAATACCCTGAAATTATGGTCAAAATTGATTGAAACTAAAAAAATTCTAACTACAGAAAAAATCTTATGTACTAATAAAAATATTAACTTTAAGGTACTTTAAATGTGGATGAATGGGCTGTGTTCCTGCACAAGAAATCGAAAGTGTATACTGATTTTGAAGAAGTGAGGACAGAGATCGAGGCCGAAACCAGCAGAATGGCTGGGCATAACAAAGGAATATGCTCTGAACCTATTGTACTTAAAATTTATTCACCAACTGTGTTAAACCTAACCCTTGTAGACCTTCCGGGCTTAACAAAGGTAACTGGTTTTATAATGCTGTTATGTTTTCGACAGTAAAGTTATTTTTGAATTAGGTTCCTGTTGGAGATCAGCCGGAAGATATAGAAAATCAAATTAGGAAATTAGTCTTGCACTATATTGGCAATCCAAATTCGATTATTTTGGCTGTTGTCACTGCAAACACTGACATGGCGACCAGTGAGAGCTTAAAAATTTCCAAAGATGTAGACCCAGAAGGTCGACGAACTTTAGCTGTCGTTACAAAATTAGATTTAATGGATGCAGGTTTGTCCAATTGATTTGTAAAACGACTAGAAATTGAATTTATTTATTTTTACTTTTTAAAGGTACTGATGCTATTGATATATTGTGCGGAAGGGTTATCCCAGTGAAACTGGGAATTATTGGTGTTGTCAACAGATCGCAACAAGATATTATGGATAAAAAGGTTGTTTGGAGAAATAATTAAAGTTAGCAATGTCAATATATTTGGGTCCATATTTTATTGTAGACAATCAAAGATGCTTTGCGGGATGAGGGCATGTTTTTACAAAAGAAATATCCTACTTTGGCGAACAGGAATGGAACCCATTACTTAGCTAAAACATTAAATAGACTATTAATGCATCACATAAGAGACTGTTTACCTGATCTTAAGGTAGAAATTAAAAAAATTAATAAATAATTACAGTTATCAGTTAAGATTTACTTTTTATATTAATTAAAACTGATTTTTTCCAGACTCGTGTAAATGTTATGGTGTCCCAATTTCAAGCTCTGTTGAATTCCTATGGAGATGACGTATCTGATAAGAGTCAAATGTTGTTGCAAATAATTACAAAATTTGCATCTGCATATTGTTCCACGATTGAGGGAACTGCTAGAAATATAGAAACATCTGAACTGTAACTGAACTTGAAAGTGTTTAACGTCTTCGAATCATTTGTATATTTTACATGCTGAAATTTTACAGGAGTGGAGGAGCCAGAATCTGCTATATATTTCATGAAACATTTGGTAAAGCTCTCGATTCAATACATCCTTTGTTTGGATTGAGCAAACGAGACGTTCTCACTGCCATTAGAAACGCTACCGGACCTCGGCCAGCTCTCTTTGTTCCAGAAGTATGTATATTGCAAATGCCCGTCAAATGGTATACAATCGGGGAAAGAAATTACATTTATTTAAAAACAAATCTAGGTGTCCTTTGAACTGCTAGTAAAGCGGCAAATAAGAAGATTAGAGGAGCCTTCCTTAAAATGTGTAGAGTTGGTTCATGAAGAACTTCAAAGTATTATACAGCACTGTGGGACGGAATCTCAGCAAGAAATGATCAGGTTTCCTAAATTGCATGAAAGAATCATTGACGTAGTTACTCAACTCTTACGCCAGAGACTACCAACAACAAATGAAATGGTAACTGATCGAATAGCTTTTTTTTTAGTTTATTTCATTGTATAATTAATTTCAATTTAATTTTTAAAATTTCTTGCATTAACCTCCACATATTTCAAGTAAATATTTTGGAAGGCTGTATTTGAGATTTAATCAGGCTGGTTTTTATTTTGATTATTTATTGTATATAATTCCTATGTGCTGTTTTTCAATGCAATATTTCGCTTAAACTGCACTTTTTAATTTTAATTTTTTTGCAATATTATACATCGTGGTATATTATAATTTCCAGGTTAAAAATCTCGTTGCTATTGAACTTGCTTATATCAATACAAAACATCCAGATTTTCACAAGGAGGCAGCTCTTGTTCCTTCATTAATGGAATCACTAGACGATGATGATAATAGAAGTTATCCCCCACATTCGAATCGTAGACAACATGGAATGAACAATTTGACGTATGAAGAAAGACAGAGGGTATGTTCTTTCAGAACCCACAAGTATGCATTTTATTTTATTTTTTTTTTTTTATATAACTAGAGCCATTCTTTAAACCGCCACCAAGAGATGTTAAATGATAAGTCACCAACTCTTAACGAAAATGCTACCCAAGATCCATCGTCGAGTCACTCTTCTGCTTCGACGCCCTCTCATCAAACGAGTCCAACCAAAGGTTTAAACTTAACAGAACCACAGATGACAGTGGGAAGAAAACTTTCAGAAAAAGAACAAAAGGAATGCGGAGTTATCGGTATGTATTACAATCGTTTTGAAATTAATGACGACAAAAATGTAACAATAGTTTCTGTTCTAGAACGGTTAATCAAATCTTACTTCTACATCGTCAGAAAGTCAATTCAAGACAGTGTGCCCAAGGCCGTAATGCACTTTTTAGTAAATTATGTTAAAGACAATATACAGTCTGAACTAGTCACACATCTGTACAAGTCAGATCAAGCGGAAGAACTTTTAAATGAGTCAGAACACGTTGCCCAAAGAAGGAAAGAAGCCAGTGATATGCTTAAGGTAATATCACATTAATTTAATATGGTACATGAATGGTTCAATATGAATATACAGTAAGAACCTTAACACAAAATAGAAAAAGTTCACTGTAGAAACAAAAAAAAATCAAATTCTTAGACTTAACACTCACCAGAACGAACTTCAGAATTGTCTTAAAAATATATAGAAAACCCATCACAACCAACAACACTATAAATTCACAAACAACCCACTTAGACATTAATTGGGAGGTGTCGGTGGCTGCAACACTTTAGACATAGACACCGTTCTCTTCACTGGAAAGTAAAGGTCCCGGATTCGAATGCAGCGGGCATTTTTTTTTCCAAAACACCGGCACCCCAAGGTTCATATAACCTCATAGTTGAAAATACCCTTGTTTAGAAAAAATAAATAAATAAAAACCACCCAAACACAAAATTGCAGCAACACAGACACATGATCCACAGATTTTTGGAAGAAAATTAAAATATTGATTCAGAGAATGTCTCAGATTTTTAAGTGACAATGTTGGGAAATCGAATTGCACCACACTCTCAATATCACAAACCAAACACAATAGAAACAAGCTTAGTCCACATTAGGTTAAATCATTCATTTTCATGAGGTCAATGCGCACAATGTAAAACATGTATTAACAGACTGCAAAGAATAAGGCGTGGCCTGCTTGCATATTTCAAACAAACTAAAGCACAGTAGTGATTAAAGTAAGTTGATTTGATACTTAAAAAATATAAACGTATGTGGTTACATATAGGGAGCCATTTCATACATTGGTTGAAATAATATACTTAATGTGAGTGAATGTATTTATTAGCATGAACAATTGCAGATGGGTGTATTTGAGATGGAATATCCTCTACCTACAAACACACCAAAGTAGTCTAGGTTCTTTAGTTTTATATATATTTGCAGTGTAATGAGGTAGTCACTGGTGTAATATCAAAAACCCCAGTGACTACCTGATTGTGTGAATGTATTTATTGGCATGAATGTTGGAGATGGGTGTGTTTATGATGGAACGTTGAGTGCCCACAGACACAGCAAAGTTACGTTATTTAGTTATATATATATTTGCAGTATGCTGGGGTAGTCACTAGTGTAATATCCAAAAACTCTGAGACTAAATTATATGAATGTATTTATTTGTGTGAGTGGTTGTCGGGTATCCCCAGCGTTGTCGTACCATATTAGGTTAACTTAAGATAGTGAATGATTTTTACTCTTTGTGAATGAATAAACTACATAATTTTAGCGTATTTGTCGGAGTGGGGTTCAAGCAGTATATCAAGAATTCTTGAGCACTGCCAAACTTAGTGGCATTGTCTTAATACTATTAATGTGCATTTTAATCACTTTTGGAAGCGGAAAAAAAAAAAAAAAAAAACGAGAGTGGCAAAACGTAAGGAGCTGGCAATGGCCCTGATATTAAAAAACAATGACCAAAAAAACAAAAATGTACTGGAAACTTAAAAGAAATACAAACAAATCAGCGCAGTTGCTCTATATTGCTCTCGCTAGGACGAGGATTTTTAGCATACTTGCTTGCTTGCGTTTGAAAGTAGATATTTTTTATTTTAATCGATGCAATTTGTTGTTTCAGGCTCTTCAGAAAGCAAATCATATTATCAGTGACATTAGGGAGACTCACGTTTGGTGATTTGGAAACAATCTGGTAGCAAATGCTAGTTTATATAATTTGGTTTTTGATATTAATTATAATTTTTCAAAAATGAATTAATCCATGTTATGGACAATTTAAACCATTTGGCATTCATTCATTCAAAATTAAAACATTGCAACAAAAAAATAAAAAAATAAATCAATGCCAATTTCAATTGAAAACTTTCATATAAAGCAGTAGGGAAACGTCCTTATACGATGGTGGATATTCATGATAATTTATTCAAGTTAAAACTGTACGCCCCGATATTGAGTGGCAAAAGTGGAGAATGTTATTTTTGTCTGGAAAAACATATTCTTTATACAATTGAGCATTCTCACATTTGGATTTAATAATTGTACATTGCATTTCACTGTCCCAATAATATTAATACATAATTATTTATTGTTATAAATACAGTGATTTTCAGTTGTTAAAGTACATTTTATTTTTATTATTCATTAATTAATTATTAAAGAACGTAATTCCCTTGTTTAATCGGTTCAAAGTTTGTTTAAAAAGCATCAATGCGGACACAGTCCTGGAACCTTATATCAGATGAATGTATAAGAACGTATATATTAATTTTACATACAAATAAATTTTAAATAAATTCAATTTTCATAAATTCTCCAAAATAAAGCTTTTTAGAATATGTAGAGATTTAATGTTCTGAAAATTGTTTCCTGGGTTAAAGCAGTAATACTTGATCCAGTTGCAAAATATATATTTTGTTTAATGTATTATTATTACGTTTAATTCCATATATTAATCCTGCTTCTTTGTATGAAATCGTTCAAATAAAGAATCTGTCAACAATGCAATATTTAATCATTATCCATACTAGTACTTCTTATAGGATGAAAATTTCTGTTTTATTATGATTGTATATTATTTAAAAGAACGATGAAAGGATTTAGTAAATGTTATTTATTAATGGAGAAACCAAATTTTTGTCTTTGATTTTAAGTGTTATTGGCACTTTAAAATTAAAAACCTGTAGTCCAATTTGTTGATGTGCAACAGTTAGTATTTTTTGCGTTTATATTACTTATTTTTAATAGATTGTAGTTCGTTTTTATGAATTATAGATGGATCTATAATGGTGTAGTCATATCTAAGAGTTGTTGAATCGAAACGGTTATTGCAGAAAATTAAGGATAGACGTTCATTTATTAAACCAAAAGAAATCAGTAAACACTGATTGGTTTCTGTTGATAGTAGTGTCATTTGTAAATATGAATTGTTATAATACATTTCAACGTGGGTCTACAATAAAAGTTGAACTCAAATTGCCTAATGACTTCAAAAACAATAAAACATATATGACAAAATTCAATGTATGTACGACTAATTTTCTATTATGGCTGTGTGCAGTGTTAGGTGTTGAAGCATGTTTTTTTTCTTATTTAGGTTAATTTTTTTATATGAACTGTTATTGTTTATTCATAAGAGCAATAATTTGTTTTTCTTATCACTCAAGTTAAGTTGAAACAATTTAATTTCATGAGTAGGTATTCTCCATTTTTATTGTAATAAATTGTTGAAACTGGTTTCTTTTGTTTTTTAACCTTTTCAGTACCATTTTCTATAAGACATGTTGTGAATTTTGTACAATCAACTTTTTTATTTATTTTAGTGTGTTAAAACCAGAAAACAGTGGTATTTATTTCATTTCTATTGTTTCATTTATTTACAATGTTATAAAATAGTACAAGGAAATATTGATACTTTATTTCTCTTATTTTGCTTCCTTGGAGATCCGAAGCTTTTTTTATCACTGTAATGGATTATACGACATCTATTGACTAGAATCAAGATAATGATATAAATCACTTACTCCTTACTTGGTATACCACTGAGTATAAAATGGCGTTTTCAAACGTTCATAATTTTTACTTGATTGCATTTAATCTTTTACAGTTTTGAATCATTTTGTAAACAAAGCCACTGTTTTTTGTACAGGTAACTGACAACGTTTTTACAAAAATAATGTTCAGGTATGGAATAATAGTAACATTGAAAAATTATTTCAGAAGAAAATGTATGGGTAAGAGGACGGTGTGCATTTGGCTTGAATTAGTGGAAAACTCACTTCTTGGTCCTTTCTTATTTAAACTCTTCATAAATGATTATTCTTATTGTTTCCCAAGATATTTTATTGACATATCAATGCTAAATGCAAATAATTTATAGACGTAAATCAAACTTAAACTACTGCAGTAGGATGTAACAAATTCACAATTCTTTACATTAAGAACGTTTTATTATTTTGGCACCAGTTTTCAGAGATAGTTAGAAAATTTTGTAAAGAACAACAAAGAGTGCAAAATTGTGAGAAACAAGAGAAAACATAATTTATGAAGAGTTTAAACAAGAAGTGAGCCTTGAGGAACCTCCAGAGGGGGACAAAATCTTTTTGAAGATGAAGGATGATAATTTAACAGCTTGGCTTCTACTAGTTACATATGAATAAAACCATTCCAAGGGAGGGCCATGGATTCCAAATTGTCTCCAATGAATGACAGGCAGTGTTCAATAGCCTCTGTCTGAAATACAGTGGGATATTGCTCAAGGATTATATGTCTTCTGGTACGTGGTTTATTTTTATAGAAACTACTAGATCATGACCCATACTTGGTCTTACAGTCAACTATATACTAAACTGCTCAAAAATTAATAAGGATATTGCCAATTTTGTAGTATTTACTTTCCCTAGCATTTTTAGTTTATTTTTACTCTAAATTTCTTTAAAATTTATTAGAAATTGTCTTTTACTGAAGGCAGATTTAATTAAGGGATTTTGAAAAAATAAATAAAAGGACATGTCCCCTAGTTTCTTTTTCTTTGTGGCAATATCTGCACGGATGCCCTTATTGAACTTTTCGTGTACATCTGACTTGTATACCTTGGTACCCAAACAAGGATAATTCTGTTGTTTTCCCCAATGTCTGACAGGCACAGTGTCCCATAGCCTCCCGCCTGAAAAACAGTGGGACATTTCCCAAGTTTTATATGACTTCTAGTCCTTGGTTTATTTCTATTGATACTACTAGGTCATGATCCATACTCTGTCTTAGAGCCATACGTATACCATATATAGTTGGCATTAACTGAGACCAAGAAGTTAGTCTTTAGGAACTCCAGAGAGAAACTGAGGTACCAAAAAAGCATGGGAATGAGAGGAAAACACTTCCTTTAAGAACGGTGCCACCTTTTGGTACGCAGATGGATCTAGAACACAAGAAAGTACAGAGGTAGGTGTATTTGGTCCTTGATCCAAATACTCAGAAACCCAGTATCTTCCAAGCTGAGCTCTACGCAATTGAGAGATGTACTCAATTCAATTTGACTAAAGGGTACAAAAAGAAGAACAGCTATCATGCCAGACAGCCAAGCAGCCATCAAAGCGCTAAGCTCAAACATCATTCAAAGATGGTGTTGAACTGCAAAACCAAATTAAACATAGGTATGCAGAACAAAGTCAGCCTCTACTGGGTCCAAGGACATGGGAGTAGTAGGTAACAAGAAAGTAGACACCCTTGCAAGAAAAGGGGCTGCTATACTGCTGATAGGACCCGAGCCCTTCTGTGGCAATAGGAACCCACATTATGAATGAGTACCTCAGACAGAAGAAGAAAAGAAAATGAGGGAACAGTGGAACTCACTCATTGGACACAAACAATCCAAGAACTAACAAATTTTGGAAGGAAAGAAGTAATAGAATATATCAAAGGAAACAGGAAACAACTGCAAATCCTAACAGGACACTTCAAACTAAACGGACATTTAAACAAGATTGGTATAACCCAAGACGGCAAGTGCAGATTCTGCCAAGAAGCAGAGGAGACACCAACACACCTACTAACAAACTGTGGTGCTATGCTTGCCCGCAGGAGGAAATGCTTTGGGACGTACAGTGTGACCGTAGAAGAAATTCAACTACTGAAACCGGGCCTACTAATCAAGTTCCTTGATGAAATAGGACTCACTGGTGTGCTTTAGGCAGAGAATGGGGGATACAATAGCTCTTAAAGGGCGCGGTATATTCCACCCTGACTAATACAAAATATTTTTTGGAGATTAAGGATGATAATTTAACAGCTTGGCTTCTACTAGTTACATAAAAATAAAACTATTCCAGGAGAGGGCCATGGATTTCAAATTGAGCTGGAGTTATAAATTAGGTCCTGGATATACTTATTTTTTTACAGTACAATTCGACAATTGCTATATATAAGAGTTAGTACTTATGATAGATAATAATTTTAGTACAAATTAATTATAAATTGTTTAAATGTGTAAATCTTGGAAACGTTGGTTGAATTTTTTAAAATTTGTGCTCGCCCCCTCCATCGACGGTTTTTAGACTGGGAGACAAAATAAAAAAAAGACAAAGAAGTCCGTTTTTCCGTTCGCTTTTGGAAGGAAAGCGGAAAATAGCCGTGGAACGGGATTTTCCAGCGGCCGGTGTTGCGAGCGAGCGGGAGTCGGCCACCCTGAGGGAAAGTGGAACCTCCTCGCTTCTCCATATCCAGGCCTAGTGATAAGTGTCGTACCATTTGACAGGTTCTACGGCAAAGACAGGTGGCCCGTCCCGCGGTCGAGAAATATTTCCGGCCTTTCAGTTTCAACGAGGACCCACTTTCCCTCAATCTCCGTAGAAAAAGACGTCCGCCTGTCCGATCCGGAAATGAGTTTTCCTTGCCGCCCGCCGCCCCGGTGAGCGACACGACGTCCGAACCTATTCCGCCGTTTCGACCCCTTGAAAAATGTACAAACGGAATTGTTTCTAATCCTCATTTAAATGTTTATATTGGATAAATCGGGGAGTCTGTCGAAAATGGGAAATTCCCAACAAGGTTTCAGCGATTTGGACGCGTACATAACACAGATAAATCTGGAGAACAGCAGCAAGCGGATGTACGCTTTCAAGCCGTTCGTCTTCAAAAAGTGCCAGACGGTGAAGAGCGAGTCGAAGCCGAAGCCGAGGAGCGGCCACCGGATCGTCTGCAACGACGGCGATTTGTATTGCTACGGCGGCTACAATCCGAACATCCGCTCGACCGGCTTCGACCTCGACATGGACGACGGCTGGCTCCTGAGCAAACCCCTTTTCAGGGAGATGTGGAGGTTCAACTTCGCGACGAGGGAGTGGATCAAGCTGAAAGTGAGGAACATGCCTTTCGTCCTCGCCTCGAACGCAGTCCTCCTCGAAGGCAAACTGCTCATGGTTTACGGCGGGACGGGGATGCCTTTTGGAGGCCACAGCAGCAACACTCTATACACGTGCAATCTTTCCGAGGGAACGCTCACATTCAGGAAGGTCAAAGTGTCGGGCCAGGTTCCAGAGCCTCGTTACGGACAGGCTGTCTTCCGCACAGACAACTATCTCTACGTTATTGGTGGGACGACCGGCTACCAATATTCTGCCGATGTCCACCGACTCAATCTGCTCAGCAACGTCTGGGACGGCATCTCGGTCAGCAAGGGTCTGCCTAACGAGCCCCTCGGCAGATACAGGCACGAGCTTTGCCTCTTGGGCACCAAAGTCTACGTCCTAGGAGGTGGAACATCCCTCGAGTCTTTTGGATTTGAGGTAAATATATAACTCAATTGTTTCTTTGTAGTTTTTAGGGCACCATTTGAGAACATTGACAGAAGAGCCATCATAGGGATATGGATAGGGAATAAAAGAGGTGGCCACAAGGTCTTCTTCACATCGTCGTGAGTAGATCTATTGTACTCACTTGCCAGCTTCAGGTTGTTAATCGACCTCCATAGCTTTGCCAGCAACTCCTTCGTGTAGGATCTTGCTTGTAGCTTTTCCTCTCCTAGTTGCAAGAATATGTACCTAATAAAGAGCCCTCATTCTAAATCTTTATAACTTATGTTTGTCTACAAAATTTGTAAATACCCTAAAAAGTATATTTAATCAAAGTTAAGTGGGAGTAAGGGGTGAAAAAGCATTCTGATTTTTTTTAAATTGGCAATGGGGTAAGGCATAGTTGCCTTGACCAAAGGCTCAAATAGGGAAAACACATAGGCAACATACTACATAAAGACAAGGCTCTATTAAGCATTGGCTAAAGATAATGCAGTAAAAACTGGAACCCAGTAAAAAACCCAAAATGAAGTTATTCACCATAACAGTCAAACCCTTGGTTATGTATGGAGCTCTAGCATGGTGGCTAAAAACACAGATAACGAGACACAAACCAAACTACAAAGTCTACAAAGTCTAGCATGTCTCAGTATTACTGAGGCAATCCATCAATACCTACTACGGCAGTGGCAACCTCCCACCCTTAATGTCTATGTTAAGGCGGCTTTTGAGAGTGTCAATAGACTCTTGAGATATAAGGAAATAAAACCAGATCTAAGGAGGAGCCAACACAAAATTCTAAAAATAATTAAAATAAATGAGATGACTACGATGGTATCTGACAAAATGAGGGAAAAGCTCAATTTGACAAACCCTTCCAAGTGGACAAAAGGGCTGATCTACATCGTAGCGAAGCTCCTTGGACCAACCCCATTGATTGTCCAAGCTGAAGTCTATGCAGTACAACTATGTGCACATGAGTAAATAAAAAAAAATATGAAAGGTGCACAGATATACATACTCTCCGACAGTCAGGCAGCCGTAAAGGCACTAAATGTGTATGCTTTTAACTCCAAACTTGTCTAGGAGTGCCTAACCTGCTGGTTTTTGTGAAGAAAAATAAAAATTATAAACTCAATGCACAAAACACCTTGACCTTAGACACCAGGATGATTAGAATCGATCTGAATCTCTAATATGTAGCTTGATAGTTTGCGATTATCCTGGTTTGTCTATTATCGCTAGTTTTGCCTGTTGATGCATTTTGGCATTTAGTAGACTAGCAGTAGTAGATCAATAGTTTGGACAAGATCAAGCTGCATACTTCTCCACATTATCTCTTTAAAGCAGGCTCGTTTCACTTGACACTATCCGATCTGTCCGCTCACTCAACGCTGAATGAAAATGTGAAAACGTAGGGTTAAAGACAAGATTAAAAAGAATCGGCCTCTTTACGACTTTGCACCCAATATTGGTCTATTGTGCAATCTTCATCAGTGTATAGAACTCTTTGAATCTTAAGGCTTTTTACCAGATTCCAAAGCTTTATTAAGGACTCTCGTGTGCATCCTTCAGGCCCAGGAGTAGGAACCTGAGGTACAGCCTTCATACTTACAGAGAACATGTTCCACAGTTTCTTTTTCTTCATGGCAATATGCACAGGATTGTCCTTATTGAACTTTCCTTGGCCATCGGCCCTTATGCCTTGGTAACCAAACAATGTTAATTTTGTTTTTCCCCCAATACCTGTTCCATAGCCTCTGCCTGTAATACAGTGGGACATTTCCCAAGACTTCTAATCCTTGTTTTATTTCTATTGATACTACTAGGCCCTCATCCATACTCGGTCTTAGAGCCATATACCATCTATAGTTGGCATTAACAGAGACCAAGAAGTGAGACTTGAGGAACTCCAGAGGGGGTCAAAATATTTTTTGGAAACTAAGGATGTTCAACAGCTTGGCTTCTGGCAGTTAGATACATCTTTCGCACCAACAGAGGACATTTTCCACTGTTCCTTTTTCTTCATGGCGATATCTGCATAGGACAGGCACTGTGGTCAGTGGTCTGTGCTTGAAATACTGTGGGATATAGCCTTAAACTTTGCTAAGGACTCCTGTATGAATTCAGGCCATGGATATTCCTCTCCCAGGTGTAAGAATCTCAGCCTGCATCCTTCCCACTAACAGAGGACATGTTCCGCTGTTTCTTTTTCACAATATCTGCACAGGATTGTCCTTATTGAACTTTCATTGGCCGTCTGCCCGTATGCCTTGGTACCCAAACAAGGATAATTTTGTTTTCCCCCAATGACAGGCACAGTGTTCAATAGCCTCCACCTGAAATACAATGGAATATTGCCCAAGGCTTATATGACTTCTAGTACTTGGTTTATAGATGCCACTAGGTATGGTATGGTATGGTATGGTGGAAAGGGTAGTAGGAAGCGGGGTTTGTATTCCCCAGGCACTGCAGCCTTCTGGCTTATTGTACATTCCTAGTTCCTTAGTTCAGTCAATAGATTCAATCCTTCTTCTTAGAAGTATCAGGTCATTGACTGTTGTTGCTGCAATTTGGTTCCCTGAGTCTTTTTCGTACATTAGGTTAAACCTCCATTGAGCTGTTGCTTCGTATTCGAAGATGATATGAGTGGCTGTTTCCTCTTCTTCATTACATAATCTGCAGATGGGATCATCGCTTATATACCCATGTTGTGTAAATGTTTTCTCAGATACCAATGACCGGTTAGTGGTCCCACCACTCCTCTGAGTTTTGCCCTCTCCAATTGCAGCAGTGTTTTTACCAATCTTGGTAAGGGTTGTTTCATCATAAGTTTACTAAGTCTAGCACCGCTAGAGTTTATCCACTTCTCTTTTTGTTTTGCTTGGATCCATTCTGCGATGGAGGATACTATGTTTGTTTTTGTTATCCCAAGGATAGGTTCGGGGCCTATGTATGGTCTTGCAGATCCTCTTCTGGCCAGAATGTCTGCTTTCTCGTTACCCAAAATTCCCCTGTGCCCTGGCACCCAAGATATCATTAGGTTGTTGTGTTTTCCCAGGTTTTGGAGATTTTGGATGCATTCACTGACTAGTTTTGATGTAATTCTTTTACATGCTAATGCTTTAATGGCTGCTTGGCGGTTTGATCTTATGAGGATTTTTTTGTCAGTGTAACCTCTTCTAAGATTTTCCAGGGCACAAGCATTGATGGCATGTATTTCCGCTTGAAAGACCGAATTATACTTCCCTAATGAGTTTGATTGCTCATATTTTGGGCTTGTACAGGGAATGCCTGACCCGGTTCCTTCGTTTGTTTTGGAGCCATCTGTGTACCATATCATTGTATCTGATGCTCTCCTGTGTTCTTCCTCTCCTTTATAGTCTGTTGAGACTTTATAGGAAGTTGTGAAGATTGTTTCCGGGACCATGTAGTCAGTCCCCATTTCTAATAATGGGTGTCTGATTTTGTTGATTGTGGTTGTATGCCCGAATTGTTTAGTTCCTTTCCAATTTAATTGTTTTTGGAGCCTAAATGAGCTTTTCCTAGCCTCTCCTTGTATGAATATTTCTAGTGGAGGTAGGTTTAGCAAGGTTTCTAATGCGTTTGTAGGGGTTGTTCGATGCCACTAGGTAGTGACCTCTGTCTTAGAGCCATTTTTTTTTTTTTTTTTCAATGGATACCAGGGACTGGAGGAGTTCCCTCCTGAGTACTGCAGCTGAGCTGTACAGCTTATTGTACTTTATCCCCGGCTCCATATTTTGGGGGAGGGCTCGCAACACAAATGTGAACTTGAGCCCCCGTTGTACCGGTGTTCTTCCATCGAAGAAACTCATTTTTGAAGGGGGTTGGGACCAAATTCAGGGTCGCTGAGATCCGATCCCGCCCCTTCCATTGATGAGTGCCGTGTCAATTTCTTTCAATTGCGGCCACCGGTCCCCTTAGGCGTCAGAAAAAGTCCAGAGGCGACGGTGGGGATCGAACCCACGGAGAGTCTGATGCCTTAACCACTCGGCTACCGCGGCCCCTCGTCTTAGAGCCATACTATGTAGTACACCAGATATAGTTGACATTATCTGAGATATTCTCCCAGCCTGCTCTTTAGGGTATATTAATTTTTTTTTTCTTACCATGGCATCACCAGAACCTTGTCAGCCTGAAGTTCCTCTCCAAGCTTTAATTGGTAATTTTTATGCAAATAGGCTATTGAAGCCTAGACGATTAGTTATTCATAAATTTACTATTATGTTGTATGTGCAGATTAAAAAAGAAAAATTATAATTTCATAATGTATATTGTTTACTGTTAAGCTATGTGTGTTATTATTTTTTAATTAATTTATATAGTGAAACTATTTTAATTTGTTAAGGTTGAAAGAAACCAGGTATTCCAAGGTAGTTTAATTTATTTAGAAATTGAAGCTGAAAGGACGCCATTAAATTTTTTTGGCCTTTGCTTTCTTCTAGGGCAACGCCCCAATTTTAATAGACTGACATTATTCTAGTATATGGGATTTTCCATTTTTTCACATTGTTGTTTCATCAGCCTATAGTTTTATGTATAATTTTGACATGAACCGTGTTGATTGCTGGTTGTCATATCTTGAATGATATTGAAACGCTTAGAATGTTGAAGATGGGCTTTAAAGCCCAAAACATCCATCTCTAAATAAATTAAACTAGCAAGGAATACCTGGTTTTATTTTAACCTTATCTCGAATTATGAATATTTTAATTTGTTTTAGGAGCTTCCTGTGTATGACTATCAAAAGAACGAGTGGTGTTCAGTTGCTACACACGGAGACAAAGATTCTATCGAGCCATATCCTAAACCACGCCGTTTCCACAGTGCTGACAGGATACCTGATTCGTATTCGCTTATAATAGTTGGTGGTTTTAGTGGAAGTGAAATATTAGATGATTGCTGGCTCCTGGATCTTCAGGGATTAACATGGAAAAAATTGTCATCGTTGAAGTTGCAGTTTCCAACGTATTTCCACGCCAGTTGCATTACACCGAGCGGTAAACTGTATACATTTGGTGGGATATGTGAAGTTGGCCGTAGGACGCATAGAACATCGAATATTGTTTCGGCTTGGGTTTGTATTCCTAAATTAAAAGAAATGTGCTGGGAAGCTGTATTATACTACGGTCTATTCAAGAATTCCCAAGAAATGGATTTAAAAATGGAATTACCTCTAGAATTTCAGAATAGGTTTCATTAGTTCTCTCTGGAAAAAAAAAAGTCTGCGGTGGAAATCATTTGGTAATATTCAAGCTGGGTATTTTGTTACAAAAAAAAAAAATTGAAAAATACATTTGTCAAATATCATTAATGAGAATGGAGTTGACAGGGTTTTCCGAAATATAAGATAAAAATATAATGGCCTTATATTATTGATAAGATTTCAAAATCGTCCATGTAGGTTTTGAAATCTGTGAATTGTTGACAGAATTGAAGAATAGTGAAGAAAATTAAACATGGAGATGTTTTAATTTAAACTGATTTCAAGAAGCCTTTTTTTTTTAATAAGAATGTTTCCGTATTAATGTTTGGTTTCGTGCAAGATACGAAAGTCATCTTGTGTATTTTTCAGTGATAAGGCTAATTAAGGCAATATTTACTGAGCATTCAGTGCATGTACTTAATGCTCCTCGTACCACAAGAGACAAGTTTGAAATAATTACCTTTTCCAATACTCTCAATCTTGACTCAATTGACTTTAAACTCGACTAAAGAAAAAACTTCTCCAATCATTAATTTTACATTATTTACGCAAAACTAGTTAAATTTACGTTTCACCCACTCGTATCCTTATTAGTTTATTAAAGTTCAAACTGAAGTCAAAGAAGCGAGTTCATTGGATCCGGTCCTCTTTGGTTGTCTCACAGGGTGCTGTTGTTTTTGTAGTCCACTCACTTTGATATTTGGATGTTCTTGGAGACAAGATTTATGCTTTTTATTCCAGTATCCTCAGGTCCCGGTGAATATCTTTATTTTGTGCATACCAAGGGTCATCAACTATGTTACTCTTTTTGGCGCAGCCCCCAGAATGGTATGACAGATCAATACCAGTTTAGGCCTCTTTCAGACAAGGGGTTTGGTTGATTCAACTAAGTTGCCCGGTTGACTCTCAACTAGTTTACTGCCATGTGAAGACTCTTTGCTGGTTTCACATCAGGCAATTTGTGGAATCAACCTCTCTTCCCAACAGGAGGTCAGTACGATGTTAGAACGCAAGGAAGCAGGAGCACTTTCTTGTGCTTACTCTTCTGCAAAAAGAGAAGCAAAAAATGATAAAACCCAGTAAAGAAAAGTGTGGGTTTATCCCTTGTTATAAAATTGGGAGTCGTTTGTGTTGAGTCAACGAGTGGGGATGAGAACATGAACATTTGCTGGTCATCTGCCTGGACGGACAAGTTGACTGCGTGTGAAGGGGTTAGGGCAGTTCCCATCATGTCCTACCTGGGCTACACTCCTTGACTCCCGTATGTTCAACTAGTTGAATCAACTAGCTTGAAAGACCTTGAGGATGGGGACAAAGGAAAAATTGAAGTTCCTTTCCAAAAGCCAACTCAGTTGGTTATATTTTAAAACCCCCATTTTTTGTTTTTATTTATTTATTTATTTAATTATTTATAATTTTTTATGTATATTCTCCATTTCACCATAAAATCTAGTGTCATTCCTAGATATTTCGCTGTGTTTTGTGTCAATACTTTCCTTTTATATTGATACTGTCTGCGAATTATTTTCTGCCTGTAGAATTAACGTGTAATTTTACAATTTATGCTCGTTTTATTTTAATTTTCCCAATCTTTCGTTCTCCTGTCAATCAGGCTTATATTTTGCAGTTTTCTTGTCAATTCTTCACTGACATATTCTGTGAAAGGTGACAGGTTATCGGTATAAAACAGTATTGGTCCTGGGACGCTTCCCTGCGGAACACAAGCCTTTATTTCTAAAAGTCGGGAGTATTTGTCCTTCTGTAGGAGAGAAGTGGTTTGTACTGAATTAGGAAGGATTTTTATTTTTATTCTTTATGTAGTAATCCTTTATGTATTTGTGCCAGACTTTAACAAAGGTTTGAGATATGTCTAGAAACACAGTGGATCCAATGTTGCCAATGCAGCATTACATCTATCGTGGTATCACATACGACTGCGCACATTTATTAACAAATTGATCAACGTCTTTTTCTTGACTTGATTTGAATTCAAATCGTCAAATCTAAAACATCTATGGAGAAGAAGAAACTTCCTGTACGGATGCACTGACGAAGTGTATTTCTTGAATTTTTCCTATGACAGTGAACTTCTCCTTGGATTACAAATTCATGTAAATAAATTATGTAAGAAAAATTAAGCAGTACAGAAAAATATTTAAAATTAATATAAAAACTTACATGATAAGTTACGTGTGGTAATTTAGTACCCCAAGGATGTTTTTCATCTTCAAGTGATGTTTACACACTAATAGTCTAAAGATGGCGACTGTCACTCAGGAGGCTGGGAGTTCAAAACCACCCCAGGACGATCACTCGATCTTTTGAGGAATAGTTTCTATAAGAGTTTTGAAATCACTGGAAATAGAGAACTTTATTCAATGGTTTACCAGGCTTAACTATTATTTATCAGCCATCAATATTCCAGGAAAATATACGAATAAACTTTCCAAAATTTTAGTACCCCAAGGATGTTTTTCATCTTCAAAGGATGATTACACACTAATAGTCTGAAGATGGCCACTCAGGCCATCCCTTTAGTTTATTTTTTGGATGGAACGAGGCTAGGGGTCCAAAACCACCCCGGGACGACCGCTCAATCTTTTGAGTAACAGTTTCTATTAGTTTTAAAATCACTGGAAATAGAAAACTTTATTCAATGGTTTACCAGGCTTAACTATTATTTATCGGCCATCAAGATTCCAGGAAAATATACGAATAAACTTTCCAAGATTTCTCCTGTTACGAAATTAAATCCTGTGACCTTCCTTGAGTTTGTTTGATTAGTCATGGCCCATTTCTTTTTCAGTAATAAATCTAATTACTTCTACTGTTTCCATTACATAAAGCATCAGACAAGGTTCCATTCATTTTGGATATATTGCTCTAGGTATTTTTCAAAAGCAAGCTTTTTCATTGTCTCGTGCACATTCACTGTTCTTTGAAACCACCCAGCTACAGATTAAAGATAAAACTCAAGAACACACGAGCTTCACAGGTTAAAATGACTAGGTGCCATTTTTAATAAAATTACATAATTGTAGACAATTAAACGTTAAATCTCAAAGTCTAATAATAATCATGATTCCTATTTTCATTGATTTTTTGTTAATTCTTTGTTGTTAACACAACTATCAATATTTAAAAATAAGCCAAATAATTATAATTTTGAAGTGAGTACACTCGATTGAACATTGAATGATTCCTATATCACAAAATGTTCTAAGGCTTGTGTCTGCTTTGTGTGCATAATTGCGTTCAGCTTGAAAACTTGCGCACTTTTGCTTTCCCCCGCCCATGGATTGTTTTAATTTTGAATTTGACAAAAATCTCGTTTCTGCATAATTTATCAAGCCTGGACATATAAATATAGAGAAATATTTTAGTATATTTTTTCTAAATAATTTTGTTTCCTGAGAGGTTGAGGTAATATTGTATTTTGGCTTTCTTCTTGTAGTTCGCTTATAATTTTGTATTTTTCTTCATTCTTTGCAATAATTACTTCCTCTTAGTCATATTTTTAATTTGGCCTCATCACAATTTAAAAGGCAGAAAATAGTTGTAGTAGGAGGCTAAGTACATGATTCATCTTCAGATGGTGAGTTAATTTTTCTTATTGAAATTTCATACTTCCGCTCTAGCCTTCCTTCAGCAATATTTTGTCTAGCAAGTCTTTTTTTTTTTTTTTTTTTTTTTTTTTTTTTTTTTTGTATATACATTGTACAAACATCTAAAGTACTCTAGACTTAACTTGATTACACATTAATGACATTGATATACACAAAAATGAGACAATTAAAAGCTCATCACATATATTTTTTTTCGAGGCTGTGATCCGACAACTATCAAAATGTACCGTAAAAGTTTATCTGTCATTACAAAAAATTTGAAACCAGGTCAGATTGTTCTTAATTTAAAAAAAAAAAATCCAGTGTAATTTACATGGCGATTTAAAAAATAATCAGGCTTTCATTAGTCAAAAGATAATGCAACAAAGGGGAAAAAAGCTAAAGGATTGCCCCTTTAATACTTTGTGCTGTGAACTAATAAGATCATTTTTTTCCTTGTTATATGTATTACATTTGTGTCTAGTTGATGATGATTTTATTTAGTAAAATAAAAAAAATTTTGTAAAATGTCAAACGAATGATTCTAATTCCAGGCACACACTGAAGATAGGCCAGTTTAATTTTTTTTTTTTTTTAAATGTAGTTCCTTGCATTTATATGTAAATACAATTGTCTCAACTATCAAGTTTCATTAATACTGACAATGTGATAGTACTTACGTTCATTATAATACATCGCTTGTCAGAAGTTGCAAGTGTCTCGATACCTTCGAATTCTTTTGTGTCCTCTTTTTTCACTATTAAATAAATATCTATTGTTAATATGTATATAATTGTGTTAATAAATACTAAATATTGTTAAATGAATTTATTTATTTTATTATTTATATCGCAAATTTATTCATTTGTTAATGGTGCATTTGTTTGAATTAAAAAAAAAATCCTGACTTTATTTCTTTGATATGTGTTCATCTCTTTTTCATCATTTTTTATTTATTAAGGGTTTGATCCGTATGGATTTAATAATTAGAAATGTTTAAACTACAACAATGATAAATGTATTCGATCCTTTTGATTTTTAATCACTGCCGACAGATTATTCTTATATTCAAACTATACTTAAACAAAACCCTGCAATATATGTTGTTTAATAATCAACTGGCTTATCGATAAGACAGTGGTTTTGTGGGCTGCGAGAGTAGTGGCATTATGTAATAATTTAACAGCTTTTATGTAAATAATCTGTACAAACACTTTTTATTATAGCAATAGGTTTAGTGTTAATGATTTCAGTGAAAATTGGTTTTTATATCTGAAACAAATAAAATATTTTCCTAATAACATTCATTATGTCTTATTGTTGTGTATCATCCTTTTTTAATGCGTACGGGAATCACTTTAAATCTGAATTCTGGGGATGTTTTTAATTTAGAAAAGAGCTCTTAAATTATTTCTGCTGGCATCAAGAAAGAAGGTTGACAAATTTGCATAAAATATTGACTCAGTCAAAGGTCACGTTTTTAAATTTTACATCATAAAACTCTTTAAACTCTCTCTTTAAAAATTAACGACTAAGATTTCAGATAAACGTGTAAAAGGCTGACTCCAGGATCAATAAAAGATGAAACACAAATTGCCAAAGAAAAAAATGAAGAAATAGTCAGGGCAGAATTTTTTAAATTAGACGAGACTTCTGCAACATGACATCAAATTAAATGTATTGAGAAAATATTTTATTATGTGTATAAATCAAAACTCAGACTTCTGAACTTTCAATGAACAGAACTATTTTTAAATTTCAATGTATTTTGTAGCAAACAGAGGCTGGTGCTCAAGTGCTTACTGCAAAGCAATAAGAGAACATCCAGCATACATGCTTAACTGCTGTCCAAAAATACAATGAACCAGAGAGATAGTATTCAGAAACATTTATTGTTACAATCACCCATCTTAATATTGGTAAAAAAGTCTAACAATCAAAGCGTTAGTCACAACTATAACTTCGAGGATGAGCTTATTCACAAGAGAATGAACCCCAATTTACATTTTATTATGGTGCTCGCCAATACCAGGATCTTCTCCTGCAGTTTCCTGGATCCTTGACAGTCGACTATTTGATTGTCACAATTGCTAGGTTCTTTCTGTCTGAGTCCCCAATTGAGTATGGCTGCTTGACTATGTGAGTCTTCAACTGACTGGATTTACCTTTCAAATCTTCCTCTTTTATACCAGTTTCCCAACTTGGGTAAGGGAGAAAAGGAAAAGCAAACACTGTTGTGCCAGATAGTCAACTACCTTCTTGCAAGGGTTGGTCATGACCTGGGCGGCCGTCCAATACCTTGTAACTCTCAAGATTTTCTATTTCTAGCCCCTGGTCCCATGTCGATGGACTTCCAATGGATAATGTACTATGCCCAGCTGACGCGTCCCCAAATTTATGGTATCCCACAGCTTGATGAACTGTGCCTGCGACAACATTCCACCCTAAATAACACCTAAATTTCGTTAGTTATTGGGGCTAGACATTTATAAAACATATGTTTGAAATTCCTTACAACTATTTTTAACTTATGCTAAGACAGGTACCAGTATACAGGATCAAAGAGGGTAAAGAGGCTGAATTACACCCTAAAAACCCCTTTGACTGGTCCCAATTATCTTCCAAGCTGAGATCCATGAATTGATGAAGAAAATAAAAGGTGAACGGTCAGGCAGATATAAAGGCACTAGTCTGGAAGTGCCTAAATTTTCCTAATGGCCCTGAAAACAAAAAATTTACCTTGAAGTGGGTTCTAGGACATGAAAGTATAGCAGGAAACTGGCTGACATGCCAAAAAAGGTGCAAGTCTCACCCATGGGACCAGAACCACAACTAGGCACACCAAGAGTGAAGATAAAAGCTCCAGGCATGAGGCAAACTAAGTGATTTATAAATAAATCAAGAAAAGGAAGGCGATAAATGATGAACAGAAAGTGAAGAATTTTTTAACTTTTTCTATAGACATGGATTTTCAGATCCAGCAGAGAGAGAAAAAAGTTAATATATGGAAAACTAAGTTGTAGCTGTTATTTTAAAATACTTTGAAGCCTTATTGAGATTAAAAATATTGTAAAGTGGTTTTAATCCCTCGACCTCGGGTAGTTGGATGTTCCCTACTTAAATAGGCATTACTTCAGGTGTGGACTTAGTCAACTAAGTTTAGCTTTTTTTAAAGCTTTGAAGCTTTATTTGAGATGAAAAATATTTTAAAATGTTTTGACCCCTTGACCATGACACCCTACAGATACTATAAGGTTGTTAAGTACTTCTGTATGACAAGAATTACTTTACTCGTTCCAACAGGGATAGACTTAAACAACTTGAGTTTTAGATTTTTTTTAAGTTTTGAAGCTTTATTTGAGATTAAAAAAATATGTAAAGTGGTTTTAACCCCTCATCCATGACACCCAATGGGTTGTTCGATGTTCCCTCCTCATACAAGAATTACTTCAGGTGTGGACTTAATCAACTTAAGTTTTAGCTTTTTTAAAAGCTTTGAAGCTTTATTTGAGATTAAAAATATTTTTAAATGTTTTGACCCCTTGACCATGACACCCTAGGGATAGTTGGTCGTTAAGTCCTTCTGCATGACAAGAATTACTTTATTTTAGTTATTCCAACAGGGAAGGTATTGGACAGTTTAAACAACATTGGTCCAAGTTGTGAACCTTGAGGAACTCACCTGGTACAGTTTGTTCTCGGAATAATAATTTATTTTTAGCATGATTTCTACTCTTTAAATAAAAATAAAACCATTTCAAGAATGATCCATGAATTCGTAGGGGATAGGGATAGAAGAGGTGGCCACAAGGCCTACTGCACCTCAACCTGAATATATCTATTGTACTTCCCTGTTATTTATAACTCATTGGCCAGCTTCAGGTTAGTAATCAGCCTCCACAGCTTTGCCAGTGACTTCTTAGTGTAGGATCTTGCTTGTGGTTTTTCTTGTCTTAGTTGCAAGAACCTGCACCCACATAGACCTTCACAGAAACATAGAATATATTTTGTGGTCTCCTCCTCTTCCTGGCAGTATCTATGCAATGTTTCTTCTGTTTGTATTCCTATCCGATACATGTGCCTTCTTAAGTGGCAGTGCTTTGTCAGGAGTCCAACCAGAAACCTAGTTCAGGTGTGGTTGCCTTCTAGTAATTCTTTTGTAAGTTTTGCAGATGTCCTTCTATGAATCTCTTCGCATGCTTCATAACTGTGGTATTTTTCCACCAGGTTTTGGACTCATTAAGGATCCATTTTAAGATGTATCCTTTGTGGCAGGCTGCTAAGCCACAGTAGGGTTCAGGACTCAGAGAGTCCATGTTGGACCCATGTCAGGGTCAGCTCATTAGTATCACTGTCCTACGTCAGGGTCTCCATGCCATTTCAAACACTCTTTGACTTTGCCTCGCAAGAGGCTATGGCCCTAAATGCTGCCTGGCTGTCAGAGAAAATAGCTAACTTCCGGGAATGTAGCCTTTTAATTTCTCTGGTGTATTGTTCAATCGCTATGATTTCAGACTGGAAAACTGTAGCATATTTACCTAGGTTTACCGTCAGTTCGGTCCTTGGGTTCATCCTGAAGACTCCAGCTCCCGTACCCTTGTCGGTTTTGGAACCGCAAATAAACCAGTAGGAGTTTGCCTTTAGTGGTATTCCTTTGGCCCATTCTTCCAGTTCTGGTATCAGTACTTTGTACTTTTTAGTAAAGTTGTACTTTGGAGTAGTGGCATCAATTGGCATGCCTAGAATGACATCTGCCTGTATCTCCTCCCCCAGTTTCCATTGTTTATTTACATGGTCTATCCTTGTACATGGTTGTCCATTTATGAGCCTGTGAGCTGCTGCTCTAGCTTCTCCTTGGATGATGAAATATGAAGTCGTGGTAGGTTTAACAAAACTTCCAGGGCCGCAGTGGGCATTGTGCTCATGGCACCAGTGACACTGAGGCAGGCTTATCTTTGGGTGCCACTTAATAGCCTTATGGCTTTGGCATGTGGCATGAAGAGTCCACCACACCACTGACCCATATGTCATATTGGTCTTAGTGCATAGCCATAGGGTCAATTTGGGCTTTAGACCCCCCCCCCCAAGTTCTTGGTGCAGAGCCTTCTGCACCTCCCCAGGCAATTTGGGCTCTCTGAGTAGTTTTAATTAGATGCGAATTTCATGTGAGCCATTGGTCTAGTGTAATCCCTAGATATTTGGCTTCCTTGGAAAATGGGATCAGAGTCCCATTTATACTTGAAGTTTTTAAGCTTCCTATTGTCCTCTTCCTTGTGAATGGAATAATTATGGTTTATTTTTGTGAGGGTTGATAAATAACTCCTACATTTTACACCATCTGTCAACCAAATTGATGGGCCGTTGCATATGATCACGGTGTTTGCGCAACGGTCTTTTACTACTATGACAAGGTCGTTCTCCACATAGCCTAGGCAGTAGAATCCTTCTTGTTCCAACGTTTGTAGTTCATCCACGAGCGTCGTCCACAGTAGAAGTGAGAGAACACCTCCTAGCATCCCCTGGCTGTCTTAGCTCAGATGGTCGCTCCGACCAAGGTGGATCATATCTTCTCCGAAACTCCCCTATTTTTTTTAGCTCTATATAGAGAGGCTGTTGTTGCATTATTGAAAGCTCCCTCTATTTCCATAAACAGTGTAACAGTTATCTCCTTGTCGTTTATGGACTTCCATGAATTCATGGTCGACCATTAAACTTTAGAAAAATTAAGATAGAGAGAATGTACTTGTTATTGAGCAGTAAAGGACATTATAATGAGTCCTGAATATTAAATCTCTGAATAGAATTATTAAACTTTTAATAAAAGGTTGAAGTTTAAATTGTGAGATTGAAAGACTTTAAAAATGGCTGATTGTGTCTATATTATTTTATCGTATTTTTTTCGTTTCATTTTCTATTTTATTGATTTTCCCCGGCTTCTGACAGCCTCGTGTTTTTCTTATTAAATCATTTTTTCTCCCTATTTTACGGTTTTTCATCGTATCTTAGGAAACGCTTAATATATGCACAAAAATAACTAGTTAATTCCTTTGGCCCGTTGCCGTGAGACGGCTTCTGTTTGTTAAGGTTTCAAAGTACACCGCTAAGCACGTTCCAAGTTTATTATAGTTAAGGTGAGCCGCTTTTTATTATTATTATTTTATGAAAGAATTTCGATATTAATTTAATTAATTTTACTTTTGATAACATTTCAACAAATAAAACGTGTTTTTTTTTCGATTTGGTTTCGGCCAAAAAAAAGTTTAAAAAAAGAGTAAATTTCTGCCATCGCGGAGCATTTTATACCGAAAATTAAAAAATTAAATTAATTTTTCTTTCACTTTAGGAAAATTTCCTTCACTCTGTTAACGGTCGCTTATTCAGGGCCAATAATCATTGATTTTCTTTAACTCTTAGCTTGGCAAAGACAAAAATTACTACTTTTTTTTAAAGATTCAATTTCAACTTTGTATCTCTGAGGATAAATTGCCAAGTCCAACAAAGCAAAAAAATTTAAAAAATTAAGCTTACAACTCTTTTTCCTAATAAGGGCTAATTTTAACGATAAAAAAAGAAATAGTGATTTTGTATGAAACTTAAAAAAAAAATCAAGTCACTTTTGAGGGGGTGATCTTGGATAACTATGATTTTAGCTACTTTTCCTCAGGTGAAATATCTTTTTCTTGTTTTGACTTCTTTGCATCTGAGGCAAGGAAAAATTGAGCTCCTCCGCCTCCACTTCTTTAGCAACTTTGTAGTTCCCAGACTCGCAATACTTCTTAATTACTAAAAATTTTTATCCTGGACTTGACAATATATTCCTGGAGATACAGTAATAAAAATCATCCATAACATTATGCAAAACATCAAAAATTAAAATATAAAAAAAGAAAGAAATAGACATTTTGTGTGAAATTTTAAAATCTGAGTCAGTTTTGGAGAGGGGTTCTTGGATGTCTAGGATTTTTGGCCAATTATCCACCAGAAAACTAACTTCTTTTTTTGCTGACACTTCTTTCCACCTGAGAGGAGTTAACATTAGCTCTTCCGCCTGCACCACTTCAGCAACTTTGCAGACCTCAGTCTTGCAATATTTTTTTAATCAATAGAATTTTGGGCTTGACAATATCTTCCCAGGAGATACATCAATAATAACTCTTCCAGAACATTATACAAAACATCAAAAAATTAAAACAAAACACTGCTCATATGATAGTTTAAGAGCTAATTGCAATCATTGGGAGCAGGAGTTCAAATTTTGACCTAGTGAAACTTCTTGGCTCCACACCATCAATTTTCCAAAACCTTGTAATAGAAATCTGTGGTCAAGAAATACTTACAAAAGTATTAACAGGTGCACAGATATTCTTATATAGCCAAGCAGCATGGGCTTTAGATTCTGGCTTTAATTAACACAAAGCTGGTCTGGAAATGCCTAAAATATCTCAAGCTCATGGAAAACCAAGTTTTGCATTGCAGTGGAAAAAGGGAGTCTGATCACAAGTGACCCTGACACAAAAAAAAGTTCACCTAAATAATCTTTTTGCATATAACAATCTAGAATATCTATTTACTTTCTTTGTAGTAGTTTTTATTTATTTATTTTTGTAAGTCATTATTGAAAGATCAAAAATGCCCTAGTGTCTAGATTTGAGCCATTTGGCACAAAACAAAATTCCCTACTAATTTTTCCCTTCGAAGTGAAAGTGGTTGTTTTTAACAGATTTCATGTATGTCCTAAAAAATTGCCAGAGGGTCACAAAAACAAAACAAATCAAGTGGAAAGAAATGATTTTTTTCTAATTTTAACTCATGAATAAATAATTCGTTTAATACAAAAAAATTATTTGAAGGCGAGATGGATGACAATCAAGTAGAATTTGTTCTGAAAACCGATAGAAAGTGCCTGCAAACAGCCGTAAATCAAATGGTGAATAAGAGAATAGATAAATGTGGTAGAAATTTAGAGCAGCGCCGGTTAAAGTGAGTCAATTTAAGATATAAATGCTTAAATTTAACAATAAATATTGATTTTATTAATTGTACGTTTTCTTCAGGCTTCATAATTCATTATACGAGGAAACACAACAGCTGAACAAGGAATTAGAAATTTATAATGCTAAAATGAAAGAGATGGAAGAAATTAATAAGAGAACAAAGGCAATGCAGATACAGGCCAGTATTGAAGCTAAAGAAAGAGAAATGGTTGCTCAAAAAGAAGCTCTACGGCATAAGTACAAAACAAATGTGTTTATTATTTTTTCCCACTCTTACCATTTTGACTTAATAGGTTGTATTCCGATGATAAAAAATTTCAAGAATTCGTTAACCAGCGGCATGATGTTGCTATCATGCAAAAGCAACAGATGTTGGAAAAGAGGAAAATTGAATCGAATGAGAAAACACTGGATAAAATTTGGGAGGAAATCAGCAGGGAATGGATTGCCATAACAGTACGTTTAATTAAGAATTATTTCATTATTCAAGAGACAAACTTAAATTATTTTAAAAAAACACTGAATAGAAAATTTAGATTATGAATATATGACAATCATATATTATGGAATACTATACATATGAATAAATAAAATTAATTTTTAGGATACCGAAGAAGCCAGAAAGAAAACGCATGATATAATCAAGAAAAAAATCTACCATGAGAATTTATCAGAACAAATTAGAGAAAAAATGGAATTCGCCAAAGAAGAACTGTACCAGAAAATAATGCAGAAAGTTGAATTAGAAGAGCTCGCAAAACTTCATGAGATCAATATGAAAAAAGGTATTTGGAATGTCTGAATGTCTCAGAGAAACATTGATTTTTAAAAATTGAATTAATCATTAGTTAGGGGGATCGCAGTAACCGAGTGGTTAGGGTGTCTGACTTGTATTTGTCACACTGGTGGTTCTAGGTTCAAATCCCGGCATAGGCCAAGGCATTTTAATTTATTATAGTAAGAAAAATATATTCTAAAGTGGACTTTTTTGATAGATAACAGATAAAAAATTTTGTTAATAAGATTGACCAAGTTTTAAGTGGAAAAGTTTTTTCAAATGCAGGGCAAGAAAACTTTGTGCTTGCATATTTTCCCCACTTTCATGATGAAACATTAAATCATGGATATGTAATCTAATAAGTCCCTAACCTAACTCTACCTTAACTAATCCATCCCTAACCTAAACAAACCTTAACAGACCTAACCTAAACAGACCTAACTCTACCCATAGAAAATATTTTTAATAATTGACCAACTTTTAAAAGTAGAAAAGTTTTTTTACAAATGTTAGCAAATTTTCACCTGCAAATTCTCCTCACTTTCATGATAAAACATTAAATCATGGATATGTAATCTAATCCATTCCTAACCTGATCTAGCCTAAACCTACCTAACTGTACTTTCAGTAATCCATCCCTAATTTAATCTAACAATCTATCCCTATCTAACCCTATCCATTGAAAATCTCTTTACCAAGTTGACGAAGTTTTAAATAGAAAGGTTTCATGGTAAAACATCAAATCGTTGATATGTAACGTTATCCATTCCTAACCTAACGTAAATCAACCTTTGCATACTCCCAATTAACACCAACACTGATCAACCTGTTGTACAAACATATCATTTATGCAGAAGACATTGTAGGGACTGATTGATAACCTAATGATTGAAAAGCAATCTGTTAAAAGCTAGGCAATATGCATATCATACATGGAAGTGTACAGACAGAGGAAGCCTTGGCGCTGTTTATGGATGTGGAAAGGGATTTTAACAATGTCACAACCACGTCCCTGACTAATGGTGGAACACGTCCTCTGTTAGTGCGAAGGCTGCAGGCTGAGATTCAGCCAAGGCCTGATTGATACAGGAGCCTTTAACAAAGCCATGAGCTTAACAAAGAGCTCTAGATAAATGGAGGTTGCCCAATAGACCAATTTTGGCCTTGGTGCAAAATGTCGTAAAGAGGATGATTCCATTTTTTCTTAACTTTAGCACTGGTAATATGATATCGATAGTTATACCCAAAAATATATCCTTTGTGTTTTAGAAAATGAAGAAAAGCAAAGAGAAAGAATGAGAATGGCAAAAGCAAAATATGAAAACTACAAACAGAGTTTAATGGTGAAAAAATTCAAGCGAAACGAAGAGGCTCTGCTAAACAAGTACTACCAGGAGATGAACGCTTATGATCCTTTTGAAGAAAAGTATAGAATACAAAAGGAAAAGGTAGTCAGGGAACATGTATTGACTGCAATAGACATGTTTAATAACTTAATATTTGTAAAATTAACTTTACAGGAACAAATGCGACTGGAATTAGATTTGTACAAAGAACATGTTTTGACGCTGAGACAAAAACAAAAAGAAGAAGATTTATTTGAGGACGAGCTAAGGAAAAAAGAAGCAGCAGAAAAGGAAGAAAAGCAAAACCAAATTATAGAGAGAGAAAAGTTAGAAAGGATCAAACAGGAACAAGTAAGCAGATTTTTTATAACATACTGAAATAAGTTTATTTTATATATTTCTCTACCTAAGGATGTCATGAGGATGAGAATGGAACAGATTTTGATGAAACGTGAAGACCAACCTTACTACTACTACTAAATTTTGTTAATGCATTGCTCAATAAAAATTCTGTATATATAAAACCAAGTTTTTTTCTTATTATTGATTAAATCATGGCTAGTGAAAATAAGATTATTTAATTCCTTCAGAAATATGATAGCCAGGCAGCTCTAGACTCTCAAAGGTGAGATAAACTTAAAACTACCCTGGAAAATGCCTAAATACCCTTTAAAAAATGAGATCTACAAACATGCCTAGGTGAGTCATCATTTTAGATCAACAAGGCAGCAGATATTCCCAAATTTTCCCGTTGGGTCTGGTGTCAAACAGGGTTGCGTCCTGAGCCCTTTTCTGTTTGTCCTTTTTCTTAATGACTGTTGCAACTCCCATTTAAAAAAATAAAAAAATGAGAGAGAGAGAGAGAGAGAGAGAGAGAGAGAGAGAGAGAGAGAGAGAGAGAGATTGAAAAAATTGTAAAGAGGTTGTCTCCTCGAAAATAGAGAATAAATTACATCTATTAGTAGCTTTCCAACGCGCTTGGCACTTGAAAAACAAATTAATTAGAAAACAACCAACCACCGAATACAGAAAATAAGGAAAAACTCACTGCCCTTTACAACAAAATTAAATATATATGAAAAAAGCATAAGTCTGTTACTAAGTTTCTTGACATAGATCCGTCCTCTCAGCTAAGAAGAGAGCTCGAGTCTTCCGATTGTGTACAGGGCCGTAAGCCGTGAATGGTCAAAGGTAAGTGTGATATGGGCAGAAAAAGGATCGATAGAAAAAAAAAAAAAAAAAAAAGCAGTGTGTTCAGCAATATAATGTAATCAACAGCAGTAACAATTCAATTACAAACTATTATAATATTACTTTAGATCACAATATGGCAAAATAAAAATCATGAGTTGATATTTAACATAAAAATTCATTGGTATTGCATGTTTGTTTTTGAAAAAAACCAAAAATAGAATTAAACAAAACAAGAAAAAAAAAGTTAAACAAAATTTGAGTATTTTACAACTCTCATTAGTATAGAAATTGACTAGATTTCTACAGGGTTTTTTTTTTGTTCAATAAGCCTAGTTTTAAAATAGTTTTCCATCCTTGTTGATATAAACATATTTATTTAAAAATACGATGGTAGGAAAGTACCATCCAATTTTTTACATTTGTCGTTACAAACAGATCCAATAGTGTCTGCTGTAACCAATCTTTGTACATCCTTATCCCTGAATAATGCTAACCATAGCTAAAGAACGCTAAAAATATCCACCATGATACGATGTATAATTTTTTCTTGGAATGTTTACTCAAGTCGGATGTAGTTGTTACATTATAAGTGACTCTCTTAGAAACACAAAGTGGATTACATTAATGACTTTGAGTATTTTTTTTTTATTAATTAATTTATTTTTTATCGTTTGGATTTAACATGCAAACAAATTTTTTAAGTGCTACTACAAAAATTGTGTGATCGACAAATCTCGTTAGTCTACTTACATAAATATTGTAAACATTTATAAATGAATAAATTTATAATCCATTTGATTTATCATAACATAATTAATCCCAGTTTCACACGATACACAATTACATACATGCATATTTTCAATTTTTTTAAATTATCCTCATCTTTCAGAACTTAATATGAAATTAAAAGGCAAAATTATGAACTTGTGGATGCCGTTTATGCATTATATGCTTAAAACCTTACTAAAATTATCATTGACACGTATTTGACTAGTATTTTTGTTATTATTATTTTTTTTAGAGTAAATAAATAAAAGTTGACCAGTCTATTAAAGTTAGGCACTCTCGACCTAATTGTATATTCAATATACATGCAAAACACAATTTTTCCATGAACTGTTAAAAAATTAATTTATTAACCTTCATACATGAAACGATATTCTTTTCTGTAATAAATAATCAGTTCATGAAAAAAAAAAATTCATAAGCCAATATCATTAAAATTTCAAAATTATTTTCTAATGGCAAAGTCATCTTATACACATGTCATTTTTTTTCTTATATAATTCACAATTTTTAGTTTCAGACAAAACACACAAAGTTTGCAATGATCAAGCGACAAAAATGCGAAAAAACAATCGACACCGTGGCACTTTGGCTTGAATCCACCACAGCGAATTAATTGCAATTCAAGCGGTTAAAAACTCTGCAGTAAATAATTTAGCTTAAGTTTAATTGCCATGTAAAGCATGAGTACCTCAGAACTTAATTAGTAATAGTAATAAAATTGGCAGTTTAATTATAAAGTAAATAATTTCCAAACACTTAAGCCATTTCACTTGTTTCACTTTTCAAAACCAATACAAAATAATGAGTATTTTCTCGTAATCAAATAACATAAGCAGAAGGTGAAAAGAGGAAATCATTCGAACATAACCAAAGGAAATTATTTAAAAAATAAACCTATTATGTTTTGTAGCTTTTTTGTTTCAATTAAAAGGATTTAAGAAAGAGATTTTATGAATAACAAAATAGCAGACAGTATAAGCATTATAAATTTTGAACTTCAGGTGAAAAAGTAATTAAATACTTCAATATATATATATAAAATAATTTCTAAGCAAGAGTGATGTTTACACAAACTTATTACATATACACAACTGTATTACTTTAATTTGCGATATTTACAAGATAGTCGATTATATTTCCTCTTGACCCTCACTTATGTCAGTCTATACTTACATATTAACGAAACATAAAAAAATGAACATTACATGAGAAAATTAGAATGGTGAAAACTTGTTCGAACCAAAACAAATACACTTAAACCGAACTTTCAATTCTGTACACACCTGAGCACCATAAAAATATATAAAAATAACAAAACTATCACACATTTGACTTAAAAAATAAAACAAAAACAAAAACTTGCAAATATGTTTAAAAAATATGGCAAAAAAATGAATATGTAAACACTAAAGATGACGGAGCCTATCACAAATTCATGAAGCTTGGTAAATTACTAAACAACATTCAATAACATATAAAACTTTACCTACTAAACGAATAAATAAAAAATATTAGTCTTTTTTGGTTTTTTAAATACTAAAACTAAACTGTCAAAGGGCCAAAATGTAATATAATACGTCTTATGCATTATATACAGACAAAACGCAAAGTATATGTGCAGCACTGTTTAATATGGAATAAAACTAAAAACTATTTATAAATCTACATATACATATTTACAACAAGAGGAACTGATACAATAAATAAAATCCTTTTAAACCAATTTGCTGCTAATGTGTTACATATCAAAATACATCTTACAATTCCACAAAGTTCACTCCTTAGATGGTCTCATTCAGTATTGGATTTAAAAACAAGACATGTTAAAAAAACATTAATTCAGTCAATTATTATTCACCTCCTATAACCTAGTCATTCTTAACTTACGCCTTAGACACTTTTCTGTTATTTAATATTAATTAAAAGATATAAATTCTATGTTTAACTAGGTTGGTTCTAAATATATACTGGTGTTTCTTGCCCTGTCAATAGCCTAAACATAGATGTTGGCATCGTTTTCATAAGAATCTGCAAAGTAAAATTTTTTTTAAAATTAGGACAATGAAAAACAAATTCTTTGTAAATACAGTGGAACTATAAGTAGACACCACTTGGGAATGGGATTTTGTCTACTAATTATAATGGTCCATAATAGAAAATTTAAGTGAAAGTAAATACGGACACTTGTAGTTTGACCTTTTCTCTGATGGAGAAAATTTTTTTTTACTGCATTTCTGAATCGGTTTGTCACAAGAAGAAAAGTTTGATACAAGAGTACAAGAGAACTGACTGAATGAACAGGAAGCAATAAAGTGGTTTGAAAGGGATATGAAAATTTTCAAAACATTAATGTATGCAAGTCACACCTAAAAAGACATCTGCCAAAATGGAAATTTGACTGTTTTTTCTTTTTGCTGTCTACTTACAAGAGACTTTTCCATTTTTGCTTAACCAGGTTGGATTACTTTAGGAAAGGTGGGAGTTAGTTAGGAGTTAAAGTTAGGGACAGGTTAATTTAGGTAGTCAAAACAAGTTTGGTTAGGTAAGGTTACAATGTTGATTGGGTTAAAGTTAGAACAGATTTGGTTATGTTAGGAAGGGTTAGAGTTAGACAGGTTAGGTAGGGTTAGAGTTAGGGACCGATTTAGTTAGGTAGAGTTAAAACGAGTTGGGTTAGGTTAGTAATAGTTAAGTTATAGCGTTAAAATTATGTATGGGGTTAGAACGGGTTAAGTTAGGTAGAATTAGAGTGAGTTAGGTTAGGTTAAGTAGGGTTAAAGTTATGTAAGGGTTAAGTTAACAAGGGTTAGAGTTGTAATGGTTAGTTGGGTTGGGTTAGGTTAGTAATGGTTAAGTGAGGTAGGGTTATAGTTAGAACAGGTTGAGTTAGGTTAGATTAGGCAGGGTTAAATGTAGAATGTGTTGGGTTTGGCTATTTAGGCAAATAACAGAGTGTGTAAAAGATCATGGGGACATAAGGGCAAACCACTGCAAACAACCTCAAAAGCAGTATTGCACACAGAGAAAATAATGTTTTCTGTGTGGTGGGATTTTAAAGGTGTTCACTACGAGGTTCTAGCCTCAGGCTTGCTCACAGTTAACCCAATTAAAGTTTTTGCCAACTCAATAAAAGAAAAACAAATAACTTTAAAGTCTGTGCCGTTAGAGAATTTTTTACCAACAATAATATATTTTAAGACCCTTGAAGATATACTTAATAATAAGAAAATACTTATAAAGCCATCATAGTGATTTATGTAAATAATCATGATTTATATTAAAAATGACTTACTTCACCAACTGAAGTGGCTAACAAGTTCACAATCTTTTCATGAGGAACAGCTACAACGCTCTGATTGTTTATTTCGATTATACGATGTCCTACACGGACGCCACCTCTCTCTGCGATTCCCCCACGCAGTAGACTGCAAATCTGAAATTGATGAAGTAATACAATAATGCTAAATTTTTTTTGTGCTTGGCTTTATATAAGTTAATAAATTTGTAAAACATATTCATACTCAACAAAGGACAAGGTGAAACCAAAAAATAGCCAGTAAAACATCTATTCAATATTTTAAAAAACCAACTTACAACTCCATTTTGCACACTGAATCCAAGTTGATATTTTGTGTCTGGTCTCTTAATTTTTACTTCAACTACTGGTGCACAGGGAACAACTGTCAACTTGACAACAGTCTGCGTTTTGGAATTCTAAAAAAATAATGAGATGTTTAGTGATACAATCAAAGGCCCAGAAAAAGTGTTAAAAGCAGAGTGAACAATTTACCTTGATATAATTTTGACAAGTAGATAATGGTAAACCTACTAAACTCACGCCATTTATTGCAATTATTTGATCACCGATATTCAGTTGACCACATCTAGCTGCTGCTCCAGCTGGAGCGAGGTTTGCAATAACTACAGTCGGAAGCATCGACCCCCATCCAGATTCGACAATGACCACTCCTAGAATTTCACCTTTTGCTTTTGGGACTACGACCTGTGATCATGTAACAGCCCAATAAAGGTTTTGTTTTTCTCCTTAAAAACTCAATTTTACCTCACCTCTTTTTGCATTTCTTTTTTTGCAAACATTTGTAACTCATCACCGAAAATTTCTTGAGAATTGAGAACTTCTTGATAGTCCATTTCTTTTACAAAACTATGATCTTCTATTCCATTTGCTTTTAAAAATTCCATATAAGCGACTTGGAACGCTTGGCCGATTGACTGTGCTATGAATTGTGCCTGTAAAAACAGATATTTTATAAACCGATGGCTTTTTGAATGTAAAACTGAACAAATTTTGACTGAATAATAGTTACCTCTTCACTTTCAAAAACATGGCAAATCATTTTTGGAGTTCTATTGATCTTTGGGGGTTCATCTACTTCATGTGGTATAAATCTTCTTCGTGCCATAAGAACAACTAAATCCCCTATATCTGCTATGTAAGAAATGGTGCGTAGAGCATGATCCATCATTATCTCCTAGAAGTATTTTATACAGATTAGGCCATGCCTTGAGTACTATAATAAAAAAATTAAGGTAAAGTACAAAATGGCATGCTGAACTTGGAACAATTACAATTTTTTTGTGCACTAGATAATATTTTTACGAGGAAAATACTCCTTCGTAAATTAACATGCATTACTTCACCTTAGACCAGTTTAAATAACTAAAGCTTATGTAATAAATATTAATCAAATGTATCAATTAAACTTAATAGCTATACCATTTTAAAAGTTGCAAAGTAAACATAAAACAATATTTTTAATGGCATACTATTACTCAATTTATTCAAAGTGTCCAAAATTATATTTAGTAGTTTACTGGTGGTTGTGGTCTGTGTACATTATTGTACTACATGATGTAATACATGGATTTATACCACACCATATATGTTACACAATTTCCTTGTTTCTGATTGGAACATTGGAATAACAAATGCCTCAAAAAATTTTAAACTATACAATACAATATTAAACAAATATATATTTTTGGGCTAGATACACAATTTTTTGCGTGATTATTTTTTATGTTGCCATGTTAGATTAGCTTGGTGATGAGTTAGGTACGGTAGAGTTAAAATTAAGGACAATTAATGGCCAGAGTTAGAATGGGTTGGGTTAGAGTAAAGAAAATATTAGATTATGGAGAGTTAAAGTTAGGGATGGTTTAAGTTAGGTTAGTAATAGGTGGGATAGAGTAAGGGATGGGTTAGGTTAGGTAGAGTTAGAGACGGGTTAAGTAAGGAAGAGCTAGAATGGGTTAGGTTAGGTAAGGTTAGTTATTGGGTTGTCCGGAAAATAATGCAGGATTTTAAGTTTTCATTAAAAAAAATCTATATAAAATATTCTGTTTACGTTTACAGGATTACTCATTTGTATGAATGTCAACACTTATTAATCCTCTTCCAAATGATATTGTTTGTTTACCTCTGTAGCATTCCGCTACTTGGAAATAATTCAGTCATCCTTATAATGTCAAAGCGAGAATTTCGTACGATTTTCTTTTACGAGTTTAAACTCGGCCGAAGCGGAGCCCAAACGGCTAGAAACATTAACCAAGTCTGGGGCGAGGGTTGTGTTAATGAGTGCACTGTGCAAAGGTGGTTTAAAAAATTTCGGGAGGGAGATTTCAGCCTTGAAGATGAAGAAGGTCGTGGAAGGCCTTCCTCTCTTAATGATGATGTTCTGCGATCAGTGGTGGAAGAAAACCCCAAAACAACTGTTCGAGAACTTGCAGAGCAACTCAAAGTCAGTAAAACGACCGTCGCTGACCACCTCAAGGCGATTGGAAAAGTGAAAAAACTCGAAAATTGGGTTCCACACTCATTAAACGATCGCCAAAAAAATCAGCGCTTTGATGTTTGTGCATCACTTCTTTGTCGAAACAAAAATGACCCATTTCTGGCCAGAATTGTTACATGTGACGAAAAGTGGATTCTGGACAGTGGCTCGACAAAGGAGAAGCTCCAATACATTTTCCAAAGCCCCCAACTCATCAAAAAAAGGTAATGGTTACGGTATGGTGGGCTTCATTTGGTTTAATACACTACAGCTTCTTAAATCCTGGCGAAACCATCAATGCTGAATCATACTGTAACCAAATTAATACCATGCATCAGAAATTGGCAGTAATGAAGCCCTCTTTGGTCAATCGGAAAGGGCCCATTTTGTTGCATGACAACGCTCGACCACATGTGTCACGTGTAACGTCACAAAAATTATTGGAGCTTGGCTATGAAACTTTGCCTCACCCACCCTCCTCTCCGGACCTCTCGCCTACTGACTACCATTTTTTTAGACACCTGGACCACTACTTACAACACATAATATTCAAAAATCAAACGGAACTGGAAAATGCATTTATTGACTTTATCAATTCTAAAAATTCTGAATTCTACTCAGACGGAATTAATAAGTTACCAACACGTTGGGAGAAATGTATTGAGAGTATGGGAAATTATTTTGATTAAAGAACATTGCTTTAAAGTAACTAGTTTCTTTTTTTTTGTTTAATACCAAAATCCTGCATTATTTTCCGGACAACCCAATAAATTGGATTGGATTAGGTTAAGTAGGGTTAAAGCAGAATTGGTTGAGTAAGGTTAGGTAGGGTTTGAGTTAGTGCAGGTTGTTCTAAATAAGGTTAGAGTTAGAATGAGTTGGGTTAGGTTAGGTAGGGTCAGAGTGGGTTGGATTAGGTTCAGGTTAGGTTACATATGTATGATTCAAAGTTTTTTGTGCTAAGCACGGGATTTATCTACAAAGATGTCCAGTTGGAAATATTTAAAAGTTTTTTACCCTGGTTTAGTTTTTTAACAATTTCTACTATTTACTAATGCAAATTTGATTCAAGGTATAGGCAACTTATGAAATAAAAATTTTCAGGAGCATGTTAATTCTTTTTGAATGGCTCTCAAACCTAATAAAAATGATGAAACATTTATGAAAACTATCTGAAGGAGTTGTTTTGGTCAGATCCAATTGATGTAAATCATCTCCTTTATGTGTACACAGAGCTGCTTCAATGCTAACCCTTTGAGGATCCTTGATAAGAAATAGTTCAAAAGAAAAAACAATAATAGATTAAATTCCCTCAAAAATAAAAATGCGATGGATATTTGGTGGAATATACATATACATTACATTGGTAAGTGAATGAGCCATAATGTATGTTCTTTATTTATATATTTATATAAATGAAGAACATACATTATGGCTCATTCACTTACCGGATTTCAAATTCATTGCTATATTCTTAATAAAGCATGAATTTAAAATTAAACCTAAAGGATGATAGAAACTTTCTTTATAGCATATAAATAGACAAATAAAAAAACATTACAACTTGCCTTACTGGCTACACAAGGTGATAATTAGGTCTAAATATACAGTAGTGAAGTACAACGTATTACTTATCGTGTGAGTACTTGTTACATAACTCTTAAATACTACAAACATATGTATTCATTTTTTTTAAATTGATACACAATAAATACCACTGCAACGAAAACTGCAAGGTAACAAAAAATCACCTTTTTTTAAGAATATACATTACTACTATCAAATATATAACTGAAAAGAAAGTTTAAGACAGTGGATGTTGTGTAACAATGAACAATTTTGATTTCAACTGTTAGTGACATCATAGGGATTTTATAAACTTAATATTGTAACATGATACAAATCATTGCAACTCATATTTATACTCTTGTGCTTGGACTTGTGTAGAAAACAACGCAACACAGGAACATGCATAGTGAGACAATTAAAATTCATGCATTTTTAATTTTTGGCCACAATAACTAATAAAATGGGAAATAACAGATAAGTCGAACAGCCGTGCTACAATAACAAAAGGACTTGGTAAATTCACTCCGTAACAATATATAAATGCAGACTTTAATCTTCGTTTAATATGGTCATAAAAATATGTAGTAAAAAAAAAGAAGAGAAAAAAAACATAGGTCATGAGTATGAGAATATGGATTGTAACTCTCACATTACTACCTAGTAAATTTTTATTTCTTCATATAAGGTAGTTTTTAATTGGTGTAAGAAATACTTAACCACAATATGCAAGGAAGTATTTTATTAGAAAAATAAGAATTATGGTAAAAGTGAGCTGATGATATTCAATTATTAACTTATTCCATTTAAAACTATTCAATTTAGATGGTTGATAGGCTAATAATACTGTTTAAGGTAGTAATATAATATATAATTGTTTTTTTAGACCAACCAATGGTTTATTAGATATTTTAAAACTTAGTATGGTCAATTAAGCACGGCTGTCAACTATTCAGGTTAAAATTTGAGTCTGGAGCTTTGTTTTGAATAAGTTAGGGATAACACACTAGGACAAGTCATTGTAAAAAAAAAATAATTTTTAATATCGTAAGGAACCTACTTTTAAATCAGTGTTGAGGACCATAATTTTTTCAGTTGAAATAAAAAGATCAACTTCTGTACTGGGTTGTGTTTCTCCTTCTGGTGCCTGAAGAGTATATACATAAATTAGAACAATTTTCATTTGTATATTATACCATCATGGATTGTTTGACCTTAAGTGGCATTAGAAAAAAAAATCACACAAAGTTAGTCAATCAAGCTAATTTATTTTTTATTGAATATAAGCCTTTTTTTTAAATTCATTCCACTTTTGGTCTGTGAAAGCACATTTTACACGATGATCCATGATTTACAAAAACATATCCTAAACTCATTTAAAAAATGTTTTACAAAATCATTAAATAAGTTTTATCAATGTTATTAAAACATATATATATTTTTTAAATAACTTTTATAAAACTTATTTTGTTTTTCTCAACTTCAATAAATTTAACATAATTTGCATAAACAAAGGTTTAACAAAAATGTCATTATTTGGCCATTTTTTAAGAGGAAAGCAAAAAATACAAAACTTAGTGGTACCAGTGGCAATGTATAGGTACAATTGTAAATAAATTTTCATTGAGCAAGTATACAATATAGCTTTTTTTCAGTCGAATTAACCTTTTTTATTTTCAGATTGATCTTTTTTTAACTTCAAATTAATTTTTTAATTTCAAATTAACCTTTTTTAATTTCAGATTCATCTTTTTTAATTACAAATTAACTTTTTAAATTTCAAATTATCCATTTTTTATTTTTCAAAACTCCTTTTTAACTTTAAATTAACCTTTTTAATTTCAAATTAACCCTTTTTGACTTTAAATTAACCATTTTTAACTTTTTTAACTTAAAATAAACATTTTTAATTTCAAATTAATACTTTTTATGTCCAAATTAACCCTTTCTTTAAAGCTTTAAAAAACTTAAGAGATGGTATGAAATATGAGCAGGCAACATAAAATTCCTGTATTTTTTCCAATTAGTTTTCAAAAATCAAATAATTAGACTCAAGAAGACCATATGAAGAATAATGACAATTAAAATTAAAAATTATATAATTAAATATAAAAATAAAGGATCTTTCTTTTAATTTGAGATAAAGTGATGTAAAATTAAATTATTCTTCTACTAATTTCAGAATTTTTTAAAAACATAAAATAATTTGTCTCTAAAATAATTACTTTATATTTACAAAATCTTGAATTAATAGACAAATCACACAAATTATATTTAATTTAAATTGTAAATAATTTTCATGTGGTTTTTTTTTATATGATAAGCATTTTATTTTTTTTAAACTTCTCAAATTAAAAGAATAAGCATTTATTTTTATATTTAATTATATGTAACTTTAACCATTTTGTTTAAACTTCTCAAATTAAAGTTAAGCCTTTATTTTTAATTACTTTTAATATGATATTTTAGGTAAGAAACAATTGTATTTTTTGTTATTTCTGAAATTAAAAGAATAATCCCTAGTTTATATTTTGAGTAGTAGTATGTATAGTGTTTATGGGCTGGCAAACATCAAGCGGTCATCGCTAACCCTATGCACATTAAATGGAAAATTCTTTTTTTCTCCTTCATGCATCTTTGTCACTGATTCTCTCATATTTTGTCTCCTATTTCTTAATTTGCTAACTTCCAGTTTTAATTTGAGATAAAGTGATGTAAAATTAAATTATTCTTCTACTAATTTCAGAATTTTTTAAAAACATAAAATAATTTGTCTCTAAAATAATTACTTTATATTTACAAAATCTTGAATTAATAGACAAATCACACAAATTATATTTAATTTAAATTGTAAATTAATTATTTATATATAATTATAATACTTTACATATACTTTATATACTTTTATATATAATTGTAATAACTTTTAATTTTTATTGTAAGTAGTTTGTTCTAAGAGACTAACTAGTGTAAAGTTTTTTTAATGCTTTAAATTAAGGGTTAATGTGATATTACAAGAGGTTAACTTGGTGAAAAAAGCTATACCTAGAAAGAACAAGAAAAATGCAAATTTCAGCAACTTCAGAATTGCAGCATAAATGACAGTTCATAATAACTTGAGTTTAAATCCTTAACAAATTTATTTTAGTTATTAAATTCTTGAAATTTAAATGAAGTTGGTCGATTGAATTGATCATAACATTTTTACTGTATTTGAATTGACAGAGGTATCGTACTAAGTTTTCAGACAACACTCACTACAATGAATATATATATTATATGTATAATTTAATTACTACTTACCAAGGCCTTTAAGGTATGCATAAAACAAAACAATATGTAAATAAAAGATAAATACAATTTCATTCTCAATTTGTGTTAATATTAATTAACTTTCATAAGCAAGTGAGACTGTTATTATTAATTAAACGTATATTTGTTTGTAAACATGTCATGCAAATCAAAAGTTTTACTTTAATATTTAAGTATGTTAAAATCGTTTTCCCAAAGCAAGCAGTATAGTATGCAAATGTGATTAATAAGATACTTTCTAACCAAGGAAGGCAACCTTACTTTAAAATAGAAATATGCTTGTATGTAGGGAAAATGAGGGATTGATCAATGGTAAGGATATATTATTTTTGTCACATTTATTTTCTCTAACCGCCTTTCACATTGTTGTGGCAAAGAGTGAACATTTCACTTTGAAACAAGGACCTTTATTTTGAGTACAGCCTCTTCGACCATGGCTTTCTTCAGTTTCCGTTGGGATATTCCTTCATTTTCATCTTCGTTAACTGCGACAGAGCCAAGAAATCGAAGTCTGAATAGTGATCCTGGGCCCAGTTCATCGAGTTCAAAGTGTGAAGTCAATGTGTCATCAGAGTCGCTCTCCTTAGCAAGGTGGCAACCAGCATGATGAGATACCTAAACCCAACCACCACTCTCACTATGTCACAATTTGTTCTAGCCATAGAGTAACTTTAACAGCTTTTCACTGACTTCTCATTATTAATTAAATAAAATAAAGGGCACTGAATTTTTATAGTGCAACTATTAAGTCAGAAATACTGTTGATATTATCACTAATTTTAATTTGTTTAATTTGCTTTCTCTTTTTCATCAATTTTAATCAGTAAACTCATGGCTATATTTAGCCATCATTAGTTTGTATTGATTCACATTGCAAAAGGAGTCTTGACAAACCAAGCTTAACATTTTTTATGAAAAAGTATTCATCATTAATGACACTACACATTATGTAGTAATTTAACAATTAGAAAATTGATTATTTCAATGGCATTTTCAATTTTTAAAGGAATATATTAGTTAAATAAGTTTTGGTTATTTATCAGCAAACGGTGTTAAATAAGTTTTGCTTATTTGCTTGTGTTAAATAAGTTTTGCTTATTTAACAACGTAGGTCATATCAACACCAGGATGCCGGTGTTCTAAACCCTTGGGTTCAAATTAAGGGCTTCTGAGATTCGAACCCGGGACCCTTACAGTGATGACCTGCCGTGTGAATGCTTTACCCGTCATGGCCGCTGACACCTCTTTTTTAAAACAATTAAAATGACTTATATAACAATATTGATCCTTTGATGAGAATTTCACTTTTAAAGTCTCATTTTGAAATTTTTATAAAAGTGAAAAAATAAATAAGAAAAGTTGAGCTTGGAGATTATCAAGACTCAAATATTTACAATTAAATTTATAACACATGTTTAATTATTATTTTTATATTATATTAGAAATATGTAATTAAACTGTACATCAAGAATAATGATTTTGTCAGAGTTTTTTTTTTTTAACGTACTATTTAGAATTTTATTGCCCAAATAATATACAGATAATATTGTTTCCACATTTATAAACAAAATTTAAGCAAAATAATGGGTATTGTAAACAATATACAATTTAATAAATAAGCATAATTAAAAAAAGGGGGAAAGTGCGAACATTCCTAGTGCAGTGCTAGGGAGAACACTCAATTGGCAACTATTTGTTTAATTAAAACAGAAAGTGTTTCATTTTAAAAGAATTTAGAATAAAATTCAATGCGAAAACAAACTGATTATGAAGACCTGAGTTATAAGGTGCTATTCTTTAAGCTTTTTATCCATTTCAAGTTCATCATCTTTTTCTATCTTGCAAATTAGCTTGTTTTTCTTCTCTTTCAAAAACAAATTTCTCTTTTTAATGTATTAAATAAAGCTGCGACTGGAGCATGTCTTAAGATTTAAAAATATTTCTCCATGCCATTCCCTATATTCTACTAAGATTTGGAGCATACAGAAATAGTTTAAAAACAAAACATATATCCTCAAATTAGTACAAAAAATACAGCAGGTTGTGATTAATAGTTGTGTGACACTTTATAAAATTTAAAAAAGCATTATGAGCACGAATATCCTAAATACAGTACATAAATTGAAATTACTCTTATTATTTGTATTAAGGTAAAAAAAAATACCTGCTATGACTTAGGACAGCAGGAAAGTTACCATTAGTATCAGTGTTAAATTTTTATGCAAAAGTATTTATTTGGGTGGGACATTTAACTTTTGAATATTATTATTAATAGTTTTAATCTTCAAAAAGTGTCACGGGTAGAAAATGGTGCAATGTACATCTCATATATTTTGTAAACTTTCAGAAAGTAACAGGTTGTAAAATAAATCTGTAGCGTTTTTTTAAATTGTAAATTCAATGAAAATTCAGGTGTTACATTATTAGACGAATTCAATCAATTATTTTGTTCTGCTACCTGTTGCCACCTGTCAGATAATTTTGTAATTCCATCCTTACAGAACGTTTTAGTTTTTTTGGGGGTTAGGTTAGGTAAAGTTAGAGTTAAGGACAGGTTAGGATACATAAAGCTAGAGTAAAGGATGGGTTAGGTTAGGTAGAGTTAAGGATGGGTTAAGTTAGGTAGTGTCAAAGTTAAAATGGGATGTGTTAGTTTAAGTAGAGTTAGAGTTAAGGACGGGTTAGATTAGGATTTAGAATGTGTTGGGTTAGGTAAAGTAAGCAAGGTCAGAGTTAGAACTGGTTGGGTAAAAGTTAAGGATTGATTAGAATGGGTAGGGTTGGATTGGGTTAAGGAGGGTCAGAGTGAGAGTAATTTTGTAATTCCCTCCTTCCAGAATTCCCCTCAAGTTTTTAAGCGATGAATTCCTCAATGTTTTTCTGCAGCTACCGAGTGTAGTAAAGTTTTTACAGCTAAGTTCTAACAATTTCTGGAGCATCTGCAAGTTGGCAAGCATTATCCTGGTGGAAAACAATCTCTTACTAATCGCCAATGCTAGTTTGGTCAATGCTGACTTAAATGCTTCAACTGTGTGGAGTATACTCAAGAATTAACGGTTTAGTTGGGTGAAAGCTCATGATAAAGCATCACCTTCCAATACCACCAAATGCACAACAAAAACTACCTACTTATTTTACAAACCAACACATCCTGTAATGCAACATTTCATCGATTATCCAAAAAAATTCAATTTTAACAATTTACGTTACATTAGAAAAAAATTCATACATATAATTCTGTATTATTTGTGGAATTTCTTTTAGAAACAGGTTAGGTTAGGTAAAGGGGTCAAAATAGAGGGGGGAACAAGACATTTATAATAGTTTTATGAAGTGAAAGTTATGCTTAGTGTGGTCAATTTTACAATAAAAAGCAAATTCCAGCTTGTATAAGATGAGGGACTTTTCTAATTTATATTTCAAACAAAGCAGCTCAACTTAATTTTATCTTATCTTGGCATTATTGTCGATGTCACATGAACTTGAATTTACCAATTTAATTTTAAAATATATAAATTTTTTTTATCATATTTGAAATCGGTTCGAATTCCAAGTGCTTTTCTTGGGTTTCTTTAAGTCTTTTTTTTCAGTTAACAGTTTAATTCAAATAAATGCATCCAAATGGTAACATAATTAACTTGAGGTATAATATGCTTTATAAATATTAATCATTGTGTTTTATAAGAATTCTTAATACTTATCTTTGACAGTTCTTTACTGGTACAATTATTAGAGCTTGATGCAAGAGACAGAAATTCCTTTATGTGTTGGAGAAGTTATCAAAGGTTTAATGCATCTCTTTAGAAACTTTCCACTGAAAATATTAATAACTTTTACAGACAACTCTCCATAAGTTGAACTTTGATAGTTGAACAAATTGTCTGGTTGCATGTCATTATAGGTAAATTTCCCAATAAGTTAAATTCGAGAAACTTTCACCACCAACTCTTGAGTGCCAACACATCAACATTTCACCATCTTCAGTACATACCTTATGTCATGACTTCTTTAACTGTAAAAGTCTCGCCAAAAAGTGCCTTTGAAAACCCAAAGAAACGAGGTAGGAACTGTACGATGGGCGATGGGCATCACATTCTTTGAGGTGAATAGAGATTCAGATTTACTGACTGACCAACATTGTTTTCCATTTATTTAAAATAGTAACAAATAAACAAATTGACCAGTTGGGTAAACCTTCCTCAACAGAAGTTCAAATCATGGAACATAGTCCATAATGGGTCATATTGAGCAGTTATTGCATGCTTGGGATGCTTACTATTTTGTCTCATCCACCACACATATACCAGGATGTGGGGACATCAGTGTATCATTCCACAGACCAGAGGTGGAAATCTCACGATTATTACTCTTTTGTTTCTTTTTTATTTTATAAATTCACTAATTTCGTGGTCTGCTTGACCAGTTAATATTTATTTTATAAGTTGAACATCAACATCAATTAAGTCAAATTTTTGTAATCGAATTGTAATCAGTAGAACAATGTTTGCCCCCTTGAATTTCAACTTACTGAGCTGTGTATCATAACTTTAATCTTTTTGGTTAATTCTGTAAGCAAAGATTGTTTTAATTAAAAATAGTTTTAAATATTAATTTAATAAAATGACATCACACTCTTTTCTATAAAGGATAAAACTCATTATGATTCCAGTGTACTAAATAATTCTCATAAATAACACACATTCAAATTAAATAACTTAAAAATATATAATCCCAACAAAGTAAAATAAAACTATTCGGGAAAACATATTTAAAGAAAAAAAAAACTATTCCTCCCTTGGCAAGATACCCTTATTAAACTGCCACAATACTCGCCAATAAAACAAAACAAACTTTTACACGCACACACACGCACGCACGCACACACACACGCACAAATAAGTAAATAACAAAGAAAATAAATAAAAAATACACACTATGCTGTAATGGATTGTAATAATCAATATGCACAATAAATCACAGACCGAGACAATAAAAACACATGCACCTTGTTACAATAAGTGATTTAAAGATTTAACCTTTTTGTTGTTTAAAATTACACATTCAAATAATTTACAAAAATAAAAGAAAAAGATTAATCTAGCAAATTAGTAGAATTAATATTTATTTGTATTTTACTGCAGTAATCATTTTTATTTATTTATTTATTTTTGTATGTATAACAACATACAAGAACAAGAAAGAGATATTTTCACCAAATTATTAAAATAGTTTTTAAAATTATCAACATTTTATAATACTTTTCTGTATTTGAGGATTGTACCAACAATCAGGTATATTAATTGTCCATAAAATGCCACAGCAAAAACATTTGATCGACATAAACTTAAATGTTGACGATGTTACTAAAATGTAGTTTTTATATGCTTTATCCTTAAATGACTAAAACGTGTTTTGCAAACTTAAGAAAACAATATTCCTTACCTTATATGCAACAAAGTTTAATTTCCATTAAAATCTTTATTGTCAGAATTTTCTCCTGCTTAGCTATCTAACTTGAGAAACAGATTGGATATTTTATAGAATTTTCCGAATACTACACTGTAGTGCAATGGGTACATAATGAAAAGGGGAAAAGTAATGATAAAACACTTGGCGTAATGGATGGTAAAATGATTATGATTTTCTCTAAAAAAAATATCTAAGGTAAATTTTAAATATTCCAAATTTAGATAAAAACAAACAGTAAGTGCTACTTTGCATCTCGCTTTTAACACAACCACAATAAAATAAGATAAATTATAACAGAACAAGAAGAGCAACTATATTTTTAGTAGCGACCACAATTTATGTAGATATAAACACGGCAACTGACAAAATATACTAGGTGATTTAATTATTTTCTACACAGACTTTCCACAGTCGTAAGGTGGTTTACAATTTGTTATTATTTATGCTTAAAAAAAATTTACATCACTGTTAGTCTTCTATTAATAATTATGCATTTATATACAAATGTAAAAAAATAATCTTGTTCGATAAATGTCGAATGCTAAATAAACCTGGACTGGCAAAAAAATTAAATATAATTAAAATTCCTTAAGACAATTCTTTCATTTGTGAAGAACATGTAGCCTGTCGAATACTAGTCAACTGGACTCGCAATTCTTTAAGAGATTCTTCAAGAATCATGAACTGTTTGAAAAACCATAACAATATTGGCCTTCATTGTGGCCTTGTATTTAGAAAATATATGATTGGAAATAGAATCAATGGGACAGCTCTCATGTTTTATTCGGTTTTCAGTATTATTTTATATTTTATTACTATAATCCCATTAATAGGACACTTTCTTCAAGATTTTGCGCCTATAAAATCTACCATGCATACGAAATTTCTAGATGTATGATCGATTTTTAAACATGCAACTGACATGCTGTCAATACAAGTGCTAAGGGTTATAATGCGAAAAATATGAGCATAAGTAAAATAAAAAGTACACATAAATTGTTTACATATTCATGATAATGAATAAATAAACAAAAAACAAAACGTTTTTGATATTTACAAGGGAAAATTATTAAACAATATTACCTTGATTCGAGACACGGCTTCCTCAGCTTGCATCATCCTGGTACTTTTCGTCGGCTGCCCTTCGCACACCAACTGTGTTGAGCCAAGGTATCGTGCCCGGAAAAGAACTCCTTCAATTAAAACTGCAGGTTCGTGTATCATAACTGTAATCAGAATATTAATAAAAAAAATGGTTTATATATTTTATTTAATTAATATTTAATAAACACCTTCTTCCACTTACCACGGATAAGGTAAGATCCGAGAAGAGAGTATGCAAAAAAGTTCATTTATCAATTAAATACAAAATATAATTACATGATCAAATTTAAAATCGAACAAAACACTCATCAATCATAAAATAATACATGCAAAAATGTGTCGCCATCACTGAAATATTGATTTTGTAACAATTTTTGTAATTGTAACAATATTTTATAATATGCCAGATAGCATATATCAAAGACAAGAACACAAAAAGAGAAAATTGGTGGCTGTGTACTGAATCAGTGTTCATAATATTGTTTTTTCTGTCAAATTAACCATTTTTTACTTCAAAATAACCTATTTTTAAATTTAAAATTACATAAATCGGATCCTGGTTAAAGAAGATTTAGTTTTTCTGAAACAATGTTTGGAAATAGTTTATTTTGGAGGAACTACTTGGGAATAGTTGCTCTAAATAGAAAATTTATAAACCATTGGATTAACCATCAAAAACCTTTCATTTTTTTCAAATATATTTTACAAGGAACTAATTATTATTATTATTTTTACTAGTTAAATTTGTGTGACATCTTGTCTTTAAATTAGTTTATATAACCAAATTGAATAGGTTTTGTTGCAATTATCTATAATCTTACTAACCTAACTGTGATAAAGAAATTTCAATAAAAACCGTCATACCTTCTTTATTTCTTCCTTTCTTTTTGGTATTATCCTTTTCCTTAAACAGAAAATAAATAAATAAATACAAAAACTTGGTTATAATTCTCTTGATATTAAGACTCTTGGACAACACTTACTTTTTTATTCAACTTTAGATTTGTCGAGGAGTCTTCGGGAGGAGAATTGTCAGGCGATTTCGGTGATGCTTCAGGAGGTGAGTCATGAGACTGTGTCGGAGAAGGAGAACTTTTGCTATTCCGTTTTTTACCTTTTCTCCAACCCTAACAGATTTTTAGATTGACGTTGAATGCATTGTACTGTACAAATCTATTCGATACAAATAATAACCAGATCATACCATTTTGTCATCAAAAAAATTAGGATCTTCAGTGCGTTGTTGACCTAGCAGTCTATCGGTCTCCAAATCAGTGTCAGCTTCATCTATACATGTCAAACAACACCCTTAAAGCCATGCATTAAAACATTTTTTTATTTTTAGATAGCTAGATTTTGGCTTTTTTCCATTTAATAAGGCTTAGAAAGTCTGTGGTATTCTCTAAACACTAGGACAATAGGAGTAGGGTACTGATGATGGTTGAAGGTATCTGGGCAGGGTGTAGGACATTTAGATGTAATGGTTCTAAAGGGTGTTGATCAGGCCTGATCATATGGCCTTTTTTTTTTTTTTTTTTTTTTTTTTTTTTTTTTACGAGGGTTCGCAACAGCAGAGGTCTTATAAACCCTCAGGGTGCCGGTGTTTTTGAAAAAAAGCCCATTTGTAAGTATGTCTGGTTTGAATGCAGGGCTGCTGGATTCGAACCCGGGACCTTTACCTTACAGTGATGAGCGCCATGTCAAAGACTAAACCTTGCAGCCACCGACGACCCTCATATGGCCTATTGTTGGAGCTGTATAATGCTTGATTATCCCTCCCTCCATTCTAGTAAGGTTAGGGGATCCACATAAAGAGCTGATGGGCAGAATTGTATTTCGGGTAGTAGACGTGACCATTTTCATGAGTGGCTGGTAAACTCAAAGGTGCCAAATGTTATTTGGAGATGAGGGAGAAGTTGATTTGAGAATTGTTATTTCACAATCCATGGGACCTCAGGATTTGATTTGTTTTTGGTGCTTTTTGATCCCTGGATTAGGACGAAGTTGGGCAAAAACAAACTTCTTAAATCTGTATCCTGCTAACGCTTGCTCATATTGACCATTGTGCCTGTAATAGCTGTCGTTCCATTAGGAAGAGTCATACCCTCGCCATGGTCATCAGGGTCGTGTTAGAAATGCAAATTTTACCTTTATGCTTTCTTCATGAGTTTGGCTAGAGGATGGTGCACCTTTGTTCTAGTTTATCCTTGAGTGCTTCAATAGAGGTAATTGAACGGGATCAGCATGTTGCCTAACGAATCGTGGTGATGCTGTAACCTTGGATATTGGAATCCGGTGATTGTAAAGGAAAAGAGGGGTCCCAAGGAATTACTGATGGGTTAAGGTTGTCACAATAGCCCACTACAGTTGTTAGAAAGACAGTCACCATCAGGGTCATCAGTATCTTGGCAATCTTGGCCATCTACATCCATCCGATTGACAATGGGTCATTGTACATTCTAGTGCAGGGTAGGAAACCTCGTTTGTTCAGGAAGAAAAAGCGTTCCCAAAGCCATCCCTTCACTACCATCACACTATTGGCCACTGCATGCCAGTCTTATAGTGGCTGATGATAGGCCATGGTATAGAGACATTTAAGGTTACAAGGCTTCTTTAGGACTGCTCACCAGAACTAAAATTGTTCTAGTGCTATCTCCATTATTATCTAGAGCTTTTTGTTAAGCATAAAGCTTTTTATTAATCGCAAAACTTTGTTTATGGGCTGGATATCTTCAGCTTTTCCTCTCCCAGAAGTAGGAATCTAAGTGTGCAGTCTTCACACCAACATAGGACACGATCCATTGTTTTCTTCTACCTAGCAATATCTGGGCAGGCTTGTTTCTGTTGGCTCAGTTTTTATGCCTCAAAGTCTGTAGTATCCAGTCAACAGTCCTACTATCATTCTATAGTCCTTACTAGGTTTATTAATTCTGCCTGCAGTTTCTGCAATGGCCCTTTAATGGACTTTTTCGTATACCTATTTCCTGGAATACAATCCCACTGAACAGAGGACTTATTTTTAACCCAGTGCTTGACGGAATTTTCGCAATTTGGTATATTACTGATGGGATACAGGGCCTTATGCATGGAGTGATGATGGGATATTGTCACTAGGGTCGATGAGACTAAATGAGGAGAGGGAAACAACTATCACTAGACAAGGAACACAGGATATATTGTAGGCACAGTTACAATTCGGATAGGTATTTTGGAGGATTCACATCTCTAGCCTGATTAGTGGCACTTTGTATACGTGCCAGAGGAGCACCTTCAAATGCAAAGAATAATTTAAAAATAAATCTAGCATCATTTAAACTTACCTTCATCACCACTATGCATTACCCCAGAACCGGTCCCTCTCCGCCTGAAAATATTTAATTATTTGTAACTTGTTTTACATTTGCAATAAATTGTAAAATGTTAATATAATCAACTGTAATACCTAGGTATCCAAATTGGACTTGTTTCAACAGGCTGTTGAGTCGGTTCGTGAGGTGGCGATCTTATTGGAAGAGCTTTGGTTCTTTGAAGGGTAAGGCGAATATCCTTAAGTGCAGCCTCAACTGTAGGATCACCGAGGCTAACAACAGCTGCTGTTGGACTTTGAGGTGCTGGGGGAGGTGGTGTACTTCCATCTGTAAGAAATATATTCATTTTGAGTTAATGTAATGTAAAACAATATGAACTGAAAGTAATTGCTGACTTAAAGGGTCCAAAGCATGTAAATCGATATCTGGTGTCATAGGACGAGGAGAAGAAGGTTTATCCTCTGGTGTCTCGGTGATGGAGCTTGTAGAATTTGGTTGTTGCTTGACGTTCCTTTCAATTATTTCACGTTCTATTTCACTTATTTGCCTCTTCATTAGTAAAACCTGGATTGGGGAAATTTTTGTACTATTAATCAGAAATTGTGTCAAAGAAAAATTTAAAAAATGCAATTACTGTAGGATTGTTGTTCTCGGTGTCTGAAGCATGGCCTGATGATAACCCATCCTCTAATACGGGCATGCTTCGAGGAGGAGGAAGAGTGGCTGTGGTCACCTCAGCTAAAAGGAGAGATGAACCCTCACTGTCGCAGTTGGAATCACAGTCTGTTGTTTCGGGTGATAACGTAAAATTACGCGAATGCCCGACTGTATGACCCACTTCTGTTTCGAGATCTTCTGTAGAGCCAGAAATACTTCCAGGCTCCTGAAACACAGTGTTTTATTTTTTAATAATTCTATTGTATAGTAGTTACAAAAATTAAAAAATAGAACGATTAACAATACAAAAACATTACAAATACACACCTGTAAAGTTAACAAGTCTTTTCCTTCGGGCTTCGGTGGTGAAGAAAATGACTGTTCATCCTCAGTCGCCTTTGCTAACCTCAAACCTACGTAAGCATTTCCTGAGCTTCCTCTTCGCCTCAGTTCATATTCTAAATCCTAAATTACAAAATACCCAATTAATAAGAAATAAAACGAAATATAATTAATTAAAAAGAAGGAAATGGACCTGGAAGTGAGGTGCTTTCTCTCCAGACTTGAAAAATTCTTCAAGGACTTTTCTAGTCTCTGAAAATTCGTACATGTAGTCATACTGGGGGTGATTTACTGCGTGGGTGTTTTGAGGTGAAGAAGATCGAGATGGCGAGCGTGAACAAGATCTAGATCGGGGTTCGCTGTCATTGAAAACTCTCTGCAAAAATATCACACCGATAGTTCGTTCACTTTATTGAACTACAGAGTTTAAAACCCACTTGGGGGAAACCAGGCCTGGGAGCGTAGAAAGAAGGAGAAGAAAGCAAGGTAACTGCACTTGGTGGTTGTTTGGGACCATATCGCCTAGGTGAACCTTCATAGTCAGCTATTGGAAGACCTCCTATCACACGCTGTGTCTTACCATTAATATCATATTCTGGTGACAATGATTCTCCATCAGACACTGATGTTGCGACCTAAAAGCCATAGGCATTAAATTTATAATATGTGTTAGATTTTAAGTGCTTACTTTAAAATAATGAGCTGGAGGGCCAGGATGACAATTCCTGGATGGACTAGGAGAACTATCTGATGCAGGTTCACATGGCCAAGTTTCTTCTATATCATCAAATACAACTGAACCACCATCTAGAATATATTTAGAAATCCGCATAATGTAAAATAAAAGGTACAACATATTATTAAGCCTAGTTTACCTTTAGTTTTTTGTTGTGACATTCGTTGATGCCTGAGTGAATGTACTTCAGTAGAAAAAACTGTTTCAGTTACCTCTCTTGATGACTGATTTCGCTTTGGGTCAGTGTTTCTGTAAAAAAAAATTCAGTGGTCACAGAAATGCTAAAAACAATTATATAAATTATGCAGAAAACAATCCTACTTCAATTTTTAAGTTATTTATTATATATTCCACATGAACATCCATTAAAAATGTTAAAAATCTTCCAAGAAAAGCTGATAAAAAATAGTTTAAATTGCATTTGGAGTTTAAGTAAAATTTTTTTTTTTTTTTAATGGTGGTTCATAACAGCTGAGGCCACATCAATCCCTGGGGTGCTGGTGTTTTGATAAAGTAAGCTCAGCTGGATTTGAACTCAGGGACCTTTACAGTACAGTGATGGGCGCAGTGCCAATGCCTTAATCACTGTGGCCGCTAACAGCCCTTTAATAATTTTTTAAAACATTTCCAAAATCAATTTTAATATAATAAATTTTTTGTACTTTTAGCATAAAATAGTATTATTCTGAGGTGAATATAACATTTATTGTAATATTAGTGAACCCCCAACTTTAACATGGCTTTTGTTCATAGCTACTTCTAAGAAGAAAAAAGCTAACTGAGTACTTCACTGAAGAAAAGAGACTTTGACAAAATTACATGAGTTACACCATTTCTGTAACATTGTACAAGTTCGTTTTATTATTTATTCTACTATTATTACATATTACTATTATGTATATATAGGAAGCAAATAAAGCAAAAAGCAGTGTTAGAGCAAATATGATATCTTCTTTTGCATCAATAATGCCAATTAATATTAATTAAAAAGTAATAGATTTTAATCAAACCATCAAAGTTAGATAAATATAAACAATATAAAATTAAAGTATAAAAAGAAGGTTTTAAACAGTTAATGTGATGAGATGAGAAAATGTTTTTCTAGAAGTTTAGCAAGTAAACATTATTTTCTTTGAGGGAAATCCATTAAAATAAAGAAAGGATTATTTGTTTGATATTCTTTTGATATATGTTTTCTTGATATTGGATGGTTGCATAAAGTATGCATAAATTCCAATTCCCTGTCTAGTAGAGTAATCTGTTCCTTGTCAGACTGCAAAGTTTAAAATATCTACTTTCTATCTTCCATCGTCAATGATGATGATGACGAACTCAATATGGTAGAGCAATGGTGCTCACAACAGAGACTGAAAGCTAATCCCTCTAAAACACACTGATTATTTATCAGGGTCAAGATAAAAATACTTACGGATTTGGTAAAACATTAACCTGGAACCCTCACCTGCAGGACATCATAGCAAAAAGCAAAATATTGCTTATGATCATAAGAAGAACTCTAGGTAAATCATGGGGACTAAAACCGAAAAATGGCCCACTGGCTATACATGGAAGTAGTAAGTCACAAAATAACCTATGGAACACTAATCTGGTGAACCAAAGCTCAACAAAAAGTAGCTACTTAATCACTAGGCAGCAGACAAAGCAACCTAAGTATCACAGTGGCAAAGAAAACAATCCCTACAAACTCCGCTAAACCTACCTCTGCTGAAAAAATTTGTATGAGAAGAAGGCATGAAAAGCTCATTTAGGTTTAAAAAAAAACCTGGATGGAAACTAAACAATTTGGGCACACAATCATAATCCGACAAAGTATCAACATACTATAAAGAAGAACAACTCAGGAGAGCATCAGATAATGATATGGTGTACAGATGGCTCCAAAACAAACGAAGGAACCAGATCGGGCATACAAAACCAAATATGAACGATCAAACTCATTAAGGAAGTAAACTTCGGTCTATCAAGCAGAAATACATGTCAATGCTTGTGCCCTAAAAATCGAACAAATGGTTACACTGGCGAAAAAATCCTTGTAAGATCAGAGAGCCAGGCAGCTGTTTATGCATTAGCATGCAAAAAAATCATACCAAAACTGGTCAGTCAGTGAGTACATTCAAAATCTCCAAAATCAAGTGAAACAACAACCTTGGGTTCCAGGACACAAAGGAATTTTGAGTAACAAAAAAGCAGACACACTGGCGATTGATCTTAGGATGGAGGATTTGCACGACCGTATATAGGCCCTTAACTTATTCTAGGGATAATAAAAACAAATAGAATCCTCCATCACAGTATGGATCTAAAAAAAGACAAAAGGAGAAACAGATAAACTATTGGGAAGCTAGACATAGTTAACTTAGGATAAAACAATCCTCACCAAGACTAGCAAACTCACTGATGCAATTAGAGAGGGCCAGACTCAGGTGAATTATCATTACTATTATCATGGACAATTAACAGATCACTGGCATCTGATAAAACATCTACATAACATGAGTACATTCGATGATCCCATTTAAATAGTATGCAATGAGGAGGAAGAAACAGCCACCCATATCATCTTCAAAAGGGAAGCCCCATCCATCTGAAAAGAAGGATTGAGTCGATTGCACTGAACTGAGGAACTAGGAAGGTACAAGCCAAGAAGCTACAGCGTTTGGGGGACATAAACCCCCACTTCCTAGTCCCTTTTCAACCTTATCTAACAAGTAAAGTAATTCCTGGTTTAAAAAAAGAAGGGCTTAACATCCAACTTTTCTGGGCAGAATAGTTTACAATATTTTTCACAAATTATGTACAAAATTAATAAAATCAGATTTCTAGTGGTGTCGCACTTTGTAGATGCCATAGGGATAGGGATAAAAGAGGTAAAGCCACAAGGCCTTCTGTAAAAGGCCGTTATGTAGATTTTCTCATCAATAACATAAATTTTTACAGCTAGCATTTAAGATCAAATCAATTTTATGATTTGATATATATTAATTGTGTAAGTGTACTAACGTTATTTTATATTAACTTGTTATTTTTTTTAATTTCTACATTGACACATAGTGCTGAAATTTTCAATTACAATTTTCTTCATGTATAAAGAAAACATTTTTAATTAACACCTTCATATGCTATAAAAAAGAATAACAACCGATCACTGCCATGATCAAGATTTTAAAAAATGACTGTTGGGATTTGTAAAGATATAAAATTCATGGCAATAATTACAAAAAAAAAAGCCAATGATGGTACAAATTGGGATGGATGGAGTACAATGAACATTCTGTTACATGTACAATGAACATCTATGTTAACAACCAGAGATTATACATGTGAATTAGAAACGTAACAAAAAAATATAAACAATTAAAATAAAATAATGGCAGTACATAGAGCTGTTAAAGCGTTAATTAAAATTACTCTTTTATATTTGATTTTCTTTGTCATGCCACAGTACAAAATAAAACTCCATGCACTGTCCACACCAAAACACAATAAAGCTTTGGAAAGATATGTAACCCCGATTTTCCATATTATCATGCATTCATCAGCGTAGTTGACTGGAAAGCTAGATGTTAAAAAAAGCAAACAACAATTTTTGAAATTGGAACTTCATGGCATTAAAACGTTTATTTAATTAATTTTCTAAGCTACTAAACACAGCAGAAACATCGTAATACAACAAATTCACTTTCTTAATTTCCATTCGTATCAAACAGCCATACATACTTAACACATAGCTCTATCGAAATGCCACCAATAATTGACCTATATATCATAATTAACATATAGGCTTGGGGTTTCCTCAATTTCAAAATTTAGTTACCACACTATTTAGCCTAGAAATTGCATAACTATCTCTGTAATTTGAGTTACAAATGGAAACCAAACGAACTAAGCTGTATGTTTAAAGTCAGCAAAAACATTGATGAAAAAAGAAATGCATAAAATTATAAAACAATCTTGCATAAATCACAATAAATATCCCACATAATATCAATATTCGGTTACCAAATTCGCAATAAAAATAAAATTAAAATAATAAAAAAGAAACACAAAGCAGAGTGGTTGTGTAATTAATGCCGTTAGTGAAAGAGGAATATTTCGGGATAAAATTCTGTTGAAAACAATCAAAGGAGAGCAGGCATCATTTTTGTAGTATCTTCAGTGATGATGTAGCAAGCAAACAGCAGTGCAAAGTTGTTGGATGGTTAACTCTTCTACAAGTCGCTATATTTCAATTAATATTGTAATTATGTTGCATGAAAACATCAGGCATTGCGGTTTGGTGTCGGCTGACTTTCGTGACGGTTCTCAGTTAAGAGAGGCCACGATTCAGCCAGTCCCATCATGATGATTGTAAACACTATATGGTTCTATCATAAGAGATATAATTTTATCTTTTACCTGCTCCTAATTTCCCATACAGCATTAGAATCATTCTTATGTTTTCTAGAAGACATTTTATCATCTGATCTGGATTTTCTAATGGCTTTGCATCTGCTTTGACTAAATACTTCACGTCCTCCAGCTATTTCTATGATTCTGCTGCATTAACAAAAAAGTTCTTACACTATGGAGATTTATATACAAATACATATATCCAAGAAAGAGAGAAATTTTTTTCATAATATATATGACTATGATGGTACTATAAACACATGGACAAGTGTATTTATATAGTATTGTCTTTGAATTTAAATCGTATTTATACCTAGAATCTCTTAGTTTATACGTAGAAGGCTTAGTAGAGGACAATTGAAGAACAACTTTGTTATCCTGACTTCCTTGTTCTTCACCATTACTTTCTTCAGTGGAGCTCTCCTCACGCCCACTTTCACCTTCCTCACATTCCCTACAAAATAAATTTAATTATTATTACTAACATACTTTTATCGAAAAAAAAAAAATGCATTCTTTATAAATAAATATAAGGTATTACATGCAATGGCGAAGGCTGTCTGCAGGAGAAAGACACGTGATTAATTAACTGGCAATACTGAAAATTTGATTCACCAAACTATACGAAGTGTCAGAGAAACAGTATAGAATAAAATGAGAGATGACATTTATCTGAATTGTACAGGTATACAGGAGTCAAAGCAGACATTAGTTACAAAGCACTATCAATGGACCACTATATCAACCTACACGTCTTGAGTCTCCACTCTTCACTAATTACGCAGTAAAGGTGGCTTCCGTAGCAGGAAAAAATTGTGAATCCTAACAGGATTCTAAACAGGACACTGTAAACTAACTAGATATTTGAAGAAGATTGGCATAATCCAACATGGCAAGTGCAGATTCTGCCAAGAACCAGAGGAGACACCAACACACCTGTTAACTAACTGTGGTGCTACCCTTGCCAGCAGGAGGAAGTGCTTTGGGACATACAATGTAACTGTAGATGAAATTCAACCTCTGAAACCGGGCCTACTAATCTAGGTATTTGATTAGCACCCACAGGTGTGCTACAAGCCTAGAATGGTGATAAAATAGCTCTTAAAGGTCGCAGAATAATACACACTGACTAATTCATCTACATATATGAAGATGGCTCCATGCCTGACAACTGCATTCCAAAAAAGTTGGCAGTAGAATGTACAAAAGAAGATGCATTTTGGGCAGATAATTTCTCGTGCTTGGCAAGGAAATACAATATCCCAGATCATCTTTCAGAGATAAGTGGAAAGGTGCAGGAAAAGGGCATAAAAATTATTTTAAAAAGATTCGCCAATGAGAAATTGACAAATTTCAAGATACATGCCCAAATTACCAATAGATTTAAGTTCTACTGGAGAATGGCTACCAGATATGCAAGTTTAGAAAGTGATGCAGGAGTGGATTTCAACGTAGCGAGGTGGATCATCGACTTAAGGGCAGAGTCGCTAAACCTTAACGCCAAACTGTATAATGAAGATCAAAACAGGCAGTCAAAATGCTCGATGTGTAAAAGAATGAGGAGGAGGACACTCTCTCTGTGTGTGCCCAGTCCTTAACAAATTCAGAAAGGCAGCACAGGGGAAAACATGGTTAACACGATGAGGCTTGCTGTATAGCATAACAGATGTAAAAAAACTGTCAGACTTTTGCAGAGCTGCCTGGAGGTATTGGTGATTTTTTGTTGGAGGATTCAATTTTTAATTTACTATTTTGATCCAAGAGTAGTTTTAATTTATTTGATACCTTAAAGAAATTTGTTTTATTTTTATTTAAATCCTTTGTTTTGCTATTTGATATTCTTTTTACAGTTTTTTTTAATTACTTTGTATAAAGTTTAACTAAGACTTGAACTTTCGGTAGTTGGCTATGCTATGCTGTAATATTTATTTTACACACACATACACACACAAAGGCATAATATTGTTCAATAAACGTTTTTTTTTTCTTATTTCCTTCAGTTTAAAAAGCCAATGAAGCAACAAATTTACATTGTCAATTTTTTCAAATAAACTTTTTACAGTTAATAAAGGTTCGTATGAGAGCTTTTCACAGAATGAAACGGCCAGTAATAGAAACTTCTTGTTGAGCTTTTTGGAGCTTAGGTTCTTTTATTTTGTAAGGCAAGCCAATTAACTGGGATTCCCAAGGAAAAATATCCTTCAAAGGCTCTGAAAAGTCATAATGACACTCTTGTACTTAAGAACCACCCGTCTTTTTTTATAACTTCTAAAGGCAGTGATTTTTCGTAAATGGCAAATTTAGTATTTTCATGTAATATTTTAGATCAAACGGAAAGGCATACGAAAAGTAAGGGTTCAGGTGATAGATGGCAAAGAAAACAAGTCTTTTTAGGAAGTACCTTTGAAATTTTTCTAAAACCTTGTAGCATTGAAACCCCCATACCCGAGATAAGTAACAACTGTCCTAGATACAATTTTATTAACTTTTATTTTATGGTGCAAGGGGTCATTCTTTGGTATTTCGATATTCCTCGGGTAAATGGGGATAAGCCCCTCCAATCATGCAAATAAATACATTCATTCCAATAAATAACACCTATCCCATACATATACAATTAAAAATAATTATGATCCTGAGATATAGGATAAGCAATCCGTGCCTGCTGGTGTGCCCCAAGGCTGCTCATAGGTTATTCAGGATGTTGCATTTCTTTCTTAGCAAACTTAGCTCTTTGCAGTTATTACGTGCTCCACTGAGATAATTTCTCCACACAACAGGTATCTACTTGGTCTCACCCTCATTAAAAGTGTCCATGTGTGATCTTGGTACGACCTTTTCCGTTCTAGACCCAGGCACCACAGGACATGAACCAATGTGTTTTTTAAATTTGAAAAATTTAGATGTATTTCTTTCAGTCTATTCATTTTTTATTGCATTAGCAATCATTCTTTTTAAATCCACTGGATGTAATAGTAGTAAGTATTTACTTAAATATCCAAGTATTTACTTAGCGCAGATGTAGGACTGCAAAAGGAGTTTCCTGTAAATAAAAATGCTCTGGGGGGTTTGAGTTTTCTATTTTTACATCCAGCAACTAGCAAAAAGGCTTAAAATAATTATAAATAAATATTATTGCATAATTAAACAAAAGAGTGGATTATAAAAAAATTGCCAGGGCATTTTTTTATTTAAAAAAAAAAAACAAAAAAAACAACAGAAACATTAACACAACAGAATTAACAGAAACTTAAAATGAAACCCAAGTTTATATGAAGCTTTGTATTTTAAAAATATGCCATGTTTTATTAAGTTTTATTTATTATTATTAAACTCTGAAGATTTACAGGCATTTGGGGCACTTCAAATTTTTAAACATGCTTACAAATGACTTCGAATGGCATGTGAGAGTTCTAGACTGATGCGTTCGGTCTACAGAAGAAAATAGCAAAGGAAGAGTTTAAAAAGACGAAAATGGGAAGTAAAAAATTAGTGAGAATATAAAATCAAAAAGTGAAAAAAATTGTTGTGATGCTAACAACATTGATGATGATGTTGACGAAGATAACAAATGCTTACACAACTGACCTACATCACCTAAGTGCAAATTTTGGACTTTTTATGTTTTCATTATGCTGAGGCAAAATTTTTTACTAGACCCCTCTAACCAACCATCTTTTAAAAGTTTAAATTATACAAATTTTGCTCTGGGTTTAGGACTTGTGGTGAAAGCTAGCAGGGTGAGATTTTCTTTCCTTTTCGACTGGAAAATAAGAACAAAATGTGTTTTATGCGGCATGTGAGAGTTGTGGATGTTTTGCCTCTGGTCTAGGTGAGACGGTGATTATCCTGGCGAGTGATTATGTACAAAAACAGAAAAGGAATTGATAAAAAAAAATAAAAATACTGAAGGGCAAAAATCTCAAGAATCTATGATGGGAAAAAATAAAAAAATTGCACATGATGCTAACATTTGATGATGATGATGATGATGATAAGTGCCTAAGCAACTGGCCTACAAATCATTGAATGCAAATTTTAGGCAATTGTACTTTTTATGTTTTGATTATGCTGAGACAATATTTTTACAGTAAAGTATCATTATTCAATCATGATTTTCTTTGTCTGTTCCTCCCAAAATGTGTTTGGGAGTAGTAAAGAGGAAAATTTCCTTAAATGTGCCTGTTCCTGGACCCCTCTACATAACCATCTTTCAAAAGTTTAAATTATGCTAATTTTGCTCTGGGTTTAGGGCTTGTAGTGAAAGCTTGCAGGGTAAAATAGAGTTTTGGGTGTTTGGCCGATGCCTCGGGTCTGGGAAAGGCGACGATTATCCTGGGAGTGCCAAACCGGGGCGGGTGACTCACTGTATTATTTACAAATATTAAATATGACTCAGAGGAGGCGAACCTTCCTATTGAAAAAACAACGTAAACACGACTTTTATCGTGCCTTAGGCGCTTTAATTTAAATATAAAAACGTAGTGTTTAAATTCTAAAATGAAATTTACCTGTTCGTCCTCTGTTTCGTGTCCATTACGTACGGCTCATTGTCGGGCACGGAATTAAGATTTATATCCCTGGGTCGGCACTTCGGAAACAATTTTGTGATATGCTCGGTGTTGCTAAGGTTGTCTATCTCTACGAGACTTGCCATAGTGTCCGAAATCCAAACACTAAAACTTTTTCGTTCTCCGGTTGTATTTTGACCGCTCAGTTGTAGCGGAGGATTTCATATTCATATTCAACTGTGCTTATTATATTTGTTATAAAATAAAGCTTTTTTGGGGGGGATGTTTTCGATGGAAACGTTGGATCGCCCCCGGGAGACGGACTTCCCTTCCTCGGCGGCCGCCGACTTTTGACTATACCCGTAGTGCGCTTGACAAGTGGATCTCGAAATATGGCAAAATTGAACCGATCCGAGGTTAATCCGCGGTTTAAAAACGCCACTACGACGATAACACTACATCTGTACGCCTCCTGCTTCAATATGCCGAGAAACTGGCCGACTCGCTAGGAATGATCCTATAAGTAACTTTTCCATCGATCCATCAAATAAAGGAAACAATTTTTCTTCATTCAAATCGTGTGATCACATCCTCCGCCCCTGGGCGATTCTACGGCCGTTTCAACGTCCCAACGCACTTCGAAGACGACGAGAAATGACACGACCGACTTAGAATGCGGAATATCGTCCGAGGGGCATAAATACTAATACTAATTTATCAATTGCTAAGGTCCTCGAAGGGAGACTGGCGAGCTAACAGCTGCTCCGAGCCTTGCCAACACACTCAGCCTCCAACCAGGGAAAAACGCTCTCCCAAAACATTAATAAAAACAATAAAACAACAATTTGACTCAAAATCAAAATTTTCCTCGAATAATAAAACATGACAATTTCACCGTCTTGAAAATATTTCGTTCTATCTGCAGAAAAACTGGCGCCCTCACAGACCTCAAAATCGAAGGGGGCGATTGTCGAAATTGCGCAACTTTTTCCTACGAGGGGATTTCAACTACGAAGTTATGTGAACCCTCGGGGTGCCTAAATCGTTGCGGCCACCGACCCCCTTTAACAATATTTAATAGGACTATTGTAAAACACATCCATTACATAAGTTAACACATTAGATAACGAATTATTCCTTAAGGCGCGTACCCACAATTCAACTTTTGTCGTTTAAGTCGAGACTGTCGTTCAAGTCCTTCCTGGAGAATAGAAGTGGACTATGAATACACCCCTGCTATACACCAGATGCTGAATGGGTAATATGCGTATCTAATAGCCTCTAATACTCAACTCCGACTTTCTAAAGACGAAGCTTATGCGGCTGTTCCATGTTAATCAAACAGACCGGAAGGAAGGGTACAGAGGAACAGGAGCTGGACCTGTCACCTCCTAAACACTACACCCACACCTTACCTTTCTTCCTACCCCAATCCCAATCCTAATCTCACAATCCAGCCTTAATTTAAGGTGTCATGCGAACTGTGCTGATGGCTGATACAGGAGAACTATCAATAACGGAGCCTCAGTGCACCAGGTGACCCCTTGAGTAATCCACCCTTACACTCGAGAGAGGGCTCCTCCAGTGCAGAACTCATACTCGTGGGATCACATAAATAAACCAAAAGAAAATAAAAACACCAGGGTAACCTGCAAAAGAATACCTCCAAAATCAACTTAAAGAAATTGATGAGGCTCCGCACCCTCAACAACTCCCATAAATCAAGAATTGGAGGACAATCTCCTTGCATCACCTTTGGCAGATGTGGAGGGTCTTAAGGAAAAACCCAAGCAAGAAGACGAAACCACTCAAACGGAGGAGACGGAGAAGAATGAAAAACTACACCTCAAACTCAAGAAAATCTCATGGGTTCAGAGATGTAAAATGGCAACCGAACAAGCCAAACAAAAGGAGGAGCCACTCCTTAAAAAAATTAGTAGAGGGAAGCTATACCCTAATGTTCACATCCGGCACTGGACAACCAGTTAACCACAAAAAACCAGGACCAATGCCAACCAAAAGTGGTAAGAGGGACAGGTCACTGGGAAGCACCCTATCATCAAATGGAAGTGCTCCTAGGACATATCCCAAAAAAGAAAAATTGGAAGAAATGATGGGGAATAAAACATCCCCCCCCCAACATAATTGGTGGAAAGAGCAATGAGACATATATGAACAACTCTCAAAGTGCTAAAATTAACTCCAAAGGACCAGAGTTCAGGAATGGGTACATTGAAAAAGGGGCTGTCCTGATAACTTGTGAGACCAAGGTGCCAAGAAATGGCTCATGGAAACGATACCTACTATCCACCCATGATCGGAAGGGCAAACCTCAGAGAAGCTCCTCCTCCAGACCTGGGGAATGATAAAACTATTAACACTGGCATCTGATAAAACATCTACATAACATGGGCATATTCAATGATGATCCCTTTGCAGATTATGCATTGAGGATGCATTTACTTTTGAATGATTATTTTGCACGCTAATTCTTTAATAGCTGCTTGTCTATCCGATCTTATGAGTTTTTTTGCCTGTCAAACTCTTTTAAGATTTTCTATGGCACAAGCATTGATTGCATGTATTTCTGCTTGAAAGACCGAAGTGTACTTCCTAACAAGTTTGATTGATCATATTTTAAGCTTGTACAAAAAAACACCTAGGGTTCCTAGGATGTTGTAAAGATTGTTTCCAGGATCATACAGTCAGTCCCCATTTCTAAGAATGGGTGTATGACTATTAATTATGGTTGGGTGCCCAAACCACTTAGTTACTATCCAATTTTATTGTTTTTGGAGCCTAAATGAGCTTTTCCTAGCTTCTCCATATAGGAATGTTTTCAGTGGAGGTAGGTTTAGCAATCAAGTGCACTTTTAGGGGTTATTCTCATTGCTCCTGTGATACATAGATTTTCTAATCTTTGTATGCTGCCTAGGGTTTGGGTAGCTAGTTTTATTGAGCTTTGTTCCACTAGATTAATGATCCAGATATTTTGGGTATTATTACTGCCATGTATAGCCAGTGGGCCATTTTGGGTTTTAGTCCCAAAGATTTGCCTAGGGTTCTTCTTGCAGTCATTAGAGATATTTTACATTTTGCTATGATATGTTGTAGGTGATTCAGATTAATTTTTTACCAAAGATTATTCCTAGGTATTTAGCCTACATTTTTAGCTGCAGCATTTCATTATAGAAGCATAGACCTTGAGTTTCTCGGTTTCTTTTCTTAGTGAAAGCAATTAGAATAGTTTTTGAGGGGCTTACTTTAAGTCACCGTTGTGACCACCATTGTTCCACCATGTGCTCTTTGGATGAGCTCTTTTATTGTTGAGTTGAATGTTCCCATGACTAGTATGACAGTCATCTTCATAGTCTTGGATATAGATTCCACTTACATTTAGCTTGCATATGAGGTCATCCACTACCACATTCCACAACAGAGGTGAGAGTATTCCTTTTTGTGGACATCATCTCATCACCACTGCTTCTACGTTTCTAAAATATCTGACATTAGCTTTATTAATTCTGGAGTTTCATAGGGTTCCATCTTAGCTCCTTTTCTATTTTGTCTTGATTTCTCTTCTGATTTTACTGCTCTCATAAATTATCCTTAGCTGAGATGTCCGAGTACGCCAATTATCAAAAACCTTTTGGATGGATGTTATCAAAAGATTTTCTGGTATGGAAAAATATTTAATGTTTTATTATTTAATTTACAAAAATAGAAATAATAGCGTTTAGAAATAAATAACATGGCACGTTGAAAACATTCAAAATATGTATCACAAAATAATTATCACTGTTTATTTGTATTCATCTAGTGTTTTGATGACAAGGTCGTAAAGGAGGGGTTTCACGTCGATGGCCCACAAGAAGTCGAGATGGTTGAAGTAAGCATAGGGCACTTCATATTTCCTCACATTGGGTAGGCTTTTAAACAGTTTCTCTACGTCCTGAAAAAATAAACAGAAAAATATTATTCAGCCTTGGCTCAAAGAAAAATAAACTTCTTACATCAACTCCAGCGAGCCAATCGTTTTCGGAATAGTGCAGTATCACAGGGGTGGTTATTTTATGAAGAGGATAATCCGGTGGTTTGTTGGTACCATATTGTCTTTTATTATCAGAACCATAATCAAACATTTGAAATTTTCCACCTTTAAAATGCACATGTTTTACACTCTGAACTCATGATTAGAAAAAAAATCAGACTTACCATTGTTTTCAAGCTGTCCGAAATGAATAAACTGTTTTGTCGATGCTCCTGATGGTGAGTTTTCAGCGATGACAGGCACCAAGCTCTTATTATTCGCATAACAATTAAAATTTAATGTTTTTATAAGAATAAAAAATAACGCATCACATACCACATTCAGCTCTTGGGAGTCGTAGCCAGCTACCAAAAAGAGAAGATTGTCACAGATTGGCCTGGTCATGGCTGTCCTTTGGCAGAGGTTCCTGTCAATAAGGTGCAGTAAATAGTTGTTAGGGATTTCATAAATGCCCATCCACTTAACAAAAGTCTAAACAGATAAAAGAAGAACTTTTAATCGAAACTCGTACAAAGTCATATGTTATTTCCTTACTGTAAGTAGGTATGCATATGAGGAAAGTATGCTGTGCACTGGACCCCTGGTGTGTTCAAGGAAAGCTATCGGGGCCATAGCAGTCATCAATTTCACTTTATTGTTGTATTCCGGCCGGGTTGAAGCCATCGTGAAGAAAACCGTCGTCCCTTGGGAGTGTCCCACATATACAATTTTCTCCTGTTTTGTATATTCAGTGATGAAATCGATCATAGCCGGCATGTCGTAATAGCCCATTTCATGAAACCTAATTGACAAGTTGAAAATTAAATATTATAGAAAGTTCTAGTCATATGAAAGTTGTATGAAGACCCTTGTCTCAACGGTTTGATCGTTCCTGATCATCCTGGTCCTCCTACTTCAGTAAACACGGAGTAAATAGACATGTACATACTGTGATTGTCGCATCTTGAGGGGAGGCAGCAACCATTGGTTACTACCAGCTTTTCTAACTAGTACATATACTGGAGCCATCTCCAGTGATTGGGTTGTAAGGGTGAGTTAGGGTCAGACTCAGAGGAGGGATAGGACTATTAACCGGTCACTGGCTTCTGAGAAAACATCTACATAACATGGGCATATATAACAATATTATGTAGTGAGGAGGAAGTAAGAGCCACCAATATCACCTTTGAATGTGAAACAATGGCTCAATGGAAATATAACCTAGGGAATGAATTTCGAGCAGCAACAGTCAATTACCTAATACTTCTGAAAAGAAGGATTGAGTAGATTGCACTGAACTAGGCAGTTAGGAAGGTACAATAAGCAAGAAGGCTACGGTGCCTGTGGAGCACAAACCCCACTTCCTAGTATCCTCATCACCATCACGTAGGTATGATATGTTGGTTCAGGGTATTGAGTTGGTTCTGAAGACTTTGGAGTGGAAGTATTGTAGATCTTTTCTGGAAAAATATCCTGAAGGGAGACAGCAACCAATGGTGCTCTACGTACTATTGGAGCCACCTCCAGTGACTGGGTTGTAAGGTGATTATGTTGGATCAGGGTATTGAGTTAGGATTTGGTATTTGGAGGTCATTATGAGGGGTGGTGTTAGAGACGTAGTTGGTTGACAATGGTTCTGAAGACTGGAGTGGAAGGATTGTAGATCTTTTCTGGATAAATATCCTGAAGGGAGGCAGCAACCAATGGTGCTCTCCCAGCTTTTCTGAATATTTGCATACTATTGGAGCCACCACCAGTGACTGGGTTGTAAGGGTGATTATGTTGGATCAGCATAATTGGTTTTGATTTGGTATTTCAAAGGTCATTATAAAGCTGTTGGTTGTTATTTAATTTTTGTTTAGCTCTATTGGACCAGGTGAAACAGCTTTATCTGATTCTGCAGGCTTGTGTGTATTGTTGAAATGTTATGTTGAAAAAATGTGTAGTTACATACGAGAAATTCCAATATTCCTTTTTGTCGACATCTGCATCCAGTGTTTTGTGTTCTCTGCTGTATGAGGTGCCTCTCGAATTTCCCAGCCAGACGTCATAACCGTTGTCGGCCAAGAGGAATGCTATGCAAGAAAAGCATCAGTTATCGGCATCTGTCGCACAGAATCCTGAAATATTTACCTAATCCTTGTTCCGGGCCACTTAAAACCCAACAGGAGGAATCGGCCAATATTCCATGTTGGAGGAGCAAAGGTGTCCTCGGATTCTTGTCCACCATGCCCTTCTTGCCGTAAGGAATTCTGAATAAGTTGAGCAGGTAACCGTCCTCTGTCTCAACTCTGTGCTGTTCCAAAGGGTATCCGTGAGGTAGAACCATCTCTGCCTGTTGTTTATAATAGTTTTTAATCAAAATCAGTAGTAGAAATGTAGATGGATATATTATATATTAAAAAAATTGAAATTTTGTTGCCCAATTTGATCAAACCAAAAGTTACAAACACAAATAAGAAGTGAGAATAGGCGAGACAGGATGAACCACAATTTTTTTTTTTCAAGTTTTATTCAGCAGTAGACCCTGGTGTTAGACGCGATCGAATACTTATGTTGTAGGGATGTTGTGATTCTACAACACGATTTGGTGGAATCCTTTCTTTATAGTACATACTATCTCATCGTAATACTGTACGTGGATTGATACTTCCATTTCACCTACTATGTTCTGTCCTCCCTGATGTTCCTCAAGGGCTCATCCTAGGTCCATTTCTTACCAGCGTATAGATGGCAGACATCCCTCTACACCCTAAAATACTCTCTGCAAACCTAGCAGTTCGATCCTTCAAAGACCATAGAACCATGGTTTAATGACTGGGATTTTTGGTGAGCTTGAGAAGAGGCTTTGAGCTGTTGATTGGAGACAGATGATTGGTGTAGATGAGCGAGATGATGTAGGTAGCGAGCAAAGGGCCTCGTAGAGCTGGCAATGTCGGCTGTTGAGTGCCCTTACTGCTGTAGTTTCTGTTTGCGATTGCTCTATTAGTGAATGATGAGATCTCATCGACCAGGGCCCAGCCCGCTTATACACAGAGGTCCTGCTAGCTTTTTGAAGCCAAAGATAAACCAGTTATCAACACCTAGTGAAAACTTTAGTTAATTTATTGGAGTCACCACTCACACCTATCTGATCGATTCTTCCATGTTACCTACTACCTGTCCTCTTTCGTATTCTTAAGTGAGCATCCTAGATCTGTTACTTTTCAGCACTTAAATGTCTTCCCTCAACACTCTAAGACGTACACATTTGCTGACAATACCGCTTTCTGCAAATCTAGCATTTCACTCCCTCAACCTCCTTACTATGGAACCATGGTTCCATAAATGGATAATAAAAATAAACAAAACACATATCCTTTTGCCCTTTATGTTCCAAAAAAAATACTATTTGGGAATGCACATACACGACTTAAAACGGCAGAATTGAACTACAGGTACAAGGCAAGTAAAGAGACTGCTTGAGTTCAAGACTTCTCACAAAACAAAAATTGCACAGCTCTTTTAGCTCTCCTTATGGACTAATATGATATTAAAATATAAGAGGAAGTCTTCCATAGAAAGTAGGTCAATCGGATTGCTTTTTGTGATGCCTAATTTGGCTACCCTGTCAGCAAGTGTTTGTACATGGTTTTTATTTCATTTTTTTATTTCTCTTTAGTCCAGGGTGAATCGAGATCAGTGGTTAGAGTCTCAGCATAGTTGAAATCAGGAATTAGATACCCCAGAGTCAAGACCCAAGTGAACTGAGATCAAGGATTTGAGACCTAGTAGAGTAAAGACTAGGGATTTTTGACCCATGAGAATCCAGATTAAGGACTGAGACCCGGGAGAGTTGAAACCAGGGAATCATGACCCAAGTCGAGATCAAGGATTCAAACCCAAGAGATCATGACCTCAGAGCGTCAAGATCAAGGATTCACGACCCAGAAGAGTCCAAGATCAGGGCTTTGAAACCCAGGTGAATCAAGACCAGGGAGTCATAACCGAGGAAGTCGAGACCTAGGAGAATTGAAATCAGGGATTCATACTTTGTTTTCCAAACTGTTGTTGGTCTCATTCTTTTACATATCCTTAATAAATCCTCTTGTTCTAATTATTCATGTTCTTAAAATGTTCCGTGTGGCCTGGTTTTTCAATTTTCCCCTTCTCAACAATTCCCTATTCCTATTGTGGCTTGAATCATAATTATTGAATAATCATTGACACTATCAGTTACTGTTGGTGTTCTGTTATTCGTTGTTTGTATTATGTTCGATAGTTCTGATGCTTTTGTGTAGTGTATATTAGTTATCAGTTGAGTCTTTTAAACAATGTGGGTTGCTTAGTTTAATTTGTATTTATTTATTTTTTGCATGTCGCTGGGTATAAAAATATCTGTTTTTATCATTGTGACTGATGATCTAAAATGAAATGAAAATGTAAGAACATCTTGATTTGCACAATTTATTCCACTGTTGTGAAAATGTCATACGATATGCCATTGGGCAACGTTTCTAATTGTTTTGAATGATGCTCCAAGATAACGGAAAAAAAATCAATTAGTTTAAACTTTATAGAACGACTTTCCGGAAGAATTTATCTACATAGATAAAAGTGGAAAATATAAACAGACGCAGTGTGCGTCATATTTGATAGTCCCAATTGACACGAAGATATACAGTGTATTGTGAACATAAGTACTTTATTTAGTTAATCATTAAGAGCTGAGAACTTGAGCTTCAGGTACAGACAAGGCTCGTGTACAAGGCTTGTACTCAGGGTCAACTTAAAAAAAAAAAAACGAAAAATAAAATAATAATAATAATAAAATAAAATAAAAAATTCAAATTAGTGATTTACTTAAATGAAATTTCAAAATTTATCGTCCCTGGGCTCCAAGAGCACCAAAAAAAAATTTTATCAGGTCACTTTTTTTAAAAGATTTTATTTACTATACTTTACGGTACCACTTGCGATAGAATTTCAGATAGTTAAAGATGAAAGTTAATAAAATTTCAAGAGCTTACCAAAGTTCTTGGCGTCACTGGCACGTTTGCAGCTAAGGGAAACCAGCGAGTCCAGTCGAAAAAACCAGACATGTTCACCGGAAAACAGGCAGAAGTAGCCATGATGGCCACCAGCCAGAAAAAGACGTTGAGACAAAACATTTCAGCAGATCAATACTGTCAAGATTGATTCTGAACCGTCTCAGTTTGACCTTACCGCAAATTCTACTAAAACAGTTGAGTGGTGGGTCGTATTAATATACTGATAACATGATAGTACAATTAATTCATAATTAATACTCGAGAGATAAGTACCTGATATCGGTTTGCATTATTCTCAATAATATTATTGACTCTAACTGAAGAGTTCGTACATACACAATGACCCTCTTATATAACAGCTTCATTACAGTTATTGTTATTATATTTAAAAAAAAAATTCAATAGTATATTCTTACAAATATGTTTACAAAAACACTTCAGACGTGTTACCAGTCAAGGGTTCAAGGCAGTATGATTTCGTGAGGGAAATGGATCGAACATTTTTTCCAGCTTCCTGCGTGACTTTTTGGTGCGCCTAGTTGTGGTTCCTTGGGTAAGAAGGCACCTTTGTTGGCTAATTTGTCAAACTATTTACAAATATAAAATTTACTATTGGTATAAACTTTTTGTCTACAAATTTTGAAAATCAAATGAAATATAAGAAAAACAGCTTTAATATGCACTCTTAAGACCTTGTGCTAGAGTCAGGACCAGGATAGATCTGTACTCTGCCTATTGGCCTTGCAAGAGGAGAGGTGCATAACTCTTCAGGAAGACCACTTCCCCAGCTGAAATAGATGGAGTGGCCTTATGCCATTTATTCTGCTGCAACAGCATAATCAGATACTCAGACGACCATTTCCACCAGAATATTCGCTACAGCTGTCTCAAACATGTCCATCTAGTGAGAGGAGGAGGAAAGATGACCCTATACGAAAGTGCACCGTACTAAAAACACATCAGGGGGGGAATCAGAGTCATCTTTGTTAGCAGGAGTCGCACAAAGTGGTCTTCTATTTAAGATTGCCTCCATATGTGTTAATAAAGTACAATACCCTTCAAAAGTAAGTGAAGCATCCAAAATTAGGTATAATAGTTTTTTTGGCAATTTTACAAGTCTCCCATAGCCCACTGAAATGTAGAGCCGAGGGAGAATAGGGGGAACTTCCATAAGATGCCCCCCTGTGGGTGATGTGAGACTTGTTTTCTCGTGGTCAATCAGGAACTCTTTCAAAGTAGACATTAGACAAGACCCTCCAATGAAATTTCATCTGCAGTCAGAGTGAATGACTTGCGCGAGACAAAGCAGGCCAAACACTTCAGTAGTAAATTTAGAAATTGTCTCTAAATGAATCTTAAGTAGCCGTACAACGAACATGGATATGTAGGTTTTAGTTAAAAGGTGTTTTCGGCAAAGAGACTACCTTACAGGGTGAGCAAATACATGAGAGGATTGGGTATGAAATTTCAAGAGATCTGACATTTGGGAAATTATGGTTTCGCCTCTAAACTTGTGTTAGATCAGAAAATATGCGTTCAATTCAAATTTGATGCTTTGAAGAATCAAGGAGTGTGAAGCTACAATCTAATATTTTCTTCTAATCCGAGCCTGAGCAATCAGGGGTTCTGAATGGAGCGAAATACTATGATAGTACTCATGTAATAAGGCGTCAATGTTAGAACGTTTAGGAAGGAATAGTGGATGTTTGAAAGATTGGTCTAATCTGCTACCCACCCAGAGAAATCCTTCATCAAGGAATGAATTTAGAGAAATAAGAGAGCAAGGCATTTGGCTTTTTGTAAATTCTTTAGCAAAGTAAAACCTCTTAGTCACTTGTACACATGTGAGCATTGCTCCTTCCAATTTAGGTACAGTTAAAGGTTCATCAAGGGAATTATCGCTGGTTTTACACAAGCTATTATAGCAGAAACTATTAACATTGCAAAACATTGTAGTTTGCTAGGTATAAAAAACTTGGAAAATGTGTCACTGATCAAATTTTCGTCGGACAGGCTCACAAGACAACTCATGGAGTCTTTTTAAAAAAGATTTAACAACATACTCACTGTACCATTTATCATTTCTACTCATAGGGGCTTTCATTTCAAGTACCTCTGATGGAGGAATTAACAACATTGAAAAACGTGAGAGACTGAGGTTTAAGACATTTGAGATCGGAAAAAAGTGAAGGACCCTGGAGCCAAAAAGCATGTCAATAAGGTAGACAAAGTTAAGGCTCAAGATTGTTATTAGTAGAAACATTTAACATTCAGAAGGCTTGGTTTTTCCAAAATCTTCACTACCAACCAAGAAAGAACTATCATGTAATCAGAAAAACATGTCGAGACTTAAATGAGATATTTAATTCGGGAGTATGCTTCACAATTCGAGGAACGTCAGTGCAAAGTTTGAGGCGGGACACCGAGACGATTTTAGGCAGCGCTTTCATTTGTTCAAAAGGTATTCATCGGGTGAAAGGGCAAAACTACATCATAGCAAAACTCCTTGAACTGATTTCAACTATCTTCCAAGCTGAGGTCTATCCAACAAAGTGCACAGTTGATAAAGAAGAAAGTCCATGGATCTAAACACTTTCAGACAGACAGGCAACTTTAAAGGCACTAAATAGCTCCAAACTAGTCTGAGAATGCCTAACGCACCTTGGAAAACACAACTAACTTGAGATGGGTTTCGGGACACGAATATAGAAGGAAACAGGCTGACCAATGAAAGAGCCCTCTTATCCAAGGAACCACAACTACGCACACCAGTGTGCTGGAAGCTGGAAAAATGGCTTGAGAAAGAAAAACCCGAGCACCGGACAAAAGTGAAAGTATTCGGTATTCCTCTATCTCAGCAGACAAGATTTGAGGAAAATTAGCCTCATGGGGGCAAAGCAGAGGTCCACTTCTGTCAGGAAAAACCAGAGACATTGGCAGATAATGGTACAGCCAATTTGGTTGGATGTTAATTACCATACAATTAATTAATAAGAAAAAAGCTAATTGAATATCTATCAAATGATCCTTTACGAGATCCTGAGAAGCTGAATATAAGAAAATTAAAATTATCTTTGTAATTTTTTAAAAAATAAACGATGAAATGAAAATTTTGTTTGAAAAAAAGACATGACAAGGAAATTACTACTTTGCTGGAAGGAATTACTGTTATCTCACACCTTTCTCTTTTTGATAGAAAGAGGATCTGTGAATCTGGATATTTTATATATATTGTAAATGTATTGTATATATACAATACAAAGCATATATATATTCCAGGAGAATTAAAGTCACTTACCTTGTTCTTTAGCAGAATAGACTTGTATATAATGCCATGCTGGTCTTTACAGGCCTGATATTCAAACCAGCAGGTCCAACATATAGAGAACCTTAAATATTGGCAACTTGTATTTCTTTTTCAATCACACGGTGAAAATAAACTGTACTATTCAAATCACCAAGTCCAGCATATAAGAGAACCTTCATATCAGCAACTTGCATTTTTACATAAACTGTACTAATTATACTTAGGCATATAAAAGTTTTGGGGATGGAAAGAAAACGTTAGAGATTGCGGAAAAGATGGACGGGGAGAGTTTTGAGGAATCGTGGATTAAAGATGTTGATAAAAAAAAATGTACATGGCGTTAACAATATGAAATTATAAAAGTAATGTTATTTTCCAATTTATTCTTTCGGTTATTGTATCAATAAGAACTCTACCTCAATACATTATAAATCATTTTATCACCAAAAATAACAGACTATTAAATTAATGTCCTATAAAACAAATAATTACACTTTAATTATTTATATTTTAAAAAACACACACAAAAAAAACAGCATTTAGTAGTTTTATAAACACTTATTCTAACTCAACATGTACAAAATAAGTAACAAATGTACAAAACTAGAGTTTAAAATTTATCAAGTTACACATTAAACAATGATATGTATTGCAAAACACACCATAAAACAGACGTTTTATCATATAATATCGAGTACTTAATCCTTAGAGAACATAAAATAAAAAGCGCGTTTGGTTGTAATTAAAAACGAATAATGCATGTCCAGAACCAGGTTTTAATTTATATAAACCCAAAACATTTTTTGTACTAAATTCAGGATAAGGGATTTTTATTACTAATTAAAACACCTTACTTAACATGTTACACAGGATCTTTCTTTTCCAGTGAGTCTTGTTGATCACTAACAGTTGGAGTTGGTGGAGGAGGGTGTTGTTGCACTTGCTGTTGCTGTCCTGAAGACTGTTGAATGGGCGAATGCTGTTGCATCGATGATTGTTGCTGATCTTCCGCACTCATGGTAACTCCTCGTTTCTCTTCAACTATAAAATACAAAAGACCTTTTTTCATCGGAGTTAATTTTTTTTTTTTTTAACTCATGCCACACAAACAGTCAGTAAATCATAACTGATAGCGAGAATTTATTATAATTTAAAAAATTTAGTAATATACCTGGGGTATAAGGAGGGCCTTGCAGAAAAGGCCTATTGCTTGACGTGGGCCCAATAGTACTCAGAGGATTTTTCGGTTGATTACATAGAGAATCGTTTGGAATTGTACTTGTGTTGTAGCGCCCCATCGCTGATGAATCTGTAAACAAAAAAACAGTAGTTTTTTAAGAGTAAAGTTATGTTTTAAGGTTTGTCTTTTCATTGAAGAGTTAATAATTGTTCAGTTATTACAAACTGAAAAAGAATACCTCCGAAAGTGGCTTGTCACCAGACCTGTAGGAAGCATTGCACATTATAGAGTCCATTTTACAATTAAATATAAATTGTTTAAAGTCTGACAAGGAGGAACTACATGCTAGAGATTATCTAGATATCTAAAACATGACTTTTATCATCCTACACAAAAACTGCAGGTAACCAAAATAGGCTAAGAATCGGCAGACTAGGATCATTAGGATGATAAGTGTAAGGTTCAATTAACAGTGGAGAAGCATATATACAATTATAAAGGGCAGAGAACAAGGACAGTTCCAATTGAATAAATCATCCGTTTTAGCAAAGATCTTTCTTCTAATATGCCCTGGGATATCTCCCTCAGCATAGAGAGGTCTTATACAGAAAAAGTTTTACTTCAAGAAATTTTCTAATTTATGAACATTCACAGGCCTTAATGGTGGTGTATCACCTCTTCTGATGTTGAACACCTCCTGAACACTCTAAGATTCAAGTGTCTGATGTCACTGTATCTGACTCTCACTTTAACTTGAAATACAGTTCTGACTCAGACTGATGGTCTCTAGGTACAGGCCTGTCTCATACATATTAGACCTTGGTACCTTGCTGTACATGTGAACTCAGATAGCAAGACCTCGCCTCATGAGCCTTGGATGAAGTGGCTCTTTACAAAGCTGTGGATGAGGGTATGGTACAACAATACATACCTCATACTGAAATATATATTAAAGGAACAATGAAAAGGGAATCCTTTCAGACTCACATACAATAAAATTGCCAGACAAAAGATCAACAAATCTCATCTTCTCGATAAGTTCACTAACGCTGGAAATATGACAAAATACGTCAGTGAGCTGATATTAATAAAAAGGCTTAAAAATATAGAAGGGACCATAAAAGCAGATGTCAAAAGAGGCAATGGAACAATGTATAGTTTGAATAACTGAGGAAAAAGGGAAAATTCGACAGACCAACACAACTATGTATCCCAAAAAAGTAGTGCAAACAAACAAAGAGAAACAGGAAATTGTACATCAAAATATCGAGATTGAGGTTTAACCGCAACCTCCTCACAGCGCACTCGCAAATCAAGATATCAGAGGAATGCAACAAATGCCTTTTTGGAGACATCGAAGTCTCCAATGACACAATGCCGCCACAAGCGCGACTAGTATTTATTTACTTGATGAACCTCAAAATGCTGGGCCATACAATTTTTTAGGCAAAAACTAAATTCAAACAAGTACTCACCATTACTGCACTCTTCTGTCTCTTCTTGTCTGTTGTCTGTGGATAAAGATCCTTGCGGTCCCTGGAAAAATTAACTTTTAATATGACTGAACCACAAAAACATTTATCAATGATATTTTAAATTTAAAGTATTTGTAAAAACACTTTTTTTCTAGTTCATATTATTCAAAGTTAAAAAGTCAGAAAACAATAAGGTTGTCGGTAATGATTTTATAAGGATATCAAAATTCATTTGTATACTATAACTTGTAACTAAATGTGAAATAAAGTGGCAATTATTAAAAATAACACATTATTGCTTATGAACTGGTGGATTATTTTTATTGAACTTAGGAGTAAGAACTGGAATCTCTCTATAACATTAAAAAAGTTTAGGCTGAAGTGTGAGGGAGTGACAGAAGGACTTATATGATTTTAACAGCTTAGAAAGAGAAAAGTATAGGATGATGTTAAACTCAACATTTTAATAGAATTTTTTACTTCTCTCACCATTTTCTCAATTTAATCTTTAAGAAATGTCATATTATACATGTTGGAAAGAAGTTTTTTTTCTACAAAATGCTTAATTTGAATTTTGGAAACAGTTGCAATTAGTACTTATTTAATCCATAATTAGCTACTTTATGGTTTTTGTTTGGATCAAAATTGTGACAAATTGTCTGCGAGGACTGTATCTTTTTTTACATAGTATTAACTAGCTATTTAAGACCAATCGAATCTCCTCCACCTCTCTCTCTCTCTCTGCTTTTTCGTGAGAACAGATATTCAGTATTCCTGAGGCTTGCTTAAAACATATTTTGTTATGGAATAGCTTTCAGCAATTCAAACTGTCCAACGTCCATACGCAAGCAGATGGAAATGCCATTGAATTCTCTGATTGGTTATTAGATATCGGAAATAATATCATTAAAAAAACTTGAAATACCCCAGGAAGTCTTATGCAATAATTTAATTGAAGAGTTTTAACCATTAGATTTATCTGAGGAAGAAATGAATAATAGAGCTATATTAGCTAGCAGCTAGAAATGATGAAAAAATCAATCATCTTATTATGAAACGACTACAAGGGAAAATTGTTAAGTGTATTTCCATTTATAATGCTGAGTCACTAGCTGTTGACAAAGCTGACAATGAAAACCTAAGGTTACAGTATCCCATTGAATATTTACAATCAATGACACCTTCGGATTTGCTTCCTGCAGAACTGCACTTCAAAACAGGACATACAGTTTGCTATTGAGAAACATGCATATGAGACGGTTTGTGTAACGGGACCCATTTGATAGTAAGAAAAATTGATAGGATGATACTGGGAACAAAACAGTTGATGATGCAAACTGGGAATAAAAAGGTAGATTGTGCACATCCCTCGAATATATTTAGACACAAGAGGAGATACCACAATGACCTTTGGTTTAAAACGGTTGCAGCAATTTTCCAGTCAGTGAAGCATTTGCTATGACCATAAATAAGTCATAAGGACAAAGTTTTTATAAAATTTTATGTAGCCCTATCAATGTGTATGACAAAGATGGGCATTAAAATATAATGCAAATTAAAAGAAAAAAAAAAGAGCATAGAAAATATTGTTTTCGACAAAGCATTGGAGAAGTGTAAAAATTATTTTTTCTATTGAGCCTGCCAGTTTATTTGTAGTTGCTCTTTTTGACTTATTTAATAAAAAGATAATATAAAATTAGGAGGGGCTCTGCTCACCAATCCCTGGGCCGCCCCACGGCAAGTAGCACCTGCTAGCTTTTTCACAAGGGATGAGTGGGCAATGGAAAAAAAAAGAAAAAAGGGGGAGTGGCACAGCGACCCAGAGGCTGGCAAGCAAAGGGCAGAACGCCCCTCGTAGTTAAAAAAAGGTGAAATTATGGTTAAATTAAAAAGTAATATTAAATGTAATGTTTTAATGAAATAATGTGTAATGTTTTAGGAGTTGAAAGTTTACTGTAATAATAACAACTTCCTTATATGTCCCTCTGATACTAAATATGCAATAAAAAATATGATCAAAAGGAAACAGCAGCAGTGGGTCGGATCGGCAGAAAAGCTCCTGCATATCAAAAGCCCAGATGGATGGTCCTCAGAGGATCTGAATCATCCGCACCTGATTAAGAATAGGCCACGCTGATTTGACACACAGACAATTACTTTTGCACATAGGCCGCATATGTGGACAGCATTTCAAGTCCCACTCAAGTGAAAGGTGACATTGGGTCCATATAAAGAACGCGTAGGAATGCCTGATATGAGAATTGTTCTCAACTGACTGCCATGTCGACTGCACAACAGACCAATATTGGTTGTGGTGTGCAAGATCATGAAGTGACTCCTTTTAATCTTAACTGCCAGTTTCCTTTAATTTTACAACATTCCGGAATCCATACCAGCCTAACATATGTTGTACATGGCTAAATGAATTTCCTTTTTTCCCTTATATAGCTTATTAAAATCTTAAAATTGTTTAAATTAAAAAAAAAAAAAAATGGTGTGAGAAGAATGGCATGTGAAACCTAATTTTAATGTTTATCCTTAAACAAATTAACTACTATTCTAATTAAATTTAAAAAAAAATCATAACTTACTTGAGACTGGGTTTCAGAAGGTGGCATGTAATGGTGTGGCCTAGGAGCTTGCATATGGTGTGATGGATATTGGTAGGAGGGATAATACGAATGTGGGGCATTTCCATATTGGGAAAATGGAGGCTGAGGATAAGGATACTGATGTCGGGCATTGGAAGAATACTGTTGTGGAGGATAATACGGTTGGGACGGGGTAGGAGGAGGCATTTGGTTATGTTGCATTGGCACATTTGTAGACATATTGCTTTGGCTATTTGCGTATCCGCTGCTATACTGGTTCTGATATCCTGGATTCATTGGTTGAACTCCTCCATACGACAGGTTATTGTTTGGCACATCTTTTAATAATATGGGAGCGGACGAATTAGAAACCCCATTCTTTGCGTCCTCTTTTACGGCATCATCCTTGATGACTTGCCGGTCACCCTCTATGGGCTAATAACAAAATAAATAAATCACACTGTTTTTAATCCAGTGTATATTATGTTTTTATTAAATATTTAATATGTTTAAATATAAATTGATCAAACATCTTTTTTTAACAATAAAGTAAAAATAGGAAAACGTTACTCATTTGATGAAAATTTTTGGAACAGCTGTTCCAAGGTTCATAAAATAAATGACTATATTTTTGTTAATATAAGGGATCATTATTGATTCTAATAAATTAAATAAATAAATAATATACAAAATCTTTATAGTAAGCTCGTTGTGTAATTAATTCAATACAGTTTTGGCAACAGGGTACCATTTATTTATCTTCACTATCCACATTTTAATGATATAGTATCAATAATCTATTAATTAGCATTTTTATACTTACATTGCTCTTCAATGAAAATCAAGTAATACTTAATAATATTCTTGATTCACCCACTGTATTAAATTTGTTAATGGAGAATCGTAATCATCGAAATACATTTGTAATATAGGCCATGTCAAAAACATGGTTCATTATAATAATTAATAAATAAAGTCAAACAACACATTCTTAAAAAACCAAGCTTTTTCATTCAGAATAGATCAAAAATGGTGGGAATTTTGCTGCTTTAACTACGTAGGAATTCATTTTCTTACTCCAGAAACTTCTCCGAGATGGGAAATTGATGTTTCACAAAGTTCAAGAGAATATCTACTAAGTTGTTTACATTGTAAGATGGCTTACTTTCAAATTAAAGTAAACAAATATTCCTAAATTCTTGAAATATATTGCATAACAAAAAAATTAATAAATGAAACTGGCAAATTTAATGTATAGAGAATATACTGCCAAAAACTAAATTAATTTCCAAACGACTGGAAAAATTTTTTCACAATCGTACACCCTGATGTGTCAAGTTCAACTTTGTATTAATTTATTTGGCTTGATTTTAAGCGTGTTTTAGATTTGAAAGTATGCCCTAAACAGTGTTTCGCAACAACTACAAGATTACCATGCAGTTTACATTGTTTTTATTACATGACAAATCAATTATTAAGGAGAACAGTGCATTTCACATCACGAACAACAAAAATAAAAATGTGTGGATCTACTATTACTTGGGGTTTCGCTGGTTTTCCTTAGTAAGACGCTATTTTCAGTGAGTCTACTTTGCCCATTTTTGCACATGAGCCTTTGTGAATATAAAAAAAATGGATTTATTGAACATGATTAAACATGTTTTTAGACACCAACTTATGCATTTGGTAAGAAGTGAAGTGTCCATTGGTTCTTGTACGCTGTACTGTAAACATCTATGTAAACCTGTTTTAACAAAATATCTTGCAATCATTGTAATGATTTTTTCAACACGAAATATTATATTTTGTATTATATTTTTATCGTTCACTTCGTAAATTGTCCTGGTCAAAGGTCAAATAAAAAGCTGAAACCTTGGCCATGGTATAATAGGTTGGATATTGACTTAAAACTACCTCTGATTTCTCTCTTTTTTTTTCTTTACTTCTGAATCTCTCCATCTTTCAAACCAAAACCAGCCATAGAAACATTTGCACATGAAATAAATAACAAACATCAACCAACAAACAAGGGTGCAACAATAGTAATATCAGATAGCCAGGGGTGTGACCCTCTAAATGGTGTCAAAGCCTACGAGATTGCTTCCAAACTTGTCTGAAACTGCTTTATAGCCTGAAAAAATAAACTGGTACCAAGGCAGACGTACTAGATAAAAAGGCAATCTTGGAACGATCAAATCCCTTTTATAGCAGAAATTAAAGCCCCATAAAAAAAGATCTGGAATCTTTGATAACTAAAGAACACAACAAATCCTGGGAACGTAAACGAGGGATTATGAGCGAGGCAGAAGACATACTAGATTAAAAGGGAGCTTTGGAACAACATATAATGGGACCAAATCCCTTTTGTGGCATAAATTAAATCCACGTGAAAAATAACAGGTATCTTGAATAACTAAAGTACACAGAAAATATTTGGCGGGGTCATCAACGGCCACAACCGTTTAGGTGTTGACATGACACTCATCACTATGTAAGGTGCGTAAGGTTGCATTCAAATCTGACATACTTACAATTTTTTTTTTTTCAAAAACACACCCCAAGAGTTCAAACAACCTCCTAGTTGAAAAACCTAACAAAAATACTGGGCACATAGACCAGGCATGATGATCGAAGAAGCAGACATCCTATCCAAAAAAAGGGAACCTTGGAACAGCACAAGCCCAAATCCATTTTGTGGCATAAAATAAAAATAGCTTGCAATCTTGAGATACTAAAAAACACAACACATATTGCAAATGTATGCGAGACATTTGCCAAACAAAAAGGCTTCTTACAAAAACAACCCAATGGAAAAATAGGAAATCCTACTCAACAGAAAGAAACTAAAAAAATAGTTCAAAACCCTAAGAACTATATTTATAGGACATGCTCCATAAACAACTTAAAAAAAAATTAACTATTAACAGATGATGAATATCAACTAGGTCTACAGGAGTCCTAAACTGCCCTGCAATAGTAGGAAAAGACTATGGTACCTAGGAAAGCCATTTCTGTGCAATGTATCGTTTATACAACACCCTCGAGGGTACTTAGAACAACAAAAAACCTTCCATGAAAACCATTAGAAGAAAGTAGCAAAATTAAATGGACATTACAATTACTCCGACTTCTCTGGTCGTGGGTATACTGCAGAGCAGTGTGCTTGAATCAATGCTTTGTACCACAGATGTCCTGACTACTACTCTCCTTGCATCTTTTTTGAAGACACAGCAGTAATATCTTCTGACCTCGATCAGTTGCTTCAGAGATGAGACCATGTTCGTAAATGTATTTATTATCAAACATTAATTTTTAATTTGAAGTTAAATTTTTTTAATACAAATGTACAGTTTCTGCACTTACGTTCATTTCTCAATATATACGGCAGCATTGTCGCCTCACTTCTTACAAATTAAGACTAACAAATTGCTTCAATTTTAAAATTAATTTTGACGAACATCCACCTAATTGTTTTTTTGTTTTTTTCAAAGGAATCTTCTGTTTTCTGTAAATTTGCTTACTGTGGTTAATTCACTCCTACTCGGTTTGTTATCCTCAGGGGCAGTCCTTTGCCTTGCAAAATCAAATGCCGAAAGTGTTCCTTTTTTGAGCAATTTTCCTCATGCCTAAGAAAATTTATTATATTGTTATTTCTGAATAAAAAAGAAAAAAATATTATATTAAAAAACTACATAAAAATGAATTGATTGTATCAATAAGTTTTTCTCTGATAAAACAGCTATTATTTAATAATTAAAATAAGAAAATTACAGGTTGTAATATTAAAGATATAATCATATATCATTCAGTACTTTCACCACGGTAAGTCGATGAACAAAAATAATTAAATTTAATTATTTATGATAGGACAACATATTAACAAACAATCCAATAAAAACAAATAAACTTACAAACACGTATGTGTCACATAATTAAGTAATGAACCAATAACCATGTCCATTTGGAAGTTTTAGATCTAATATATTGAAGTCAGTTATTTTTTCAGCATAATTTATATGAGATGTACCCTGTTTGCCAAATTCTTTTTAAATATGCTATCAGTGTTAGCATTATTTTACCTAAATAAAGACTCTCATAATACTACTGCCTCCACAGTAGGCAGGTCAGTCATGTCTTCGGAAGTTAAGTCCTTCAAGGCATAACAACCCTGCCTGTCGTTTCCTAGCATGAAGACTGTACGCTGAGCAATAAAACTGATTGTAAGCCAAGGACGTCTTTTTTTCTCTGTTAAACTCTGTTTAACTTTGAATAAATATATTATTGTCAGATTTGCTATATTATTTATTGCCAAATATTTTAGCTTATAGCATGGCCAGACAGAAAGCTGTCTATCACAGTATGTGATCAATCACTTTTTCAATTTTGTCGTGACAATAAGCAATCCGGTCGTAAAAATCACAGATTGCCTTTGATCCTTTGAAGCACAGATTGAGTTTGTTGTTAAAATGAGTGATCAAACAGAAATATTTAAATAATCAAGTAGTAATAAAAAATTAAATATTTAAATCATCATGGTCTCCTGCCTGTACCAGGGGTGGGTGATCATCAGGCCTGCAAGTAATTTATTATAAATTACAGAAGCTGGAATTGCCGGTGGACTACGAAAAGTGGTAGGCTCAACTTTGTATCTCTGTGAATCAGTAATCAGTACTGAAAAGGCAAGTGCATAAAATAATATCAAAATTTCAATGTGCGCCACCTTTTTTTGTTTTGTTTTATGGAGTGGTGTATATTCGTTGAATTGCAAATACACTGCATATAAAATTGTCCTAGCCTGTCTTTTTTTGTAAAAATAAATCTCCAGATATAAATAAAAAGAAGAATAAGGATGACCCTTGATTTTAAAAGCTTAAACTCACTACCTGTCCATATAACCTTAACTTTTTTTTAAAATTTATTTATTATTATTTTTTTTTTATGTTACATGTTTTTCCGTGTTTAGCTGAGAACTAGCAAACTACGAGAGTTCTTAATGACTAAAGTGACTTCATGAAAAAACTGGATGTTATAAGTTAAAGAACAACACAATATATTCTTCACAGAAAATTTGATACTTAAACAATAACTTCAAGAATAGAATTGCAAACACATTCATAATTATACAAGCAACAAGAGCACAAGGCTGATAATGCTGAAGAAAACTAGCAAATACAACAAACAGCCTAATCAAAATTAAACAATCAAATTACTTTGTTATAATCAACTTACTAAACAGTTTCTATGAATATTTTCACTAAGTAAAATTCGTTTTGGAAATACGGTAAAAAAATATCTTTACATTCTATCAAATTGTATCATACATTTTATATAAATGTGCAAGCTACAGTATCTTTAAATATTAGGCACCCCAGTCATTGATTTATAAATAGACAATAGCATATTATTCCTGGCACAGTGTTACAACTTAGTAGACAAAATTCCATGCAGTAACGTCTAGACATCAAGCTAATATAAAATAAATTAAAGGAAATGGATTTTTACCTGGATGTAGTGTAGTACTAGCATCTGTCAACACAACAATTATTCTTACAAACTATTGTGAAAGCAATGCATATTAGATGAACAAAGTTTACTTTGTAAATTCGAAGGCAATAGTGTTATATTAAATTATAATTGTCAAGTGAGGTTTCTGTGAAGTATACTTTCTATTTTTTAAAGCTAGAAAATTTAAAATGAAAAACAAAACTTAAAAAACTCAAGAGTGAATGTTTAAACATAGAAATGCATTTTATGAGAGAAAAAAGCTATAAAGGAAAACCAATAATTATTTAATATACAATAGGTAACCATAGTCAAAAAATGCAATAATTTGAAAGGTTTGTCCAGTTGTTGTGCCATTCAGTTTTTACCAAACTTAAAAATGGTCTGTTTCATAACTTTTTAAAAATATTTTTATTAGTAGCCTATACATATTAGGATGTACTACAAATGTGATCACAATATGTTTTTTCACACAGTCACAGCACTAACACAAAGGCAAGCGCTGCACCCAGAGGACACATGCCATGAGAAACCAGCTGACACTTAGTGGGAGGAAATAAGGGCAGGAGGTCTCGAGTATATCGGTAATTAAGGTACTCGGGATAGTTGTATGAGAGGTTGTAGTGAAACTTTTAGAATTGGGACAGATAAGTTCGCTGACAAAAGGAATGTTGAAGTCAGTGAGGTTAGTGATGTAGTAAAGCCCTTTGACAATTTGTACTTTTAATTGACAGAATTGGATGCACTGGATATTTGATGGCTTGGCAGAACCTCATAGTTACACCCAGTATGTCCAGAGAGTGGTCACAGTGATGTCTTATATCAAACTTAGTTGAGTTTTGACAGTCAAAACAGATTTTGGTCCTACATATTTTTGTATTTTTCCAAATCTTATGTTAAATTGTTGTCTCTTAAGTCTTGTTTGTGTATAGGTATAGTTCTAGGTATCTGACTTGACTGGAAGTCGATATCTCTTTGTTGTTGTACAATGTAGGGCAAGACTGTTTTTCAATGTGAAGGTACACCGAGTACATTTTCCTTGGATTTTGGAGGTAGCTTCGATAGTGTTCGAGTTAGAGGACAAAATCACAGTATTGTCTGAGTAGTTGGTGATGATAGTACTGGGTTTGTAGTTAGGTAAGAAGTATAGATATACAGGATGGGACCAAGAATGCTCCCTTGTGGGACACCAGCTTGTATTAGTCTGATTTCTGAGAATTTATTGCCCCACCTCACTATAAAGCAGTTATCTGTTGGGTAGGATTTAAGGACAAGATAATAAGGAGTGAGTAAGAAGTGTGTATAAAGCATGCCCGGGTGGCTAGACCCTATCAAAATAACATTAAGTGCAAGTTAATTTTTTTATTGTGTTCCTTTAATTTTTTTTATTCTTTAAAAGAATGGAATATGTGCACTTAAATAACAGTTGAATAAGCTGTTCATCAAACATCGATCCACGCGCAAAATTAAGACATAAACCATATGTTATTAAAATTAAGCATAGCTTTAACCAACTAAATCATGAAGCAATTTTTTTAAAAGCTAAAACTCAATTTGGCTTGGTGCAACATAGCCCAGTGAAATCCTATACATTTTTAAACATAAAATTTGAATTAAAAGGGTCAAAGTTACGGATAACATTTGAACCTACGGTCTTCGGAATTGAACCCTGATGCTCAAACCACCCAAACAACAGTGACTTCGAGACATCAACCATTCAGGAGGTTAGCACAACGGGGTACAGTTCTGAACACCATGTGTTCAAATCTCATCCGTAATACTGACCATTTTATCTCAAATTTTGTGTTTAAAAATTAATATATTTCAGAATGGAACTGAAACCAATAAAAAACAGTCATTATTTTTTTATTATGAATTATATAAAAAAATGACTGGGATAGGTGAAATGATGAGTTTATTGTTTTAGTGATTAATGAGTTATTTGGTACTGAATAATGTGTTATAGTTATTACATTTATTGGGTCATAAAATAAGTCCATAGCATTTTTTGATGGTAAATTCAATTAAATTTTCAGTTAGTAGTAAACATATTTAATCAACAATATGTTCCACTACCCGTCATCCTCTTCCATGTCATTTTTTAATTCCTTTCATTCATAACTCAGGTGTTTGAGTTGTCCCTCCTTGATGTGTTTTCTGCAGTCCCATTAATAGAGTTTTGCAGAGCCAGGAATAACTGAAAATCTAAATAGAATGCCAGGCAAATACATTGGGTGGGATAGCACATAGGGCCCAGTTCCAAAATTGTTTTTGTCTGCAACGGGGCAAGCGTCCTGGTGGAAAACCCTTGTGATTTGCCAATACCGGTCATTCTTGGGCAATTGCTGACTTTAAATGCTCCAATTGTATATAGTACACACTAGAATTACTGGTTTGGTCAGGCAGAAAAAATTCCATAATAAAGAACCACCCTTCTAATATCACCAAATGCACATTACTTTCTTGGAAAATAAACCAGCTTTTAAAGTTGTTACACCCCAACTTTCACCATGATTTTCCTCTCTGAACATTGTGTGGTGATTAGTGACCGTTAGTCAATGATTATTTGGAAATCATGAGATGTGGTCTGGTGTGATGTAGGTTTCAGAAAAACATTTTCTTTGTGTCAACATTTCGATCTTTATTGAGATCATCTTCAGGGCTTGGGATTTATAAACATTGTTTAAATTGAACAAATACATGTAGGATATGGAAAAAAGTGAATTTATACAATGCAAAAAAAAATTGTATAAATTCACTTTTTTCCACATCCTGCATGTATTTGAGAGATGATCTCAATAAAGAACAAAACGTTGGCACGATAAAGAAAATGTTTTTCTGAAACCTACATCACACCAGACCGCATCTCACGATTTCTGAATAATCTCTGAACATTGTAGAAAATATAAAGGACAGATTTTTCATCTCCAGTAATCAATCTTTTTAAAACTGGGTCATTTGAATTGTGTTTTAGTAGGGTCATCGAAGATGGAGATAAAGTTGAGTTAATCCTCGCTCAATATGTCAGGAACCCAATAGCTCTGACAAATATATTTGCTCTCAGTTGCGTTAAAACACTTGCTAAGTGTCTCTGCAATCTCTTGTCATTGAGTGTGGGTTATTTGTGCCAAAAGAATTTCGTCACAAACGGTTGAAAGAAGACCAGAACTCTGCCGCTTCCAAATTAAAAAACACTTAACGATGGTGTTTTCTCCTCAAGGCACCTCTAACCATGACCCATCATTGGCCACTACAAACCATCGTCATTGTGTTGGAGGGTAGTTTGGTGTGATGGTAGTGCAAGGGATGGCTTGAATCCAGCTGCCCTCAAACCAACATACTTACAAATGGGTTTTTTTTTTCTAAAACACTGGCACCCTGAGAGTTGATATAACCTCTGCTGTTGTGAACCCCCATGGGGGAAAAAAATAGTAATGATTAAATAAACGTTGCTGCAATACGAAATCGATAAAATCAAATTATTGAAAAATACTATGGACTTATTTTACAAGCTAATATTTTCCAACTTATAAAAAGTGTCTTTGTATTAGCATTTATTAGTTTAGTAGTAGTTTGTTCTGATGTGTAACCATTGTAAAACAAAAACCAAACGGCTGTGCACAATGCTTAAAAATGTTGAAGAAAAAGAACTTATGAGACTTCCATTACGGATCAAGAGAAACTCACAATTTAATTGCTTGTTTGCCACTTATATGGCAAAAATAATATGGTGGATTATTATGTAGGGTTTTTTTTTAAATCTATAAAACATATTTTCTAACATCTGTATTAAAAATATTAAAACCAATTACCTTAAATCCCAGTAAGGCCACCATAACTTTTACTAAAGGTTCAAAATTAGAAATACAAAAGAAATGCTTTAGAAACTACATCTGATCCAAGTCTAGCCAATAAAGGAATAACACATTTAACAATAAATCTTCACTATACCTAATTTTTGGTAAGTTGTTCCATAGAAAAAGTTAAATTTTAAAAAGAAGTTTTAAGTATAAATCCTTAATAAGGATTAAATCAACCAGTACGTATGAAACATAATACAAATACTGTTTTTCAAAAAGTTAAAAAAAAATTCAAAAGGAAATAACAACCAGACATTAATGCAAAGAACTACTACAATTTTTTTTTTTTTAATTATTTCAGCTACCACAAAAGACAATTTAGACATTGCCCTATTTACAAGTGACTACTAATGTTGTAGCCCCATGAAATGGGATGACAGTGGTTAGAAGGTACATCAAAAACTTAAAATACACCTTAAAAACAATTTACAACATTAATTATAAAAGTAAATAAAAAACACAAATCTATTGCACACAACGAAACAGAATTATTTACTAATTTTTATGAAGACACCAATTTTTATTGTCCTTTAATCAAGCATACATAACTTAAAAGTTTAAAGATATTTTTTTTAATCCACTCCCTTTAAAACGACTATGACCAAACAGTGAATATTGACACTATAATAGTTGATTATTTTCAGAATAACATGAATTACCTCTTGTTGGTTTCCTTGAGATCCTTCATCCTGTTCTGGAGTTGTCGCTGGTGTCGACACAACGGGTTCAGCAGCAGAAGCGTGACTGTTACTGCCACCATTGGTGCCAACAATTTCTTCTTTCCTAGTGTCTTCTTGAGAAGAGCCAGGACCACGGTTTCGTTCTTTTTTTAGTATTTCATACTGACGCTCTACCATTTTGCTGTACGTCTCATCATCTACAGCTCGCTGGCAGTGCTATAAGAATATATTTCAAAATGTAACTAAGCCAACTACAGTATTGCAGTTTTTTAAATTATTTTTTTAAGAACATTTTCTTAATGTTTTTATTAATAAAATTTGTTGCCCACTGATTGTTTTTCATTTAATTATTGGTTTCAATAATTTTTTCGCGGGTCTGGCGATCACATTTTTTATGAAACTTCTGGGAATAATTTATCATTTTTGATTAGCTCTTCCACACATGGTGAAAAGGTTCCGCTAACATTCACACTAATAAATACATTCACACTGACTAGAAACTTTCATACTATATGTATAATTAATAAGTTGGGAAGTACCAGGATTTTTCGCTGTCTCGCCCATAATCACCCTAAATAGATATGTATAAAATTAGTGGAGTTGATTGATGATGGCTATTTGTCTGTGAGTCGGTACAACTAGATTGGAGAGCTGTATATTCCGCCACAGACCCACGCAATACATTCATATAATATCTACAGAGATAAAATTAGGGGAGTCACTGGGGTATTCCACCAGTGCCCCCCACCTTGCACTCTAAAAATAATTACTCTAAAAAATAAAATAAAAACTAGCTTAGTTTGGTGGGTCTGTGGGGTGCTCTACATTCCGCCACAAACCCCCCCCCCACACTCTCTCAAACTGATCATGCTAATAAATACAATCATTCAGTACCATGAAATATCTAATCTAGTTTGGTGGGTCTGTGGGGTACTCTATATTCTGCTACAAACCCACTCAACTACTCATGCTAATAAATACATTCATTCCACGGTACAATAAATTGTTATTGTAGGCAAGATTTGAGGCAATATTTGAGTGTGCACCATACCAAATTGGATTTATTTTATACTGTGTTAATAAAAATTATATTTAGATTTCTAACTACAGTAGATTTTTTTAAATTGGATTTTTAACAATATATTTTTCTAGTCTTTGTCTAGACAAAAAACGAAGGAAGGCTCCTCATATGATGATGTTATAATGACACTTGTTGTAATGACAATTTGTAATTTCCATAAAAGGTCCATACATAGAAATAAATAAGCTGAAATTATGCAACTTCACACCGATGGTGTTTACTCAAGGGTTCACTTATGATTTTTTTATTTAATTTTCTAGTCCAAGGAACTTATTTTCCTAACTGTTATGTTGTTCTTTTATTCACACTATAATAATGAGGTCATTCTGACGATACATTTAACAACATTCAAATTTTTTAAACTTCCCAGCCATTTTTACTCTCGACATAAAAAAAATAAATAAATAAGATGTGATAATACAACATTTTGACAGAATGTCCATGTGTTTTTATTTAAGTTAATATAAACCTTTTTAAGCTCCTCTTGAAAGGCCTCGCTCAATTCAGCAAACTTTCGTTTTTTAGCCTCGAATTTCTCTTCCGTTTGCTGCAACTCGGATTCCAACTTTTTCTGAAAATTAATCGCATATATTTTTTTTCTTACTCTTTCTCAATCTTTGAATAATTATATTACAAAATAAACATAAACAATATCTTACTTTAAAATTCAATATTTACAATACAATGTAAATTTAGAGTACTACCTGATGCATTGTGAGTGATTGAACTTGTTTGTTCAGCACCTGCATCCGAACCGTAGTGACAACTGATCTGACATCAGGGACAATTGTATCAGAGAATATTTCATTGATAAGACGATGATTTCGTAGATATCTAGCATATGCCAAATGCTTCACTGAAAACCCATCATCAGGATCTAAAATAAATGCAAAATACATTTAATTACAGTAGCGGCCTTTGCTGTTTAAGGAAATTTTGTTTAAGAACGGAAGGAAATTGTTTAAGAAAAGTAATTGTCAAATTTGGTGACGAAATTCGTGAACAAGTCAGACCAAACTCGTATTTTTTATTCTATAAGGATCTTTACCAAGATGATTTTAATATGTTTAACCTAGCTAAGAATAAGACTAAAGGTTTGTCATTGGAGATAAGGTGGTTTTTCAAAATCAGAGGAGATCTGCTTTATTTCAATGATGCACCTTTTCGCGATAAAGAAAATGTAACTTGTTCCTTATGCAACGACTGTGTTAAAGAAGCAATAAAAAAATCTTGTCTGACATTCAGCTTCTGCATCTAAATGTTGTTAAATTAATTATGATACCGTTTATTATTTGTTTTGGTGATTGATCAGCCTTCTCAGTTTAAATATTTTTCTGGTACCTGGCCTCATCCCCAATCTACCTTTTGGAAAGAAAAATATTTATACCGTTTACTCACTTGTTACTAAATTATTTAAAAAATGTAATGAATTATGAGCGCCATGCTTGGCACTATCACCGGCAAGAGATTAAAGAGTTAATATTAGAATTTAATTTTTAAATGTTTAAAGTTTTTTTATGCTAAATTGCTGGCACCCAAAATTTATAATCTATATTTATTGTAATTTACACAAAGAAAAAATTACATTTTGTTAGTAAGTAATGTAATTATTAAAAATTGAACTATTAATTGTAAAATTTAGTTAATGAATTGTATTTATTTTATTTTATAATTTTTTTTTTTTTTCAGTGTGAACCTAAAGTTGAAGTCTAATGTAAATTTACTTCCGACAGGCGAACTTGCATGCCATAAATTTACTTTAATTACATATTATGTAATGTTTAAAACTTTTTGCAATAAAGTATATATTATTATTATAATTACAGAAATCTTTTTAAATACAACTATGTAATACCTTCTTCATCTTCTGCTGGTTGAATATCAATACGTCTGTCTTGCTTACTACTTCCTGATGTGCGATCGTGGCTCTCCCTGTCATCGTTTGTTTGTTGAGCTTAACAAAATAAAATTGACAAATAGCATAAATTTAACATGAAAGGATACAAAAGAATCAATTAATAATACCTGTTTTGCCACGAGCTTTCGCTGCAACATATGCCAAATAAGCAGGTGAATTGAGATATACTTTTAATGTTTTTTCATACTCCAACTAAAACAAAATCAAAATTAGAAACTGTCCATTTTGATTTATTAATTTAAAAATTGTGAATAATTAATTGTAGTCTTTTATTAATAGTCGTTTTTTTCCAAATTGTTTATAGTAATTGTTTGTACATTTTCTTTTTATTGATACATAAGTAATATAAATACATAAATAAATTAATTATGAATGTCGATGACTTGTTGATTTTTTATTTATAAATTTCTTTATGGTAATGCATTGTGTTTTATATGTCTAGCTATTCAAGTATGCCTTTTTTCTATTATAAGATTGTCTATATTGCTGAAGACCTGGTGGCTTTGTGTGAGGTGACAACGGATAGTTTTTATTATCTGTCTTTTTTCTTTCTTTAATACCTTTTCTGTTTCATAATCTTCAACATATTCAGTTTTGTCTTCATCGGGCAAGTCCCTCCACATCTGACCAATTATTTTTCCTATTTCCCATAATTTGAGCTCGGGATTTTGAGCTTTAACTTGATCCCAGACTTTTCTCGAATACCTCATGTAAGGCATTAAAGGTTTTTCTGGTGGTTTCGGTGGTTTAGGTGCTCTTGAGTCACCCTGAAAAAAAGATCAATAACTTTTTTTTGAAAAGAATGAAACTGAATTAGAAAGCAGGGAAATTCTGAACAAGCAAATTGATAATAAAGCTTCCAAAAATTCACCTCTGCCTGCAAACCATTGGGGTATAGTTCAAATTTGATAAGCCATTCACAAACAGTATAAGCTAGTGATCATTACACGTGTACTTAAATGTGGAGGGGAGAAGTTTGAATATGTGATTTATGAAAGAATTTGAATGCATTTTAAAGTGTACGTTGAAATAATTAACTTTTTTTACACAATTTTATTTCAAGCATATTTGCACTTTTCATAAATAGACAAAGTAAATACAAAATTCAGTCAAATTTATTATTGTCTTTTGTTATACAATATCAGTTAGTCCATTATATGTATTCTGTAAATAGGCAATCTACTCAAAAGCAACATGAATCAGTGTACTCACAGCAGATCCCTTGCCCACTTTTTGCGGATGGAATCCTGGATGGCCATGAGGTGTTGAGATAAAAGGAGACTGATTAGTGCTCTCTTTCTGGAAAGAAAAAATAATGTAAAATAAAAATACTGTAATTTTATTTAACTCAATGTTAACTTATTAGCTTCACAATTAACTTAATTCCTTAAATTATGAATTCTAACTCTATTATTGCTATATTGAAAAGTCCAGTCACTTTAACCATACTAATGATTGATAGATGAATGAATTAGGATTGTGGTTGTTTTACAGATAATTACTGTTGTAATTGATGAAGATCCAATAAATGATTGAAAGCTCGCCAAATTATGACAGTAATTATTGGTAAAACAGACAAGCCTGTTAGTTTTTTTATAGTTAAAAATATTGGCATGATCAATCCAATTGATGTAGATGTTCAGAAGGCAATTGTTATTTTAAGACCTCTTGGATTCTTAGTCGTGCACAGACATACTTCTAAACCTAATCAGTTGGTCAACCAATAAAACTGTTGTAATTTAATTAAAAACTATATATTTTTTATATCATTTATAAAAATAGTTTTGGGAAAAAGTCTTGTCTTCAACACCAAAATGGGATTAATCACTAAGGCGATTTATTTAAATTGATTTATTGAGATTTCTTGATATATGCCATATAATATGCATTAATAAAAGGTATGTAGATGGAGTACTCGATATTTCTCCATCGCCCTTACACATATTATGCAACAAACCTAATTGAAGGTCGATGGAGTACTCGATATTCCGCCATTGACTCTCTTACATCACACATTCACTCCCAACACAAGCTAGGTATACACAACTATTATTAAAATTAAAACAAATAAACAACCCAAATTCCTCCGAGAATTGGAACAGGGGACCCAAATACTCTCTGCCGTGCTCAAGCATACTTCTCAAATCGGGTTGCATTCCTGAGCGCTTTCTGTATGGAGCCAAGGAATTGCACCCTTCAATTAGGTAGAACCCATCAAGCAACCTTTCTCTGCCAGACACATATGTGGGGGGGGGGCTTTGGTTCTGTGTCCATATGTCAACCTCACACATCTTATTCTTAACAGGGTGAGAACTTCCTCTACGGGTCAGATTTTCAGAGGGCCACCCATCGACAGTCCTCTTGTTACAGGAGAGCTTCTCTGCCGACCTGACCCACTGAAGTTGCCACTTTATTTTAATCATGTTTTTAGATCACAGTGGTTAAATCTGAAGGTTGGGGTGTTTGGAAATAGGAGCCTCAAAAAAGATGCTGATTATTTCAAGAGAATTCTATTATTTCAATTTGCTTATATTTTTGATTCTGGAAAGTTAACATGTTAAAATATTATTTTTTTAAGCAATCAAAAATGCTTCAAATTTGCATATTCCTTAAATATGCAGAATAAAAGTTGAGCCACTTATGATTCAGATAAATATCTTATCACCATGGTCATAAGAGTTAACAAAAGGAATATACAATTGCATACAAATACAGGTTCTACTTATATTTATTCTAGTATTGGTAATAATTAATGTGTATACTTACAGTTGTACTATTTCCTCCAGAACCTGAAGCTCTAAGCCTTTCTGTAAAAACAAAAAAAATGTAATTGTATAATGTAAATATTACATATATTCAATATTTGTTGTTTTTGTCAACCGGTTGGATTATTTTTCAGTATTTTGTTTGTTGAGGAGTCGACCGAGTCAGTCCTATTCTTGGTTTTGTGAAACAGGCTTACATGGTCACCTTATGAACTATTTTCAATAGAATAAACCAAGCAAGGGCTTTAAAAAAATGGTTATTTTATGTTAGCTTATGTGTAAGTATGTAAGTTGTAATGCATTGTATATCTTATTGTCATCACAATTTTCATACCATGTGGTGTCATTATGAAAATGTACATACGCAGTTTTTATATTTTTATGCTGCAACATGCAAAAAATTACAGACCAATCAAAGCCTAAACTAATCTAAAGCAAGAACTACAGAAAAGATATAAATGATTAACTCATACCTTAACTTACCATTAAAGATGTGAAATGTGTTCTATAAAAGGCTTGAAATAACTTTTCATGGAGCATTGGCTATTTCAATACTTGTACAAGTTGAAATTCTATCGTTTTTTTTTTTTTTGCTTTTTTTTGCAAACTGTAACACCACCAAAAACTTCACTCACCTTTAAGTATGTTGAAGGCCATTGGCAGTCCGGCTGACAGCAATTCTGAACATAAAAGTACACACAAAACATATCAATCATTAGAGGTTTGTTCACCACATTAATATGTTCTAGAAATAATGTTTAAATTGTTTTACAGTTTACCGTGTGGTGAACCTTCCTTATACTAATAAAACTAAAACAAAACAAGCAAATTTGGAGAGAGAGAGAGAAAAAAGCAACAGCACTTAAGGAAAGAGAATGCAGAAAATTTTTAATTTTTTAAAAATTAATCACAAGTACAGACATACAAAATAATACATTAAGCAAATAATAGTAAATCAGCAAATAGCAAGACAGCAGCTAGGTAAGTTCTACAATATGAGTATTTTAAAAAAATCTAACACTAAAAATATTATTTACTTACAATAAAAATGTTAAATTTAAAATACATCCACTTCTAACTAAACAAGTACAAATTCAAACTAACGAATATTTTAAAAAGTCATGTAGAGACAGGGTATGTACTAGGTTGTATGGTAATAAAGTAATTTCTTTGTCGTTTCAAAATAAAATATTTTGTTGTGCACCTTGGCAAAGGAGGCAATAAATTAGATCTGATATGTTGAACATAGTAATAAAATTATTAATGAAATCTACCTCTGGTTTCTTGCATTTAATTATTAATTTTGAAACTGCATAACATAAATTTTAAATAATTTTATTTACAAGTTAACATTATTTACTTGAGTGGTTAAGTGAACAGTCTATACAGAGAAAAATGAAAAACCAGTATGTTCAAGTACCAGTAAATAACGTATAAATTCTGCCATTATTTAAGAACTAACCCTCATTTCTTAAGCAAATATTATTATATTAAACTTTGCAATAATTTGGTCACAATAAGTTTAATTCTCAAGGCTACCAAATAAGTCCAAAATTTCTATTTTAAAACTGTTCATTATTAACATTTAAAAATAAAAAATACAAGTGTTTTGTGTTCTCATTGAAGTCCCAAAATGATATAAACAATTTAATTTAAATATTGAGAAGAATATATAAATAAACATTTTAATGTTTAATCTGAGACATTAATACACATACAAAAGGGTGGGAAAAAAAGAAAACTTACGATTTGGCCCAGGCATTGATCCCATGGCAATTTGTTTATAATTAGCTGGAAGCGACATCTAAAATATAATATAAAAATAAATATTATTTAATACTTTTTACATATGATCAACACATTCTCATAAACACAAAATAAAGGCTACAGTTTTTTGAAAAATTTATTAATTATGATCATAATTTATGTATGATACGTCACTAATGACAAATGTTATTTTACTTGAATGTTTATAATATTACACTTAAATTTGTGGTGTTTGGGTAAAGAGGAAAATTTATTTTTGCTTGTTGGTGTAAAGTAAATAATAGAGCTGTAATTGTTAATATATGGCCCTATAAGGAATTTTGTACTTCTTTAACAGATCGCCAACCCAGTGTAATTCCCCAATTCTTGTTTTGGGGATAAACATCATCAACCAAAATGAAATCAGTTGAGACCCGAGTAAAGTGCAGAGAGAAGATGAGCAGAATCGAGACAAGGAAGAATCAAGTGAAGACAGAACACGGTCAAGATCAAAGAGAGAAGACCAGGGAAACTTAGGGCTTTAGTAAAGTGTAGACCAGGGAGAGTTGATTGAGACCAAGGAGAATTGATAACAGGGAGAGTCGAGACATAAGTTAAGGGCAAAGAGGAGTCTAGTTGAGACCTGAGTAAAGGGTAGCGACAATTCTAGCAGTTGACTAACAATGGGAGCCATGACCAGGGAGAGTTGAGACCTGAGTAAAGGGCAAAGACGAGTCAAGTTAAGACCAAGGAAGGTTGATAGCAGTGAGAGTCGAGACCTTAGAAAAGGGTAGAGATGAGTAAAGCAATTGACTGGCGAGGAAAGTCATGCCCAAGGAGAGTCAAGACCTGAGTAAAGGGCAAAGAGAAGTCAAGTTGAGACCAAGGAAGGTTGATACTGCAGAGTGGAGATCTTAGAAAAGGGCAGAGTTGAGTAATGCAGTTGACTGATGAGGAAAGTCCCGAGGCATAGAGTCAACTAATGATGAGAGTCACAACCAGGGAAAGTAGAGACCTTAGAAAAGGGTAGAGACGAGTAAAACAGTTGATTGATGAAGAAAGTCATGACCAGGGAGAGTCGAGACCTGAGTAAAGGGCAAAAACGTGCCGAGTTGATATCAACGAAGGTTGATACTAGGGAGAGTTGAGACCATAGAAAAGGGCAAAGACGAGAAAAGCAGTTGAGTGACGAGGAAAGTCTCCCGAGGCAAGGAGAGTCAACTAATGATGAGAGTCATGACCAGGGAGAGTCGAGACCTGAGTAAGGGCAAAACCAAGTCGAGTTGATACCAAGGAAGGTTGATACCAGGTAGAGTTGAGGCCATATAAAAGGCCAAAGACGAGTAAAGCTGACAAGGAAATTCCAGAGACAAGGAGAGTTGATTTATGAGGAGAGTACAGAAACCAAAGATAAGGAGAGATCAGGAAAGGCATCAAGAAGTCGAAGGATGACATTTTCTATGATGTGATGAAAAATATGCCACCCTGTATACTAATTTTTGAATATTGTCTTGTACTGTTTTAAAAAAAATCAAAAGTCAATCCGCCCATAACGTTTCAGCAAGAATGGGAGTATTAAGTTATTTTGTCGTGGGCTCTCCAGACGACAGCAGATCCTGAAGGGACTTTGAACCATCGTCATTTTAAATTTATTTAAAAATCAATTAAAGAAAATGTTAAATTTAAAAAAAAATTGCGTCCTCCTTAAAAGAGTATCTAGGAAAGAGGGGAGCCTTTGATATTCTACTGTTCAATCGTCCCATGGAAAAGAGCGCTTACCTCAAAAAACAGGAAGAATTTAGAAAACTGGTAAGGAAAGCTTTCAGTAAATGTTTTTGCAAGTCCGGCCCTGAGGCGGGAGCACTTTTAAGGGCTGAGCCTCAAAAAAACACCCGTACGGCCAAAAGTGATGACATTGTCAGTCGAAGGTGGACGGGCCTGAAGAAGATCTGGCACTCCTTATCTTAACACTGACCGAGCCGAGGAAGCTGACATCAAAATATATTGGTTACAAAACATTGGAAAAACCCTAGGAGCCAGGACTTCTCGATACTTTGGTGATAGCGCATGCTCAACTGGAATGAATCGATTCTTAAATTTATGGCCAAAGTCTAAACATGATTCCACTTTTCGCCTCTTCCCACTGGGTGACGCACTTTCACCAAGGCTCAGGACAAATTTTTTTAAAAAATTAAATACGACAGACCGTTTGACCATCTGACCAAAGTTTGATTGCTCTTTTACACGTTTCAAGTTTCATAAGCATTAATCCTAAGGGTTATGGATAAAAGAGCAGCCACAAGGCCTTCTGCCTGACCTGAGTAGATCTGTAGTGCTTCCCTGTTTTTTTATAACTCACTGGCCAGATTCAGGTTGGTAATCAAACTCCATAATGTAGGATCTTGCTTGTGGTTTTTCCTGTCCTAGTTGCAAGAACCTGCACCTAGACCTTCATGTCACCAAACATAAAATCTGTTCTGCGGTCTCCTCCTCTTCCTGGCCGATTCTGCACAATGTTTCTTCTGTCTGTACTCCTATCCAGTGCATGTGCTTAAATGGCAGTGTCCTGCCAAGAGTCCAACCAGAATCCTGGTTCGGTTGCGGTTGCCTTCCAGTAATTCCTTTGTAAGTTTTTCAGATGACCCTTCTATGAATCTCTTTGGATGCCTCATAGCTATGGTATTGTTCCACCAGGTTTTGAACTCATTAAGGATCCACTTTAAGATGTATCCTCTTTTGTGGTAATATGCAAACCATAGAATGGTTCAGGACCTAGAATGTCCATGTTGGCCTCCCTTCTTTCCCAACATGTCAATCTTGTTGTGGCCTCTATGTCCTGATTATCCAGGGTTCCATGCCAGGGTCTGGTCATTATTGTTGCAAACTTCCGTTAGGGCCTCCATGCAGTTCCAAACACTTTACCTTCACCTCGCATGAGGCTAGGGCCTTTAGTGCTGCCTGATGTCAGAGAAGACGGCTGTCTTCTGGGAATGTATTCCTAGCCTTTTTATTTTCCTGGCGCAGTGTTCAATTCCTATGATTTTAGACTGGAAAACTGTAGAAATTTACCTAAGTTTACCATCAGTTCGATCTTTGGATTCATCCTGAAGACACCAGCCCCCGGGCCATTGTTGGTTTTGGAGCTGTCAGGCATTAAACCAATAGGAAAGCATTAATCCTAACACAAAGTAGAAATTTTGCTAATTTCACTGCTTGGTCTGTATGTTAATATATGATCTACTCAGGTTGCAGAAGGCCTTGTGGCTGCTCTTTTATCCATATCCCCTAGGATCAAGGACAAGTCCTTTTTACCAACCACTGAAGACAAACAGACATAAAAGGCAAAATTTCATGATTAGACCGTAGACGTTCAACTTACAAATTGTAATGTGTCTAAAAGAAACAAAACATAATTTCAATTCAAATTTAAATACAACAGTGTTACATAGTTTCAACAAAGGGAGAGAACTAGATTAGTTTGAGAAATTTGAAATTAAAAAATGTGAAATTGAACACGGAGATAAATGCATTAATAATATAATAGATTTTGATCTACCTCCCATTTTATATATGTACATAAATAATATTAAACGTCCAAATAATTAAATTAATTATTTTAATTGTTATTATTTTTGTAATAATTTAATAATATTAAGGTATTATTCTAATTTTTTAACTTTTATCTTTAATCACTAATTTATAATTAATTTCTTACAGTATTTACCATTATAATATTTACTTGTGTTATTTGTTCCCGCTTTTCGCAAGTTCAAATTGAGCGCCATTAAAAAACCAGCTTCTCATTGGAACATCGCGTTGGCGGGGGTATGAGCGGGTTCACTTTTGCAATTCATGTCGAGAGTCGTGGTTATAGAAATCCTTCAACCTGATGATGAGCTAAGGGCTCGAAATCCGGATCGCTGGAAAACACTTACTGTGAGCAGGAACTATCTTTTTTAAAAAAAGGATTGAACACCGCACTCACTCCATCATTCATCATTTCTATTTGTTTCTATATTTCTGTTATCCAATTATACTATATATATTTATATTTATATGTATATTTAGTTTCAATTATTCAGTTACTTATGTATAAACTCTTCTAGAGCTTGTAACTGGGTATATTTACCTGTATAAATAAATAAATTTCTTTCCAATAAAACATATCAAAATCGGTCACAGAATTATAATATCCACTTATATTTGTGTTTTTACTTTTTATTTACTTAGCGATATATTTAGTTTTATTTTGTATTTATCTTATTTCTAACGAATAAAATAAAAATAAATTCCAGTCATGTAGGATGAACAAAGCTATTTCCCGTCGTCTTCACTGCGGCCTCTCCATAATTTTCAAAAACCATTGAATTAATGACCAACTGAAATTTTTTTTCTGGATAAATGTATTTTAATTTTTTATGTTATACATACTTTTGTTCTTCTTTCTTTTATGTATTGATTTTGTTTATTTTTATTTCTTGACGTTTGACTTGTTTGAAGAATGTTTAATTTTTTAATGATTTCATCAACGTCCTGTTATATATTTAAGAAATATAATTCGTCTGTTTTATTTAATTTGGGCATTAAAAGCTAATTTGTTGTTTAATTTTTATTTTCTTCTTATTTGAAAATTTTTATTGGGACAGTTTGGAAGTTTTAGGTTGTTGGCAGTGATTCAAACCTCAGAGTTGTTCCTTTAATGGTTATTGGTTAGTCTGCCGTCTCATTCAACTCTCGCTGGACCGTAATGCCTTACGCGTTTTTGTCTTAATAGTTTCTTCTTTTTTTCTTCTATTTCTTCCCAACTCGACCCCGGCACCTTTTCTTCTGAAAACGACCGATGAAGGATTTCAGCCGATACGAACCAACGCTGTGCGGATATTTCAAATTGCAGGTATGTCTGGAAGAAGTAGAAGACAGGGGGAAAAAACAAGCCCCCCTCGGAGTCGGGAATGTGTTTGATTTATAGGAAAACCGAGTAAAAGTTTATTATTTGCACTATTTCCTCCAGCCCCGGTCTTCGCGACAATTATTTTCCTTTGTCTACAATCTACCTTGAGATGTCTTTTGTTTACCCGTTTCGTTTGTTTTTCAAACAAATAAAATAATTGCCTCCACCTTCCGACTCGCCCGTTTTATCTTCTCAAAAAAAAAAAAAACGGTCCGTTTCTCGCTTTTAAACTGTATTCTCGCTTTTTTCTTTTATCTCACTTTTTACCTAAATCATTTTACTTTTACTTTTATTTTGCGAGCTTTCGAGTTCGTAAAAATGTTCAAAACCCATACCAATCTCATATTCGCTATCGGCCTTATTTCAAAACGATGAAAAACTTATTGTTAAAAACTCAAATTTAAACTTAAAGATAATAGCTTTTAATACAAAATTAGCATTAACGAGCTTTAAGAGGGGGATTAATCAATTTTGTTTCATGCAACTACTTGTTGATTCATTGTTCTTTACAGCCATATTTTCGTAACTATCTGACTACAAATAATTTAATAGTTATAAACCGACCAAAATGTATTTATAAAAAATAAATTTCCTCTTAAATACAAAATAAAAGGCGAAAAAGTACAACCAGATTGAAATGAAAGTATTAACATCTAATTTTGAGTCAAAGGTCCAAAACGTTGAGTTTGTATAATGGACTGGAACATCGGATTGGATATTGGATGGTTTGGAATTGTAAATAGGAATATGTCCTTAGAAATTTTGTGAGTCTGAGTGATGATTATGGTTCGAAGAAAAGTACAGGTCAGCCCATTGCTACACCCATTCCAGTTGGTAAATCCATTATTATTTTCATATTTTTTCCTGCATTATTTTTGCAATGCTTCATGCAAAAGTGTTATCAGAGAATGAGTAGGCAATTATTAACACATTCTTAGATAAAAAATTCACATTCTTAAAAAACTGATCAATTTTGAGTTGATGTAGATATATTATGAGGAATTTGTTAGTCTGTGTGATAATTATGGTTCGAAGAAGAATGCAGGTTGGCCCATGGCTACAACCATTCCAGTTGGTAAATAATTATCCACTATTATTTTACAATATTTTCATATTTTTTCTTTTGTATTTTTGCAATGGTTCATGCAAAAGTGTTATCGAAGAGTGAGTAGGCGATTAACACATTCCTAGATAAAAAAAATTCACACTTTTAAAAAACTGCTCAATTTTGAGTTAAAGTGTGTGGTGATTAGTGACAGTTAATCGATATTTATTTAGAAATCGTGAGATGCGGTCTAGTGTGATGTAGGTTTCAGAAAAACATTTTCTTTATCGTGCCAACGTTTCCAAGCCCTGAAGATGATCTCAATAAAGTTTGAAATGTTGGCACAATAAAGAAAATGTTTTTCTGAAATCTACGTCACACCAGACCGCATCTTACGATTTCTAAATAAATTTGAGTTAAAGTAGACTTGTTATGAGGAATTTGTTAGTCTGGGCGATGATTATGTGCATCTTGAGACTTGGCAAATGTTTGGCGGCATTCAGCAAATACCGCATGTCTGGTGCCACCTTAACAAGAAGGCTCAATGAAAATAACCTCCACGCCCCCGGCACCGGGCTTGTGGACCCCTTCTTGCCATAGCTCAGAAGATACTTCAATTTGCACAGGAACATGTGAATTGTTTTGAAAAACTGCTCGATTTTGAGTAGAAGTAGACAGACATGAGGAATTTGTTAGGCCGGGCGATTATTGGGTTTAGAGAATTAAGGGAATTTCGAAGGACAGGCTTTAATTTGTACAGGAGACCCTTGTGTCACATAAGGTCGAACGAAAAAAGGCTCCCATAAAATATTCTTTGTGCTCAAGGGATCAGCTGTTCCCCACTGTTCCCCTTACAACCAAATCATTTTAGTAATGTTCTGTAGTTGTACGTTTATTTTTCATTGATAGCTTGATTTGTCATCTCATAAGTTGGCAGACATCACCTCCAGTCATTTCGCTTAAAAACATTGTTTCCTTGCATAGATCATTTACTATAACGAAATATATCTGCACCATCCAAATTAAACCTCTTTTCCACATCAAAAATGAATTTTCTTCATGAAATACGTTTACTTGCGAATTGCTTCCTGTTATCTCTGTGGGTCTTTGAAACGAGTGATTTTGTTTTCAGTTTCGTTCTCCAGCTTGGCAAATTTTTCCCAAAATGGATGCAGGATTGTAGGCTTGGCATAGAATGGCTCTCCACTCTTGGACACTAATTGTTATAGGCCTACCCGTACTCTTCTTCCTACATCATCCCAGCCTAATGAAATTTCTCATCATGCATCTATTTTCAATCAAATTTTTTGAAACTGTGAAATATTTATGAAGTAATATGTTAATAATCGCCTACTCACTTTCCCATAACACTTTTTCGAATTTCGTCTCAACCAAGACCTGATATAAAAAGTATAATTATTTAAAATAATTAATATGTTTAATTATGACTACTAAATACATACATGAATGAAAATAATAGTGGATAATGATTGGCATTGTAAAAATGTAGAAGAAAAATATGACAAGCAAAATAATAATGGATAATTATTTACCAAATGGTTAAAGTACAACTCAATGTTATTAGCAAGAGATTTCAGTATAAAATGAGTCTATACTTTTGTTGCATGTAAATTTTCTGATGTGTAAAAGAATATCCAGATCCCAATTAACTGAAGGATTTGTGACTATTTGATTGGATAAATATTTTAAATTTCGTAAAAAATAAGGAGCTGGCCTATAATTTTGTAGGAGAGTTTTGTTGAGATTGTTTTGTCTTCGTTATACCAACTTAGTTGTTACATGTACGACAACATGCCAGTCTTTTGTTTGAATTGAAAACAGCTGGGTATAGAACGGTTCAAAATAGTTCTTTTGTAACGCGTGTCTAAACGGTGCGCAATGTTGCAAAACATTAGAATATTACTCGCTGTGAAGGGTTTAATTAAGGGAAGTCATGACGGATTTAGAAGCTGCGATAAATTAAAAGAAGAGGGGAGCTTTTTTAATGTGTGAATGAATTAGACACGTTGCTCTCTTGCAGCATGTTCTTTTATTTAAATTGTAATAAACATACTAACAGCTCTGTTAGTAATTTATGTGTATGTTAAGAGATTTGAATATGTAAGTATTTACAACCATTCACAATTCGCAAATAGTAATTGTAAAATGTACTAATTTTCCAACATATTTAAAAAAATCATATTACATGTATAATAATTGATATGTTTCTAGCTGTTGAATACATTTAAAATTTGTAGCTCTTTTGTAATGCTTTTGTCTAAATGATTCACAACATTAATGGCTGATGAGCTTAATAAAGTGATCATTGGCAGATTTAGAAATTAAGTTGAATTAATAAAATGAGCTTATGTTTATATAAAAGTTTTTACAACTGTAAGTTGTTAAAATAACCTAAAACCTCAGTACTAGTAGTTGTACTTGTTTAGCCTGACTTTCATTTGTTTGCTCTGTTAGACAGTATTTTGTAGTCGTCAGCATTGAGTTTGTCAGATGAAATGATGAAACCAGTGAGGGTTCGAGTGTAAATGTGACATGGACACACTTCCTATATTTTTCCATCGTTTGCACCAATCTACTATACATGCCTCAGCAGATTTTCTGAACCAACTGTAGGATTGAACTGCTGTGTCATTGACAAAGGATGCAAGGGAAGTAGCTATAATTAAGAAATGTGCGGTTTAAAGGATAGAAGTTTGATGGTACTTCTGTGGTCATAGAGCAATAGCCAGATGAATCCGATGCATGTCGGACTCAAAGAATATAAGTTAACATTATTATGTATCTATAAGAATGGGGAATAAAATACAGAGTACTCGGAAGGACAGGTTTTAATTTGTACACGAGACCCTTGTGCCCGTGTGAAGAAAGGCTCCCATACAACATTCATTGCGCTCAAGTGTTTAGCGGTTCCCTATTGTTCTGTATGGTTTTCCATCGATGGCTTGGGTTGGCTGTAAGACACTATTTTACAATGTTCAGTGGTAAATTTCTGAGATAACTAACAGACAAAACCAGCTGGGATAGCCAGACCAGGATGATCGGAAATGACCAAACATCATAGTTCATCTACCCACTAAACCTTTTTTAGTCGTTTGACAGAATATACACTGAATCTTAGCCAATACGAAAAATTATAACCTTCCTTTTAAATTGTTTTATATTGTATTATGACCTAAGTTATAATTTCCTGTATAAATTCTTAAAAATCCTAGCTGCACTATGCTAAAAATTTATCATCATTGTTACATATTTTATCGAATTCTGCAAAGTAAGTAAAAAAGTAAAGTAATTTCTGCATACATTACATGAGGGCTTAACATCCTACTAGCCGTTATGGGTCTCAGACGTCTTTACAATACTTTATCCATATTATTGACAATTGAAAAACCATGAACTATGCCAGTATTAGAACCCAGAACCGCTAGAATGATAAATATGAGTAGGACAGCATAACCCTCAACCACCGCAGTCCCTTAGGTCTGGAAAGTGATGAACCTGTAGGTTGCTACCTCTACGTACTGCTACCAGTAGCTTGTCTGTCAGGCATATTTTGGCTCTTTATCTTATTCATTGGTTAGTATGAGTATTATTTTGAAAGTCATGTACCTTTACTATGTACTAAAAAATGAAGGGTTGTTTGCCTGATAGTTTGGAGCCAGTTAATTTTTTTCTTTATCCCATTGAGATGCAAATGTAAAATAGAATTGGCAACATTTAATTTTTGCCTATAAAAACCTAATGTGAAACATATTTTAGTTTGAAGATCAGGTTGACTTAATGAAAATACAACACAAAACTGCAACAATTTATCTAACCATCCTCAGTTCCAAAGTAGAATCCTATGCTGGATGCCATCATTCGTGGTAGATCAACATGGTCTGCATAATTCAACTCATATCCTACACTTCTACTCCGGTCTTGTGGATTTGTTTTTTCAACGAACCAACCTGACCAGAAACCTGATTTACAAATTACATACTACCCATGATCAATCGACGCAGTCTATATAATTATATTTTAGTATTTTTTAATGACTAATTTTTATAAGTAACCGATACCGATACTTAAGGGGTTCCTTGTACCATAACTTGTTTTTATTAACTGTACTCATTATCTGAAACCAATTTGAAAACTCAGTAGTATTTTAGTAATTAATTTTTATGTAAAACTGCCTTTATGATGTTACTTTTTTGTGTGAGAACACACCTTTTCATTTTCCTTGTTGTTAAGGAGACAAGGAAGAAGTATTTTCAATATAACGAAGCTGCAAATTGAAGCCAGATGTAGCATAAAAATGTCAAAAGTGAATTATTTTTTAATTCAAATGAAAAATTGTAACTATCGTCCACCCGAATCACTAAGAGATTTGTAAAAGATACATTGCACACAGTGTAATATATATGCAAAACTGAGAACAACTTTTGCACACTAATATTGCTAATACTGTTAAATTATTCATCAAGTGACTTCTATTCATTGGCATCTAAGTAAAATATGACAACGAAATATTCATATTAAAGATTGTATTGAAAAACTGCACACACACAAAATTTAAATTTAAACTGAGGAAAAGGTAATAGAACAACATTGAAGGAATTTTTATATTGAAAAAAAAAAATAGAACCATTTAAAAGAGCCTATTTTTTACGCATTCTTGAATCTTGTAAGAAAGTCTTATTAAGGTAAATTTAATCTGGATTTTTGTTGAACAAGAAGTACCTGATAAAGCTAGTATCTATTTTAGAAAAAAAGTTGCCATCACAGCTTAATCTAAAAAAAATACAACAAAAATAAATAAATAAAATAAACTAGGTTCTTTTTTCCATATAAATTGCCAGTTAATCTTGGTTTAATTTACAAAAAAAATAATTATTGATATTATAATTAATTAAGGTTTTTAGTTGAGATAAAAAAGTCAATGCCACGAGCGGGATTCGAACCCACGATCTTCGGCTTGATACGCCGCTGCTCTACCACTTGAGCTATCGTGACCTCGATCCACTCGGACACCAACTTCCCATCTCAACCCCACCTTTTGAATTTTCCCTCCTTTTTGCCATTTTTCAATTGAAGTATAATTTAAAATGAAGTATACTTCACTAAAGCTCTCCGTGGCCATTTCATCTGTCGTCGAGAATCCAATCTGATTACACGACATTTGAAAAATGGCAAAAAGGAGGGAAAATTCAAAATGTGGGGTTGAGATGGGAAGTTTATGTCCGAGTGGTTTGAGGTTGATAGTTCATAAGTGCAGTTTACTAAATGGTAGTTGATTTAGTACAGCTTATTTATAATTGCAGTATAAAATCTAATTAAACATTAATCGAATGCTTGTTTACTTAGTTTGACAAAGGTAAAGTGTGTTTCTGTTTCCTGTAATATTTTTAAATGCTTTTATTCTTTCTAATAAACAGAACATTTTAATCATAGTAACAGTTGTAAATTTTCGTTTTCAGCTAATGATGAGCCCTTGAATGATAGTTAAGATGGACTACTTCATTTTTTCACCATCCATTTAAGGATAATAACAGCAGGACACCATAATGGAAGAATGGAGACTGTTAGATGATTTACTAGAGTGTTCCGTCTGTTTGGAACGCTTAGATACTTCCAGTAAAGTACTCCCATGCCAGCATACATTTTGCAAAAAGTGTCTCGAAGAAATTTTCAAAACTCAACATGAGTTGCGATGTCCTGAGTGTAGAACCTTGGTGGAAATCAAAATCGACGATTTACCGCCGAACGTTCTTTTGGTCCGAATTTTGGAAGGTATACGAAATGCTCCAGACCACTCTGGAAGTAGCAGTAAGAAACGGAACCAAGGGACGAGGAAAAGAGAAACAAAAAAAACTATACACGATCCAGCCCAACAACCACTGTCTCAGCAGCAAACTCAACCCCAAACTCAGCAAGCAACACAACCACCACAGTACCATCTTCCTTGTGCTAGGGCAATTTATGATTACACTCCAAAAGAACCTGGGTAAGTTCAATCATATCAATAATAATTAATGTAACCTATTAATTTTAATGATTAATTTGTGTAATATTTGATCATTTTTATTAGCACATTATTATGGTATTAACACTATTTCAGGGATTTGACATTTGAAAAAGGTGATTTCATTTTATTAAAGCAAATGCTAAACAATAACTGGTACCATGGTGAAGCAAATGGAAAAGTTGGAACATTCCCTATTAGTTATGTTCAGGTATGTCTGAGTTTTATTGTTATTGTTATTTAAAATATTTAATCTTATATTTTGGTTTATTATATTGCAAAAAAAAAGGGTGATGTTAGTACATATTTAGTTTGCAGAAGATTTTCAACATTGCAGGGTTTATAATTATGTGAAATTTCACCGTGTGACATAATAGATGTTCCATTTATCATGTATTTTGCTGTTATGTAAAATATTTTCACACAATATTGAGTTTAGTACAAAATTTAATCTGTCCCATAATACTAATATCACAAATTTTGAAATTATTCAAAAAGTCATTTGGAATTTGGTTTTCTGTAGATAATTTGTCCACTGCCTAATCAACAAACACAAGGAACACAACCACTGCAATACCATCTTCCTTGTGCTAGGGCTATTTATGACTACACGTCAAAAGAACCTGGGTGAGTTCAAATCAGTAATTGTGGTGATTTTTTATTTTTTGTCCATAGAATTTACATTATCCATACCATTTTACGGCAGTAACTATCAAACATCTAATCTTTAATATTACAAAAAAAATTATACTTACGAAATAAAACCTGTTTCAGGGATTTAACATTTCAAAAGGGTGATTTCATTTTATTAAAACACATGATAAACAATAACTGGTGCCATGGGGAAGCGAATGGAAAAATTGGAACGTTTCCTATTAGCTATGTCCAGGTATGCTTGGATTTTAGTTTCTTTTAAAATAAAATTTGACTGTTGTGATGCTAAGGAAGGTCATTTTAAGTCTCAGTTATATTTTATTTGAAGTTATTAAAAAAAAGGCATAAACATTTGACAATTTTGTTATTTAATTATTCTGCATTTAGAAGAATATATTTTTTATGTCCTTTTTTTTTCTCTCTTAGAAACTGATTAAAAGTATAGTAGTTTAGTTGTTTGTTTAATGCAATATTACATTGTTATACTACTTGTACAGTGTTATTAAACAATAAAGTTTATTATTCCGAGATCGTGTACAAATACATGTAGGAAAAAGTGAATTTATACAATGCAATGTATTTGTTAAATGTAAACAATGTTTGTAAATCCCAGGCTCTGAAGATGATCTCAATAAAGATTGAAACGTTGGCACGATAAAGAAAATGTTTTTCTGAAACCTACATCACACCAGACCGCATCTCACGATCTCAGAATAATTATAGATTAACGGTCACTAATAATCACCACACATTTCTACACGAGAAGAACCAAGAACATGGGATTCTATGAACAAACAAAGTTTATATTGATTAATAAAAAAGTTTAAATTATTTCGTTGTTATTATTGAAATATTCTGTTCGTCTAAACTTGATATTGTGTGAAGCATAATCAACGGCTTATACAAAATTTGAAAAGCATAAAACAAAATATATAGTATCTTTTAAATCTAAATTTTAAAAAAAAATGTTTGTTTGAGGTATATGCTTTATTGTTATAGGTGATTTGTTCACTCCCCACTCAAAATCCTAATCAACAACAGCAATCGCAAACACAGCCACCACCACATCTTCCATGTGCTAGGGCCCTTTATGATTATTCATCAAAAGAACCTGGGTATGTTGTTCATACAATTAATAACATAAACAATTTACACTGCTCAAAAAAAAAGGCGCACTTTGAAATTGTGATTTCTTATTTAATTTGACAATGTTTTGGCCATATATTTTGTTTTACTACTTTAAAAATGATTTAATAATTATAATTAGAAGGGAAGTATTTGTTGTTGTCGCCGATTGTAAATTAATTTCTGAGTTGAGTTAAAATCCCCATGTAAATCATCAACAAAGTCATTTAATCCTTTAAAAAGTCTTTATTACTTTTTTAAATTGTGCTTGTAGCCCAAAACAAAACTATTATGAAATTGCCCATAATCAACGAGCAAGTTGCCCGTGCCATTCCACTTGGTGAGGATGGAAGAAATCAGCATTATGTAGTGAGAGGTTTAGGCCTGAAATGACAGTTAGTCAGGCATTCAGCGGTACTGTGAGACTGTAAGTTGTTTCTAGGAGACCAGGCTAGAAACATCCAAGAGAAATCGATTTTCCATTGCTTCTGAAATGTCTCAAAGATTTCGAACCATGTGAGATGTGTCCATTAGCACTGAAACAGTAAGAAGAAAACTTGCAGAAATGAGTCCACATCCCCTAAGGCTAGCAACGGGAACAGCACTTACCTGAACTATCGTCAGGATCGCTTAAAGTTTGCAAGAGAACACTGACATTGGACAGAAACTGAATAAAGGAATGTTACGTTTTCAGATGAATCCCAGTTTTTTCTCCATTCACCAGATGTCCGAGTATATCAAGCAGTTGTAGAGCGCTATAGAAGGTCATTGTGAAGTGGTTCAATTATGGTATGGAGTAGTATATGGTGCTTTGAAGGCAAAAACAGAGCTTTTAATAGGCAATCATTTAAAAAGAAATGTGGCAGTATTTTTGAGGAATATGTCCTGCAAATTCTTGTTTGGACAAGATAATGCAAGCCCAAAGGTTGCCACCAATGTTAGGTAGTACCTTTGTGATGTTAATATTTGCACTCTAAGATGGCCAGCCCGTATCCCTGATTTGAACCCCATGAGCACTTTTAGGACAAGCTCGGACATTGCATAAAAGGAAAAACCTCCTACAACCATAGCTGAGCTGAAAGTGACGTTAATTGAAATTTGGGATGAAAGGCATGGTTAAAGGCTTAATTATGAGTACGCCGGGATGATTAGAGTGTGTATAAGAGCATGAGGAGTTAACACACACTATTAAAGATTTTTAAATCTGTTTTTGTAATTTATGTTCATATACAAAAATGATTTTTTTTTGTTTTCAAGAGGTATTTTTATTTTCACGTTAACTACAATAAATACCTGAATTATACAAAATATAGGTGTTAATATTACTTCAAAGGGAAGTACTTAAAAAAAAGTGCGCCACGTAGAGCAGTGTATTAACTGTGTAAATAATTTTATCTTTATAAATTAAAGTAAATATATTTATTATTAAAATGAGAGTTTTTTAGGGATTTGTCATTTGAAAAAGGTGATTTTATTATATTAAAACAAATGATAGACAATAATTGGTATCAGGGAGAAGCAAATGGAAAAATTGGAAAATTTCCTATGAACTATGTCCAGGTATGTTTGATTTTTACTTAAATACTAATAAATTATTATTCTACGAATTACAATACTAATCAATTAAATCAACTGTTTGTTAACAATATTTTTTGCTATAGGTGATTTATTCCCTTTCTCCTCCAATACCACAGTGCAAAGCGCTATATGACTTCAAAATGGGTAATGATGATGAAGAAGGATGTTTAGCATTTAATAAGGTTTACATTGCTCTGTTATTACGTTTTTTAAATTGAACTTACTAATTATTATATTTTTAGGGTGATATAATTAAAGTGTATCGTCGTGTAGATGAAAATTGGGCCGAAGGAGCACTCGGATCCCGTATCGGAATCTTTCCTTTGGCTTTTGTAGAATTAAATGCGTTAGCTCAAATTGTAGTAAAAACTCCGAAAGAGTAAGTGTTGTGTTTTAATAAGTAGGTCATAAATCTACCCCTGAACTTTTTTTTCTTAATTTAGAAAAGGTGTACACTTAAGTCACTATCGAAAAGTACCTGCCCAGCCATCAGAGGGAAACAGTTTAACCCCACCAATACCCGCTCAGCAAACAATTACTGCCAACGTTTGTATAAAAGTTATTTGTTTCTTTTGTACAGTGGCTTGAAATTGTGTTCTAATTTATTTTCAGGAAGCTATGTATTCTTCTATTTCATCATATCAAGCAGATACATCTGGCCTTCTTTCAGTTTCTGATTCAAGTGCAGCCAATTTAACTTCCCCTCCGATTACAACGTCCAGTTCGAATTCAGTCCCCACCACATCGACATCTTCAAGTTCCCACAGCTCTCCAATATCTCCTCCTCATGTTTCAAATTTAGTCGCTGCCGGCCCCAATAAACGACATTCGTTCGGTTCTTCTGTGCAAAATGAAACACCAGGAAAATCTAAAAGGTTTGTGTCAATCCATGTGAATATAGTTAAATAGTTTGACTTTTTTTAAAAATGTTATTATTTCATTAAGGCATTCGGCAGAAATATTAAATCCACCTGAAAGTTCGCAGCCACAGAGTTTACCACCTGAAAATACTGGAAAAGCTGTGAGTTTGTTTTCAAATGTCTGCTTATAATAAATACAGTTCCTCAAAATTATTACGGTGCAATTTTATTTGATAGAGCAATTCTAAGGTTGAATTAGAGCGACAGGGAAGTCAAAGAAGAAATACAGATCACGTGCCATCTCCACCACCTCTGCCACCTCCACCGCCACCACCTCCTCCACCCATTCAAGGACTTCAAATCCATCAATACCCGATGGATTTACTTGCTACGTAAGTTTACTCTTCAAAATCTAGATTTTGGGGCATTGGTGGCTACAAAGATTAAGGCTTGATTCGGCGACTTGTAAATGTACAGGCCCTGGGTTTGAATTCAGGGCTGCTGGACATATTTACAAATGGCCTTTTTTTTCTCTCTTCTTCAAAAACTAGATTGGTTATGTCAATAAGTCGCTGTATTCCACTGTTCCTATGCGGTTACAAGTCAGAAAAATTATCTTAAATGTAAAATTTATGTTTTTGGTTAATAAAGCCAATTTTATCAATTTTGTCTTTTACTTATACAATTTTTTTTTTTTTTTTAGTTATGTAGCATTGTATCCTTATAAGCCACAAAAAGGTGATGAACTAGAACTGAAACGAGGTGATCGATATATAGTTACGGAACGCTGCCAAGATGGTTGGTTTAAAGGAACAAGTGCTGTTAGTTCCAAATCTGGTGTTTTCCCTGGCAATTATGTGGCACCCCTTGGGTAAGAAGTGTAACTTTTTGTAAAAAATTTTACCCCAATTATTTTAAACATTTGTTTTTAACAGAAGTACACATGCTACGAGACCTCAGATTCCTGGACTTTACCGTATTGCTAAAAATTCGAGCCCAAGTTCAGCAAATAACGGAGTACCTCCTATTGAACGGCCCACCATTTGTAGTAAACTTCTTCAAGGAGGAAACCAAAAATCCCTTGAAGGTGCGTTAATTTATTGTGATGTAATTCGATTATTATTATACTCGACATTTTATTATATAGGCGGTGAAATGACAAGAACCTCTCCTCAAGTTGAAGAACAGTCATCAACCGTTGTGCCGCCACCAAACGTATCTGTTCAGGCAGTACTCAACAAGGCTAATGAAAAGGTAACAAAATACTGATAAAATTTGAGTTTTCACTTAATGATGTAGTTTTAACCGGCCCATCTTCACAGGTAAAAGAAAAAAAAGAGAAGGGAGTTGGCCTTATGCGTAGACTTGCAAGCATGAAGAAATCGAAATCACCACCACCAACTCCTTATTCCATGGACAATCCGGTGTTTGAGGATTCATCAATGCTCCTTTCACAGCCTATTCACATAAGGTAATTATATATGTTTATTTAAATGTAAAATCTTTTCGGAAAAAAAAATTCCAGGGGTAAAGTTTTAAATAAACAACGTATAAGGTTGTGTCACGGGTCAGTATCAACTTGGTCGAAGATGTGACAAGTTGGTAGATTTGTGACAATAGTGATTGGAAAAACCACGGAAATGGTATGAATAAGCTTTGTAACACTGTTTATCCATTTTTCCAACATTTTTTAAAAATTATTTCGTACTGGATGGTGTGACAGTGATCAAAACTTTACAGTTGTCACATAAAAAAGAGTAAACATTGAACATTAAATAATTATTCAGAAATCGTGAGATGTGGTCTGGTGTGATGTAGGTTTCAGAAAAACATTTTCTTTATCGTGCCAACATTTCGATCTTTATTGAGATCATCTTCAAGGCCTGGGATTTACAAACATTGTTTACATTTAACAAATACATTTAGGATGTGGAAAAGTGAATTTATACTGATTGATTATACTGATTTATAGTGATTGAATATAAAAAATATATTTTGCATTGTATAAATTGACTTTTCCACATCCTAAATGTAATTGAAATATGTAAACTATGTTTGTAAATCCCAGGCCCTGAAGATGATCTCAATAAAGATCGAAACGTTGCCATGATAAAGAAAATGTTTTTCTGAAACCTACATCACATCAGACCGCATCTCACGATTTCTGAATAATTATCGATCAACGTCACTAATCACCACACATTGAACATTAAACTTAATAAATAAGTGCTAATGTTATCTTCATAATAAAATGGCCAAATCTTGTCAGTATGTGTATATTATTTTATCTCATTTTAAAATACATGTTCATATAAATATGAGTAAATATTTTGTCGAAAAAATAATACAATTGCATCAAGTAGTATAGTCTGATAATTGGCAGCATAATTCATAGCGGTCCAGTCAGCTTTCCTCGGTCCTTCTGAGCAGTAAATATTCTTTCTGTATCACTATATTTTACTCTTTTTAATTGTTTATCCAGAATTCTTTCTGACTGCCATTAACAGTAAGTAGTACCATTCCAAATGAAAATTATAAAAACATTGAATAAAACAAGATTTATTATATCTATAATAAATGAACACCAATAAAAAATTAAAATGATCCTCATTGATGAAGAAAGTTTTCCATTCGTATTGAATTAATAGATATTTGAAGGCAGTAGCCACATCCACCTCGTGATACCAGAAAAGATGATCGCTGACAATAAAGATTTTTATCGAGAAAAAATTACTGATTATTTATCTATCCTCACAGATTTGAAGAAAGCAGTTTGATTAATTTCTCATCAAGAAATTTACATAAAACAAATGCAGGGCCTGAGATGCAAAATGTGTACATCAGTAGCATACTGTTCGAAGTTATCGGGTTACAGATAAGAGCCCTTATTTCAAGCATGTAATAACAGAACATCATTATAGATTTTTCTGAACATAATCATGTAATAATTCAGGCCTAGTTTCAGTGCAAACTCACTTGAAACTTAAACAGGAAATGTTATTTTTAGTTAATTATTAGAGTTTATGTAAATAAATTATGAACATTTAAGTCAATATAAATTATATTCAGACCTTAGGAAATATAAGAAGTTGTAGATTATATCTACTATATTTACAGGTCTGGATCCTGCCCTAACCAACTTCTTGGTACAAACAGCACAAGTGATTCACCAGCAATAAACTACCCTAGGATTTTGAGCCAGTCTAATCGTTCTAAGCATATAGAAAGGCCTTCTATTAGTAGAATTTCTCCTAGGTTTGTAATACCTAAATAATAATGCATATAATTTGAAAGTAGGGTAGTTTTATAAAATTGTTTTCTTTTTCAGGACGTTTACTAATGAATCAAGTGTTTCCGTTCAGCATAGAAAGTCTCATTCAATGGACACCAACTCGAGCACATCACACGATGTCAGCCCTCAAATTCCAAACCAGTATTTTAAGCCCCTCCTAACCAATGATGTTCCTAGTACTTCTACTTCGCAGTGCGCCCCAAGTGCATTACAAAACAAATTACCTCCGGGAGCACCGGACTTAAAGCCAAGAAAAGTCCTTTCTTCGGTGGAAAATCCAACTTCAATCCCTGTGCCGCCTGCAGGTGATAACCCGTTACCAGAATGTCACACGCAAGATGACAAAAGGAAATCTGACATTCAGTTAATTAAAATTGAAGATGCAAAATCAGCAGATAATAAACACCCAAAAGTTTATGAGCTGTTATCACAGGTCAGTACATCCCCTAAACCATAAATAATGTATTAACTAAAGTAAAAAAAATCAATTTAAATGAATCGATATATTGGTAGGTGATGAGTCATTCTTTTCCTGTGCCGTCTCCTCGAAAAGTGCCTGAAAAAACATCCCAATTGAAGCCTCAGCCAAGTGATTCCTCGGGCAAAAATTATGCAAGGCAATGCGCTATTGCAAAACGGATTCTTTCAAATACATGGAATTCACATGAACGTATGCCATCACCGCCCAAAACCTTACCAAAAGAGCGGTAATAATTTGTCTTTAATACAATAATGTTAGATTTCTATTTTTCATTGTTACTTTTTTTAAATTAAAATAGTGCATATAAGACAGATATATAAGACATATTCAGAAAGTGTATTTTGTTCTTACAAACACTCATTTTCCATCAATCTAGACTGACTGGTTGGTACATCATTACTGTTAGTTGGAATTTTTTTTTACTCATATCAATAAACCTCTGCAGTTACTGTAGGAGCAAAGGCCAATTTAAAAAATAAAGACTTGCTTGCTTGACATATGATATACTGTATACCATTTTTTCCCATTAGGTATGCCACATATTCATGATAGTTCTTAAACCATTTTAATCTGGTAAAATTAAACGGTAAAAAACCGTTTTAATTGGTAAAAACCAATCTTTCAGTATTGGGCATGTCCCCATCAAGTGATATTTATTTTCCACCTTTCCTGTGTTACATAAAACACAATGCCTTTTTCTTTCCTCTCTATTTACATTGTTATTAAGGCCAGCAATAATGAGTTATAGGGTTGATATTTTCTTTTTTTTTCTCTCTCTTAAATTTATATTATAATTATTGATTTTTCAGAGTTCGTTGCATTGTGCCATATCCCCCAAATAGTGAATTTGAGTTGGAATTGGAACTTGGCGATGTGATATATGTTCACAAGAAAAGAGAAGACGGATGGTACAAGGGGACACAAGAACGCACCGGGCGCACTGGATTATTTCCCGCAAGTTTTGTTCAGAGCTTCTGAGACCCACTTCATACCCTTCTTGAAACCTCGATTTAGTAGGAAGAAGGGTATCTATTGTAGGGTAAAATGTTATTTAAAAAATTTAAAAAAAAAAGAAAGTTACTTTTTTTGCAATTTGCGTTTCTTTGTTTTAAATATTAAATCCTAGTCGCTCAAAATTTGGAAACAATTTGTAGAACTATGGTGTTTTTTTGAGGGCACATTTACGTCTAATATAATTTATTCCAAATGTTTACTTCCTACTTATGGTAAAGTATTCTTAGTATAAAATGTTTGTAAAATATAAAACAGCATTTTTCATTATTTTAGGTTATCAACATTTGTATTAAATTAATGTTATCATATGATATATTTATATCAGTATGCATGAGTTTAAAGAATTTAAACTATATATTATTTACCTTTTGTTCAATATTTTAAAATTATTTAGTTATTTAATTAGATTCTCGACTGATAACTTAGAAATTTGCTAATCTTAAATTAATCGATTCCCAATCCATTAACTTACATTAATTAATTATGCTACAGAAACCTTTTTTAAATCAGTTAAAACTAATAACATGTAGCTGATTTATTAATTAATTGACTGTACTAAACTTAATTTTTTAAACCTGCCAAAACTAAGGACCTGAATAGTCTTTTCTATTTTCTATGACTATATGATTGTTACAATATTATGTGGAGTAAAATCACATTATGTTACTACTTCCTTCTTAGGTTTATTAATTTTTACTTATACTTTATTACTTTTTTCTTCTAACGAACACATTAAATTTTTTTGTCATTGTGTTTGTATTCCTCTGAGTGTCAAGTTTATTTGTATTGTGAGGTTGATAATTTTTTTTAAGTAGACATCAACATTAGATGTTTCATGTTTTAATCTCGATACAAGAAATTGTTGATGTACAGAATTTAATTTTAATATTTATATAATCACAATGGCCAAATTCGGTTATTAAAAATGTTAATTTTTCACCGATGAATATACCGTACTATATTTATATATATATAGTCGTGCAATTGCCATTTGTTAATATTTTTGTTTTAAACAATCGTACGATTAATAATTTATTATCGCTTATTAAAGGAACAAGGAATGAAGAACAGTGTTTGTAATATGAAGTCTTTAGTATTTGTGGTTTTCTTTCTCTAAAAATTGGATTAGGTGTTAACAAATAATAAAAGGCTGTGGACTAGACTATATCAGAAAAATGTTCTAACTATTACAGGATTTCGTAATTTTTGTAGATCTCAATTAAATTGAAAAGATAAAAAAAAATTGGAGCCTTATTATAATAAGGCCATTTGGTATTTTGTAACTTGCATATTCTCATCATATATTATTAAGAATTCACTTTAAAACTTTTTCACTAAAATATGCAGCCAAATGTTTAGGAAACAATACTAATTTTTAAGTTAATACTGTGGAGAAAAATTAACAAATAGTTAAAAAAAACTTTTATACAAAAACAAGGTTTTGCATGCCTTTCTATAATTGTATTGTTAAATAAACAACAAATAAAATAGTTATATAGGTTTAGAACGTGGAATCTGTTATAAGTTGTTTGCACTCAAAATAATTACAATTAAAAGCAAAAATAAAAATAGTTGTATTAAAAAATACTATTATTTATATTAAGATTTTATGTAGTAAAGTAAGGTGTGACCTTACAAATATCGAAAGTAAGAAAATGCTGCTATACATTTAATGGTCACCTCAATGTATAATTTTTAAACAATTTATGTTTTAAAAAATCATTATTGTGAGCAAACAATGAACATTTCTCCACAGGGTGAGGTAGTGAACGTGCAGTTTGATCGTTATGTATCATTTTGTTCTCTCTCCAGCAATCTTCAGAAGATGGCAAGAAGTCAGACAGACCAACACAACGAGGATAGGCTGATCGAAATGATCGGTAATGACCAAGTTACACGCTCAGACCGCAGGAGAGAATCTCGCGATTTTTTAAAACTTTTATTTCAGCCTTCTTTTTTTAAATACATTTAAACTTTTTCCATTTACTGAAGGCGATGTAAGTTTAAGGGATATCTGAACTTTTAATAGAGTAGACAGACCGTGATCACGTGCCAGTCAGTTTAACACATTTTCTGATTTATATTTTCCACATGTGCTTGATCCATTTCGACATTTAAAACTTAATAAGGTTAAAAAACAAAGTAAGAAAGTTGAATAAAAATTCAATATAATAGGCATACAAAAAATATAAGAAAATAACATCTATTTATTTACATACTGTTCTCGTATTGAAGTTTTTTGGAATTATTTCTCCAGAAAAAGCATTAATTGCAAGGGCCAGACATGATAATTTTGGTTAAGAATTTCAATTGAAGCTTTTTTCGAAGTTATAGTTACTGACTTGTTTAGGTAACTCCAAGGCTTTTCTCTTCCCTTCCAATTTTATTAATACATCTTAGGTCAAACGTTGGGTGTTCATGCATCTTTTCTTAGTAATTCAGAAAGCTCGCATTCGTCTGATTTTTTTTTTTTTTTAATGTTTCTGCCAGTTGATGGTTTTATGCCTAGATTTATAAGACAGAACTTTTTATACCAAATCCTCTAACAACCTAAAAATAGTTGTTTATTTTTATTGCTACATAATATATAATAATGTGTTTTTCTTACCAAACTATATTTATTATATTATAAAGACAGAGATAAGTAAAGCTTACTTCTTGAGCTTTGGGCAGAACTATAGGATGTTCCCGGTGGTCTTGCGGAGGTTAGATCTGAAGATGATGTCGAGTCTGCTTCTTCTGACTTTTCTTAGTATTCCCATAAATTATAATTCTATAAAATAACCAATATGCAGGAATTAAAATTCATTTAGAAACAGATCAAATAAGCGAGGGGAGGATTGCAGTGGAAAAATTAAAATTTAAAAAGTTTAAATGTATTTGCAATAGGTTGGAATATAAATTTAAAAAATTTTTTTTTTTTTAAATATTTATTTCGTTTATTTATCAGCAGTCCATTATATCAATGGGACTGTGATATCAATAGACACTTTTTGTTTGAATTGATTTATAGCGTGGGAAGCGACAGTTGTGAAATATTTTGTAGTTTTATAGATTTTCGATACAGTATTTTCTCTACCGCGGTCAAACCTTACTGAAAGTAGCTTGATTGTTTTATATGACTGATTTTGATTTTTTTTTCTTCAGAAAAACAAAAATGATGTGCGGGTTTACTATTTATTTATAGAAATATAGTGAAAAATGAAATTATGTCGCAAAAGTTTTCTGTAGGTACAGTGTCATTTACTCTTTATTACTAAAATTTACTTTCAAAATTGTGTTAAACATGAACTACATAATTTCACATTTCATTTTAGTGTAATAAGTATATTTAAAAACAGCACCCCAAGTCAACAATAATCATTACTTTCTTTTATCTAAACTTAATGATTTAAATAAACAGGGGAAAAAACGTAAATAATTTGAGTTGATGTGAGTGCTTCAGCGGAATAGTTTTTAATGCTTTAAGTCAGTAAATGTTGATATTTTTACATTATTAACACTAACAATGGATAGTGTAATTATTTATATCTGCAATTTGTTAATTCTGTATATCATAAAATAAATTGTAAAAAAATAACATGTATTTCTCCATTAAATTATTGTTGAATATTAAAAATTATGTCGTATTTATTTACCAAATGTTGTTTCAAAATGGAAAGAACCCAATAAGTATGTAAGTATACAACTAAAAGATGCCTTTTCTATTGCAAACCCTTTGGTTTATTTTAATTAAACACCTTGACTTTGTTTATTAATTGAGAAAATTATTTTCCCCCAATTGTAAATTCAATTAGAAACAACTTTCTGGCATTCACTGGTTTTTGCGTCCTTTCATGCAGGTCACCCACCCGAACTCTCCTGCACTATAAGTCCGCTTTGTGTACAGTCGTCCCAGCCAAGATCCGTTGTATTCAGGAATTTTGCTCAACAGCCAGATTTGTTGGACGAGTGGCTCTCTGTCTGTATGGCTATAGAGAGTGAGGGCCAGTGTCATCAGGGAGAGTGTGAGGGAGCATTCTCAGGAGATGATTGATCCCGAGTAACCTGATCGTCTTCTAAGTATGCACAGGTGTATTTCACTACACCCACTGCTTTAAAGAAATTTTTGTAGTGTAACTCTGTGAAGGCCTCCCGAATGCTCTATACTTTTACGCCGTGAGGACTGCCACTCGAGCCAATGCACACAGTCTCATTCATACTCCATCATGGTGAATATCCGGATAGAGACAACCTGTTTTTAAAACTTTAACCCTTTTTAACTTCAAATAAGAGTAACAGAACTACTAAAGTAACTCTTTTAAATTCCAAATTAAACCTTTTTAATTTCACACTAACCATTTTTAACTTCAAATAAACCTTTTTTAAATTCAAATTAATCTTTTTAACTTCAAATTAACTTTTTTAATTTCAAATAATCATTAACTAATGGACACTAAACAACACACATATAAAAATAAAGAATTCTTCTTTTTTATAATGTTTAAAATATTTAAAATTTTTTATAAAAATTACTTGAAGGGGGAGTTTAACTTCTGCTCCCCCCTGGTTTTTTTTAATTAGGGTGTTTTTCGGAAAAACCTCCATAAAATTAGTTTTGATAGTTGAGATTTTTTGCTTGCCATGAACCAAAAAGTTTCTATCTAACTCTGTGATAACGAGACAAACTGAAGCTTTATCATTTCAAATGGCAGGATACGTGTCAATTCACATTTATTGAATTTTTTAAAAAAGCTGTATTTTGTTTTGTAGGTTTTTATTATTATTATTATTTTGAGCATCTGTAGTCATTATTCGCAAAAAATAAATTCTCTCCAACTACATCAACCAATTTGATATTTTATTTTATTAAATCTATTAGATTTAGTGATCATTGACCAAATTACTACTTTCAACCAAAACCTTACATAAAAAGATTAATTTTATTTTATATTAATTTTTTGTGTAATTAATATTCACGAACCAATTTTATATTTTAAATATATTCTCAAAATGGGGACCGCGGTAGCCGAGTGGTTAGCATGAGAGACTCTCACGCCGCGGTCGTGGGTTCGATTCCCACCGTCGCCTCTGGCCCTTTTTTCCCGATAACCCCCAATTTGAACACACAAGAATTCGTACTATGGCTAATATGCAAGATCATAAGGCCAATAAAAAAAATAAAAAAAAGTGTTTAAAGTTAAATTGTAATTAATTCTTTATTTGGTTTTCTAACAGACCTAGTTTTTTGTATATATATTTTTTAATTTCACAAATATACAGTAATTTTACTTTACATGCATATATTTCAAACTTTGTCCTGAGCTTTAAGAAAGGGTTTATTTGAGGGTAAAAATGATTAATTTGACGGGAAAACCCATATAATTATCTGAACTATGTATGATTCATTCTGTGCACTGTACAAGGATATTATATCCGTTTTTTTATATTGAACAAATATGATCATGCTAAGTATTGCACATGCATGTTCATATTTATATTGTGTTTATAAATATATGACAAATTTAATTAAGTACACAAATAAACGATTCGATTCAGAGTATATATTTTAGTTACATTTAATTATTTGAAATTTATTATCCGTTTTGAAGTTTAATTTTGATGTCATCGTTATGACGTGAATGGTTCCTGCAGGATCGATACCACACAGGACCTCGGCGCCTCTCATATGATTGCTTTCCTTCATAGCGGCGAAAGCACTCAAAACAGACACACATACACACATACAGACACACACATTGTTATAACCATACTCAATTCATTAAAGCATCGGTCTTAAATGATACTGTTGTGCGCCCCTTGATCGGTCGGCCCTGCAGTTTTTCTATGAAAAATAGATCGTTTTCTGAGGTGATCCGCCGACCAAATGTTGGTTAAAGACTTTTAATCAAACCCCTTCAAATAGAATAGAGAAGACACGATGGCATATCAGTACTATGTCACAGCTCATAAAGCGACGGCAGTCACGTCCTGTGTCACAGGTAAGTCGATACAACAGTCAAATAACCGATTTAACTTGTTTTAACTGAGTTGTACTTTTTTTTTTCACGCGGCTGTATAACCGATTCTTTCCCGGGCAAGCGGTTGCTTCACGTGCTTCCGAAAATTTGCTTCTTATTTTTCTTTCTTCTCTTCTCCAGGAGAAGATTTTCAATCTATTTACAGTCAAAAAGATAAAAATTTCTTTTTCTTTTTTTCTTTTATTTTGGTGCATGGCAAACCTCCGACTACGCCGTTGTGGAATGTTTTCGAATTGCTACCCGCGACTTTTTGAAAAACTTTCAAATTTTATATTCAGCACGCTTTAATAATGTCATTGAAATTAAACAGTAACAGATAATAAACCCCCCCCCAAAAAAAATAAACAAAAATATTAAATAAATAAAAATAAATAATATAACATTAAAATTTTAATTTTCTTTCAATCTTAAACAAAAATAATTAAGAATCATACATACATACACTCAAAAAGTCTCTGAATACGTACTGCTCAAAATATGAGCTCCAAATTTCTATTACAAGTCGTTGGATATAAAAGCATTATTTTTGTAAATCTTAATTAATTTATTGCATTTATTTACTCTACATTGATTACAGTAGTGTGATAAGAAATTAGTCATAAAATGCAGCTTATGAATGGACGCTCTACTATGACTAACCTATTAACGTACAAGGAATTCATTTTTAATTCCATTGAGAATGATAATCAAGTAGACGTAGACACAGTTTATGGGGATATTTTTAAAGCGTTCAAACACCTTTTTAAGTATAGAAAGCTTGACATATTTATTTTGACATATTGACAGACCAGTGCCTTGGGGCACGGCAGTGGGCAAAGAATGCTGTTCCGTACCTCAGGGCCATAGGGATTTTTAAACGTGTTTGTGTTAATCTATTATAATGAATACTAGTGTGAAAGGAAGGGGTTGTTCAACCTCGCCCTGAGTAATGTGAGCACTCTGGGGTGAGTGTGTGACATGATGAATAGACAAGTCATCACTGTCTTCTACTACTAGTTTTGTTCAACATCTTTAAAAATTCACTCTAGAAAAAGGACCAATTATGATAGGATGTGTTCCCTCAATAGTGCACAGGGGAGTAAAAGTAAGTTAGCGAGAATGGAGTCGGACGAACTGCCCCGTGGAATAATCGAGTACAGTGGGGTGAGTGTGTGACATCTGCAGAGTAAAAGTAATTTATCATGAGAATGGAGTGGGTTTGACCCTGCCCCAAGGAATATTGAGTACTCTGGTGGAGTGAATATGACCAGACTTCTATGTTCGTGTTGATAAAATAAAAGATTAATATAGTGATGCCATTGTAAGCAGTCCCTGTCTTAGTGTAAGGTGTAATTGTTAAAATAAGATTTTTAAAAAACTTAGTTTAAAGGACCACACAAAAAGGGCTGTAAATCTGAAGAGTGTCGCAGACCCTAACAGGGGCCACCAGGGGAAACACAAAATCGCAATAAGCGGACAACTGATCAAATAAATAACTAATGTCGACTTACTTAAGGCTGAAAGGTGTGAAAACTAGTGACGTGGGGCTTCATAAATCGGGGTCGTTTCATCCAGGTGCGAGACCCCCGTCTTTGCCAGCCCACCTACGCCGAGGGAACTACCCCATCTTTTGATTTCCTTTCCATCCCTACTACAGTAGAGAAATGTATAAAAAGGGATGATTTGGAAATCAAAAGTCAGTGTAGAGCAGTCCAGAATAGTCTAGTCTAGTCTAGTCCAGTCCAGCACAGGGGCTCAAACCGACTGCAGCCACACTCTTTCTGGGACTCTGCGAGAGGACTCAGCCAGCAAGACCCAACTGGACCAGCGACACATCGAATAGTCGACTGCTGAGGACCCAGGAAGCTACAGGAAGGGATGATTTAGAAGCTGGTATTGGCTAGCATCATTTGGAGTAAATCCTTTTGCAAATAAGCTCATCCCAGATTTAGAGTTGTGCCCGACTTAGTAGATTAGTTAAGATTTTGTTGTGATCGTATTCATAAGAAAGAAAAAAAAATGGACGTGTGTTAAAATAAATGTTGATGAACGTTCTCTCTGATTTCTTCCTTTCCCTACACAAGAATAAGCAGCGAAGCATTTACGCCGATTACTCTCTTATCGCTTAGAATAAAGCAAGTGAATAGTGAGAGATTATCTGACTCTAGCTCGGTAGTCGCCCGTTTAGACCAAAACTCTTTTTTGTATTTATGTGTTAAGATTAGTGACCATCTGTTCAATCATTTGTTGAAGTAGTATGGTGCGATCAGACCAGGTATGAGAATAGGGTAACCCTCATATGGATACCTGCTCATAAGGGACACTATGGCAACGAGGAGGCGGACAGCCTGGCCAAGGAAGGATCAAATACTGCGTTTGTCGGGCCACAACCGGTATTACCCCACTCTTTAAGCACAGCAAAAGAGAGTATAAGTTGCTGGGGCATGAAACAATTCCTTAAGGAATGGAATATGTCCCCCAGATGCAGGCAATCGAAGGAGTTTCTGAAGGAAATCAAAACTAAAGAAGCGAAATGGTTACTCTCTAACTCTAGGAGGGGAATAAGGAGGCTGATAGGTATCCTAACGGGCCATGCCCCTTGAGAAGACACCTCTTCATAATGGGTACTCTACCAGACCCCTTCTGCCGCTTCTGCGAAACAAAAGAAGAAACGGCTCGACACTACCTTGCAGAATGCGATAGGTATGCTAGGGAAAGATTTGATACTTTCGAAGGAGAGGACATAACCAAAACACTCCCCAGGATAAAATGGTCCACAATCCTAGGGTTTGTGAATAGGTCCAAAAGGTTTATGCAGGACTCGTGAGCCGACCAGGTCCCGGACCTTTTAGGGATGGGGTACGGGCCTACCCAGGCTTTTAACCCTCGGGTCCTGGTCGCCCGCCCTGCGTAATATATATATATATGGAGCGATCAGGAATAAAGTATTTTATGTAAATACCTTTTTCATTTTTTTGCAGACGTTTCAACATTTATTCGGGCCATCTTCAGGTCCTGTGTAATTACATAATGTGTTGATTGAAAAAAAATTATATGATACAAATGCAAGTAATATAAATTTTGAACCAAGTATTTCATGCTCACATAAAATATGGTGTTCGTTGTGAAATACTGTATAATTAATTTCTTGTACAATAAACATATGTTTTATATGTGTGGTGATTAGTTACTGTTAATCGATATTATACTGTTATTTAGAAATCGTGAGATGCGGTCTGGTGTGATGTAGGTTTCAGAAAAACATTTTCTTTATCGTGCCATCGTTTCGATCTTTATTGAGATCATCTTCAGGGCCTGGGATTTACAAACATTGTTTACATATTTCAATTACATTTTGGATGTGGAAAAGTGAATTTATACAATGCAAAATATATTTTATATAGTCAATCATTTATGTTTTATAATTATTAACTTATTAACCCAGAACCTGAAGATGACCCAAATAAAGATCGAAACATCGACAAAAAAATGAAAACTGTCTAAAATACTTCATTTCTGACTGCTCCTCACTATTCAATAAATTACTCTTATTATTCTCTTATATTATCTATCGACTCGCTCAGTACAGTCCAGAGACTCAAGAAAACTTCAGTGGACTCCTTAACAAATAAAATAAAAGAACAATAAAAAGGGATCGGCACAGATGGAAAGGTCGTGTTGGCCACAGAGTTAATACCCAGGAACATAGAAACCGACAGGCCTCACGATGCTTCCCATCCTGTACGACCAGCGGATTTAAAAATATTAATTACAAATACAGTAAAAGGAGAATGGATAAACCAGTGTACTCATAAAAACAGAAATAACGCTACCAAACTCTAGCAGGTTAAGAAAGACGTCGGTCTCTGGCTCAAGGAGAACAGGTCGAAAAGGGAAAAGGCCATACTGACAAGACTGCACATACATCTACTTACTCAATTCTCATACAAAAATAACTCACTACAGTCTCTCTTGTACAAAAATAACTAACATTCAAGCACATTTCAATTGTAGAAGGCGTAACACTTATACACAATATTTTGCTATATTGTAGGACCTGAGTGTAGTCTTCGTGCATGGCAGCGAGCACAGATCAGTGTTCTGATACCTCAATTTTAAAATGTATGTAGTATTGTGTGGGAGTGAACGTAACCAGACTTCTATGTTTGTGTTACTCAACCCAATATGTTAATTAGTAGGAATGAATATAATTTATTAGCATGAAAGGAAGGGGTTGTTTAACCCTGCCCCCAGGAATATACCCCAAGTACTCTTGGGTGAGTATGGGACATCTGGAGAGTAAAAGTAAGTTATTAGTGAGAATGGAATGGGTTCGATCTTTTCCGAAGGAATTTGTTGTAGATTTTCTATGTCAAGTAACATTCTGTTGAGCCAAACACTCAGTAATTTGTCCATCATCACTTCTAAAAAATGTAAATCCTCCAGCATTGTATAGAAATGCAGGAACCTTTGAAAGTTGCACTAATATTTTGATAATACAGATGATTTGAGACTTCTATTAATAGTACAAATGAAGATGGGTAATATACAAATATTTGTATTATTATTGTTGAAGTGGTGAGGAGTGGTCAAGAATGAAGCATTTTAGATAAATACCTTTTTCATTTTTTTGGCCGATGTTCAGCCTTTATTCGGGTCATCTTCAGAGCATAAAGTGTGGTGCTATTCTTGGGTGTCATATTGGTTTTGTGTGAAATAGTTGTGACATAATCTGTTTCCCTTGTGCAAATCCAAATTCCTCAGGTTGGAGTTGGACCCTCTCTATTCTCCCTAATTTTCTTTTACTCTCTAGATGTAACACATTCACTCCAAAGTACTTGCAATCCCTTGGGTTCCAGATGGACACTCAATTGTTGCAAATAGCTTTTAAATTCCAGATTTCACACGTTCACCCTAGAGTAATTGCTATTTCTCACGTTTGAGTTGGACCTGATCCATTCTCCCTGACTTACTTTTACACTCCAGACTTTACACACTTATCCAAGTGTACTCGTCATTCCTCAGGTTCGAATTGGACCTCTCCATTTTCCCAAAATTACTTTTACACCCCAGATGTCACAAACTCATCCAAGAGTATCATTATTTCTCAGGTTCGAGCTGGACCCTCTCCATTCTCACTAACAATTCTTACTCTCCAGATGACTCGCACTCACGCAAGGGTACTCGCTATTTATCAGGTTTGATTGGACCTGTTCCATTCTCGCTAATAACTTTTACTTTACAGATGCCACACATTCACCCTAGAATAATTGTTATATCACAGGTTGGAGATGGACCCTTTCCATCTTCCTAATGTACTTGTTCTCTCTAGATGTTACACACTCACCTAATAGTCCTTGGAATTGTTCAGATTGGAGTTGAACCCTCTCCATTCTCGCTAATTTACTCCCCTGATTAGTCGTTTTTCCTCGTGAAGGAATACACCCCTGAAATTGGACAATTTTGTAGAGCGAGTTTTTCAAGGCGTTGAACAAAACTTGTAGTAGTAGTAATAGCAGTGGAACCTCTCCTATTATTCAAAAAATAATATAAAATATGAATTTTTCGCTTTGATAACAAATACACTTCATTAATTCAACGTTCTTACAATAGATTTTTAAAATTATCCTTAATCACACGTGTGCAGTAAAAGAAAAACAATTCAGCAGATAGAAAGATAGTTTACATTAAACAAAAGTGAAGGTGATGGGCTTACTATAAAAATTATTCTAAAGGTTAATCGAATGAAAATAAGTTGGGTTACCTTAAAGAATCCGACTTGAGCAAAATGGTGGCTTGAAATGGAAGGCAGATCAGATCCTAGTTTCAATCGTCACATAATTAGGCTTAGGTTTTAAAGAATCGTAGTATTTTTATGACGTGTTCTCGTATTTAAAACGAGATCCAACGTCAAAATAGAAACACGTGTTTGATGGCGAATTCGACCGTTACAGGCAGACGTCAGGAGAAAAAAATGACTGTTACACAGCCTACGTGTTGTTTTATTAAAAAAAAAATAAATTTTTTTTCTATATTTTTTAAGCAATTCTGTATACTTTATGCATCTGCTACCTCGGTCTTAAAACTATCATAATTTAAGTTTAAACTGTAGTTTTTTTATTTGTTTAAATGCAGAATTTATTTTAAAATATACCACAGTAGGTATTTCAAGTTATATTGAAAAAGTTTTCTTCTGAGTATTGAATGAATCTGAACATTTCCTAATTATTTATTATTTTAAGTAAATTGGAAAGTAATTTTCTACCGCCCGTGGAAAAAAATTATAACGTTCTTTAATTTCGATCTTTAACAATCGGAATTGTTTCAATTGAACATTGGCAAACAAAAAACGAACGAACGGGTTATTTTAACACCCGTGTTTTTTGTTTTTTGAGTTTTAGAGTTTTAGACTAATGTAGTTTTGCAAGACACAATAAAAAAAAAGTTTTATTAGTTGTTTTTCAATAATTTTCAAGCATTGTACCCACTATGTCTCCTGCATACTGCCGTCCTTCTCGTATCACGGTGTCAAGCATACCCTCCAAGACTCCTCCTATTCGAAAAACTATCACCCGCATCAGAGATTTGTCTCACCATTGCTACTTCACCGCCTACAAAGCAACTGCCGTTGTCGGTTGTGTCACGGGTAAGAAAATTCCACAAAAAAAATCTGGTTCGTCTTTTGTAGTTTTCTTTCTTTTCGAAAATAAATACAGGGCGTTTGTCCTTTGTTGTAAAATGTGTAATTGATACTGTGATGTAAAATCTGTCTTTTTGATGTAAAATGGTACAGACGACCAAATTACTGTGCTCTAGGTTGTGTTTGTTATTTTTATTTATACTTTTTCTTTTTCGAGAATTTCTTCTGTGTTCTGGTGGGTAATGAGCCCATAATTTGATCCAATCGTCTGCCTGTCTTGCTGGGACTGAAGGTGGCGAAATGAGTCTGGCAGACCATCCATCGAGATAGACAGACCAAGATGATCAGTAGGGTCAAATTATTATTTTTTTACAAAAACAAAAAAATTACAGTGTTGCAGTTTTCGGGGACTGCGGTGGCAGAGTAGTCAGCGTGTTAGGTTCAGCTTGTATATCCCTAAAGCGAAAGTTGGATTACTACCGTCACCCCTAGAATTTTATCCATGCTCTCCTCTACCCTCAATAAATAAATAGTTACTAAAATACTCTGACTAATATGCACTCATAAACCCGTCCAATCGTATGCCTGTCCTTGCTGGGACTGAAGATGGCGAGATGCCCAATGCATCGAGATAGGCAGACCAAGATGATCAGTAGGGTCAAATTATTATTTTTTTTTTTTACAAAAACGAAACAAAAATACAGCATTGCTGCAGATTTTTGGGGACCGTGGTGGCAGAGTAGTCAGTGTGTTAAGTTCAGCTTGTACATCCCTTGGTTGAGAGTTCGATTACTACTGTTACCCCCAGAATTTTATCCACCCCTAACCATCCTCTACCCCCAATAAATAAATATTAAATGATTAAAATACTCTGGCTAATATGCATAAATAAACCTATTTAAAAAAGCTTTTTCGTTTGCGATTATTTTAGTCTTCCTTTTTTGTGTGATGTTTATCTGTTGCACGTTTTGACTTTTCTACATCATCAATGACCAAGATATAGTATATCTTTATGAAAATACCTGAGTCTGGCACTCTGACTCTAAAGAGGTAATAAAAAATATGATGAAAAAGCAAATGACTTTCTTGTGGGGCGTCGGTGGCTGTAACAGTTTAGGCGTTGACACGGCGCTCATCACTGTAGGGTAAAGGTCCCGGGTTCGAATCCAGCGGCCCTGCGTTCGAATTTGAGATGCTTACAAATGGGCTTTTTTTTAAAACACCAGCACCCCGAGGATTGATATAACTTCTGATGTTGCGAACCCTCATAAAAAAAAATAAAAAGCAAATGACATCGTGGTCGGATCAGTAGAGAAGGTCTTGTTTATCAAGAGGGCAGTCGATAAGGTGACCATTGGAAGGTCTGAAAGACATTACTAGGTCGACACACAGACATGTAATTTTTGGGCGAAAGCCTGTGCATGTTTCTGGTATCGATTCTCCCACAACACAATTGAACAGTGTCAACCTTTTACTAAAATACTATTTCGTAAATTCATTAATGAAATTTTCTTTTTGTTGCAGGGCATTTCACATCTCCCAATCACCTGAATCTAATTGTCGCAAAAAATTCCAGACTCGAAATATTTCTAGTAACACCTGAAGGGCTGCAGCCTCTAAAGGAAGTTGGAATTAATGGCAGAATCGCTGTTATTCAACTTTTCAAACCATCTGTAAATATTATAGTTCAATCCGTTAGAACAATATGATTATGTTTTTATTTTCCAGTACGAACCGAAAGATCTGCTGTTTGTCGTGACCGTGAAGTACAATGCTATGATATTAGAGTGCATTGGTAAAGGGAAAAATCTCGATATATACACACGGGCTCATGGCCATATCGCAGATAGAATAGGAAAGGTATCAGAAAATGGGATCATAGCTGTAATTGATCCTGAGGCAAGAGTGATCGGGCTAAGGCTTTATGATGGATTATTAAAAATTATACCATTGGAAAAAGACAACAACGAACTAAAGGCAGTGAGCATCAGGTATGCCTTCATTTGTATCTGTTATTATACTAAAAATCATCCTTCAGGTAATTATATTTTTATGTAGTAGTTTTTGAATTTCTAGTCTAATGAAATTTACAGTCGTACTTTTTGTTGTTTCAAGTTAAAAATCCATCAAACTATGCTAGGCTGTCAACTGATTCATAATTAAATTATATATTTTCACCAATTCCCCGAAGGTTTGTGCTAGGATTTTAGTTTAAAACTAAAATGAAGTTGTTAAGTTAATTTCACGCCCTTTGAACTAACAATTCAAAGTTCTTTACATATTATGTAACTTTGAATTAACAGTTCCATGCTTTTTGAAGCCTGTATAACCAAATACAACTTAAAAATGTTAATTTCTTCAGTTTGAAAACCTGAGGGATGATTGATTATATACTTTCGATCATGTAAATTATTTTTATTATTTTTTTTTTATATTATCTATAGGATTGAAGAAACTGACATACAAGATTTCAATTTTCTTCACGGTTGTGTAAATCCAACGATAGTGTTGTTACATCAAGATTTAAATGGAAGACATCTAAAAACTCATGAGCTCTCTCTGAAAGAAAAGGAGTTTATTAAAGTATGATAACTGTTGGAAAAAAGTAGCATTTTTATTATTATTATTTTAATTCAGTGTGATGTACAAAAAATCTATTTCATCTTCTTTATTGATAGAAATAATAAATTTCACTTCCTACACTTTTTATATATTTTTTACTACTACTATTGTATTATTGTACACAATTTTCTTCCTGATTACAGTATTAAACATTCATTTTAGGTACCTTGGAAGCAAGATAATGTTGAAATGGAAGCATGCTTAGTTATACCCGTACCTGAACCTATGTGTGGGGCGATTGTCATTGGACAAGAGTCAATATTATACCATGATGGTGTCACATTTGTCGCCACTGCACCTCCCGTTATCAAGGTTAGCTAGTGACCATTTTTTTCTTTTTCTTTTCAACAGTGATAATATATTTGGTATGTTTATTGCTTTTAGAATAGCACAATTGTTTGCTATGCTAAAGTGGATTCAACCGGCTGCCGTTACATTCTTGGAGACATGGCTGGTCACCTTTTTATGCTCATGCTTGAAAGAGAAGAAAAAATAGACGGTGTCCCTGCGGTAAAAGATGCAAAAGTAGAACTTCTAGGTAAATTTTATAATTTACTCTTTTTTTCTTTAATATTTATTGTGAAATTAATTTATTTTTTAAATTTCAGGTGAAGTTAGTATTCCGGAATGCATCACATATTTGGATAATGGTGTATTATTTATTGGTTCAAGGATCGGGGACTCTCAACTAGTAAAACTTAACAAAGGTCCTAACCCTGAGACGGGTTCTTATGTTACTATCATGGAAACGTTCATTAACCTTGCTCCGATAGTTGACATGGTCGTTGTTGATTTAGAGCGCCAGGGCCAAGGGCAATTAGTAACATGCTCTGGTAAGCACTTCAACAGAAGAAAAAATAATAAAATAAATATATAAATAAAATTAAATAAACAAATAGTCACTACAAATTGTAAAATAAGTCATAGTAGTGGTTCGTTTTAATTTTGACAATTATTAATTTAAAAGCTGTATTAACTTATGTACACATAAGCATTTTTTTTATTGCAAAACTATTATTACCAGGATCAAGCTCAACTCATATTTATGATTGTATATACAAGATTTTCTGATTTTATTTTTCAATAATTCATTTTATCACTTTTCATAATTGTTTTATAGGAGGATTCAAAGAAGGTTCATTGCGAGTTATTCGAAATGGTATAGGAATTCAAGAACAAGCGACTATTGAATTAGCAGGAATAAAAGGCATGTGGGCTCTCAAAATAAATTCAGAAAATAACCTCGACAACACTCTCGTCTTAGCCTTCGTCGGACATACAAGGTTTTTTTTTTTGTCATTTAGCTATGCCAATTTCTTAAATATCGGTAAATATTTTCCTTTCTGACTTTTAGAGTTCTTTCTTTGTGTGGTGAAGAAGTCGAAGAAACCGAAATAAACGGATTCCAGTCGGAACTTCAAACTATGTATTGCGGGAATGCAAGCGCAAATACAGTAATACAAGTAGTGTATTCTTCTGTAAGATTGATCTCCCTTGAACCACAGCAAGTTATAAGGTAAATCATTTTGTAAAAATTTAACACCCCTCTTAACAAACAGCCCTCTATAGCTAAGACCTATCTTAATAGCTAACTTTGATGCCCCCCCCCCTATAACAGAACCTCTTTTTACACCCTGTATATTCCATTAATGTTAAACGACAATTTTAATATTATTATTTAATGAAAAAGTTGTGTCACGGGTAGGATTCAAACCTGTCATCTTCCGATTTGTACTCCCATGCTTTACCATCGAATAAAAAGTGCTATAAATATATGAGGGCCTGATGGGGCTGAGCTCAAATTCACAAAATAATTTTAAAAAATCATTTTATTTCATTGCATCGCTTAATGTTCTCCTAATCTAAATAATTTTTTCTCACTATGTTTTTTCCTTTTTATCATCTTTGTATGTTACAGTGAATGGAAACCTGAAGACAAACGTACAATCAGTGTTGTTGCCTCAAACAATATCCAAATAGTTTGTGCAAGCGGAGGTGATCTATACTATCTTAAAATAATGGATAATGAAATTAAATTTGTATGGTTAGTATACAGCTAATATATAATGGTTATCAAAACATGATATCTTTTCAGTTATTGCCTATTCTATTCGTCTAAAGTGTCAGCATAAATTAAAAATTTAATATTTTATATCTAAATAAAAATGACTTTCCTCTTATTCTCATCAAGGTTATTTATTACTTGAGGTGTAATATTTTGAAAATCAATACAAAAAAATTTCTAATTTTGTTTCAAATAAAATTTAGATGAACCAATGTATGTATAGTTAAATATTAATTTTTTAGGTCTATTACTTTAAAACACGAAGTTTCTTGCCTTGATGTAACTCCATTGCTACCAGAAGACACAACATCAGATTATGTAGCAGTTGGACTGTGGTCGGATATTAGCGCTAGGATTTACTCATTACCATACTTAGAATTGAAACACAGAGAATATCTTTCTGGAGGTATGTGCTTATATTTTAAGAATCTGAAATTATTTAAATTAATCAGATATATAGCATTAAATAATCAGGTCATACAGTAAATGATGATATCTGTTTATTGTATCATTTATAGAATAACAACAATGCTATATGTAATTTTCTTCGAAATTGTATGATAATTAACGATTTGGGGACATGGGGCCAAGTGGTCGCGTGACATACTCTCAGCTTGTAGACCCTGCGGTCATGGGTTCAATTTCTACCATCACCCCTGGAATTTGTGGCCCTGACACCGTCCCCAAAAAATATGATCATTATTTGTACTCTGGCTAATACATAAAACTATCTTTATATAGCTTTTTTTCATCAAATAACATTTTTTAATTTCAGATTTTTTTTAATGTCAAATTAATCTTTTTTTTAAATTGACCTTTTTAAATTTCAAATTAGCCCTTTTTAATTTCATACTCAAATAAACTTTTTTAAATATTAAATTAACCCTTTTAATTTTAAATTAGCCTTTTTAATTTCAAATTAACCTTTTAAATTTCAAATGAACCATCATTTATTTTAAATTAATTCTTTTTAATTTAACTTTTAAGAAAAATTCACTAATTTCGTGGTCCGCTTACCAATTAATTAAGGTTTATAGCTGAGATGAAAAAAGTTAATGGCACGAGCGGGATTCGAACCCACGATCTTCGGCTAGATATGCCGCTGCTCTACCACTTGAGCTATCGTGACCTCGATCCACTCGGACATCAGCTTCCTATCTCAACCCCTATTTTAAGAAAAAATAAAATTAATTGCAATTAAAATTAAAAGTTATATACAATTAAATATCACAATGAACAATGAAAATATACAATTTGATATTTCTTCTTCTTCTCCTTTTTGTATTCTTTTTATAATCCATAAGAGCAATTAATTTACTATCAATTAAAATGATAAATATATAAATTTGTTCTTTGTTGAAGAAGTTCTTTTTAATGAAACAAACAATTTTTACAGAAACAAGCAACAGTTCAGAAATATCTTATGCGAACAACTTGAGAACTATTGCTACAAATTAAACAAACCATTCATCACTGATTAATACATAATCTTGACATTTGAAATAGTTCAGCTCTGATTTGTATCCCACTGCCCAAGAGTGTTAGATCATCATCTTTTTGGCTCATGAGAAACTAGACAAAAAATAAAAGTCGATGTGTCTTAGGGTTTTTTCCCCAAAATGCCCCAATAAAAAATAATAATAATAAAATAAAAATTTAAAAAAAATAATAAACAATAGGGGGGAACAGAAGTTGAACCCTTATCCCATTTTTTGTTAAGAAATTATTTAACCACTGTATGAAAGACATTTGTTTTTATATTAATTGTATATAAGTTTTAAATTTAATTGTGATTAATTTTCATATACTTTTAAAGGTTTTTTATTACTTTAAAGAAAACATTAATTTAATATTAAAAAATGGTTAATTTGATGTTAAAAAAGTTATTTGGGAAAAAAAGGATAATTTGGAGTTAAAAATGGTTTATTTGTCGGGAAAAAAAGCTATAGAACAGTTAAAGCTATATTATATAAAGTGTACATATTATCAATGTTAGTTACTTACAAATTGATATTTTTCCCCTTTAGATATAATCTCTCGTTCCATACTGTTTGCAAATTTTGAAGGAGCAAATTATGTGCTGTGTGCATTGGGTGATGGTTCACTTCATTATTTCAACTTTGACCGCACAACCGGACGCTTGTCAGAAAAGAAAAGGGTAAATAATCAGGTCGATATATCTTATATTTTCTATGTTTTTCAATTATCCTTTTTTCCAGGTTACTCTTGGTACACAACCGATTGTTCTAAAATCGTTTCGGTCCATGTCTACCACAAACGTTTTTGCTTGTTCTGACAGGCCCACTGTGATTTATTCGTCGAATCACAAGCTTGTGTTTTCTAACGTTAATTTAAAGGAAGTGAATTATATGTGCTCAATAAACACAGACGTTTACCCTGACAGGTAAATAACGCAAAACTTTATACTGTTATAAAATGTTTTTGTTTCAGTAAATATGTGTAAATAAAATGAAAAGTGATTACATTTTTACTATTTAATGATATTTGATTCATAGTTTGGCTATTGCAAATGATACTCTAGTTGCTATTGGTACAATAGATGAAATACAGAAACTACACATTCGTACTGTTCCTCTTGGAGAAGCACCAAGACGAATCGCATATCAAGAATCTTCACAGGTAAAATATAAAAAAAATTACATTATATATATGTATATATTTTTTAATTTTTTTTTATTGACATCAAAAAAATCATACACTCATGTGACACATTTGTGGGAAGTAGAGTGACTAAGGTCCCAGACTCTCGGCTCGTAGATCCCGTTATCTGAGGTTCAATTCAACCTAATCGACCCTTAATGCTGGTCACAATAACAAAAAGTTGACACAGTATTCCTCATAGAACAAAACATTTTTTTTAATATTTAGTGTAGTCGTGCCAAGTGACCTTTCTCTGTATGCTGAATACATAAAGGAGCCTATGAAATATTACATTAGTTCTTTATATAAAATGTGAATCCTTCTTAAATATAAAAAGATAAATGGTTGAATGCCTATTCCTTGGCCTGGAAAACACACCTGCGGAGGCCCAATAGGCTCTACTATCAGGGCCTTTGAGCTGTTTGGGCGGCTTACTCTCAGCTGTGTGGTGAGCTTTGTGAAGTCAGACCACCCCTTGATGGTCACAATTCTGAAAAATGAGCATTGCCAGCTCAGATAGATTGATCTATTAGTCGGGGTGTACATTATATACTGCACCTCTAAGAGCTGTTATATCCCCCTCCTTCTGAGCTTAAAGCATGTAAGTCCTAGTTCATCAAGGAACTTGATTATTAGTCCCAGATTCAATGGTTGAATCTCTTCTATGGTTACATTGTACATCCCAAAACATCATTCTCTTTATGGAGACGCTAAGAGTAATGAAGTATGGCTTATACCATAGCACAGGCTCATCCTCTTTGTGGCTGCTCCCATGGTACTGAAGTGTGTTCATGGCAGGGTTTATGCTATCTCCAGAGACCCTGCCTATCTCATCTTTATAGACAATTCGTGACAGATTCTCGGTGGACACTTGTCGTGTTCTTGCTGGATAAATATGCTAGCTAGAGCACCTCTACAAAACGGTGGTAGTCATTTGGATATCGTTGCTGGAGGGCAATGAACGTGCAGACAAGGAGGTGAATACTGGGATCTCTTGCCCACCAGACTGAACCATCGCGATCCGACCCGGTAGCGCTGTGCGAACAGTAAAGAATGCTGAAGAGAGTAGAGTAGGTTGCTGAGTCCCCTTTCCAGTTTTTAAAGGAAACGCCAGTGAATTTGTGTGAATTTGGTGGTATGTTTGTGTGAATGAGTAAGTGCGAGGACCGGTGGCAGAAGTTGAGTATCCCATTAGCCCTCATAGTGCATTGAAGGCTGAAATGGTTCCATAAAAAATGTACTATAAAATATTATTTTTTCTTTCCAAAGCATTGTTAATAAAATAATCACTGTTTTATAGACTTTTGGAGTCGTGACTAATCGAATGGATGTCCAAGGAGCTACTGGTTTAGAAGTTGTTAGAGAATGTGCTAGCACAAAAGCTCAGTCCACTACCAACTCATTTCAAACATTTTTATCAATTAATAAGTCAAGGGGAGCTTCGCAAACTACAGAAGTCGGCTGTGAGGTTGAAGTTCACCATTTCTTATTATTTGACCAGCATACATTTGAAGGTATTCTTCGTATAAACCACCATCGAACTATTATTAAATTTTCAATACTTTTTCTAGTCATACATGCTCATCAGATGCTCCACACCGAGTACTGTTTAAGTTTAATATCATGCAAACTGGGAGACGATCCCAATTATTACTACATCGTCGGAACTGGGATTGTAAATCCGGAAGAATGTGACCCAAAACAAGGGAGGATATTGTTATTCGTGGTTGAAGACGGCCGGCTGCAGTTTGTAACAGAAAAAGAAATCAAAGGGGCTTGCTACTCCCTTAGTGAATTCAATGGAAAATTGTTAGCTAGTATTAATAGCACAGTAGGTTTTTTTTTTTTTTTTTTTTTTTTTTTTTTTTTTTTTTTTTCAATTTAATTGTTTATTCAGTTATATCATTGTTGTCTATGTAACTTCTAGGTGAGACTGTTCGAATGGACTGCTGAAAAAGAATTGAGGCTCGAATGTAGTCATTTTAATAATATAATCGCATTATATGTCAAAACAAAAGGTGATTTTATATTGATCGGAGACTTAATGAGGGCAATGACGCTTCTTCAATACAAAACTATGGAAGGTAGTTTCGAGGAGGTAATGTAATATTTTATTTCCTGGATTGTATATATTTTAACACAAAAAATCTTTCTAGTCTTGAATTTATACTATATGTTATTCTATTTTCTGCTGAAGAAATTGTAAATTTATAAAGTTCATAAGTTGTTAGATAGCCTGACCAAATATATAAATTAAAATAGTGATGCATTTGGCTGTTAAGAAAACATTCAATTTTGCGGCGCAAGTGCAAGTAGTTTCTGCTTAATCTGTTGCAATTGGGCCGGGATAAAATTGATGGGATTAGCCAGAAAATTTATTAACCTTTTCAGTTATATCAGCTCTTTTTGTTCCCCAAGTGATGTACTGAGAACATGATTCATGTTTACTTTTAAATAGAGATATTAATTAGATCTCTACTCTGCATTCAAACCCGACATGCTTACAAATGGCCTTTTTTTCAAAACCCCCGGCTCCCTGAGGGTTTATATGATCCTGTTGCGAACCCTCATTAAAAAAAAATCAACATTTAGTTTTCTTGTCATTATTTGAGGCAGTGATGTAATTTCTTTTAAAAAAATAAATTATAATAATTATTTTTGAAATATTTCAAATTGGGTTCGCGGTAGCTGAGTGGTCAGCTTGATAGACTCTCGAATCTTAGACTCCCCAGTCGTGGGTTTGATTCCCCCTGGCCCTTTTTTTCACGCTACCCCCTCCCCCCCAACTACATATATGCTGCAACAAATATATACTTATTCTGGCCAATTACCAATTCATAAGGCTATTAAAAAGAAAAAAAAATGATTATAAATGCTGATGAATGATTATGAATATAATTATGTATAAATGAAAAAATGATTATAAATATCATTTATAAAATATATTATAAATTCCAAACTATTTACATTCAAAAATTTTATTTAACTAAAATTATTTACAAAAAATTGTAGAATGATATTCTTCGAACCACTAGTGAGACATTCCAATATTTCTGTCACCGGTGTTACAACCTGGGCAGAAGAAGCAAGTTCTCACTTTCGTAATTCACTCTTCAGCACTTTTGCTGCCCTGTGATTTGTCCTTTTCGTTTCGTAGATGTTGAAGATATAAGAGTAGCTCAATGGCCAGTAAGAAGACGAAGGACTCTGAATGGGATGGTTAAGTAAGAGAAATAATGAAGGTGGGGTGAGCACGTAAATTATTTTTTTATAAACGATGGCTCTACTCACACTTTTGTTGTTTACAACAATCTGAATTTTTTGCATTAATGCTCATCATCAGGTTGAAGGAGTTACAAACATGTCTGCCTCTCGTCATGAATTGTAAGAGTGGACCTCAATATTCCTTTTGTCGACGTACTGTTCTGATACTTCTTCAAAAAATTCTAAACCAAGCTTATCAATCGTAATCTTACTGCCCAAACCTTACCTAGTACACTTTCCCACCTTGAACTAGAAAAGTTATATGTCATATGACTTTCATGGAGGCCTTCCATCTGGCGGGCTGGGCGAGTGTGGCATTCATGCTGGTCACCAGCACTGAACATGTTAAACAACAATGATCTCAAGACTTCCTCACCCCTTAATCCCCTATTTTAAGTGGTAGGATTGGCTGATTTTCTCTATAACCTTCGTCCTCCAAGTGTAGTTTTAGCCATAGTATCAGTATTGTGACCAAAAACAAGAAAAAACTACTTACACACAAACCTGTAATATTTTCATATTGTACAGGCTACAAATAAATTATTTATCAATAAAAAATTAGTAGGTAATGAATAATCGATGTTGGCTTTTATCTTGAGATTTTATGTAGGAAAGTCTCTTAGATTAGGTTTATTTCAACTCTTCTTCAAAAATACATTACTATTTCTTTTATAGATCGCAAGAGACTATAATCCAAATTGGATGACAGCGGTTGAAATTTTGGATGATGATACATTTTTGGGAGCAGAAAACTCGTCAAACCTTCTGATCTGTCAAAAGGACAGGTTAGTTTATAATTAATCTAAGTCCCCATCCTATTAGAATATAGCAAATCACCGAATTAAAAACTTTTTAAGCCACAAAAAAAATTTTCTTTGACAAAAATTTTGTATATATTTGTAGATATAAGCTTTGAAAAGTTCTTAATATTGAACAAATATTACTTAAACCACCTGGTTCAATAAAAAAATAAATAAATAATAATAATAAAAAACACTTTTGAAGAAGCAATTGGCTTTGGTGTATAAGAGCAAAAGTTTCGTTTAGACTTTTCTGAGTAATAGTCCACTTTTTTTTAAATCCTTCATACGCTGGAATACATAAAAACTGTCATAAACGACTATTTTCAATTAAATTTAATGAGTGGTACCACCAGAGAATTTTAACTGTTGATTACAATGGACTGTTTAGTCATGTTTGAAAATAATTAGTTGAAACAAAAAAAATAAATTAATTTTGACTCCATATCATATTCATTTAATAAGAATTATACACTGATTTTGTAAATGAAGATAAAATTAATTAATCAGACATGATGGTGATTTACTAAGACTTAGCCAGTTGCCATTAAATTTGCACATTTTATTTCTTGATAAGTGTTTTAACAGGAACTATTTTCTTTTAATACCTCTCTAGTTCTTCCACAAACGATGAAGAGAGGCAGTTTATGCAAGAAGTTGCTCAATTTCATCTTGGCGACCTGGTGAATATATTCAGAAAAGGCTCTTTAGTTATGCAGACTCTTGGAGATTCTAATCTGTACAACGGGATCCTTTTAGGCACAGTTAGCGGTGCTATAGGTAGAGTATATATTGTGTAGTATTTAGTGACTGTTAATTAATGATTATTTAGAGATCGTGAGATGCGGTCTGGTGTAATGCAAGTTTAGAAAAACATTTTCTTTATTGTTTATTTATATGTTTGATTTTGAAGGAGTGGGGAAATAGGAATAGAAATTCATATTTCTATGAGGAATGTGTGGTGTTTAGTGACCGTTACTTAATGATTATTTGGAGGTCGTGACCGTCCAGACCGTATCTCATGACCTCCAAATAATAATTTCTATGAGAAGTCAGCTTCTTTGAGTTGACAGGGACACTGTCAATGGGGGTAATGGTTTGTCGTTCGGGCCTGGTTAGCCATTCAGAATCTACAACTCAATACTAACACCATCTACTATCACTAATAACACTATATCAATTCTATCGAAGACAGACAAACCAGCATACATATCCATTCCATTCGTTCACGGCCTGTATAAACAAAAAACATTAATATCTCACTAACGTAACACACAACAGTGACACATCTATACAGAAATCACACACTTTGAGTAAGTACAAGTACTTACAATCAAACCTAAAATTTCTATATTGTGTACATCATTGTATAAATTCATATTCATATCTTATATGTATTTGTATAATTTAAACAATGTTTAAAAATCCGAGGCCCTGAAGATGACCTAATTAAAGATCGAAACGTTGGCATGATAAAGAAATTTTTTTCTAAACCTACACACCAGACTACATCTCACGATCTCTAAATAAGTAATATACAGGGTGAATTGCTACTCGTGCTACAAACTTCTCCAGTAGATTCTTCACCCTAAAATGAACAAAAAAGTTCATATTGTCCATGGTCCGATTCTNTATGTAAAAATTAAATACGTGCATGTAATTTACACTAATCCAAATTGATTAGTTTATTTCTTTTTTGTCATTTTTGCAATAGTTTAACTAACTTAGGGGGTTATGAAGTCACATAATTAAAAAAAAATAAAAAAAAAAAAAAAAAAATGAAATCATCAATTTGGATAGTTTAAAACTTAACCCCCCTTAAAGTTAGTTAAACTATGTATAGGTTAGTTAAAATCAATCACACTATGAAAGCACAATCAAACTATTTTTGATGACACTAGGTCAAAAACTACTAGAAATGTGTCCAATCATTTTTGCCAATATGCCCTAGGAGCTGAGAAAAAATTATGTAATATACATAATATTTTTTAAATCTAATGCTTATCTGCCTTTCTTGTGCATAAATTTCAGGTATTCATATGTAGTGTAATCATTTGTAATACATTATTCATATGTAATAATCAATTTATCATTCGATGTAGTGTAATAAAATAATATGCAGGATAGTATTAATTAAAATTAGATATATGAAAAGTTACAAAAACAAAAGACACTTTCAGTCAAGTAGGCAACTCCTGTAGTAGGCCAAAAAAATTTTTTGAAAAAACAAATTCAGATTCATTTTAGGGACCATTTAAAGTTCTTAAACACAAATTTTTATGGCAAAAAAATTGGGCTTGATCTAATCCAAGGCATTTTTTCCTCCAGGGTCTTGTTCCATTTAAAAATGCATAACTCCTGTAGTAGGCCAATAAAATCTTTTTTGAAAAAAAAAATCAGATTCATTTTAAGGACCCTTTAAAGCCCTTAAACACAAATTTTTTTAGCAAATGTTCCACTTAAAAATTCGTAACTCCTGTGGTAGGTAAATTTTTATTTTTTGAAAAACCAAGTGGGATTCTTTTAAGCACCACTTAAAAGCCTTAAATATGAGTTTTTGTAGCAAACAAAAAATATAAATTTTTGGGCTGGGATTAATCAGGAATTTTTTTTCTAGTCTTGTTAAACTTACAATTTCATAAGTACTGTTAATTTTATCCAAACTCAAATAATGAAAACCACTGAGACAGCTGGATTGTTCTAATGTCAGCCTGTATCAACAAAATATAATTTTATACCATTGTAAATGAGAAAAATTAGGTTGAAACCGACAAACTCTCCAAATGTTTAATTTTTTCCCTGTGATTCTACTTTATTTACAGGGACAGTTGAAAATTTTTAAGTGGAACAACAGGACACTAGAGGGAGAAAAATTGTCCAGGGCTAACCAGCTGAAAAATATCAATTTTTGTTTGCTGTAAAAATTTGTTTTTACAGACTTTATAGGGTGCTTAAGATGAATCCAAATTGATCTTTTCAAAAAATATTTTTGTAGCCTATACTTTATTGAAAGTATCTTCTGTTTTTTGTAACTTTTTGTACATCTAATCTCATTGAATAACTATCCCGCTTATTATTTTTTTATCCCTTAATAATAAAACAAATTGAATTATCCGTTTCTCAGCCCCTAGGGCCTTTTGGCAAGAACACTCAGACACATATTATTTTTCGACCTAATATCAAAAATAAAAGTGTCCCCACATTCGTAGTCTTCCTTGTTAATTCCTTGTAATTTTGAATTCAAATATACTTAAAAAATAATATAACCTATATGTAATATTTTTTTTTGTTATGTAAACAGGTTCTGAACCGAAGTACAGGAGCAAAGGAGGAAGTCACCATAGAAATGATAATTAAAACTGTTGAAGATCTTACGAGAATCCATTAAATGTCTTTTTTTTTTTTTTTAGAAAGAAAATAAAAATTGTCTACCACCATTAATAAAGGAGGACATGTGTTGTGTCTGATGCTTGTTAGTAGTTTGCCTTTTTTTTTCTTTAAATAATAATTGAAATAATTTATGCTATTTTATGTACACAAATATGACCATATTCGGGGGTGACATCGAGTTTTTTAAAAAATTTTATTGAATTTTAACATAACTTTTTTCCCGAAAAAATTCAAAATTTTTGATTTTCTTTCCACTCAACATTTTGTATTCTTGATCAAAATATATTTTGTAATGGATGTATATATAAAAAAAAAGTTAAGTTTAGTATTTCACCTTTATTTTTCCTCTGATTTGGCATGAGAATAACAAAATTTACATATAATATTCAAATTAGGACAATTTTTTTTCCCCGGTTGAAACAGTATGATAAATTATTATAAAACGGTCACTTTTTCGGTCTTTTATATACATAATAGTAATTTTATTAGGTGTAATTATAACTTAATTAAACTTAAAGGGCAGGGCTGAGTGTTAGCGCGTATGACTCAAATTTGTAACTCTACCTCTAGGTTCAGGTCAAAATGGTTGAAGACAGCTAAACTAAAGGTAGGTTCATCGCCGCACAGGATTTGAGAAGAAAATACAACTGTGGAATAGTACTACAGTACCAGAGTGCAGCAGAGTTTTATAGAGGATCATCCTGTCTGCTCACCATCTGAAATTTGACATTTGAAAGAGGTTCATCGCCTGCTTGCAGTAGACTTCGATATTCATGTGTTGTTGCCATATTATAGGATTAATAAAAATTCATAATCTTGAGGCGACCAATGGTTAAGTGGAGAATGTTAGAAATAAAATACGAGTCGCCACTCGTGCGTGTGAGGGATTCATCTCCTGAATGCCGTGCAGTCAATATACTAAATCATCAGTTTAAGTTGAAGAGAGATTCGACAAAAGAAATAAATTAAAAAATTTTTGTATTTCAAAGGTGTAAAAACAATTGAAAGAACATCTTCTGATATGATTTATTAAAAAAATATAAAAAAATTAAACAAAACTAATTTCCAATTAACTAACATTTGACATTTCAAGTTTTTATTAAATATAAATATTTAATGTGTATTGTCACAATGGCAAATTCAGCTCTGCCGTAATCTCTCCTCTTGTAATTAAGCCCCTTGAATTCAGCACTCCACAATTGCAAGACAATCCCAGCACATTTGGTTGATACATTGAATCTTAAAAAAATAAAAAAACGTAATTTTGTTAACATTGAATTCCTTTATTGCCACATAAAATGTGTTCAGGATGAAGTTGCGCAGATCTGCTGGTGCTTAATTTAAGCCACACTGTTTTAATGTCATATTCACTGTGTGCACATAGTAAGTCCTGCAACACAAATTAAGGAAGTATTTGGAAATTTAATGAGCTGCAGACCAGGATAAATAAATCTCTGATAGCAATCGATGTCGTTTTAACAATTATTTTCGTCTGACTTTATTTAAACTGAATATTACATTTTATATTACAAGAGGAGCCGAACAGAGATCTAATTACAAGAGGTTTGACTTTTTACATGAATTGGTTAATGACTATACACATATTTATATTTCTTTCTCTCTCTCTCCCATGTGCAAGTTTAAGCGATTACTGACCACTTCATGTAAAGTCATATTGTTGATATCCCGCACGAAAGTCATTCACGATCGCTTTGGCGATTTCTTCATCGAGGACGCACTTCCGCCAGTCGCTCCGCTCAGGAACATTTAGAATATTCTGGGCTATAATATCTCTAGAAAACAAGAGAATTAGAATTAGGCACATCAGGACACATTTAATTAAAAAATTGAAAAGGGTCAATGTGAAATTGTAGTAAAAAAAGGTTAATTTGAAATGTAAAAAGGTTATTTTGGCGTTAAACAAAGTGTTAATTTGACAGTAAAAGCTATATTTTAATTTTAATTAATTTGCATATAGCCTTCTAAGAGCCCAATTATTTTGTACGTTAAAAAAATCGCAATTTTCTTCACATGCTTATATTTCATACCATTTCCTAAATTTTATTACAGCTTTAAAAAATGGGTTAATTAGAAATTAAAAAGGGCTAATTTGAAGTTAAAAAAGGTTAATTTGACGGAAAAAATATATACAACTGCATACAAAGTAAATACTAAATTCAATGAAAATTTCTAATATGTTTGAAAAAATTTAATCAACAATACATGACCCATTTTGTTCCACTACATGTTACCAACTTCCATGTCATTTTGTAATTCCAACTTTAACCCTTTTCAGATTATGTGAACAATAATACTAAATAAAAATGGTTAAAAAGAAACAAGAAGGATAAAATCGAATTATTGAAAAAACCTAGTCATTTACAACAAACCAATAAAATAATAGACTAATTAAAAAAAAAATTAAATTTCGCTTTAGACTAAAAAAGTTTTTTTAAGAAATGCCACACCAACACAAGAATGAGTTGTAAGAAAATTTGGCCATGAATATATATAAAAAGCGATGTGAGTTTGCTCGTAAAAAAAAAGACAGAAAAAGAATAAAACAAGAAATACATGTTAAATTTATTACACATACCTCCCAAAGCTTAAAGGGAAATCATCATCGGTAATCCTAATCAAGATTTCATTGTCATTAGGCAAATCAATGTAGAAATACTGACAATCAGTTGGTAGCGTCCGGTATATCATTGTTCCATTTGGATATTCTTGCAATTCTAAATTTTCTTTCCTAGCCCTTGTCTAAAAATTAAAAAATAACACCATTAATTTTTTTTTACATTGTAAATAACTTGATGTATAATTAAGATCCTTTTTTCTTCAATTTTGGTACTGATAGCTTGCAAAAAACTATTTTTTAAAATAAATTAAGGTTTTTAGTTGAGATAAAAAAGTCAATGTCATGAGCGGGATTCAAATCCACGACCTTCAGCTAGACACACCGCTACTCTACCACTTGAGCTATCGAGGCTTCGATCCACTCGGACACTAACTTCCCATCTCAACCCCACCTTTTGAATTTTCCTTCCTTTTTGCCATTTTTCAATTATTTTTTATCTCAACTAAAACCCTTCATTAATTGAAAGATATTAATTGGACACGAAAACTAGTTAATTGAATAAGTTAAAAAATGAAGTATATCTTCACTAAAGCTCTCCGTGGCCATTTCAATTGTCGCCGAGAATCAAATAGATTACACATTTGAAAAATGGCAAAAAAGGAGGAAAAATTCAAAAGGTGGGATTGATATCGGAAGTTAGTGTCCGAGTGGATCGAAGTCACAATAGCTCAGGTGGTAGAGTAGCGGTGTGTTTAGCTTAAGGTTGTGGGTTCGAATCCCGCTCGTGACATTGACTTTTTTTATCTCAACTAAAAACCTTAATTTATTTTAAAAAAATAATTGTTTTTACTATTTTATTATTTTATATTATTATTAATATTTAAATATTTAGTTTGGCGCTTTCTAATCATTTAGCCCTATCTGTCTATGTTTTGGTCACTGTCGACATTGGTGGGTCGAGCAAGAAGCTGAGACACGTCTGACAGACCAAAATGATCAGAAATTACCAAACTTCAGGTTCATCACCCTGGTGACTTCAAAAATTAACCTTACTGTCCGTTAAAGCTTCAAAAATTGTATACAGAAAAGAGTCCGGTGGTGGAGAAGAAACATTATTTAAAGAATGAATAAGTAAAACTATTAATAAAAAAGCAAAAAAAAAAACTAATTATTACTCACCATAAGAGCAGTTTTAAAGTGCTTAAACAGATTAGCAGCAAGGGGTATGCAGTGGATTTGAAGATGAGTCGATTTGTATGCCCGTTCGTAGAATATTATCTCCATTTTTAGGCCACGAAAGTACTGTCTCAATGACATTTTAAACTGTACAACTTCATCTGCTGCCACGTCGGACAGCCTGTTCGCCGAGGCAAAATGTGCTATTGTTGTAATTAATGAGTGGTTATCTACTACGCCTCCTTTTGCTAAAGCCAAGTAGCATTCGGATGCGACCGATATTATCAGATATTTATCCACAGTCCGATTTGACAGGCAAAACCAACAAGGTGTATGCTGTTCACCGAATTTCTTCTTTTTTCTAATCCTCTCTTCTGTATTTGCGCTTCCGCACCTTTTGGAACTCTGAGACGGAGTCGAGAAGAATATAGGATTTACAGAGTATGATGAATCAAACTCGTCAGTCAAATAGCTAAAAGGATTTGGAGATGTGTCTTCTCTCGGTAATGGTTCTATTACAGATTCCATAATTGGCCGCTGAATTCTAAGGGCGTATATGCTCTTGCTTTTAGTAGCATTGTCCATAGCCGCAAGGCCGACAAAACGCGTATAACTTAACAAAGTACCATTCTCATCGAAATGTGGAAATGGTGCACGTTCGAATGATTTCTTTTCGCACGTCGCAATGTGGTATTGAGGACGAAGTTTATTAATCAGGTGGCCCAACAGCCGAGAAGGGCTGTGTGGTGTGTAGGGATCTTGCATACTGCTTGTGATGTTATACGGCCACTGGTAACTCACAAGGATATCCACAACCTGTATTTCACCCTCTGGACTTGTACAGGATGATATTAATTTTTCTATATCGTTTAATGTAAATGTACAATCCCTTTGCTTTGTCCCTTCTACACCACTCATGTAAGCAATCCTCAACCCCTCCCCTGTTGTATAAACTCCATATTTTCCTTAAATAAACGATTAAGATATAGTAACAATTTATATGTTGAAATGGCAGTGGGTCTCTTACTATGTCTGCACTCGCTGGTTTGTGCCAGCTTCAGTGAGGAAAACCGCGAGTGTAGACGAACCCAGTGCCAGTTTTGAATTTATCTAAACAATAACATATAATGAGGTTCCATCGCAAAAAAGTGCAAACTTTAAAAGAAATATACAAATTAACTTTTTTAAATTTCAAATTAACTGTTTATAACTTCAAATAAACTGTTTATAACTTCAAATAAACTTTTTTAAATTTCAAAATAACACTTTTTAACTTCAGCATAACCTTTTTAATTTGAAACTTTTTAAATACAAATTAACTCTTTTTAACTTCAAATAAACTTTTTAGATTTCTAAATAACCCTTTTTAACTTCAACATAACCTTTTTAATTTGAAATTAAACTTTTTAAATAAGATAACCCTTTTTAAGTTCAAAGAAACTTTTTAAATTTTAAAATAACCCTTTTTAACTTCAACATTAACCTTTTTTTAATTTCAAATTAAACTTTCTAAATTACAAATTAACGGTTTTAAGTTCAAACACACTTTTTTAAATTTCAAATTAACCCTTTTTAACTTCAACGTAATTTTTAAAATTTCAAATTAAACTTTTCAAATTACAAATTAATCCTTTTTAACTTCAAAATAACCTTTTAATTTTCAAATTAACTCTTTTTAACTTTCAACTAACCCTTTTTTTAGAGGAATAAAAACTTAGTTGACGGTATGAAATATAAGCATTTAAGGTGAAATTCATGTATATCTGCAGATATAAAAGTTAATAATAATTAAAATGAAAAATTATACAAAATTAAATTTAACAATAAAAGATTTCCTTTTAATTAATTTAACATTTTTATATTATGTAAAATAATTGGTCTCTTAAAACCACATGAAAATCAATTGCACTAAAAATTAAAATATATAAAATAAAAAATAAAAGAGGATTATGTTTTTCCGGTCTTCTTTGGCCTCACCGGTTTAAAAGAAAATCTAAAAACTAAAAGAGGATTCTTCTTTTAATTTGAAACTTTTTTTAAAAATATAAAATGGGTCTTATCTAAAATACCGCATGAAAATTAATTACAATTAATTCTCAACTTTACATGCCTTACATTTCATATTATCTAAGTTTTTTTTTTATTGCTTTATAAAAAGATTAATTTGATGTTTAAAGAAAGGTTGATTTGATGTTAAAAAGGGTTAATTTGACTAAAAAAGCTATACATTGCACACAAATCTGAAATTGGACTAGCAACTTACCAAGATATGTAAGGTTTTGTACTATATCACAGGACTCCATCTTTGGATAAAACTGAATTTGTTCTTTATTAACTGGACCCAAAATAAATGTTTGTATGGGAACTGTAAAAATATTTTTAAAAAATTAATTATACTTGTTATCTAAGGTTCTGGTTGAGGTGAAAAAGCTAGTGTCACGAGCAGAATAAAAAGTATTAAAACGTGCACCATAATACTGATATTAAAAATGTGAAGGTACCTTAAGATACGAGTGTGTGAAGCCCTGACTGACAGACAATGCACAGACCAAACCGCTGGATCTAAAGGGCTGAAATTTCAACAGTGCATTCCTATAATGAAATGGATAGCCGCTAAGAAAGGATTTTTGAAATTCCATGCCTAAGGGGATCATACCAACTATTTTTTATAGACTGGAGTAAACTGAATAAGAGAAGAATTTGAGAAACGAGACATTATATTAGAAAGCCATACTAGCACTCTGCATTCCATTAAAACAGACGAAGTTGCGGGTAAAAGCTAGATGTACATATAGTATGAAAGTTCCTAGTTAGAGGGAATGTGTTTAATAGTATGAATGTATTTCTTAACATGAATGATGGCAGATCCTCAGCAGAATATCCAGAACCATCCATCAAAAATGAAAAATCACCAAACTGGATGGCCCATTTTTTGTCACACAAAACCACAATGTGCTCAGCAAAAGCCACGACAGCTAGCCAGTCAGGGAAAAAATAGTAATATATTTTCAGTTGGTACTTAATAGGCCTTATCATTTTAATTGTGATAATTCATGTTTCCCAGATCAATGTTTTTCTACATGGTGTTAATAAAATTATTTCATACATTTTCTTGTTTATACACTCCAAGACAAAAGTCATGAGTTTTAATCAAAATTATTCAATTATGATGGTTTGAAAGGAAACACACCAAAACAACGGAAAATCATTTAATTATAATAATAAAATCATAATAATTATATAATAATTTTAAAAAATGGAGTTGTTTTTTTAAGGGCTGGCACAAGATAATCTCATTTCTATTTATTTCAATGGGGAAAATTGATATGATTCGACCGTTTTGACTTACGAACTAGGATGGGGCTTCCCAAACTGTGGTCCACTGATCCTAACTAGGAGGTCCATGGCGAACTTCGAGAAAAAGTAATAATTACAAAAATAAATGGAGAATGAATAAATAAAATTTAAAAACTAATAACAAGGAGTACTAAAAATGAAAGTTTTTTTTAAATTCCGCCACAGGAGCCATTGTGTTCTCCACAGACATGCTTTAGCTGTGAACCAAAGAACTTTTTAAGAATATTTTGGATGAATCTGTTCAAATTATTAATTATAACAAGTAGCAACCATTGACGTCAAGACTTTTCACAATACTATATGGGAGGCCTTCATCATTTCCAGCTTCACCATACAAAAGTTACGTGACTATCACGTGGGAAAGCACTTTCACGTTTACAGAAATTACATTCTGAAGTCTTATCTCTGTTTATGGGTTTCAAATTGGCCAATGTTTCAATGATGAGAAATGGCAATGTATAGTCATATTTATTTGATACTTTCATTAAAATGAATGAGATAAATCATTCTTTGCATGGGAAGAGTATCACAACTTTTGTTGCTAATGGCAAAGTTGATGACTTCAGAAGAAAAATCCAGTTTTGGATCAAATCTGTTGAGAAGGAAGAGGTGGAATGTTTTCAGGTGTTGAATGACTTAAAAAGAAAACGAACTGAACTTGCGAACGTTGAGTGATGAAAAATGTGAATATCTTCGATGTTGGGAGATGTCGTTTGGGCATTACTTTCCAACAGCTGGAGATACAATGCTGCAAGACCATGAATGGATGGTCGAACCGTTTTCAGTTTCAACAAAGCCAACCAATGAATACGAATGTTTGATAGACATTACTTCAGACTCCACCTTGAAATTTATTTTTGAGTCTGGTAGTTGCCACTATTTTTTACTCCATCTGGAAAACAAAAAATTTCAACCACTTGTTGAAAATGCAAACTTTTTTCCATTTGCCACAGTTTACACCAAAACTAAAATACCGAAGCTGTGTAGCTGAACTGGACATCAGTATCCAGCAACCAAAAAACCCACCATATCCAAATTGTGCAAGCTAAAACAACCTCACTCTTCCCATCATTTCCTTAATCATTAACGTTAATACTTTTAAATTTGGCTCGAGTTTTACATACCTAAGATTCCGTTCAGTCCAATTTGATTTCTGTGTTTCGGATTTTGTAAATAAAGTTAAGCATGTCAATCTAATGTTTTTTTTGTTTTTTTTTCATAGTGATATACCTTTCCAGTGCCTAATTAGGAATGGAAAATCTAATTTATGAAACTTTAATTTACTACATTTTCTATAAGAATCTAATTTTAAACACTTGAATGGGGGACCGCGGTAGCTGAGTGGTTAGCATGAGAGACTCTCACGCCACGGTCGTGGGTTCGATTCCCACCGTTGCCTCTGGCCCTTTTTTCCCGATAACCCCCAATTTGAACAACATATATAAGAGATTCGTCATGGCTAATATGCAAAGATCATAAGGACAATTAAAAAAAAAAAACACTTGAATGTGACAGGTCCGCTCCGCCCTGGATTTTATTCTGTGAAAGTTAGGATTCCACTGCCAAAAAGTTAGGAAAGCCCTAAGCTAGGGGTCATTGAACAAATTAAAACTCGTACCTTAAGGCACTGCTGTACACTTATCAAAAACTGCGATTAAAAAATCATTTTCCTCACCGACTTGTTCGCCAGAAGTATATTCCTCCCATGCTTTGATATTATCGCCAAAAAAATTCCCGCAACATATTAACATGCTAAATGGTTTATCAGTCTTCGTTTTTGCCAGAACGTTGCGAATCTTTTTGAAAACATAGTTGAAATTGCCATCAACATCACCAGTAAAGAGTCTAGAAACAAAAAACAAAACAAAAAGAAAATTATACAAAATGAATATCATGGGAATAATTGTAATCGTGTGAACTGTGGCTGGAATGTTAAGCCTAGTACTGGAATTCTTTGTTCGGACACTTTTTAAACATTTAAATTTTCTTGCATCCAGGACTGCTCCATGATACTGAGTCTTGAATTTGATGTGTTGTTTTAGTATTTTTTGAATCCCATCATAAATGGAATTCTTTACTCAATGTCACACAACATTGATTGAAGATTTTCAAATATGGCAATGTTTGTGGGACATATCCTCGGAGGAATACAACGACAGGGGAAAGAAACCATACACTGTGGCTAAGTTAGCCCAAAAATTTGAAGTTAGGCTTGCACATGAGGCTTCCATAAGAGCCTCCACTTTCGAGGAAACGGAGAGTAATTGCTAGCCTGTTGGTAGCAGAAACTTACATCCTAAAATTTGTCTCCTTTTTCGAAACGCGTGGACCAACCATTTCCAAAAGACATTCGTTGTCGACTGGACTCATCCGAACAAAATTTCGTAAATCCCATTCTATCTTCCAATCTCAGTGTGACAAGATCGTACCCATGTTTCTTCCGATCCTTGAATATCTCATGAATCCACCAACGTGGTGGTTTTTTGTTAGCAATTTTTTTACTCCGTAGAGCTAGGTAAAGTGCTACTGCAATCCCTGAGAGTGCGACCTCATTCGACATGGCTCGCACTCAAACTAGATGCGCACACAATTTTCAGAGTGACAAAGTGTCTGCGAAAAAGAGTCCGAACAAAGAATTCCAGTGTGTACTAGGTTTAAGATAAGGAAAGCATTGTAAAGTCGAGTGAATTTTTGAATTTTTTTAAAAATTATTTGCATATATTAATGGAATTTCCGATCTTAGTTTGTGAAAAAAAGACAATGAAAGTTAATTTAAAAAATTATCGTATCACAAAAAATTAAACGGCTTTTTGTAGAATGTTTGTGGCAACAAGTACTAAGCTGTGATAACCGCAAATTGACGGAATGGCGTCATGCTGTTAACATTAATGTTTTTAACCACGAACTACTGAATATTATTCCAGTTTTCTCTTTGAAATAGCTACTTTATAGGTTTAAAAAATAAAAAACATACAACGAATAATCAAATATATCGTGTGCTTGTGTGCGTTGAGTAGACAGAAATGGTCAAGTGGAAGAGAGACATTATTAAACTAACTCTCCCGTATTAAAAAATAAAAAAATCATCTTACATGGGCACAGAAGTGTTGGTGGAAGTCATTATTCAAAATCGCAGTGGATTTTGTTTTTTTTGGCATTAGATTCCAAATTGGGCAAAGCGAGACTTTCCGGGTTATTTCGTCGCGATGTCCATATTCGTTTGAATATTGGCGTTATTCCACCTCGGCGGAGGGACGACGGAGGAAAATAGTCTTAAATCAACACGTTCGAGTTATTAACACGTCAAAGACTTATATTTGTCAATTTCACTTATAACAGAACAGTCAACAGTAAGAAAATGATAAAAGCCTAGCTTGTAAAATGTTCAATGTTGGGCATGGAGAGAGAGAATCGAATCTTTAGAATCGATCCTGGAAAAGAACGATGTTTCGAACGATTCGTTGACTAGGACAAATCACATTCGCGCCAACACATTCACACAACAATTGTATATACATTACAACCGTAGTCACGGTATAGGAATCACCGTATCGTTATATTTCATTAATATAATATAACACTTCACATATATGACATATAACAGATTTTAGAAGTTTCAATGTTCTTCCGAAATTTTTCAAAATTTTGAAAAGGATTTTTCCCAGGGTATCCACTTATTTCTTCCACCTAGGTGTGAGGGCTTTAAGAAAAAGGTCTACAAATATACTAGACTATAAATAGCTTTTTTCCGTCAAATTAACCTTATTTAACTTCAAATTAACCGTTTTTAATTTCAAATCAACCTTTTTTTCAAATTCGAATTAGCCATTTTAAATTTCAAATTAACCCCTTTTAATTTCAACTTAACCCATTTTAATTTCAAATTAACCCCTTTTAACTTCAAATTAACCATTTTTAATTTTAAATTAAACCTTTCTTTAAAGCATTAAAAAACTTAGGAGATTGTTATGAAATATAAGTTTTATAAAGAAAAATTCCGATGTATTTTAGATATTTTAAAAATATATAACGTTTTCCGTCAAATTAACAGTTTTTTTTATTTCAAATTAATTTTTTTTTTAGTTTCAAATTAACCCTTTTTTTTTCAAAGTATTGAAAAACTTAAGAGATTGAGGAATTTAGTTTAAAGTAAAATTCCAGTATATTTCAGCTTTTTTAAAAATATAAAACAATTGGGCTCTTAGATCATTTCAAAATTAATTAAAATAAAAAATTGTATCAAATTAAATATAAAAACAAATTGTTCTTCTTTTAATTCGAGTTAAAAAAAAATCCTTCTATAGACCAATTATATTATATTTACAAAAATATTGAATTAATATAAAAATCATTTGTTTTTATTTTTAATATTATGTAAGTTTCAATTGTAATTAATTTTCATGAGGTAGATAAGAACTCATTTTATATTTTTAAACAAATCTCAAATTAAAGGAAGAATAATTTATTTGATATAACTTTTAATTTGAATTGTAATTAATGTTAATCTGGTATTTCATATACATGTCATATCGTTTTATATTTTAATATGTTCTCATATTAATTGACGAATCCTTTATTTTTATATTTAATTTTATATAAATTTTAATTGTAATTAATTTACATATGATATTTTAGGTATGAACACATTTAAGTTTTGTTATTCTAAAATTAAACGAAAAATCCTTTTTTTCTTATATTTAATTTTATATCGGTAATTTTTAATGTTTATTGTAATTAATTTTCAAATGGTCTTTTAAGAGACCAATTATTATATATTTAAAATAAAATCGCAAATATAGAGGAGTTTTGCTTTTATTTATTTCATACCTTCTTCTTTGTTTTTTTATTTTTTTTTAAATTCCTTAAAGAAAGTGTCAATTTGAAGTTAAATAATGTTTATTTTGAAATTAGAAAAAAGAAAATTAATTAATTAATTTGATGTTAAAACTGGTTATTGATTAAAATGGAGTAAATTGAAGTTAAAAAGGCTAATTCGACATTAAAAAAGGATAAGTGATATTAAAAAAAGGTTAGACTGGCGGAAAAAAGATATTTTTATATCTTGTACATTTAAAACTTGCAAATTTGTTCTGATTTTAGTGGGGTTCGTATATTATTAATTTTGTTTAATATTAGAGAATTTGTAAACATTATTTACCAGATGTTATCTATAACTGTGCTTGTACCTATAAATAATAAATAAATACGAATATGTCGGAGGGGGGAAAAAACGAAATTTCTTATGTGTTTATCTCGCTTATATTGAGGTTTACGAGCATAATTCTTGCGCCAATGATGCCTTAGATGATGTTATTGTTAAATTTTGTCAGATGATATATTATTTTCAGTAATAAATCTTCATATTTATTATTTTTATGGAATGGTGTGAGAATTATGGTCGTAAACTCCAGAGTAAGGGAGAAACTCTCCTTCGGCGGAAATGATTTGGGCAAAGACGTTTTAATCAATCAATCAATCAACTTTATTGTAGGCAACCATATAAAGGTTTTACAATACATCAGTTACATTAATACATGAACATTATAACGTTTTACATTGCTTCCAAATTCATTTATGTCATTACATATTTCAGATACATTCATTCCATATCATATGTCACTAGGCTAAATTGTAATTATATCTAAATGAAAAGCTCAACTAAGCTTTAATTCCCGTTGTTGATTTATTTATCAGTTTGTTCTGAAATGTATTTGAATCTCGAGGTTCTCCACGTGCACAGTTGTTCTGCAATGCTATCTGCGCCTGCCTCCGGATTAAAGAGGTCCTCGTTCTTGCCAAAAAATACGCGTTCCTAGTAATTAACGAGCTTGTTTTGTTTTTTCAACCCGAATCCAAATTCGAAATGGCTTGTAAAAACCAAACGGGCGCATACCAATAAAATAAATGACTACGGAAAGTCCCAAGTGGTCAGAAGGTTTTGCAAGCAGGATATTGATTTTCATCAAAGGGGGTGGGAAGAATGGTGGTTCACGTTTATATTCTGGGTTAAGCGCCTGTCTTCGGCAAAAAAGGCAATAAATATGGTTTGAATTTAAGCATCGAACCTTTTACTTCTTCCGTTTACGAATCGGAATAGTTTGCACAAATGACAAACACCGACTTGAATCAGGACTTTGTGCTAGTCTCTTCGTGAAATACCCCACAATCGAGAAATGTCACAAAATCTGGAAGAGATCTGGAACGAGCTTACAAAAGATCTTCCAGATGAGAAAAACGACTGGTGGTTCAAAATTGTCGAGAAATTAAACGATTCTAAACGGAAGTGTCACAATTTGAGTTATTTAGAGAAAAAGTTTGCCCTGTACGAGTCTGTAAAACATTTAATCAAAAATAAAGCTGCTGTTCGTTTCGCCTTGTTTTTCAGCTAGTAAGTACAATAATTTCATCTCTCAAAATGTGTTCGAGTTTTAAATTAAATGTGAAAAAACGATTTCAAATAAATCCTACTGTTTCATACATACAAATGGTTATGAATTAAAAGTTCTTTACAATCCAAATTTACAAATACCAGTTTTTCTTTTTGAAATTTTATCCACATTAAAAGTTGCTTCTTGTCATTTTATTCTTTTACGGATAGTTTAATTTTTCATTATGTCTAACCATTCTTGAAGCTGAGTAAAATGAGGATGGTAGAGTGAATTATAGCTTTTTTCCGTTAAATCAACCATTTTTAATTTCAAATTAACCGTTTCGTTAAAACATTAATCAACTTAAGAGATGGTACGAAATATAAACATGTAAAGTAAAATTCCTGAATATTATGCGATTTAAAAAAAAAAAAAAAAAAACTATAAAATAACGAGGTTCTTAGAAGCATAAACCACGTCGTTTTATTACTTTAAAGACAGGGTTAAATAAACAAAAAGGTTAATTTGAATGTAAGTAAAGTAGTTCTGAAATTAAAATGTTGTTTCGACTTTAAAAAGAGTTAATTTGAAAATTTAAAAAAGGAGTTAATTTGAAATAAAAAGATTAATTTGAAGAGGGTAATTTGAAATTAGAAAGGATTATTTGGACATTAAAAAAAGATTAATCAAAAACAATTATTAATTTGAAATTGAAAAGGGATAGTTTGTGGTTAAAACGCGTTTATTTAAAGTTAAAAAGGGTTAATCCAAAGTAAAAAAAGGGTTAAATAAAAAGGTTAATTTGAAGTTAAAAATGGTTAATTTGAGGGAAAAAAGCTATACAGGAATTTTCCCTTACAAGTTTATACTTCATACTATCTTCTAAATTTTTTAAATGCTTTAAAGAAAGTGTTAATTGGACATAAAAAATGGCTAATTTAAAATTAAAATGGGTTAATTTAAAGTAAAAAGGGGTTAATTTGAAATTAAAAAGGTTTAATTTAAAATTTGAAAGCGCTCTGCAAATAAAACTAGGTTAATTTGAAATTAAAATGAGTTAATTTAAAGTAAAGATGGGTTCATTTGAAATTTAAAAAACCTAATTTGAGTGAAAAAGGGTTAATTTGATGGAAAAAAGTTATATATTGTCTGTCTTCAAGACAGCTTAGAAACAATGAAGAATTAAACTATATACATATTTGTAATTAATTTATTATTATTATATCTAATGCAACAAAACATATTATATAGGAGCTGGCCTCTTCACCATCTGTGCACCACGAACATTATCTGTCTATTGTGCATCTCCATTTTTTTTTAAATCTAGAGCTCATCATTAAGCTTGAGGCTTTTTACCAGACCCCAAAGCTTTTTCAAGGTCTCCCGTGTGTATCCTCTAGGCCCTGGCTTTTCCTATCCCAGGAATAGAAATATCTATGTATCATAGGCCTTCGCACGAACAGAGGACGTGTTCCGTTGTTTCTTTCTCTTCTTGGCAATATCTGCACAGGCTTGTTTCTGCCACTGTTAGTCTATACATATGCCTCTGGAGACTGCAGTGTCCAGTTAACAGTCCAATTATTATTCTCATCCTTGCACACCCTAGATTTAATAGTTCTGTAATGGTCCTTCAATAAATTTTTTTCTATCCTGGGCTACATTCCCATTGAGTGGAGGGCTTAGTATTAATCCAATTAATGGAACTGCGTTTATGGCAATTTGGTAAGCTACAAAAGGGTTCAGGGCCAATAGGCGTCCTCATTGAACTTTCCTTGGCCAATTTATTGGCCTCTTCATTGCTCCTCTGCCTTGTGTGCCCTGGCACCCAGACAAGGATAATTTTTTGTCAAAGCTGAATTTAGGGGTCATGGCATCAGTAGGCATCCTCAAAGTTCTGTCTAGCTGAAGCTCCCCTTGAAACTTTAGTTGCTCCTTCTTAGTGAGTAGGCTATTAAGATGGCTTAGGCCTGTCCTTGCATTAGCCTATGAATTGTGGCTCTGGCTTCTCCCTGAATAAAGATGTGTAGTGGTGGTAGTTCGGAAGGACTTCCAGGGCAGCCATAGGGTTGTTCTCATTGCCCCAGTGATGCTTAGACATGCCAGTCTCTGAGCAGTACTGAGGATCTGGACCACCCTTAGCTGTAATATCTTTGTCCACAAAACCACTGTTCCATAGGCTTTCATGGGTCAAACAACCACTGTGTATAGCCATAGGGACATCTTTGGATTCAGCCCCAGCTTTTCCTACAAAGGCATTTGCATCTGCCATTGCCAATCTTTGATGTTTGTGTGATTTTGTTTAGTTGTTGATTCCATGAAAGTATCTGATTGAAGATGAGTCCCAGGCATTTCGCCTTTTTAGAGAAAGGAATTTCAATTCCATTTAGCTTAAGGAGCTTAAGTCCTCCTAGTGCCCTTTTCTTGGTAAAGGGAACAACGATGGTTTTGTTAGGGTTGATAGAAAGCCCTTCCGTTTTACACCAACTGTTTTGTTATGTTGAGTACGCCCTATCTGTAATGACTTTGGCAAAGTGCCCATTCACGACTACCATCAGATAGCCTTTTTTGGAGATCATCAATCAATACTGACCACAGTGATGGTGACAGAACACCACCCTGAGGGTAGCCTCTGGTTGTTCTCGCCCTTATTGTAGTGTTAAAACTTAAACTTTCTTCCACCCATTGATATATGGATTTTGAGATCCCATTTGTACTGAGCCCCTTCTATGTTCATGAACAATGCCAAGGCTATTTCCTTGTCATTTAATGCCTTAGATTGTAGCCTGTTTGTCATCCAGGGCCAAGTCTGTTGACTTCCCTGTCTGATATTTCCTAGCACTGAGTGGGTTACTTTTCAGTGCTGGGCCCCTAATATGGTTATTCATAGTTTCTCTAGTGTTTTCTGCATAAAAGATTAGAGACTGATAGGTCTGTATGAACTAGGTGTCTGATCTGTGGCCCTACCGACTTTTGGCAATTAGACCACCTTCACCTTCCTTCATACAGTGGGTGTATATCTCCAATCTACGGAGGCCCTAAAGATTCTCAACAGAGATGACATTAATACTTCTTTCCCTTTCTCTGGTAGTATAGGTTATACCACATTCACACCCGGGGTTTTATAGAGGAGAAACTCATTTACCACCCATCTGATTTTCTCTACTTTGGCTATGTTAGCCACCTTCTTCCAGTCCTATTTGGAGGGCCTGTACCACCGACTATCTGAAATAGTAGGCTGCTCTTCTCCGAGTATTATTATTGACCCTGGAATGTGTTTACCAATTAATATGAGTTTCTCCTGTTGTCTCTGTACTAGTTCCATCCGGTTTTCGAATGAAGCCTAACTGTCCCCCAGTACCGACATAAGACCTTCCTGAAGATGGATTTCATTTTTTCTTCTTTGGGGTCGGTGAAAAAAGTCTCTTTTTCTTCCACTGCGACCAAAAGGTTTAACCAAATTAGTGCAGTTAGGCGAGTTAGTTGCTATTTGTGAGCAAAATAGGTGATCCCGCCACCGAGCAACACCAACAGATGTCCGGTCGAGCGGAAAGTTGTTCAGACCATGACGCCTGAAACCAATACTGACGAAGCCAAGCTTTCTATAAAAATGACAGGACATTTCTATTGTAGAATTAACCTTTATTTATTTTCAAACCCCAAAAAATTGTCTACACTTAAGGTAAAAATCCTCTTTCCTTATATAATCATTAGCATTGCTTTTCCAAAGAGGCTAGCCGTTTCTGGATCAATGACTTCCAGTCATATAGGACATATTTTGATGTTTCTGCTTTATCATGAGTCGGCAGGTTTCTGTCTCAATTTTTTCAATTTTTTTTTAGGTTTTAAATTGAATGGGCAATGCCCAGTATAAAATTAGTATTTTCCTTAATTTTTACCTACTGAGAGAGATTTTTTACAATAATGTATTTTCCTAGTTTATTAATTCATTGTATGGATTTTTTTAGTAATTGTAATACTTTGCAAATCTATCAGGCGATCTCATTGTTCTAGTTTTGAGTATGGTCCAATTATTCTCAACTCACATGAAAGGAACATCAATCACTTTCAGCAGTTTGCGACTGAATGTAAAATTTCTCAGGTGTGTTGGGATGTATGTGCATCAGAACTGATTTGAGAATTTACACATATATATATCTACATATTTTTAAAAATGCCGCAACAGGATTCAATTTTATACAAGGATGTCGTGATGCTCTTGCAATGCACTGGTTCTTGCATAACCGAAGAACACAAACAAGCCGGTGTTTATGGATGCGAAGACAAACATTATTTTCTCGATTTGGACATGGTCATACTGGGATCGGAACCGGATGTCTATGCCGAATACTGGGACAAGGAGAGGGAAGAGTACGACTTCCTACCTGTCGATATGTATAACTCACTACGAGTCAAAGTAAGTTTTTCTATGTATGTCTTGTATATAAATGGCAATGGACAATCTGACAAGAAAAATGGGCGTTTTTTCAGGTTTTAAGGACCTTTCTACTCATTCCTAATATATTTGCAACAAAAGAATTTAGGGATAAATATGAAGAAAATGCTCGCAAAAATATTCAGGCCGATGTTTCGCTAATTAATGAATAATTTTCACATTTGATAAATTGTTATTGTTTTATATCATTACATAAATAATGATACAAGAAATATTGAAAAAAGATATACTTTCTAAAAGCTCAAACTTTATTTTTATTTTAGTGTCCAAAATTTTAATAACTTCAGCTATGGAATTGTAGTCTCTAAAATAATTTCAAAAAATTTATTCTATCACGAATTTAACACTTTTTAAAATGTAAAAAATATTTTTATAGTAATGTGAAAATTAATGATCAAATAATTTGAAGCTGGAAAAATGAAAATTGCATCTTCAATGAAATTATTGTCAGTTTGCAATTTTTTCATTAATGTTTGATTCTTAATGGAATTTATAGTTTTTTCCGTCAAATTAACACTTTTTAAAATCAAATTAACCTTTTTAATTTCAGATTCACTTCAAATTAACCCATTTTAACTTCAAATGAATGCTTTTTAATTTCAAACTAACCATTTTTACTTCAAATTAGTCCATTTTAATTTCATTAAAGCAATAAAATAAATAAAAAACAATACAAAAATTAATTACAATTAAAATTGAAAGTTATGTACAATAAATTTAAAAACAATTGATTCTTCAATTTATTTGAGATTTTTTTAAAGGATAAATATTGGGCTCTTATATAAAATACCATATGTAAAATAATTACAATTAAAATGAAAAATTATATAAAATTAAATATTAAAGAATTCTTCTTTTATATAATGGTAAAAAATAATCAATTAATTTAAAAAAGGATATAGAGGGTGAGTTACTACTCAGAGTATTAAAGTACCCTATCTTTTAAAGTTTTTTTTTATTAGCCATATTTTTTAACAAAGAGAAATCAATTTACTATCAAGTAAAATGATAAATGAATTGATTTTTGGTTGAAGAAGAGTTCATTTTAACAAAAAGCAATGTTCGGAAATAGTTTTTTTGTGAATAACTTGAGAATGGTCGCCACAAATTGTAAACCCTTTTAAACTGTCGAATTCAACGTCGAAAAACCCTTCAAAGAATGCTCATGGATGAGTATCTTGCCATATGAAATAGTTGCATCCCCCAGTTTAAAACTTTCAATTTACTTGTTTCAACTTTCAATTTGAACTACCCATTTATTCCAGTTTTTGTTAAGAAATTTTGTAACAATTACATAAAAGAATACTTCTTTATTTTAATGTTTAATTTTGTCTATTTTTAAATTTTCCGTGCAATTGATTATAATGTTGTTTTTAAGTTTTTTAGTTGCTTTAAAGAAAGGGGTTCATTTTAAGTTAAAAATGGTTAACTTGAAGTAAAAAAGGGTTAATTTGAAATTAAAAAGGTTAATTTGAAGTTAAAAAGAGTTATTTTGAAGTTAAAAAAGGGTTAATTTGGCGGTAAAAGCTATTGATAGGAATAATGACTATTTGTGTCTTATACTGACGTCTAAATTCTGTAAACAGTGTGAATCAGCGTGTAATGGACTAAGTTTAGTGTGGTCATTCCATAAGTGCCCGTATTATAAGATCAATGAGGAAAGCACCAAAAGTGTAAAATTGTGGCGAAGAACTGATTTTCTCTATTACGCACTTATTCACAATCTTATAAAATTTATTTAAAAAAAAAAACAATAAGTCGTGAATTATCTATCTGTAAATTATATTGAAATTTCAACAAACATCTTGTTTTTGTTTTTTCAAGAAATCATTTGCAATTGTACAAAAAAAAAATTGTTGTTAAATCATTTTGTTTTGCTTTTTCTGGTACTTTGTGTAAGCAAAAGTGTGCAATAATGTATGTATGGACTTTTGGCTTCTACTGTTCCCAAGAAAAGAAAATCCTCCAAAGATGTTACATTTCAGTTTAATTATTTATTGTTTATTTTACCTTTTGTTTTCTGAAATAGTTTTCTTCAGACCAATGTCTGCTAAGTATGTGTTAAGATCCAATTTCCAATTCAGTAAACAGAACTTAAATTTATTTGTAGTTATGAGATTATTCGTTATAGTTTTCCTTATTGTTATATTGCTCAAAAGCATTTGCAGTTTTTCAATCACTGAATACACCTTGCAATAAACAATGTGTGAGGAAAAAATCTAATTAAACAAAGTGCTATATAATGTGTTATATTTTTTTCTGCACAATTTGTTTTAGAATATGAAAATTATATGACAAAGTGTGTGCTTTGATGTGTCAATTTTTTGTTGTTGATCAAAATCAATGACAAGTCAGCAATATGAAAGAAAAAATATACTTGCTGCTAAATTATTATTACAGTTGTGTATACTTATGGATGAGTTCTAGTCAAAACACATAATTAGTTATATATTTTGATTTATAAAAAAAAAGTCAACACATCTCTCTATAGTCCCAGCTTAGTGCCAATCTAATAGGCTCCTATAACGAATCATACATATGGTAGACTCCCAAAATATTCCCTTGTCATTTCATCTTTCTTGCTAAACTGGGCAGTACTGTCCTTGGACTCAGGCATTTGAGTACTACTCAAGGTATCAACCAGACCCTACGTGCTGATTGATCTTTCCTTATACCATCCCAATGAAGCTGGAGTCCCTCAAAATAGTGTCTTTTATCAGCTATATAAGCTGATATTCCTACTCATGACACTTTTATTGTTACTTTCTCTGATGACGTGATTCCCTCCTCTCACAAAGATCCTGTCACATCTTCAGGTCTTTTCCCTCTACAGTAAATAGAGCAGCACTATCAAATGGAGTGAGGTTTAAGACAGTGTGCTGTCTCCTGTTCACAAACGAAGGATAGCTAAGATAGATAAGTGCTCTTGTAGCTGCCGTTGAAGAATGCTTTACATCTTTTTTCCGCTCAATGATAGCTGAATAATCTTCAATTGTTCAGTGTTCAGTGTTATTTGGGTATTCCTTATGCAGGATGCCCATCCTCACCCCTTGAAGGGCTTGTTTTTCGGATTGTACTCCCATAAGCCATGTCTTTGGTTTTGAGGTTATCATCAGTTTTTACCTTCTTTATTATTTTTTATTTGTTTCTGTTTCTTGTGATGTCTGTCATTTATTTCAAAGAGCTTGAAACACAGCCTGCCATATGTTTTGTAGCTTTTTGTTCTTTTCTATTAAGGCCTTGTTTTAGGTACAAGGTAAACCTTTTTTGGCAGCTGAGTTTTTTGTCCTTTAGTAGCTTTGATTTATTGTCTCTTACTTTACATGACTTTTCTTTGGTTACATCAGCTGATGATGGAAGAGGTGAAGAAATAGTTAAGAGGACTAGAGAGAAGTTTTTCCTTTTCTATCTCTTCAATTATTTTGATTTCTAAGAGGTTAGAGCTCAAGCCCTTACCTCCAGAACGAGGTCCCTCTAAGGATTGGTGAAGAATCATTCCCTCTGTTTTGATTTTATTCTTTGAAAAAGTCCCATGAAAAATTGGGAAGGCTATTTATTACTGGAGGTCACTCGTTAGTAAGTAGTCAGGTGCTTGACCATGCAGCCATTCGGGAGTATGCTGTTCCAAGCTTTCAGCTGGGAGGATAAGAAAATGTGTTTGTGCAAGAGTAGAGCAAGAAGGAGGAACGGTACCCAAGCCTTCGTACTCTCACCCAGGGCCTTGGAGTAGGTCTGAGGCATCCGGCTCAGGCATTTCCCAGGAGACACAGAGAATTTGGACTTACGACTCCCTTTCCACAACCTGCAGCAACTAAATACTGACAAATAGTTTGATGTTTACCCTCTGTCCGCAAACCTATTATCTACTTTTAATAATGCTCTTTCGTACTGCAAATATCTATCGTGGAATCAACATATGAGACTTAAGTCCAGACTAACTTATAAGAGTATCCTAAACTGATATGGACTTATGAACTGGCCAAGCAGCATACAATGAATCTAAAATCCTCAGGAAAATTCTAAATCTTGTCCTACTACACCATCCTATCAAGATATTGATCCATATTCCTGGTCAATGTTCCACTCGTCCAACAGCTCTCATCCCCCAGGGAGATCTGCTACTCCACTATAAATTGTTTGTTGTTTTCTTCACTCTTGCTTGTTTACCCCACAGTAGAGGGTAGTTATTCAATAAATAAATAAAAAATAAATAAAATCATTAAATTTTAATTGAATGTGATTAGAGGTACATACATTTTTCTTAATTAACATGAGTTGATTTTACAAATAATAAATAACTTTGGATTAACAAAATGTTATGAAAAAAACACTTTACACTATATTTTATATATGTGATGTGTACAATGGCACAATAAATGTAAAAAAAATTGGATTGTAAAATTGATTAATTTTGATGTTTAATAATTTAACCGTGATGATTAACCGTTAACTGATAGATAACAGATCAATTGGTGATTTTGTGTGACCAAAAGACTATGGAAGTTTCAAAAGCAAAGCTTTTACTCGGCATACCTGTACATGAAAATATTTACAGTTATAAATATGTAAACTTCGTGTATGATCAAAATAAAATGAATATGCTTTGTGTATGGGTTATTTTTTATTTTATTTTTTGAAATAACCCTTTACCTTTTTCTAACAGTTGAGCTATTGTACAATATGGCCGATTTATGTTAATTATTTTTATCTTCGTTAAATTATGTACACCCCTGTCACACGAAATCTTTATAACAACTCTTATAACAAATTTAAAATATTATTATATAAAAATAATTACATTGCATTTTGTCGTGGATGTACTTAGATAAAACTTAAAAAAAAAATCTGAACACGGAAAGAATGGATGGTAAGATAATAGAACTTGCAAATATATTTAAAAAAGTTGCATTTTTAAAAAAATGTATTTATTTATTGCAAGCAACCCAATTTTCTTCGGCAATAGTGTCCGATTTTTGTGATATTTTCTTTATATTTTACATTTGTTAACGTTAAACAATAAATTACAAATTATTTAAGAAAATGTGTCTTATTTTCCTGGCAATTTATTTACAATAAAATTTAATAAATTATGCGTCTAAAAACAATTAACAATATCTTTATCAAATATTGCAAAATATAATGAGTATGTTTTTTTTATCAGAGTGCTTTAAAAACCCTAAACAATTAAAAAATATACCTTTTTTTGGTTTACTATATTTTTTCAATATTTATTTAGATTTTTTAAATGTGAAATGTGTGTAGTTGTGATTCTTGTCACTGTATCGGTTGTTATAGGTAACAAATAGTCATATCTACACACCGTTGTTCATATTAAAATATTTATATTGCAGATTTCAAATTACTGACAATGGTTAACTTGACGGAAATCCACCACTTAGCTTAATGGTAACAAAAAGCCTAAAACCTTAATATTTCCTGCCTTCGACGTCCTATAATAAAGGATTGTGAAATGGTTCTTTTTTAAAATTGTCATTTTATGACGGCATTTGGTTGAATTTATTACAGACAATTATTTGTAATTTTTCTTGTGTTATTTCTGATAACAGCTTAATTAAATATTAGAAATAAATAACAATAACTAAAGATTATAAAACTAGGTTACTCAATCGCTATAAACAATTAAGAACATTTTGTTAATGCTAAAAAAATGAGGTCACATAGTTTGCCAGCCATCTGCATAATATATATAAAAACTTTACATCCATTCATCACAACTATTTCTAAACAATTTATTTACAATATTACATTTAATTATTATACATAAGTATTTATAAAAGTTTTACACGAATATTTTTGGTTTAATTGAAGCTGAATATAAAATATTCAGGATTGTTTGTTGGACAGAAGGTTTGCCATTTGTCTAAGTTTCGATAATGAAAAACTTAGATTTTTTCTTTTAAGTAAGCTTTATTTTCGAGGATTATTGTAGTCCACATAAACTCGTACAACTTCTCCTGAATATTTTCTCTGCGATGGCATAAAATAAAAATCAGGCTGAAGCTGGTCGCCAGAATTTCTTTCTGGCCTTTGAGTGTAATAGCCTTGTGGAGGCTGGGGCTGGGGCTGCGTCCTCGGCAGGGAATATGTACTCCTCTCTACCGGGTGATGATAACCCTTCGGTCTTTGCAGCGATCTAGTATCGGCGTATTGAGCTCCGTTTCCGTGGTGGTAGGTCAACATCGGGTGATTGCTTACCGGTTTGTGTTGCATGGTCGATCTAGATGAGCCGTTTGTCCTTCCAATCGAATTGTGCTGTTTTTCATCAGATTCGTACGGTTCGAACGCATAATTCGTATTTGCTGACGAATAGTCTTTCCAGGCGGAATTATGAGACAAAATTTCCTGCAAATATATACAACAATTTTTCTTCTTTAAATAATGTAACATAAAAAATACAATTTTTTTATGTTGTAAAATAAATTACTTTACCTTGTTCAAAGATTTAGATGATTTCATTGCTTTATAAATATTACAAATCGCTTGTAAGATGGCAGCCACAACCAGAGCGATCAAACAACCTATCACTATCCAAAGTTTTGTCTCAGATTTTAAAAGAGTTTTTGATGAATCTGAATTAGACGTTACAACTGAGTTTGCTAGAAATAAAAATAATAAAATAAATATAATTTAATGGAATAGCTTAAAAACAATTTCCTACCTTCGTTTGCTCTGAATTTAAAATAAGACGGATCAATTGTAAGAGCACCGGCTTTTCCACTTTGAATGACTTCTTCAAATATCTTTTTAACATTCTCATTGATTTTTTGTAACTCTTCTTCTGAACTTGGCTCCTCTTCCACTTCCAAATTCATTTTGGCAATAACATTATCGTTATCCCTATAAGAGTTAAATTTTATTAGAGTTTGAAGTATTTGTGCACATTAATTACTCACTGTTCGAATTTTACAACATTCAATGCTTTAAATTGATCGATTTTGTTTGTAGTCAACTTGAAACCTGAATTGACTGCTTTTGCCAAGATTTCAAAATCATCCGTGGCGACTTTTGGCGCTTTGAAGTTTGCGCCAAGATTCTGCAGTTTCACTTCAACTGTGTAACTAATGAAAGGCTTGGGGGGAGGAGTCGGCAACTCGTCTCCTAAAAGTAGCATTAATTTTAAAGTAGAGTTCTTCATAATTTATAAATAAATTATACCTTCTGGGCAAGCCTGAATGCATACTTTGCTGGGCGAAAAGCTAGGCACGTTGTAATGCTTTTTAATTTTTTTACTCACACCGTCGTAATCACCTCCTTTAACAGGGAACATGACATACAAACAATTGTCATCCGTAAAAGGGAGATCCTGGAATAAAAAAAACTTTTGATAAAGAAGAATTTTGAACCGATTGATTGCAACATACCTGATTCACATCACCCGTATCTCGTTTTCTTTGGAATGTGAGAGTCGTCATGCCATTATCAATTTTACCAGTAAAATTAAAAATATCTTGGGAGGCGTCTAACCTAGGAGCTGTCTGCCCTATGATCCAAGTGTCCATCAAAAATGGTCTTCCAGTTTTGTCAACCCAACCGATGATTGCATCAGTTTGCGACTGGAACAGTTCATCACATTAAAATACAATTACAATAAACTTAAAATAATGCTAACTTGCAATGGGCTCTAACCATTCTATGATCTTTGGAAAACGCTATTCCAGTCCAGAGATGTGTGTTGGTTGTGGAAATAGTAAAGAAAATATTCTTTTTACGCGAAGAATAGTGCCAACTTGCGTGATATTCGCATTCTTGTTTTTCCAAACTGCATCCTTTAGGATATTCCCATTCACCTCTACACATACTCATAGGTTTGGGCACTTGGTCGTTTTCGGATTCCTCGATCGATGTTTCTAAAATAAAGACAATTCAAAAATATGCCAAAAAAGCGGCTCAGTACGTTTAAAAATATAATAATTAAACAGTACACTTACCGAAAAAATTTATCGACGTCGCTCCTCTTTGATCTTTGTGCCCATGATATTTAAGTTCATCTGGTTTGTAAAAGTCTTTTGTAAGAGCGGCATTTGCTTCAATACCAGATTTGGGACTGTGCACATAATGACCCGGTTCTTGTCCTTGAGCCCAAATGACGTGCATCATTCCATTTTCGAATGAATGATCGGTTGGTTCCGTAGCTGAATTTATGTTTATTAAATATCAGTCAAATCAGAAAGTTATTTGTAATTTACCTTTAAGTTTTTTTCTAAACAGAATGGTAGTAACACCATCTTTTTCAAAACCCATGGCTGCAGTCAAATCATTTTTCCCGCCCCAGAAAGTGTCCAGCCTCGGCGTTGAACTGAATGAATCATACAGAATGAAACTCGTAAAAACCAACAGTTAAAATTTAAAACCAAATTTTTTAACATACCGATCTCTTGTGTAATAATCCCAAATTTTAAATGATGAACCTCGAGCCATGCCTATGACCATATCTGTACAGTCCATGGGATTGAAATCATGTCGAGGAGTGTATGGAAGGAAGTTCAGACCTTTAATATAGCATAAAGTAGTTGTAATTCATATTAGTATTCTTTTTATGAACAATTATACCTTGCTTATTTGTAGGTCTCTGATTCTGTTCTTTAGAAGATTTTTTTACTGCAGTATTTGGCTTGGATTTAGGTTCAGCATTTGGCTCTGGTTCTGACTTGGCTGATGGTTCTGGCTCAGAATTAGGTTCTGGATGTGGTTCAGAAGATGGTTCTGCGCCAGGCTCTGGTTCTGCCTTTGGCGAAGGTTCAGGTTTGGGCGATGGTGCAGGCGTGGTCAAAGCTTTGGGCCGGCGGAACAAAAGATGTGTTCTATGCTCTAAGCAATTAAAGAAGATTAATTTAATTTATATTACATTAATTTATATAAATTCCTACATAAAATGATAAAAATATTTACCTGTAGAAAATGGTGTCGCTCGTTTTCCTCTGACAGGTCCACCTAGAAATAAGTAAAATGTAATTTTGATGGACAATTTCATATTATATAATAGCTCTTTTCCATAAAATTAACACTTTTAATTTCAATTAACCATTTTTAACTTTAAATTAATCTTTTTTGCAAATTAACTGTTTTTTTTTTACTTCAAGTTGTCCTTTTTTAATGTTAAACTAATACTTTTAATTTCAAAATAATTTTTTAAAAAGTCAAATTAGCCCTTTTTAATTTCAAATTAATGCTTTTTAATATCAACTTATTATTATTAATTTCAAATGATAATTTTTTACTTGAAATTATCTGTTTTTTAATTTCAAACTAACATTTTTTATTTTCAAATTAACCCTTTTTACTTCCAATTAACCATTTTTAATTTCAAACCACCCCTTGTTAAATTCATATTTTCAATTTCAAATTAATCCTTTTTAATTTCAAATTAACCTTTTTTTTAAATTTCAAATTAATACTTTTAAAACTTCTAATTAACCCTTTTTAATTTCAAATTAACCTTCTTTATTTCAAATCAACCTTTTTAATTTCTAATTAACCATTTTTAATTTCATATTAACCCTTTCTTTAAAGCAACAAAAACTTAAAAATCATATTAAAATTAATTACAATTTAACTTAAAAATGATATAAAATTAAATAAAAAAACAAAAGGTTCTATTTATTCCAGATTTTTTTTTAATATAAAATAATTATTGTATAAGCAATTATTTTTTATTTAAAAAATCCTGATTTAATAGAAAGATCATTGGTTTTTATATATAATTTTATTTAACTTTTAATTTTAATAGTAAATATTTTTCATGTGGTATTTTAGGTAACAACTCACTTTGTATTTTTTTAAAATTTCTCCACTTAAAAGAAGAATTTAAAAAAATTGACATTTAAAATATTAATTATAATATGGTTGTATAAGGGTCCAATTATATTATAATGAAAAAATTGCAAATATAAAGGAATATTACTTCTACATGCTTATATTTTATACCAACCATTGCCTAAGTTTTTTTAATTCTTTGAAAAAGATTTAATTTGATGGAAAAAGCTATAAATAACAAAATAACACAAAATTACCTTGGGATGAGCTAACTCTGAAGGAAACACTTGTTTCAACAGAAACTTTAGGACTTTCTTCATCACGAGTCATTCTAGAATTTACTGTTCGTAGAGGTCTAAAAGGCTTCCTTGTTGTGCTACTAAATTGCGAAAGGATACTTTTTGTACTAATATGGTCAGCTTTGGAGTCTCCTGAATCTGGTTCAGGTTCGGGTTCACTCTTAGGCTCTGGTTCACTTTTTGGTTCAGGTTCTGGTTCGCTGCTTGGCTCTGGTTCTGGTTCACTCTTTGGCTCAGGTTCTGGTTCACTCTTGGGCTCTGGTTCTGGTTCACTTTTGGGCTCTGGTTCTGGTTCACTTTTGGGTTCCGGTTCACTTTTGGGTTCTGGCTCAGTTTTGGGCTCAGGTTCACTTTTGGGTTCTGGCTCAGTTTTGGGCTCAGGTTCACTTTGTGGCGCCACTTTGAAAGACGCATGAGTATTTACAGTTCCAGGGAGATCTTCGATTTTAGGAAAGTTTTTACATTCAGCTGTCAAACTGCTAGGTCTCCAACCTAAACCCACATAACTAGTTCCATTCACAACCATAACAACTTCAATCTCACTATCCTCAGGTATGATCCGCCAATAAAGATTGTAGTTGGGACTAAGCTCACGATGATTATGACTGCTAAGGTCAATGCTTGTCGATTTGACAGGTGATCCTGGAAATCAGAAGAAAATTAATACAAAATGTAAATTGTTGTTGAAAGTTTTCTAACATACTTTTAGTGCAAGCTGGGCCAAACCAGCCAAGTTCACAGTAACATTGTTTCCTCGGAGCAGATGTTGCATTTATATCAACACAACGACCTCTGTCACCACAGTCGATATGTTCCACACATTCATCACGGTACTGACACCTCGGCCCATAATACAGTCGACTACACCTACATTTGGAAAGCAGATGAGGACCATGACCGCTGCAATCTTCTTTGTACGTTTTTTCTGAAAATAAGAGATACAGCGATTAAATCTTCTTTCGGGGGGGGGGGGGGGAGACTCGTTCACAATTTATTACTTGTTTTGATATCGACATCAGCGCAAGACCAGAATAAATAATTAGGAGACCATTCCCTCGCTTCTCTCAGAAGACGAATAGTGCAATCGGAACATTCAAAATTGGCAGGAATTTGAACTGAATAATGCTGGGCGCTGTAACATATAGTATATTAATACAAACTAGTATAACATAATAATGCAATATTTTATTAAAGTGGACAACTGTCGTTAGATCATCTCCAATCATCCTTGTCTACGCCTATTCTCTTCTGTTAGACATTTTAGACATTTCACCTTTGCAATCAGGTGCAAATCCACCGCTGAAGATGTGATTAAAATAATACATAAAGGTATTAGTCTACACAATGATGCAATATGTAGACCAGGATGATCAGAGACAGAGATATTACACCTAATTTTTTTTTTTTTTTTTTTTTTACTTTAATTCTAGGAGGTTGTATTCAGAAAGAAGAAACAAGCAAACATAAAACATTTGTTAAAAAAAGAACTTACGTAGCATCGATATTCACATAATGTGATTTTTCAGTTACGGGTGTCAAATCCAATACCGGTCTCATAAGACTATCTAAAACTTGAAGCCTGAAACCACCCTGGAAAAAGATATTGCTTTAGTAAGTTCCAATTATCTAGTAAACATTGATTATTGTCAATTACCTGATGAGGATATGCTAAATGCCATGTAACATTGAATGGTTTACCAGCAAGTAGCGTTGTTTTAATTGACCCTAAAGAACAATAAATATTCAGTTTTTGCAATAATACAACCTTGTAAGTTGAATTATATGATTTATAGAAATGATAAATGATGTAGTGATCAATCTTTATAAAATGATAGTTCTTACTCACAGTTAATAGAAATTCTTCACCTTTAGAAACGTATTTTTGATGTTCAATGATAACTATACTATTTCCTTTATCAGCTTTAAAAATAACTTTGTTGTTACTGTTTAACTTTTTATCAATAGACCTAATTGTACGTGGGATATTTAATTTTTTAATCTTTAGGTTTACCAAGTTTTATTTAATTACTTGAGCACATTTATATTTTATATTTGTATTTATTTTACAACAATCTACGGATGAACCAAGGGATAGTAGTTTTTTTTTGTATCCAATTCGGTTTTTAGGGCAAATTTTAAGCCTTTATTTAACAAGTTGTTTTTCTAAGTGTGAGTAGGAACTATTCTTTATGATGATTGATACTTTTGAAATAAATTAAGCGTTTCGTCATGAGATTGATTGTTACCTTTTGGCATTCCGCAAGGACCTCTTGTTCTGCTGTTGTCGAGGAAATCAAGGTCATATTTCCTCGCCGGAGGAAATGTCAGAGCGACATGAGAAGTCACGTACCCGACTGATAATATCCACAGAGACAAAATTGAAAGCCACTTCATTCTAAAATATCCGGAAAAAAAATCAATTGAATCAATTACAAATCACATCATTAAGATAATTTTAATTAGGCCAATTTTAAAAGATAGCTTTAAAATATTAAATTTAGACTTCCTAATAAGGAAAGTTTCAATTAAAATGCAGAATTTCATTTATACCATTACTAAAATTGTCGATTTGATTAAAAAATGTAAAAAATTAATTAATTACCTCAAAATCCGTTATGGTATTTTTGTCATTAATGAGTAACACCTTAAATTTAATTATTAAAGGTGAACAAATACTTAATGCAGTACCACTATGACATTAGACTATCCATTTTCTGTTTTCCAACATCAGGACCTAGAAGAATTACAAAAAATATAATAAAGTAAAAATAAAATTTTGAACATCATAAACACTTTTAACATCATTATTAACTTTCATCTGTACAATTATTTTAATTTTTTGCCCTTGTATTTCAGAGGAAGACTATTTTTGTAAAATGAGATTTTATGCTACGTTCCTTCAAAAATCCACTGGACTATTTGAATTAAATTAAAATTTGTGCGATTTTTTTTCATAGGGTATGATGAATCTGTAGTAGTTTTTGATCATGTCTGCCTGTGCTCGCTGGAAGATGGTTAAAGGAAGGAGAAGTGTCTGACTGACCGGAATGATTGAAAATGACCGAGCTGTAAATATTCCACATGTCATTTCCACGCTCTTGGTACGTGAAGAGAATGACTTTGTCGAAAATAAGTCTACCACTACTCAATTTTTGTATCGTTTTTATTGTTCGCTACTTAATTGGTTCAGAATCTATTTGATGGAAAGTTAGCAATATATTATATGATAAAATATTGTAGAATCTGTAAATGTAACCTGTAATCAAAATGGGAACAGGCACATTAAAATTGTTTTGGAGAAATTACACAAGTCATCGATACAAGGGTGAGTCTGAGGATATAACCCTGCCATATCAATTTGGTATTTTGGAAAGCACCTCATTGTCAAAGATCCTGCTCTTTCCTATTTACAACATGGTAAAATACTCTTATGTCCTTCAAATTAATCTTTTAACTATAAGTTAAATTTTTTAACTATTTAGAATTAGGCTGTGTAAGATTGATGTCCATAAGGGACATCGAGGTATTGTGGAGTGAAGGGACTTAAATCCTAGTTTTGAAGAACAGTTTCTTGAGATTCAATGGTGAAGAAGGAAGATTGAATGGTGAAGAAGGCAATGGCTTCGTGTCTTCCTAACCCTAAACCAACCATACTAAATATAACTTTTTTCCATCACATAAACCCTTATTATTTTTAAATGAACCCATTGAAACTTTAAATTAACCCTTTTTAATTTAAGATTAAAACTTTTTAAGATCAAATTAACCCCTTTTTATTTCAACCCGTTTTAATTAACAATTGATCATTTATTCAAGTTAACCTTTTTAAATTTGAAATTAACCATTTTCAACTTCAAATTAACCAAGTTTAATTTAAAATTAAATTTTTAACTTCAAATTATCTTTTCAATTTCAAATTAACAATTTTTAATTTAAAATTACGAATTTACTGTTGAAATTAATTATACTTTTTATCTAAGGTTTTGGTTTTGACGAAAAAGCTAGTGCTACGAGCAGGATTTGAACCCACGACCTTCGGCTGGGTACGCAGCTGCTCTAACCATTTGAGGTACCTCCATTTCGATCCAATTGGACACCAACTACTCATCGCAACCTACAACCTTTCGAATTTTCTGCCTTTTTGCCATATTTTCAAATATAGTGTAATCCGGATTCGTTCCGAATTTGAGCTGAAGGTCGTGGGTTCGAAACCGCCCGTGATATTACCTTTTTCATCAAAACCAAGACCTTATATAAAAAGTATAATTAATTTAAATAATTAATACGGTCAATTATGAGAGCTAAATAAATATATGGATTATTACAGATTAACGTTTGTAACTTCAAATTTACCCTTTTTAATTTCAAATTAAAATGTTTAACTTCACATTAGCCTTCGTTAACTTCAAATTAACCTTAGCTATTTTCAAATGCTTAAATTTTAATTTCAAATTAACCTTTTTAACGTTAAATAAACCGTTTTTAATTGCAGATCAAACTTTTTAACTTCCAAGTTAACCTTTGTTAATTTCAAATGAACAATTTTAATTTGAAATTAACCTTTTCTTTAAAGCATTAAAAATAGGTAGGAAATGGTATGTAATACAAGCGTGTAAAGTAAAATTACTGTATATCTGAGATTTTTTAAAATAGGAAATATTTGGTTCTTAGAAGGCCATATGAAAATGAATTACAATTAAAATCAAAAGTCATTAAATTCATTAGATTTCGAAGTCCGATTGACCAAATAACATCTTTCAATTAATTAATCTTTATGTAAGGTATTGGTTGCGATAAAAAAGTCAGTGTCACGAGCGGGATTCGAACACACGACCTTCGGCTGAATAAGCCGCTGCTCTACACTTGAGCTATCGTGAGTTAACTTGAAAATTAAAACACCATATGAAAATTAATACGATACATATTCAAAATTATATAACATCAAATATAAAAATAAAGTCCAATCAATTATTCTTTTATCCAAGGTTTTTGGTTGAGATGAAAAATTAGTGTCAAGAGCGGGATTCGAACCCACGACTTTCGGCTCAATATGCCGTGGCTCTAACCACTTAAGCTATCGTGACTTCAGTTTGAACGTCAGTTGAAGTCACGATCGCTCAAGTGGGAGCAGCGGCTTATTTAGCCGAAGGTCGTGTGTTCGAATCCCGCTCGTGACACTGACTTTTTTATCTCAGCCAATACCTTACACAAAGATTAATTAATTAAAAGTTATATAAAATTAAATGTAAAAATATAGCATTCGTCTATTAATAGAAATATATTTACAAAGTTAAATAGAAACAAATGATTCTTCAATAAATTCGAGATTGTTTTTAAAATAAAAAATAATTGTTCTATGAAATGGTTATTTTATGTTAAAACAAAACGTCTCAAATTAATAAAAGAATCATTTGTTTTTATTTAATTTTCCTGGCTATTAATTTTCATGTGGTATTTTATATTAAAGCCTATTTTATATTTTTGAAATTCTACAATTAAAAGAAGAGTTGTTCAGATATCGTGAGATGCGGTCGGGTGTGATGTAGGTTTCAGAAAAACATTTTCTTTATCGTGCTAACGTTTCGATCTTTATTGAGATCATCTTCAGGGCCTGGGATTTACAAACAATGTTTACATTTAACAAATACATTTAGGATTTGGAAAAGTGAATTTATACAATGCAAAATATATTTTATACTCAAACAAGAACTGTTTATTTTATAGTTAATTTATATAGTTTTCAATTTTAAATGTAATTCTTTTTTATATGGTCTTCTAAGGTGCCAGTTATTTTGTATTAGAAAAAAGCATAAGATTCAGGAATTTTACTTTACACACTTATATTTCATACCAATGCTCAGTTTTTTGTCGGTGGAAGTATTAGAAACTAGAAAGCATTATGCTTACAAAAGTATTCAAACAGTTTAACATATACATAATACAACATATTAATATACATATACTACAGATACATAATACTGTTACATAATAACATTGGAGGAAGAGATTCCGTTTGGCTTTTGTTGTATCCTCTTTCTCCATTGTCTTTTTCCATGGCAGCCCCGCTTTTTCTGAAAACATTTTGTTTCACCACTTAACTAATCAGAGAGTCGACGTTGCATTAACATTGGAAGTAATAGTTCTGTTTACCATTTGACAATTATAGTTGAAGTCAAACGAGTAAATGTACAATTTCAGTCCTTAAGTTGATTTTAAAATGTCTTGACTTTATTTTTGTGAAACTACGAGGGTGTTGGCAAATATAACTGATAATATGGCATTCGCTTTCGGAGGCCGGAAGGACAAACGGGCCGAAATTATGAAGGGTCGTATTAGTCCATCCCATTCGGTTGTTCGGTTACGCATACGCGCTTTCTCTCATCAATTTGACTTACGTAATTGCCACAAAGAGAAATTCGTCGAGAGGTATTTTTAGATTAGAAAATTAAAAGAAATAGAAATGTACAGGCGACGTATGAAGGGCGGGATGCCCCGAGAGGATAATCGACTGGCGCCATTTTGAAAAGAAATGAACAAGATCAGAGAAAAAGGCAAGGACATAAGAACATCTTCGACCGAACAGTCCGCTGCATTAATAACATCCAGACCGATGGCAAATGGAATCGAATTGAACCTAAACCGCAAAACCTTTGGTTTGATTTTATCACGAGAATTGGCTAATAAGGTTTAGTTGCCAGAAAATCGTGAGGCCTGGTGTGGTGGCCTTGAGAAACAACCACCTTATAAAATTTACAGGATATACAGGAACAGTCGAGGCATGGATGAAGAAAAACAGTAAGATGTAGAAGGTTTCTCTCATAATATTCCCATCATGTTCATAAGGGTTCTCTCACTGTGCATAATCTCAATGGGATCTTCCGAAATCGTTCATTTCCAAGGCTTTGTTGCTTTTGTGACCACTAAGCATCTAGGCTCGTGGTACCAGGCGTTATCTATACTTGGGTCTTTCCTGCATAGTGGGTTTTTGATGGAACGTGTTTAGCATCATCTTCGCCAAGAATGTCCTCAATGAAAATGGAGATCGTCTCAAGTGTTTCAAGGTTATTTATATATAATTTGATTGGTTTTATTATCCAGTACAAGAAAATTATATGCAGGATGGTATTAAATAAGACTGGATATATGACAAGTTACAAAAACGCTTTCAGTAAAGTAGGTCAAAAAAAATTTCTTTCCGAAAAAACAGCAATTCGGATTCGTTTTCAGGACCCTTTAAAGTCCGTGAATACGAATTTTTATGCCAAAAAAATAGATATTTTTGGGCCGGATAATCCGGTGCATTTTTTTTTTTTTTGGGGGGGGGGTTCCTATTGTTCCACTTTTTAGGTGTTAATTTTCATGACTCTATTTTTGTCCAAATCTAACCGTTTGAAAGCCTTATTTCTGTTCTTTCAGCCTATGTATATTGTTTACATTTTATTACATCGATATAAGCGAGAAAAATAGGGACGAAGCCAACACAAACTCTCCAAAAGTTTTATTTTTTTTTCCGATTCTAATTCATTCACGAGGACGACGTTTGTGCTATTAGGTGTAATTTGTAATGTGCTGAACCCCTGTAAAGTTTTCGGTGGATCGGTGGAGTCGTTTCAAAGTTATCACTATTTTGATGATTTTCGAATAAAAATCCAACACCTGGATGGAAATTTGTTTGGGAAAAAAACTCAAAATTTTCGCCTTCCGGTCTGCGATTTTTACCCGAAAATCGCAAAAACCAAAAACGATGATAACTTTGAAACGACACCATCGATCTATCTGAAACTTTATAGCGCTTTAGAACCGATCAAACTACACGCGAAGGCATTAATTTGGCCTCTGTGAATATATCAAAACAAGAGATAATAAAATAAAACGTTTTTAGGTATGTTTGTTGATTTCATTCTTATTTTTCTCACTTATAATGGCATAATACCCAAACGTTGTTGACATAGGCAGAAAGTAAAACAATCCAGCTTTCCGGGTGGTCGTAACGGTGAATTTGGACAAAATCCACATGATGAATTTTTAAGTGGAACAACAGGTCCTATCCAGGCCAAAAATATTTATTTTTTATTTGCCATAAAAATTCGTATTCAATGACTTTAAAGGGTAATTAAGACGAATACGAGTTTTCTCATTTAATACAATTCTGCATTTATTTTCATATGCTTGATAATGCAACAAATGGAATGATATATATTAACCTTTAAATACATCTCCAGGAAAGGCAGAAACATACATTTTAAAAACGGTTATGTAAATTACTTGAAACAATTTTTTACTCGGCTCCTAGGGCTTACAGAGTTTCCTTCCCATCACTCTGCGGAGGAATTCAAGGAACGCGCTGTGACCTCTAAAGAAGACAATGGGTGCCAAATTTACAAGAGGGCATAGTGAGGAAGACTGCTGAAGCCAGCATAAAAGGACCCCAGTGACAAAGGATCCACCGGGCTTCTGTGTCAGGCAACAAAGGCCAAATCGGAAGAGAACGCACTTTTAGGTGGACCCTAGACCTACAATAACGTTGCACAATTCTTTTATTATGCGATAGTATTGAGAGACGTCTTGATTCCGATTTATCACGCGATTATATTGACGGCCCATAAGCGGCAATGTTTTCGCGTGAGCAAGTCCTATTGTTGCAAGACGTCATGCTAAAATATATTGCGGAATATTAACCCTACTCGGTGCAATGAAAAAAAAAAAATATATGGTGCAATAAAATTAAACCCAATAAATTTAATTTAACTAGCGCTAAACGGACAAACGTATTGCGCAATTCGTAATATTGTGCAATATAATTGATCGTATAGGGCCTGCCTTAAACAATGATCACGTTTAAAATTTTAAAGAAATGTTCTTAATTAAAGAAGAAGAAAAATGGTTAAAATGCAGAAACCGACACTTGCAGGAGGATCAAGAATTTATTCTTACATTTGTAAATTCAAACTCCAAGGTAAAATGAATAATATTTTTTGTAATTTTGCACAAAACAAGACCAAAGTATCACATAGTTCACTAATCTAAAAAATTCCCAAACATTTGGCAGCATACAAAGACCACAAACTAACAGCAATGTATCACATGGGCAATAAAAACAACCCCACTAGAAACACTGCTAAACCTCCATTGAAAATATTTAGGCAATATTTGGAAATTCTATAAAGGAGAAGCGAGGAAAAGTTCATTTAGGCTCCAGAAACAATCCAATTTGGATGGGAACTAAACAATTCAAGCACACAGCAATAAATAAAATCAAAAGACCATTTTTAGAAATGGGTACTGATTTCATGATCCCGGAAACACTCTTTACAACATTCTATGAAGTCTCAACAGACTAAAAAGGAGAATAATTCAGGAAATAAGATACAATGATATGGCAGACAGAATGAAGGATCATGCGGTTTTTGTAAAAGCCCAAAACATGAACAATCATTATGGAAGTTAAACTCGGTCTTTCAAGCTGAAATACACGCCATCAACTCTTGTGTCTTAGAAAATCTTATAAGAGTTACACTGACAAAAAAAATCTTTATACTATCAGACAAGTCAGGAGCAATGAGAACATGTCACACAGTTCATATGGAAACAGTATTGGGATTAATACCCCTACACCACATGGTAATGAGGACAGCACAGAAATCATTAGTATTATCAAAGAGAAGCCTCCAACAGGAATAAAACTAAAATGGAGAGGCAGCAACAAAATAATGAAAGACCATCCGGTATTCATGGCTCCAAAAGACGACATGAACAGGATGTTTGAATTTAACCAAAACTTCCAAATAATCCTAGGTAACAAAAAAGAATGGGAAGGAGAGGAAAACATCTCCTTTAAGAATGGCACCATCGTTTGGTACACAGATGGATCTAGAACACAAGAAGGTACATAGGCAGGAGTATTCGGTCCTGGAACCAAATACACCAGTATTTTTCAAGCTGAGATTCACGCAATCGAGAGATGTACTCAACTCAACCTGAATAAAGGGTACAAAAACAAGACCATAGCTATCAAGTCAGATAGCCAAACAGCCATCAAAGCACTAAGCTCAAATATCATTAGTTCAAAGATGGTGTTGAACTGCAAAACCAAATTAAACATATTAGGTACGCAGAACAAAGTCAGCCTCTGCTGGGTCCAAGGACATGAGTATGAGGGAGTATAGGCAACAAGAAAGTGGACACCCTTGCAAGGAAAGGAGCTGCTACACCGCTGATAGGACCCGAACCTTTCTGTGGCATAGGAACCCACTCTATCAATGTTTATCTCAGACAGAAGGACAAAAAGACAATGAAGGAACAATGGAATTCACTCATTGGACACAGGCAATCCAAGAATCTTCTAACAAATTTCGGAAGAAAAGAAATTACAGAATGTGTCAAAGGAAGCAGGAATAAACGGCGAATCCTAATAGGACTCTTAACAGGGCATTGCAAGCTAATTGGACACTTAAAGAAGATTGGAATAATCCAAGACGGCACATGCATATTCTGCAAAGAGGCAGGGGAGACACCAACACATCTACTAACAAACTGTGGTGCTACACTTGCCCGCAGGAAGAAGTGCTTTGGGATGTGCAATGTGACCATAGAAGAGATGCAACCATTGAAACCGGGCCTATTAATCAAGTTCCTAGATGAAATAGGACTCACCGGTGTGCTTTAGGCAGAGAATAAATTCCCGGAAGATAGCCATTTTCTCTGACAGCCAGGCAGCTCTCAGGGCCTTAGCCTCATGCGAGGCGAATGCAAAGAATGTTTGGAAATGCATGGAGGCCCTAACGGACGTCAGCGACCCTAATGACCTGACCCTGGCATGAGTCCCTGGACATTCGGTAGAGGCAACGAAAAGGCTGACATGCTGGCCAATGGACTCTATGGGCCCCAGAACCCTACTGCGGCCTAGCAGCCTGCCACAAAAGAGGATACATCTTAAAATGGATCCTTAATGAGTACAAAACCTGGTGGAACAATATCGCAGGCATGAGGCACGCGAAGAGATTCATGGAAGGACCATCCGCAAAACTTACAAAAGAAATGTCGTGTAATCGGTTTGGATTCTCGACGACAATTGAAATGGCGACGGAGAGTTTTGAAAAATGGCGAAAGGAGGGAAAACTCATAAGGTGGGGTTGAGAAGGGGAGTTGATGTCCGAGTGGATCGAGGTCACGATAGCTCAGGTGGTAGAGCAGCGGCGTATCTAGCCGAAGGTCGTGGGTTCGAATCCCTCTCGTGCCATTGACTTTTTTTTCATCTCAACTAAAAACCTTAATTAATTGTTGCTCTTGTTGTTGTGAAGTTCTTCTAAGAGAAATTTATCGCTGAAGTTGGCGAAAAGACTGAAGCACGTCTCGACAGAAACCAGGTACGATAGTCGGATCAAAATGATCAGAAACGACCAAAGTATTTAATAACTAGATAATATATAAATGATAATGGTTACAAACGGTCAAATTAAGTTAATTACAAAACTGCTTCAGAGGACTTTGCCAAAAGTGTTGGTAATTATTACAAATAAAAATACCGATAAAAGCTCATTGTTATTGTTAAATATAAAAGAAAAAATACTTACATATCGAACATCAGAACATTAAATTCCAGCTTCTGTAACAGAAAATAATATATGAATTATTGTTGCGATAAAAAGACACTTATTTTCATATTAATAAAGAAGGATTTTACTGATGTCACCCACATCCGCCAGCACATTTTCTTTCCTTTTTAGCATTCCCAATCATAAAGGAAAAAATAACAAGCAATATTTAAAGAAAAGAAAAGAAGAGTCTGGTTATTTTCCGCTGCTTGTCGTCTCGGCCTTGCGGGTTCGCCCCCGGCCTATTACCAACCGTTGGTGTAAATATGTATTTATTTATATACGGATTGCGCACGATGTACATGGGTGTAGGTGCAGGTTCATTGTGAGATTTCTTTTTGTGAAATGTTCGTTTTTAGCGCTACAAGTTTACTCTTCTCTAGCTCTCTTGTAACGCGATCTAAAAGCTCTAAAAGTGGTTTTTCCAAAATCCGATATGCAGATTACAGGTCTGAGGAGAACAGAAAGAGCGGTAGGGCAGGGTGGAGGAATAGCATCAACTGTTCAATCTGGCCCTAGAAGGAATCCCATGATTGAGGCATTCAAACCACAACTGTATTTAATAGACTAGTTCAGTTCCTTTGTAAGTAAATACAAAGTCGCGATGGAAACTTCCTTAAGAGGTAGCGGCAAGAATAAGCTACTTGTAAACCCCGTCAAAAACTAAATACATGGTATCTAGCCAAGAGATAGGAGATGAAAGGGAATTGCGAGGGCAAATGCCTATACTTAGACTCTCGTCACTGTCAGGCGAATCCAAACAAATGATAACCTATGCAAGTACCTTCATTGCACGAGTTAAGCAATTGAAAAGCAACTGGTACGACGAAGTTGAAGCCTATAGGGGTTCGTGGCTTGGACAATTTCTAAAGACGAGAGGAACCTCTTAATTTCTGAAAGGAAAATTCTACCTCGTATATTTGGGGCTTAGCTCTATTCCCCCCTCTAGTTTTATAAGCGTACAAAGATGGTACCATGTAGCACGAATGATGACGAGAACCTCAAAAGACTATATCAAGATATCAAGTACTTGCTGAGTGTAAGGTACTGGAGCTACAATAGATAGTAGAGCTGGAATTCCTTGAAGAAGCCAAGACCCAATAACATGTCGCGCTGATGATGATTGCACAAGCATGTCATCAGGGTGTTCACTACGATGTCATCAGGCAGAACAATAGACTCGATTATTGCTCACAGTTCACCTTTCAACATTGCATTCAGCGTCAAAAAACCTTTCAAAGAATGTAAATTGACGACTTGCAATTTATAATAGTTAAACCCCTATTCGCATCTCGCTATCGTGGAAAATGAGAGATCTCATGTGAGATAAAACAAAAATTAAAAGTTTATGTGTCTCGAGGTTTTTCTCAACCTTAAAATACTTGGGATGACAAAGACAGAAATCTGACTGTCTTCCGTCTGAAACCCGGGTGATCGTACATCAAGGATGCAGGACGCGTCACTCTCGATGTTTTGATGATCTTTAAGTAAATAAATAATAAAGTAAACTTAATCGGAAGCAATACAAAAAGAAAAAGAAAAAATTAAGAATCGATTTGGACAAGAGGACAGTGGGCTAGAAAGATGATCGTATGTAGAGAAGTCGATTAATGGGATTTGAAAACTATTATTTGACTATATTGTCACTGCTCATCACGAATCGCTTTTATATCAAGTTCACGTAAACTGTGCTAATCCCGTTACGTTTCGGCTTGCTCCATCTTCAGTGAAAAACTGACTCAATGGCGAAGAAGGCACAAAGCGAAACGCGTTCATAACATTAAAAAAACCGAGTCAGGACGGACCCAAGTACAGGTTCAACGTGTGTTCACCGTACTAGCAGGCCAACCCACCATCAACTTTTAAGTGTGGTATAGTCGAAAACCTTTTAAAAACAGGCAAGCCATATCAGAAGTGTTACTTGGAGTTAAAATGGTTAATTTGAAGCTAAAAATGGTTAATTTGAAGTTAAAAAGGATTACTTTGACGGAAAAACCATATTACAATTTTAGTTAACAAATTTGAAATCATTATATAATAGAAACATCTTTAATTTATTATTTAAAGTTAGGTACTACTTATCAACTAGATTTTATTTGTTGTAATTAAAGAAGGTTAACTGGATGCTAAAAATGCTTAATTTCAACCCCCAAAAAAGTTAATTTGAAGGGGTAATTTGAAGTTATAAATGGTTAATTTGAAATTAAAATGTAAATAAAAAAAGATTATTTTGAAGTTCAAAAGGGTTATTTTAAGCTAAAAAAAGTTAATTGATGGCAAAAAAGGTTAATTTGAGGGAAAAAACTAAATTTCAATTTTAATGAAAATTTTTTAAAATCTTTATATAATTAAAACATCTTTAATTTATTATTTAAATTCACATACTACTTATTAAACATTATTATTTAATACATTTAAAAAAATTATTTGACAATTAAATAGTATTTAATTTCCAAATTAGAGAAGGTAATTTGAAGTTAAAAATGATTAATATTAAGCTAAAAAAGGTTAATTTTAAGTTAAAAAAGGTTAATTTGAAATAAAAAAGGGTTATTTAAGCTTAAAAAAAAGTTAATTCGATGTTAAAAAAGGTTATTTTGATAGAAATGATGAAGGTGGGGTGAATATGGGTATGAAGGTTAATTTTATGTTAAAAAAGATTATTTGGTGAAAAAAGCCATATTCCAATCTCTGTTAAGAAATATTTTAACCGTTTTATATAGAAATTTTCTACTTATAAATAATGCTTCTTTTTTGAGATTTCAGGAGGTTCATTTGTAGTTACTAATGGTTAGTATTAAGCTAAAAAAGGTTAATTTTAAGCAAAAAAAAAGATTAATTTAAGTTAAAGAAGTTTTTTTTAGCCAAAAAAGGCTAATTTGAAGCTAAAAAAAGTTAATTTGAAGTCAAACAAAGGTTAGTTTGATATAAAAAAAAGGTTATTTAAGCTAAAAAACAGCATAATTCGATGTTAAAAAAAGGTTAATTTGATAGAATTTATGAAGGTGGGGTGAGTATCGGTATGAAGGTTAATTTCATGTTAAAAAGGATTAATTTGACGGAAAAAAGCTATATTCCAATATCTATTAAGAAATATTTTAACCATTATGTAATAGAAATTTTCTTATTTATACGACTTATTAAATAGTATTTATTTTTGAAATTAAAGAAGGTTAATTTTTGTTAAAAATGGTTAATATTAAGCTAAAAAGGTTGCTTTTATGTTAAAAAGGATTAATTTGACGGAAAAAAGCTATATTCCAATATCTGTTAAGAAATTTTAATTCATATAGTCAATTAGGACTACTAAATAGGTTATATGGATTAATGTATCTATTAGAGATTTTCGTTGTTTAATATTTAAATTTATATAGTACTTATTAAATATAATTTATTTTTTAAATTAAAAAGGTGTAATTTACAGTTAAACAAAGTTAATTTGAAATTAAAAAAGGAAATTTATAGATAAAAAAAGGTTAATTTTAAGTTTAAAAAAGGGCTATTTTAATCTAAAAACAGTTAACTTGAAGCTACAAAAAATGGTTAATTTGTAGTTAAAGAAGGGTTAATTTTACGGGAAAAAATATATTCCACTAGATCTGAATCCTTGTCCGGTCATTTTCGGAAACAGACTGTATTTTCAAATTAAGATGGGAATGTTTGAAAAATCTGAACTATACGGTATTATTATGCAATAAACTTATTTTCGCTACCGTCCGAGACCACAAGGGGGGGGGGTTAATGGAAGCCAGGGAAAAGAGGGCGAAATTCCTCGACGGCTATAACGGCAGTTGTCCGTGTGACAATTAATAAAATATTTTCGAAAGAGGTGACGCAATTTGATTTTTTTTAAATTTATTGTTTCGGTACAACCTGTCCGCCGTTCCGTCCGTGTACCTCTGCACTTGGTAACGTTTGAGAAAATGTCCTTGATTCGAGTTCCTTCAGCCCTGCCCCCATTCCTGTATAGAAAGTTCCTTCTACTCTTTCAACTTTCAACTCAATCTCGTACCAATTCTCAGTCCCGAACCGGCAAACGTCGAAGAAGTTACCATATAAATTGCCAACTTTGTTATAAATAATTACAACTTCCCCTCCAGCCTTGGAAGACAATGCGTACAGATGCAATATCGGATCTTCTCTGGGAGGGTTTTGGATAATCCTCCATTTTCCTTCGCCCTCGTTCAACCTTCCAATCGTGGAAATTATAAATTTTATATGAGGGCCTCTATAAATTTATAATATTACCTTTATAATAAATACATAACAAAAAGGTTATTAATTATGAGAATTTAATTAATGAGAAAAACGTTGGAATGAACCCGCTTTTGTAATTTTATTTGCTAGCCTTGAAAATTAGAATGTTAATTAACATATAAAGCTAAGTTTATCGTATATAATAACTGACGAAAATAATAAAGAACAATCTTCGTGGATAGATGAAAAATAGATTCTATTAGAATATCCAGTTTTGGCCAACCCCACATAATATTGAAAACTGAGTTGATTGTAATCTACACACAAGATTGAAAAGAGCGGAACTAAACGGACGACCGAGACTTCTATAGGCTCAATAGGAAGAAAATTGAATTTACGTTTTATAAAACTTGCCATTTACAAGACAACTATCGGACCATCGATTGGTCTACCTACATCTTCATGTTTTGTCGTTTTCATTTTTAGTCTGCCTATTGCTGAGAATATGTGTTGACCGGCAATCATCATTAACAAGAGAAGAAAGGAAATACTGGGTCTGACTACATCACTGAAGATGGCAGGGGACCGAATCGCGTCTGACACGACAAAACGAAAAAAAGCGAGGTTAAACGGGCCGAAACGACAGAATTACGCGTCCATCACCCCTCACACATTAAAATTTAAATGATTAAAAATATTTTATATACGGAAACAAGAAAAATATGATATTTAGTTAATTATGGAATTAGTTTTGACTATCGTGACCCATAACTGAAGATGGCGAAATGTCTGATGGATCAAACTGGGGAGGATA